TTCTAGATATAGTAGCTTATTTTGATATTTTATATTATGTATCTTATTAGGATATAGTATATTAGTATTGGTTTTATATAGGGTATCTTTATATCCTTTTATTGTTGGTTTTTTATTATTATATATATATACACTATTTTCTTTGAAAATAGATATACCTTTTAGTCTATTGGTACTTAGTATATTAATACCTAATTCAGGCATATATAGCACATTATGCATTATATATATATAGTTTAGATTAGTCTGTATAATAACAGTTCCTTTATATTTTATTGGTATTTTTAGTGCTTTTCCCCAGTTCACTGATTCATTTACTGCTTGTTTATAACAAAAATAATTTAAATTTGTAATAACAGAGACAGTAGCAGCAGTATCAATAACAAAATTACAAATAGGTCCAATCTGATAGGGCAGTTTGCCTAGATAACCTTTATTATTTGTAAGTATATTTTTGTTATTTTTAGTATTAGGGGTATTATTAACACTTACATCATTATCAAGATCTAATAGAAGATTATCAATCTCCATATCGATATCCTGAATAGGTATAGTGTCAAAATTATCTGAATCAGACAGAATAGTATTAACAACAGCAACTTGATCGTTATTTTGTAGGTTTTTGTTTTTGTTATTTTTGTTGTTTTTGTTGTTTTTGTTGTTTATATTGTTTGTAGTGTTTGTATCGTTTGTATCAATTGATTTCCACCAATCTGGACGCTTATTAGGGTATAGGAAATAACAATCATTAACATTATGATTGGTTTTGTGACAATTTTTGCAGAATTTGCCTTTATAAGGCTGTTTTTTCCATGGTTTTTTGGTGATTTTGTTTGTATTGTTTTTGTTAAAGAAGGAATTATTAATACTATAAATAGTATTATCTTCTTTTCCACGTGATTCATCAATAAGTGATTTTATTAGTGAATCAATAGTATATGCCTTAGGATCATTACGCAGAGATTGTGTAATATTTTGTATAAATCCTGAATAATCTTCGTCTAGACTATTCAAAATCCAGGCAATAACTACCTGATTAGGCAGTATAATCTCTTTAGATTTTAGGTCACTAATAAGCAGTTTTACCTTATTAAGGTATTGCTCCATAGTGTCAAAATCTCCCAGAGTAGTATTAAAAAATTCTTTTAATACTAGGAATTCAGTAGTAAAACCCTTAGGATTAAATAATTCCTTTAGGGTATTCTAGGCCTGAATAGCACTAGTTTCATCCTTTATATATAATAAAGGATTATCGTCACACAATAGCTTAATAATAGCTAGTGCCTTCCTGTTTTTTGCAGGAGTTATAGTGGTTTCATCGGATATTGTTCCATCTGGGTCTAGGGTATCGAACCCTAAATCCTCTTTGACCAATAGAGCGTAGGCCCTAATTGACCATGTAGTATAATTTTCGATGCCTGAGAGCTTAGGCACCTCAATTTTTTGAAGATTTGCCATAGTATATATATATATATATATATATATAGATATATATATATATCAATAGGTTTTGTATAATTTTTTTTTTTTTTGAGGTTTGTTGAGATTTCGGCCAAATATGGGGGTATCTCGGATTTAATATTTTTAGACTTCAAAAGTTCCCAAATAGGAGATAAATAAAAAAGAGGGCAAAAAGTATATATAAAAAGGTGGTATAGCCAGATATAGACAATCCGGGCTCATAACCTATAAGACTGCAAAGGTCTTACTAGGCTTAGGGGAATATAGATAAAGGAGGAATTATTATAGATAGTTGATTACTGAGTAATCAATAAGATTAAGGACTTAGTTGCTTGATTATAGAGGATTCTGATTGTTGTATATTATTATTTCTAAAGGAAAGAAGGCCCTATTTAACCTTAGAATAGTTATACCGGATAGCTAGTATTCCAGCTATCCGGCCGGTTATCTAGCTATCCGGCCGGTTATCTAGTATACCGAATATCCGGTCGGATACTAAGTATACCGAAGATCTGGCCGGCTACCTAGTATACCGAAGATCCGGTGTTTTTTAGGGTTACTAAGCCTTTTAACTAAATCTTAGTTATATCTTTAACTAGATCTTAGTTATATCTTCAACTAGATCCTAGTTATATCTTTAACTGGATCTTAGTTATATCTGTATAATATTCATAATACTATTATATTAAATAAACTAGCTAGCTATTAGAATATAACTAATAGAAATCTACAGATTACTTAAAGAATATATAAGGTATAATAAATTTATTTAGAAGAAAGAAAATAAAGAAAACTATATTATAAAGATAATAAAATCTCTAGAATACTACTAGGAAATACTACTAATTTAATAATAATTATCTTATATATTATACTAGTTATAAAAAGAAAGATAATAAAGAAAAAGTCTATAGGTCTAAGATTAATACTAAATAAGGCTATTTAAACCTTAGAAAAGAGAAGATAAACCTAGAAGCTTACTAAGATAAACTATATATATCTACTAGAGCTTAAATATTAGTAGTAGTTTAGATTATAGCCAGAGTTAAAGTAGCTTCTCTATCTAAAGTAATATCTTATAGATAACTAGCTATAACCTTCTAGAAGAAAGATTAAATATTACTCTACTAGAGGCTAAAATCTATATTACTAATCTATAAGTATAGAAAATTATTAGAATAGTAAGAAGACAGAGCAGAAGATAAACTAACTTTAGTATTTAACTTCTTCTATTACCTAGCTATAAACTTAATATAACTTAATAAGGCCTAGTCTGTATTTTTAGTATTAAAATAAAGCTTATACTTAGAGAGATAAATAGAGATTATCTTATAGTAGAAGACTAGAAGATAATATAACCCTAATATAGTTATAGTTATATTTATAATATTCTAGGTAGAAATAGTAGCCCTAGAAACAGAAGTAGCAGTACTACTAGCTTTAACCTTATATATCTAGTTAAAGATAAGTTAAAGCTCGTATAAATTACTATAGATTCTATAGAATATCTAAGCAGAGTTAGTATTAAATTAGACTTAAATTAAACTAAAAGAAGTACTATATCTAAAAGTAAGACTTACTGTTATCCTTATACAGAGTATAGAAAACAGAATTAGTATAATTTTAGTTATACTAAATTTTAGGAATCTTATTCTTAGGAGGATAAAGGACTATCTCTGCTATATACTTTATATAAGTAGTAAAGAAAGAATATATAAAGAGAGTATAAAAAGGATAAGAATTATTACCAGACTTATTATCTTCTAATAGTCTATTATTACTATTATCTCTATTATCTCTATTATCTCTAGCAGAAGTAGAAGAAGTATAATCCTTATCTTTTATATAACCTTTATCTTAATAAGTAGTATTCTTAGTATCTCTAGAAGAATCTATAACTATAATTAGAGTACCTATAGTACTAGCAGTAGTAGTAGTAGCTAATATAGTAAAGAGATAATAAATTAAGATTAAGAAAAAAATAGACTATAGAGAATAAAGATAAGAAAAAAGTAAGGATTAAAAGAGCTATAGAAGAAAGCTTTTATTATAGAGATAATAAAGAGAGTATATTACTCTATTTATATCTATATATAAATATACCTAAATTAGGATAAGCCTAGGAGCCTTTAACTAAGGTAATACTATTAAGTTTAGATTATTTAATCTAATTCTTATCTTTATTAATAGCTAGGCCGGCTATTACTTAGAGAGAAGGATAAATTATTATAGGATTCTGAGTATATAATACCTTAGATACTTAACGCTGATCTAAAGCTGAATCCTCTTTAAGTTATCTGTATATTAAGGCCTATCTAAACCCTAATATATTTAAGATTCGATAAGTATTCAGAATTCTTAATCTCTTTAAGAATTAGTCTGTATATTAACTGTCTAATCTGATCTCTACTATCTGATATCCTTGCCTAGTCACAGGTCTCTAGCCTGACAACTTAGTAACCATTACACCCTATATAAAACCAATACTAATATACTATACCCTAATAAGATATTTAATATAAAATATCAAAATAAGCTACTATATCTAGAAGATAAAGATATAGAGATAAATAACTGGCATAAAAGATTAGGCTATATTGGTCCTAAAGCCCTTAAATATATACTAAGCAATATTATAAATATAAAAATATCAGACAAATATCTATATAAAATAGTTAAAAACTATAATATATACTATAAGACTGTAAAGGTCTTACTAGGCTTAGGGGAATATAGATATAAGAGGAATTATTATAGATAGTTGATTACTGAGTAATCAATAAGATTAAGGACTTAGTTGCTTGATTATAGAGGATTCTGATTATTATATATATGTTCTAGGTGTGTTGTATTGTATATTTCTTTAGGGAAGAAGGCCCTATTTAACCTTAGAATAATTATACCAGATAGCTGGTTATCTAGCTATCCGGCCGGCTATCTAATATACCGAATATCTAGTCAGATACCTAGTATACTGAATATCCGGCCGGTTATCTAGTATACCGAAGATCCGGTGTTTTTTAGGGTTATTAGGCCTTTTAACTAGATCTTAGTTATATTCTTAACTGGATCTTAGTTATATCTTTAACTAGATCCTAGTTGTATTCTTAACTAGATCTTAGATATTATAGGATAATATTCATAGTTCTGTTTTATAATACTGGGAATAGACTTCTTTAAAAGAAGAGGATAAGTTATTACAGAATCTATTAAATTAGTAGTAAGCCCTAGCTCTATTAGGATCAAGAGAGATCTAGTCTATCCTATTAAGATATCTAATAAGATTATAATACAGACCTAACAGAGGTTAATTCTATTAGTATTACTAGATAATATAGGATTATAACAGTATTGATACTACCCTGATCTATATTCGATTCAGAATAGATCTCCAGACTCTTTGTTATATTAAACAGATAATTACCACTCGATTCTTTGAAGGTTTTTCAAGAATCAGTTTCATTGTCTACTACGTATTATAGCTTTTAATCTCTATCAATCACCTGGTCAACTGGTCACTAGCCAGCTCCTTAGTACCATTACAGGCACCCTCCAGCCCAGACGTGCAAATCGGCTTGGGATCCGCCTTCCCACATTCTCAGTGTGTAAGCCACAGCCTCATCCCTGAATAGCTTATTCAACCCAACATCAATATAAGCTTGCGGGAGCCGAAAAAGATCATGTGCTCTGGCTGGTGCAACGTTGTAGCAGCTGACATCGGAGCCCGCAGCACGATCCCCCAGTACAAAACCCCACGCTGTTCGATTCTGGGTTGTGTCGTAAGATCCATCATTTAAATCAAGGGACTGCTGTGCCGAGACGGTTGTGTTTCGGTCGTCGAGCATCGGCCCGGAAAGAAGCTGCCCGCATAACTTGGGTGCTTGTTGATCTCTTGCCATAAGTACAGTGCCTGCTGCTAGTCCACCGCCAGCTGACCCCCCCTACAACCAACAAACGGTCTTCATCAATACCCAGCTGATGCGTGTGACTCCCGATCCACACTAAAGCTGCATAGCAATCTTCAACCAGGCCGAGGTCCTGGTGCCTAAGGGGCAAGACGATAATCAACACTTATGACGACTGCATTAAGTTCTGTAATCATATCGCTAACAATGTTTAACCCATTGAAAGGGTTTCCACTTATCATAGCACCACCATGGAGGAAGAGTATGCCAGGGCAAAGGTCAGAGGATGATATTGCGGACTTTGGTCGTAAGATAACCAAAGGGATATCGCCACGGGGACCATTTATTTGCGACGATTCAATTTGGATATTCGGATCTGAGAGAATTGCATCGGTAGCCGGGGCAAGACTCTCCAAAACAGCTTCGTGAAATTGAGATATTTCATCCGAATTCGTTGGGAAATGCATTGGTGGTAATTTGGAAAGGATTTCTGCTATGCCAGCATCCAACGGTGGTCGCGATAGTGCTTCACCAGACATTTGGGCGGAAATGGCTGATCAAAAACCCCAAAAAATGAAACAGAGATATTTGGCGAAGACGTGATAACAATATGTGCGAGTAAGGACGTCTATAGCATAATTGCAGGTCTTCAAGGCAACCTTATTGGTTTTGATGAAATCAAGTGTGCTGTGGTCAAAGTGTCTCCGCGTGCGGTTGGAGATAAGCTCGCGGAGGAAGGGATTCTCGGGCCCGCGGGGCCTGACGGGAGCACTGCAGTAAAGCAACCAATACCCCATTACAACGAACCTATCTCAAATCCAAACAAGGCCATATAACTAAAAAGCGTAACTATAATAACTACCGGTGGGATAGCTGTGGCTTGTGATAGAGTTTCAGACTTGCCCAACTCCACATCTGCAACTAGGGATTTAACTTCGACAATAATTCAAGAAGAGATAATATCGGGAACTGTTATAACTACAGCCGTGGTAGTCTTAGCCTAGGGAGGCTATATAATAATGAATTATTAATCCATCGTATTCTATCCGATAATACTTTATCAGAGCTAGTCCTATTGGGGATAATGGGTTGTTGCTTACACTTTCATCAAGAGAAAATAGTAATGAGGTTGCTATCCCTTGAGATGTTTCTGATTCACCTACACTCATTGCTGATGGGAAATCATTCAGTGCGAGTAGAGAATTTAATAGTGGTGGTTGTGGTTGTGACCTATGCATATTTAGTTTGAGTGATACGATCTCTGGCTTAAACAATACCTTGATCTCAAGCTCAATTTCTTCATGTCTGGACAAAATTGTCAATACCATAAGTCCTGGGATTCTAGGGTGCAGATAGTGAGATAAGTTCGCATTTAGGGTCTGTTAAATCAGCGCTCAAAAGTTTAGATCGACTTCTAAGCCCTATAAGAAAGAACTTATAGTCACATTGCTCTAGAATCAAGCTACAGAAATCGAACTTACAACAAATAGTCTCTGGGTAATATGTGATGCTTATCATGATCTGGAAAGAATTTGTGATATTCTGAGCTCGATCAAGAAGCTGTTGAATGGCCCCCTGGTGCTTTAAGACACCGCCGCCGCCGCTCAGAATGTCAATAAATATTGGCTTCGCTATGTAGCGACAAGTGGTAGAATCCCCCGGCCTTGGGAAAGAAATATCCAGAATATCAAACCAGTAGCAACCACGGCCACGGCCACCCTCATAAGCTCAAGAAACCCGAGCCACTTCCGAGGCATGTACAGCTTCAATTTCAACTGAATCAGCGACAGTTCCCTCTTCATACCTTATTGTAACAAAGCGCGGCACATCTCCGAGTTCAAGACTTTTGTTGATGACGTCGATAGTGGCGCTGGACATCAAATTGCAGGGTTAGAAGTCGATCACCAAGCCTATCAGACACAGCTCACAGCGATCTAGGCTGCTACATCGAATCACTTTCTTTCATCAGAGACGTCGTTCATCCTATACCTTTGAGTGAAATGGATTCGGACGAAGATTGAGAAGAAGAAACGTCTCTATGAAATTGAAGATGGGGCACAGTCAATAAAGAACTTTATTTCACATAAAATACTAAATACTATGTTGATCTACAGCAACTACAATAATTGATGACCTGGGGGTATGTATATATACAAAATCGTGGGGTAACATACCATACATACGTACAAACATACTGTATGTACCAAGTTCTCCGGCCAACTCCGCCTGGACCAATCACAATGCAAGTCATTCGCCTTACCCGCGTTCCTCGGCATGACCGGTCACATTCCCGCCTTCTGATTCCGCCACTGGCCCCCGCCCTCCATCTTAAAAATCTCTCCTTCTCCTCTGTATCCCCAGCACAATCAATCCTGGGCTCAATTCCCCCAAACACCCAAAATGTCCTTCTCAAATCTTGTTTCCGACATCGCATTTCGCGACTCAAACGCAGATGAGCGTGGTTCAACAATCTCCCATGCCCAGTCACGCGCTGCTCGATCATACGCCAGCACCACAGCCACCAGTGTCAGCATCTCTGGAGATATCTCCAGCCAACTCCATGCTGGATACAGTCACCCACTGAGCCGATCATGGCAAGCAGAGCGCCAATTGACAAAGGTACACCACCACACCACACCAAGACCACGGGAAGGAGAGAACCCACCCAGAATCCATCCCAAAATGCCTCGCGCCTCATTCATTCAATAAACCACCCTTACTAACAACCCCCCAGGAAATGCTCATCTACCCGCTCTTCATAACCGACAACCCCGACGAAGAAACACCAATCCCCTCCCTCCCAAACCAATACCGCCGAGGCGTCAACAAACTAATCCCCTTCCTCGCCCCTCTAATCCGCAAGGGCCTAAGCTCAGTAATGCTCTTCGGCGTCCCCTTACACCCCTCCGCAAAAGATGCCCTCGGCACATCCGCCGACGACCCCTCCGGCCCCGTAATTTCCGCAATCCGACTCCTACGCACCCGATTTCCAAAACTCTACATAACAACCGACGTCTGTCTCTGCGAATACACATCCCACGGCCACTGCGGTATCCTCCGCGAAGATGGAACCCTCGATAACGCCCAATCCGTCGACCGAATCGCAGACGTAGCTCTCAGCCTACGCAATCGCAGGCGCACACTGCGTCGCACCATCAGACATGAACGACGGACGCGTCCGAGGAATCAAACTAAAACTCATCGAAGCAGGCGTCGCCCACCGCGTCCTCCTCATGTCCTACTCTGCCAAATTCAGCGGATGTTTGTACGGCCCCTTCCGTGATGCGGCAGGCTCTTGTCCCAGTTTTGGCGATCGGCGGTGCTACCAATTACCCCCCGGCGGACGGGGACTGGCGCGGCGCGCGATTGTTCGCGATATGAACGAGGGGGCGGATATTATTATGGTTAAACCTGCTAGTAGCTACCTGGATATTATTCGGGATGCGAAGGATCTAGCGCAGGATTTGCCTGTTGCTGCTTATCAGGTTAGTGGGGAGTTTGCTATGATTCATGCAGGAGCCAAGGCGGGTGTTTTTGATTTGAAGAGTATGGCTTTTGAGAGTACTGAGGGGATTTTGAGAGCTGGGGCTGGAATTGTGGTCAGTTATTTTACGCCTGAGTTTCTTGATTGGCTGTGAGATGTGGCCGTGGCCATGGTACTTCTAATATATGCATTTGGCATATCGACTGGGCTGGGCTGGGATGGAACGAATGAACAGCACAACACTACCCAACCCAACCCAACCCAACCCATTCATAATTCCCAACAACAAAACCAAGATACCCACCATATGACTTTTTATTATTTACGAGCCGGTTGTATCTACAATTCATCCCCTCTCTTCTCTTTTCTTCTGTTCTCTTCTCTTCATTTCTGTTCTCTACTTTGGCATTTCGGCATCTCGGCATATTCAATGGCAATGAAAATAAAAGCTTGAACATCATTCATATTCACATTTGTAGATATATACTGACTTAGGTATTGCAACAAGGAAAATAGTAGAGAATGAAGAATGAAACAAGCATAAAAATAACAATAGGGGAACAATAGGGGGTGTAAACACGACGTCAAATCGCCTAGATGGGTGTCACAGATAAGAGAAACAAAATCGAACATCCAAGGGTATGTATGGGCCACTGGTTACATCGGGCACATCGCATCGCATCCCTGGAAAAAAAAAGAAAAAAGAGACAAACATGTAGAAAAGAAAATCAAAACAATATTGGGGGGAATCACACCCCCTCCAGGGGGGGTTTCCTCATTAGCACTTCTTTAATCTTCACTCCATTCCACTTCACATCACCTCATCCCATCTCACATATAGCTAGGCTTAAACCCCTGAAAACCATAAGCAACAATATGAGTCTTAACCACCTCCCCAGGCGCAATATAAGCCCCACGACCCAGATGCACACCAGGATAAATCGTACAACCAGCCCCAAGATAGCAATCCTCTTCAATAGTAACCGGTCTCCCCTGGTATCGACTCTGCGATCCCTTGCGTTCCTGCATACTAGAATGAGCCATAGAACTGAGCAAAGTAACATTCGGCCCAATCCAAGTATGAGCCCCGATATTGATAATGCAGTCATCCACAAACAAACAACCTTGGGAAATCATCACATCTTCACCAATGTGGATATTATACCCGTAGTTGCATGTGAACGAACTTTCGACAACGGCACCTTGACCGATCGAGCCAATGGAGCGAGGGGCACCAGACATGCCGGACGGCGAGTTGGTAACGGAGTCAGAAGGGGGAACGAGAATCTCCTTCAGCAGACGATTTTGCTCTTTCGAGCTTAGGCCGTTGACGGGGTTGCAGGCGTTATTGAATCGCCACAGCGCGCGACGACATCGATCGCGCTCTTCGACTAATTGCACGTCGAAGGGACGGTAAAGTTCTCCTCGGATCATTTTCTCTTTTTCGGTCTCTTCTCCGGAAACCGCGCGGCCGGAAATTTGATGCTCGATGCTCAGGGCCATTCGGGCTTGTGCTTGCGGGCTGTTTGTATCCATTGGCGCTGTGGGCGGGAGTGGTGGTCGTTGTTGTTGTTGTTGTTGTTGCTCGACTCCTCCGCCTTGGAATAAAGGCATGCTGGGTTTGGGATGGGGGCCTGGTGGAACTTCGCGGATTGGGGGTACGACTGCGTAGTCTGGTTTCGGGGGGCCTTCTCGAGGTGGCATTTCGTGAACGGGTGGAACTTCTCGATAATCTGGCTTTGGGATGTGCTCGGAGACGTAAGCGGGCTGGGCTGCACCGGCCCATCCTCGTTTCGACCATGACGCATGGGTGCCAGTTGGGCTGGTGGTATACTGCTGTTGCTGCGGCGGCGGTGGAGGCGGTTGTTGTTGCTGCGGTTGTTGCTGCGGTTGTGGCTGTGGTTGTGGTTGCGGTTGCGGTTGCGTCTGCTGTGGTAGAGGTTGTGATTGTGGTGGAGGGGGTGGATGTTGGTGTTGGTGTTGGTGTTGGTGCTGGTGTTGTTGTTGGGCTGACCGCTCCCCTCATCGACCACCGCAGGTCGCATCTTGCGTTCCGCGTGTGCGTGTTCGACTATTCCCGCCGGCCGCTCGTGATGTTGGAGAGTTTCTGGTAGATACTGACCACCAACCTCGGCGTAGCCATCTTTAGACTGCAATGGAACGGGACCTTTGGCACTGGAAGGCTTCTGCCACATACTCCGCGACGTGTAACCTTCACATAGAAAGCCTCCACGAATGCAATTGTTGCCTAATATGCTTTGTTAACAATGAACCCTTCACAATCCCATTGCCTAATGAGATCTCTCATAAGCAGTATCACTTACAGGCAGGGTGTTGTTCGTCGCATTTCTTTTTCCGCCGGCGACATGTCATACAGCCGGTCTTGGTTCGATTGCTGAAGACGCGTTTCCTCTTTGGTGCCACCTGGACGGCAGCCGGCGAACGGTCCGATGGATATGTCGAAGAATTTGGCGGTCCAATCGATGATGAGGGGAGGAGGCGAGTGCCTAGGTCCCGTTCTTGACCTTGTGCTTCACGTTGCAAGGCATCCGCCAAATGAGCATCGGACGGATCGAACTGCTGGGCGCGTTGTGCCTGACTGATCAACTGGGAATCATAATCGGGCCACGGCCCCGTGGAGGACGGTGCATCATTGGTATCGGATCGATGGGCCGATGCAGGTCCAGCATGGGATGTTTCGAACTCTGAGATTGAGCCCGAGCCCGAGCCGGACACTGACCCCGCTCCATTGGAAGCGGGCGGGCCGTCGACATCGACGGGACGATCTAGAGGGCCACGGTTGAAACCCGACAGATCGCGTGGGGAATGATCTTGCTGCTCCCTGGATTCAGATCGCTTTCGCTTGTGGTGATTGGGGTTGGGGTTGGGTGATGGTGATGGGCGTGAATTGCCGCTGCCGCGATCGTGGTCCTGGCGCTCAGCCGAGTTGGAGTGTCCCAGTCCTAGGCTTGGTTCTCTCGGGCCGGACGATGAATCATGATCGCTGTTCCCGGGAGGTTTTGACGACGATGGACCGGATGCTGATTCCCTTCCATTTACCGCAGTGAAGCGCGAGGGACTGTGGTCGGAACCGTTCTCGTGGTTGCTCATCACGGGGGCGGTTGCGACGGCCGTCATGGTCCACTCTCTCTCGCGCGCGCGCTCTGCTCTGCTCTGCACACTCACTCACTCCCTCTTGTCCCCGCACAACAAGTTATGGGAGGGGGGGGGATCTCGGAAGTGACCGAGTCAATATGGTATGAAAGTCAAGAGGGAGGGAGAGGGATGGCAAAGGTAGCCTCACAAAGCCCGAATAGAAGCAACCGCCCAGAGGCGCCGAAAAGCGGCAACGGGGGGGAAACCCCGGGCGTCGCAGGATGCGCTTGAGGCCGAGCTGAGATGGTCAATGCACCCCAGTAGAACCCAAAAAAGGTTTTTTTTTTTGTTTTTCCTTCTTGACAACAGATGTGTTTTTTGTTATTCCCTTTATTTATTTTTGATGTTTCTGAGGGGAAAGGGTTCCTTTTTTGCTCCGTGTTGTTTTGTATGGCGGATGATTCTACACGTTCGCCCGGTTAAGGGGGAAATCGCGGTAACCTCGCCTGGGTGGGGCGAAGCCGAGCGGATAGGTTCAGCGCCAAATAATGGGAATCAACCAAGATCAAAGGAAAGGATAAAAGGATGAGATATCAGAAATGTAGAGAGTAGACGCCGGATTCTAATATAGAGAGTATAGAGGGGGAAGTGGGGAGGAGAATTATAGAAGAAGAAAAAAGAGAAGTGAAGGGGTGGGGGGAGAGGAGGGGAGGAGAGTAAGATAGGAAGAAAAGGTATGGGGGAAGAGAAGAGAAGAGAAAGAGAGAAGAAGGGAATTGAATCAGAGGGAGAGGGTGGAGTGTAGAACGAGGGAGAGTAGGAGAAGGACAGAAGGAAGAGGAAGAGGAAGAGGGAGAGAAGAGAAGAGAAAAGTTGAAAGAAAGTGCTATACCACTCTACCTCACAGAGTCAGAGAGTGCTGGTGACCAGAAAAGTACTTCCGAGGGGGGAAAGAGCTGCCCCCCTCTGACTCTGTGACCAACTCTTAGGCTCTTTAGTTACTTTCTCTCCCCGCCCGCCCACTCCTTCCGGTCTATCCTTTCTAGAATTGGGGCCATGGTAGAGGAGAACCCTCTCCCATAAGTTGAACTTGTTAAGTCATGTATATAGTACTCCTCCCTCAACCACCATAACTCTTTGGTTGCATCCAATTCTTGAGCCATCCACCCACCATTCCCCCCCCCCCCCCAACCCTCCTAAACCCTCCGGAATCCCCTCTAGATTCAGGCCAGACTAATGGCCCCCAGCAGGCTAGCGGGCCAAAAAAAAAAAAAAAGAGGGAAAGGGGAGTTGGCGCGCGAGATCGGCAAAGGACGGCGTCACGGCGGCCGCCAATCGGAAGGCGAAAGCGCCATACGCAGTGAGGTGTGCGCGGGTCTGAGACAGCCATCATTTCCCAGGCGACCGGAGCGACGATGGCGCGCGTTCCCAGGCGCCCCGTGTGGCTTGGTGGAGAAGCTGACCTGCGGGCACGGCTGACGGCGCCAACATAGCGCGGGTGCGGGTTGGGCGGTTATGCATCGCTTATCAGTGGTAGCCCGGGCCTCAGGGGGGAAGGGTGATGTGATAGTGATAGTATTACTCGTAGTGATAGTAATAGTAATAGCAATAGCAGAGCTTAGGGCACTAGTTTAGGGTTCCCTAAATGAAAACAATATTTCTTTTTATAATCCCTAAAACCCTAAGTCACCCTATGACTACTATATTATATTTAGTCGACGCCATCGTTAGTATATACTATACGCTCGTCCACTCCCGCCAGAGCTGTGGCACTCCCGCTCTGCTCCCTGGTAATAGTCTTTATTAGGGCACTTCTTTAGAATTCCCTAAATGAAAATAATATTTCTTTTTATAATCCCTAAAACCCTAACGCACCCTATAACTATCGTTAGTATACACTACACTGTGTACTGTACCCAGCTATGGCTCCCTCTGTCTCGCTGACTAAGATCACCAACAACAGACACGCGCCCTCACCGCCAGTGTGATTCGCTCCTCTAGGTCTTCCTCTTCCCTTTTTTTTGTGGTTTTTTGCTCAGAATAGACCTGGTCTGTCCTTTCTCTCATCTAGTCTCCATCACCTGGAGCTCCATCCAATCATCCCCCCTCCATCCCCTAGAGCAGTGCGCGCTGGCAAAAAAACCCCTCCCTTAGCCTTACCTTAACAGTTCCTGGCCGACCTGGCCGACCTACCCCACCAGGTTTAGTCTTCGCTCTAACATCATCTTCCCCTCCGCCCACCTTCTTCCCCTTCCATCCATCAAATCACCGCCCACCACCGAGCCAACCGCCTTTGGCAGCTCCTGCAACTCTCATTTCCCCCCTCCTTCCCGTGTTTAGCCTCTCTTCCAGATTGTCCGCTGGCTAGCTCTTTGGTGATATCGGCGAATTCGCCAATCTCTGCGGCGTCATGTCTCTTTCCGTTTCAGAGCTGGACAACACTGTCCGAGCCTTCTTTGAAGGCAAAGGTGACGTGGTATGTGACGAGTTCACCGTGACCTATCCTGCAACTTTCCACGGCTAACATCCTGATCCAGCAAAAACAAGCCCAACAATCTTTGACCGAAGTAAGCTTGCCTTGGCCCGGCGCGCGCGCTTTATCCCCCCTCCCCGAACCCCCGACGCGAAGGCGAAGATCCTGAAGATCCTGCCTCTCCCCCGACCCTCGTCTTCATTCCCCCGTCGTCCGCCTGCTGCGGTACTGATCCGATCGACTTGCCTTCTAGTTCAAACAAAATCCCGATGCGTGGGTCACCGTGGGTAATATCCTTCAAGAGGCAACCTACCCTCAAACGAAGTGTAAGTTTCGGAGTTGGCGCTTCGCCTTCTCTTCTCTTTGATGACGATCGGGCTGACTCGAGTTTAGATATTGCCCTACAAGTTCTCGACGATGTGATCATGACCCGCTGGAAGGTCCTGCCCAGGGATCAATGCCAAGGTACCAACCCATCCCCAATTCCAATTTCCCGAGGGGAAATCTTCGCAGTTCTCCTCAAAATCTTCCCTACTGACAAACCGTCTTTTCCTCCTCTACTAAAGGAATCCGCAATTTCATCGTGAACTTCATCATCGAAAACTCCGGCTCCGAGGAGAAGCTCCGCACTGAGCGCGCCTTCTTGAACAAACTCAACCTGGTCCTGGTTTCAATCTTGAAGCAGGAGTGGCCACACAACTGGCCAACCTTTATCAACGAGATCATTTCATCATGCCACGCCAGCCTTTCCATCTGCGAAAACAACATGGCCATTCTCCGTTTGCTGTCAGAGGAGGTCTTCGATTTCTCCCAAGACCAGATGACCTCGGTTAAGGCGAGAAACCTGAAGACTTCCATGACCCAAGAGTTTGCCTCCATTTTCCAGCTCTGTTCCGAAGTCCTTAATACCGCCAACCAGACCAGCCTGGTCAAGGCAACCCTCGAGACTCTCCTGCGTTTCCTGAATTGGATCCCCCTGGGCTACATCTTCGAAACGCCCATCATCAATACCCTTCTCACCCGGTTCCTGGATATTCCCGAGTTCCGAAATGTCACTCTCAAGTGCTTGACCGAGATCGGCGGTTTGCAGATTGGCGCTCCTTACAACTATGATGAGAAGCTGGTTTTCATGTTCACTGAGACACTGACCAAGGTCTCAAACGTCATTCCTCTGACAATGGATTTGAAGGAGACATACGCCCAGAGTAATGGCAGAGACCAAGAATTTGTCTCGAACCTGGCCCTCTTCCTCTCGAGTTTCTTCAGTGCTCACTTGGATGTACGTGCTAATCCCCCCAACCTCCCCCACGCAGTACCTTCGCTGACACTCTATCTCTCTAGCTCGTCGAGAAGTTGCCCAACCAAGATTACCTCACCCACGCCCACTTCTACCTGATCCGAGTCAGCCAAATTGACGACCGCGAAGTTTTCAAGATCTGCCTGGATTACTGGACCCGGCTGGTGCAGGAGCTTTACGAGGAGATGCAGCAGCTCCCAATTACCGATATCAACCCTCTCGTCACAATGGGCGTTAGTGGCCTCTCGAACGGCGGCGCTCCCCACCCAAGCACCCTGGCCAACTATCCCCTGCGCAAGCACAAGTACGAGACCGTTCTCTCCAACCTTCGCACTGTAATGATTGAGAAGATGGTCCGTCCCGAGGAAGTTCTGATCGTCGAGAATGACGAGGGAGAGATCGTGCGCGAGTTTGTGAAAGAAAGCGATACCATTCAGCTCTACAAGACTATTCGCGAGTGCTTGGTCTACCTGACGCACTTAGACGTGGTGGACACCGAAACTATCATGATCGATAAATTGGCCAAGCAAGTCGATGGGTCCGAGTGGTCCTGGGTCAACTGCAACACTCTGTGCTGGGCCATCGGCTCCATTTCCGGCGCCATGAATGAAGAGACCGAGAAGCGGTTCTTGGTCACTGTTATCAAAGACCTTCTGGGCCTGACCGAGCAAAAGCGCGGAAAGGACAACAAGGCCGTCGTTGCAAGTAATATCATGTATATCGTGGGCCAGTACCCGCGCTTCTTGAAGGCTCACTGGAAATTCCTGAAGACAGTCGTGAACAAGCTCTTTGAGTTCATGCACGAGACCCACGAAGGTGTCCAGGATATGGCCTGCGATACATTTATTAAAATTGCTAACAAGTGCCGACGCCACTTCGTGGCTCTGCAGCCTGGAGAAAACGAGCCCTTTATCGAGGAAATCGTTCGCAACATGCGCAAAATCACGATGGACCTTTCACCGCAACAGATTCACACTTTCTACGAGGCTTGCGGTTATATGATTTCCGCCCAGGGTCAGAAGAGTCTCCAGGACCGCCTGATCGAGAACCTGATGGCGTTGCCCAACTCGGCTTGGGACCAGATCATTGGCGAGGCCAACCAGAACGCGGCCATTCTACAGGATTCAAACACCATCAAGATCATCGGAAACATCATGAAGACTAATGTTGCGGCTTGCTCTTCTATCGGCACATACTTCTATTCCCAAATTGGTCGAATCTACCTTGACATGCTGAACATGTATCGAGCCTCCAGCCAGCTCATCAACGATGCCGTCGCGAATGATGGACACATTGCTCCTAAGACTCCTAAAGTTCGGGGTCTGCGAACTATCAAGAAGGAGATCTTGAAGCTGATCGATACCTATGTTGAGAAGTCCGACGATCTCGAGATGGTCAACGCCAACATGGTGCCTCCCCTCCTTGAGGCAGTACTCCTCGACTACAACCGCAACGTCCCCGACGCGCGCGAGGCCGAGGTTCTGAACGTGATGACGACCATCATCCACAAGCTCCACAACCTGATGGAGGATAAGATCCCGAGCATCATGGACTGTGTGTTCAGCTGCACTTTGGAGATGATCAACAAGGATTTCCACGAGTATCCGGAGCATCGCGTGCAATTCTTCAAGCTCCTTCAGGCGGTCAACCTGTACTGTTTCCCCGCATTGCTGAAGCTCGATGCCACCCAGTTCAAGTTTGTCATTGATTCTTGCATGTGGGCTTCGAAGCACGATAACCGCGAGGTTGAGAACACTGGTCTTACTATGTGTCTCGAATTGATGAACAACATGGCCGAGACGGACCTGCAAACATCGGCCATCTTCTTCCGCCAATTCTACATCCCAATTCTGCAGGATGTATTCTTCGTTCTGACTGATAGCGATCACAAGGCTGGTCCGTTTGACCCTACCCTCTACCCTATACCCGTTTATCTCCAGCTAACATTCACATGTTCGTCAATCTAGGCTTCAAATCACAAGCCATGCTGCTGTCTCGTATGTTCTTGTTTGTCGAATCCGGAAAGATCCAAGAACCCATCTATTCCGCGGAGCAGGCGCCCGCAGGAACTTCGAACAAGGACTACCTGCAGGAATACGTCGCAAACCTTCTCCGGGGCGCATTCAAGAACCTGCAAGAGTGAGTCATCCTTCACAGCGGAGAATTCATTCCAAGACTTTAGTACATTGCTAACTGTTATTAATTTCAGCGCCCAAATCAAGCAATTCGTGATCGGCCTCTTCGCTTATACCGACGACTTGAACAAGTTCAAGACCCACCTCCGTGATTTCCTGATTTCCCTGAAGGAATTCTCCGACGATAACGCCGAGCTCTACGCCGAAGAACGCGAACAAGCCGTGCGCGACGCGCAAGCCACCGAGCGCGAGCGCGCGATGAAGGTCGGAGGTCTCATTGAAACCTTCGGAGATGGAGCAAGAGGATGAGCTCTGACTGGATCAAGAATACCGTACCGAATTTGGACCGTCGGAATCCGAATCCGAATCCAGGATGAAAGTGACTGCGAGTTCGACTTCGACGACAGCGAATGACGGCCTTGATGGCTGGTCTCTTTATGAGCTTTGATCTAGATCGTGGAGCACTTTCTTTAGAGCCACACCCCCGAGGGGTGGGTGGATGGGTGCATGCATGCATTTTCCCTTTCTGATCTGATCTGAGATGAGATGAGATTCGACTTCGACTTCGGGATGGCATAACATCCTATGCGATAATTCAAACTCAACCCCAAACCCGAACTAAACTAAACTAAACCAAACCAAACCATTTGATCCCCCTTTGTAACTCTGCTGCACTGCACCACTATTCCCAGTGATCAGGTCGTGTCTGATATTTTCAAGATAGCTTTCCCTGAAACAAAAAGAATTTTCTATTTAAACTTGCCTAGTGCCAAACTTGGATTGCTAGTAGAGTGTAGACTGTAATCTGTGTAGACTGAGTATATTTTAGCAAATATATTCTACCAAGCTGATACTCTTTGCCTTGGGCAGCCACAACTTGAAACTCGGACATATATACATGCTATGACCACACCTGACTCAGAGTCAAAAGGGCCAGTGACTTACTAGTTGCCTAGTACCTCATGAAATCTTTGCCTTTGTGCATATTAGTTACAGCCATACATGCTCATGTCTATGTAAATATATCACTCTCTAACATCCTCCCAAACTACGAGTTACTCAGTCCTATAGTTCATCACCCTACTTAGCCCCGCAGCCAAAGGCGGTGAGCTTATCAATCGCATCATAAGGTCCAACCTCCAAAAGTTTTGCCTCAACCCAAGCTCTCTCAAACCATCCAACCACCCAACATCCAATAAAGCACTTGAATCAAATAAAATGTCCCGATCCCGCCGACCCGAAACAACCCCGCAACTAGCATCCACAACCGAAACAGAAACGTCCCGAGAATCCTCCGCCACACCCGGATTCGGATTCGGATTCCCACAAACCCTCCGACTACGAGGCGACGACACATCCACATCTACATCTACACCCAGTGCAAACGTTGATCCCTCACAATCTGAAAACCGCCGCATCAGATGGAGCGAAGATGTCGTTGATAATGAGGGGATGGGGAAGAAGAGTTCGAAAGGTACACCCCGCCGCACCACAGCCATTTATTTTATCCTACAAAGCAAAACACAGAAAAGAAGCAGAAAGAAAAGAAAATAAAAGAAAAGTCCAGAACTGAAACAATAGCTAACACCCATCTCATCACAGTATGCTGCATATACCACAAAGCCCGCCCCATCGGCGAAAGCAGTTCCGAAGAATCCTCCTCCTCCTCCTCCAGCGGTAGCGACAGCGAGAGTGAAAATGAGGCCGATCGGCGCCGATTAGCCGCGAATCGTGCTCGGGGAGGAGGCCTGCCGGAGATGGACACGATCATGGACATGGACATGAGCATGAGCATGGGCATGACTCCGACGCCGATTCATCTTGCGAAAACCACCAGCACCAACCAGCCAAACGAAAGGCCAATAAGCCTAGAAGAAAACCCAGTCCGAATGCTTATGAGAAAATGCCTAAACCTTCGAATAAACCATCCGCACCTGTGCAGGGTTCTTGATTTGGAGATTGGATGTTGACGACACAATGCAGTACAATCCAATACGATACAATACAATGGTTCTTTGGTCGTGGGCCTGGTTTTGTTTGGCTTCTACTTCCACTGGGAAACGAAGCAAATCACTCATCACTCTGCTCTGCTCTGCTCCTACGTACGACTATGCGAGACTTGATTGTGTTTGATTCCCTTATGAATGATCAGATCATGCATACGTTGACTTCGAGACGGGTCTCAGACCCTCAACCCAACCCAATCCTCGACGCCATCATACAATGCGACACGCATCAATAAAATGCAATGCACCCCCGGCGAGAGCTGGGCCGAGGAGGGACTATGTACATTAGACACCGCAATAATCAAGCATTGCGAAGGAAAGACGCCGAAGTTCATTTCGTTATTATGGTCTAGCTAGACACCCATGGAAACAACAGAAGAACAGAAAGAACAGAACAAGCGTGCATATATAGCTCCGTTCTCACAGTACGAAAAACGAGGATAAACGGGCGAGGCCTAGCTCTGCCTCGTTAGGATAGCTCAGAGGATATCTCATTCAATTCTACAACCGTGACAATAATGATTCAAGTTATCCATATAATCTATAATGTGGGATATTACTTTTAATTCACTTGGACTACATGCAGAAAAAAAAATGAGATGTGGCACAGCAAAGCAACTTGAAAGCAAAGAAATACCGCTGACTCGCAAGATCTGGAACGCAAGAGGGTATCTGTAACACCAACACAACACAACACAACACCAACGCCACTGCAATGCAGTCTAAAATGTAAATACAACGATTATCCAATCCAATCCAATCCAACCCAACCAATCTACCAATTAAGAGCTCACATCAGAAAACTTCAAGCTCAGTCTCCTTTCATTTTCAAACCATCATACTCCTCCTCCGAGCACCAATCCGAGTTTCTCTCCTGTGACCAGCATCGATGGCAGGGGGTAGTTTCCATCCATTCCCATTCAAGTCATCGTTATCAAAACTGCTGTCTGCTTGAGAGGACCACGACTCATCCACATCCAGATTAATGGTACCGCTTTTGGGATTCGAGGAGTGTCGGCGAGATTGTCGTTGAGAATAGACAGGTTCATGTTCAGATTCACGGGCATTGTCCGAAATGTCGAAAATATCATCTTTTTTCGTATTCGCGGTTGACACTTTGCGTCTGCGGCGGGATACTGTTGTGATCAAATCCTCCGAATCACCGTCACCGTCTTTAGACAATACATCCGGCAAGACCGCATCGGCGTCAGCATGATATCCACGTCCACCCGATGGAGTGCGTGAACTGTCCTCAGTTTTCGGTTCCGGTTTTCTATCAACAAACTGATCATCCCCATCAAGACTTTCACGACCGAGTTGGAAACTAGATGACCGGCGATCCGCAACCGCATCAGCCATATCCTTCGTCGAGCGACGCATTTTAGCCCGAAGACTCGGCTCCGCATAGCTGACCACTGCACCGCGACGTCGGGAAGGACGCGAGGCACCCGTCTCGTCAGACATATCCTCCATGCTCTCTCTCGATTTTGCGATTGGGGAGTCCTTAGGAACATTGACGGTCTTGCTCGTGGTCTTGGTCTGATTTGGCGTAGCATCTTCCGTGGTAATCGTTTGGTTGGCACGTTTAGGTTTTTGCAATAGAGAGGGCGGGCGTCCACGAGGTCGTCCGGATGGTGTTTTTGATTTTTGGCTTGCCAAGTCCTTGGGTTTTTGGGGGGATGGCATGTTCTCGTCTTGTCCGGTTTTCTGGCGGGTCTTGGTATCTAGTTGTGAGGCGGTGCGGGATTTCTTTGGGGAACCCAGGTTGGAGTTTGCGCTTTCTGTCGTGGTTGTCAGTAAAGTTTCACTATGGACCATAGTATCAATGGGAATAATAGGGGATTCTTACTTGGTTCAAGAACTTTTCGCTTCGTGGTACTGTTGTTTGCAGATCCTCGCTTCATGTTCACAGGTGTTTTACTTGGAGAAATCGAAGTCTCCTTGGCCAAGAACTGGAATGTATCTTTCTGTTTTTGGGGACTGCGACTCAGTCGACTAAACTGAAAATCGTCCTCCTCAGGAGCCAGATCGAACAAGACATCATCATCAAGACTAAACTTGCGTTTGGAGCCAAATTTCAAAGAAGTTCCGGTATTCGCTTCTGAATTCGAAATTGCTGTTGCTGGTGCCGGTGCCGTTGCTGTATGTTCTTTCTCCACCTCATTATCACTGGAGGTGGCTGCGACTTCGGGTCTTCTCTTTTTCTTGCGGGTCTCGAGGGTAGGGGGGAGGTAGGCTTCGGGGCTCGGCGAGAGATTGAATTTATTATCCGAAGGTGTTTCGTCTGGTCTGGAAGGCGTGTCTTCAGTCGCAGTCGCGGGGTCCAGATAATCCATCCGGGGCGACTCTGGCATGCAAGAATTGCCTTCCACAAGGTCATGAACTTCTTGCGGTCTGCACAAGCATAAGTTAGCGATGGCCCTTTTAAGCCTCGCTTCGGCTGTAACGGCAGACGGAAACTCACTCTAGTGTTTTGCGGGGAAAATATTTGTCTTCCAAGATAGCGGGTAATTTTCCATCCTCAATCTCTGCATTGTAGTCCGGGTCATTCGCCCGCGGCGGCGCCTCTGCTGTCTTGAGACGGTCGGAGTTGGAATCGAAAGATTTATCCTTGAACATCTTCCCAGCTTTACGAGGAAGTGTTCCAAGATCCGACACGAGGCCATTTAATTCCGCAAGCTTCGCATCAAGACGAGCTTTGATTTCGTAAACCCCGTTCTGAAGCGCCTTGGCAGAATCCAATCGCTCATTTTCCTGGGTGAGGGTGATAATTTGGCCGCGGAGTGAGACGTTTTCGCTGAGGAGGTGTGACACTTCTGTTTCTAGGCTGCGAATGCGCATCGATTGCATGGAGTTGACTCGCATGATTTCGCGATTTTGTCGGACGAATCTCCGCTTGACTGAGTGAAGCACGATGGTTAGTCCAGAGGGCGAAAGCGAAGACGGGCGAGGCATGGCAAATCAACTTACGAGCGTCGACTGACTCGGCCGGAGCCGCATAGTCATTCAATCGGGCCATGGTGGATGGCACCGAGATCGAACGCGGACAGGACGAGGGCGGGTGTGGATGGTGAGCTGCGTACTCGTACGGTCAACGGGTGAGGTAAACATCTCTGTTGATGTTTGTCCTCTTCGGGTTTAGCCCCATAGCCGGCTGACTCATCCAGCCCCTCCGAGTGGGTCACGGGAACAAAAGTCACGGGATCCCGTCCCACTAAGATAGGCCACTTTTATTGATATGACGGTGGACTCGCGTACTGGAAATGATTTGTTTGTCTCTGTCTTTGCCTTTGCCTGCCATCACGCATCGCATCGCATTCGCATTTCTTACCCACGCTTGAAAACGCCACATTAATCCCCTCACTACAATGGCCTACTCGTCCCGACCAACCTCAATGCTTCCGGGCGGACTACGCCAACCAGCCAGCCAGCCATCATCGGCGCTGTCGACGCGTATCGCGGCCAAAAAGGCCGAGCTTGAGAATCTCCGCCAGCTACGCGATTTGAGCGGTACCCTGGCCATGCAAATGCAAGCGCTCGAGAGCAAGATTGCCACGTTGAAGGATGGTACAGAAGGTATGATTTTCTAATTTCAGCCCTGCGATTCGATTCGATTCCCTAGGGCAGGGTTGAAGTCAGGGTTGTACCACCCCCGCTGATACTGATACTGATTCGATCCAACCTTATCCAGCGGTTGCGTGCGTCCTTGCCAATTGGGATAATGTCCTTCGTGCTATCAGCCTTGCATCCAGTAAGCATCAGCGATACCCTATCCTATCCTATCCTATCCGATATCCTTTATCCTTATCAGGAGGGGTTCTCGGGGTTATCAGGGGCGTCTTAGACACTAACGTCATGCGCAGAGAAAGCTAGTGGTCTTGACGACGCCGCCGGAGCCGAGGGGGCCGATGACCAGACTGAGACTCGCTTGCCAGCCACCTTGGTTCGCATCCCCGCCGAGTCAAGCGAGAAGGCTGGTGAGTGAAACCGAGTGGAGGAGGAGCAGCAGCATCGGCAGCATTAGCAATTCCCTGCCTCAGTCTGATTCAATGTCCCCGGATCTCTGCAATCCGAGTCGACTCAAGTCGAGTCGAGGTACAATTCTTCCCAGTCCTCTCTCCGCCTGCCACATATCCCACTCCAGTCCAGCTTCGCCGATTCGACTTGATTCCGTCATTTCACCCAGTCACATCGAATGCGGAGAAAATGCCCGGCCCGGTTGGGATGAGCATGCAGCAGCCAGAGGCAGCTTGCTTCAGGTACTGCACTGTCCAGTACTGTAGGTACTTGTGGTTCTGTTGGGTACCTTGGCCTTCTTCCCCCACTTTTCCATCCCTTTTCTACGGCTTACATGTCACCACATCGCCCCTGGGCCACGGGCGCCACGATAACCCTGGGCGGATCATGTAGCGGGTCCTCCTGAGTGCTCCTGGGTCCTCATAGGGTCGGGAAGGATAAGATTAGAGAAAGAGGGGGGGTTTAGGGGGGGTTTAGGGGGGAGCACGACCCAAGCACGAACCTTCCCCCGCATTTGACGGCACTGGATGTCCGGATTGCAGCATGGATTCGCAGCATTCCTCACGTTCATCGCGTGACAAGAGGAGTGACTAGCGTGTTAGCGGGTTAGCGTGAATGTCCATGCAGCTAAGTTTATCGAGGGGACGTGCAGGAGGGAGTGCGACAAGGTTTCAAGACCAAAAATGAAAAACCAATGAGGCCAAGGGGAATCTTGTACCCTTGTACCCTAGGCACATACACTACTGTACGTATCCCTCCTACGTATGTGTTAGACCAAGTGTAGTTAGACATGAAACCGCACAGACTCGCCATCGTCGTACCAACCAGGGAGGGGAGTACCTCGCTAGGATCTCCACTTTCTACGTATGGCGTATGGCGTATATCTGTGCCAGTACTTGTACAGTATAAATTGCCCCCCCCAAGGCACGCTCAGACCGCATGTGCGCAGATGACAGGCCCGCGAGGTCATGGTGGAGCCCGACGATAATTGCCCGTTCGAGGTTCCTGCAGGAATTCGCTCAGGTCCGTTGCTTTTTTCTTTTCGTCGTAAGCGCCCGAACCACGCCATATTCTGATGGTGCAGGTGTGCAGCGAGAGTCAATAATTGGCGCAGTACTGCGGGGGAACCCAGTAGACTGCGGGAATTAGTGTGAGGATCGAGGTAGATCGAATGTATTATTCATGTACTGTACCTACTCTAGTCTCTGACGGTACTCACTGTACCTGATGTGCTGATGTGGATGTGGATGTGCGTAGAGTGGATCCAATACATGCCTTGTTGCCCGTTGCCCACTGGCCTCATTGCATTGCACATTTGCCTACAGGTGTGGCATGATTGTCCTACAGTGTGGGGCCCCTATGAGGTGATGCTGATCGTGATTGTGATTGTGATCGTGATCGTTGGTCTGTGGTCTGTACATATTTACGCTCGTTCCGCTTTCATCTTGACTTTTTCCTTTTTCCCTTCTACTCCTCTAATCCTCCCCACCACCACTACATATCTACCACCACCACATATCTACCACCACCACTACCATGACCAACATGTCCACCGAATGGTCTCTAGACTTCTGCCTCGCCTGTGATAGTCAAACATCCGGAGGCCCCTACTGCTCTCAAACATGTCGACTCGCTGAACTGGATCGTCCAACTGAAGATGCTTTATCTACATCTCGACCAGCCGGCCCTTGTCATTCGAGGTCATCTACCCTCGACTCGACTCGATCATCTCGAAGTTTATCCGCTTCATCCTCTCAAACCTCCCTCTCCTCCTTGAAAAGCCATTCCTCCGATACAACCATTTCCGATCAACTCCAGGATGAGCTACGCGATTATGCGAGTTCATTTGATCCCGTGCGGGATTTGAAGCGACGCCTGACTACCTCTTAATTCCGACAAGACAAGAATTCCCTCATCTCAGCAAATTAATTCCCTCACCTCGGCTGAGATTACTCAATATTCAATACTCCACATCCACTCTTCCAACCTCGAGTTGCTTCTGAGCCTCTCCTCTCCTCTCGTCTCATCTTATCGACTTTACCTCACTTTACCTTTCGGGCACACGCCCCAGCGAAACACAACATTGCATATCTTGGGAGGAAAAAAAACCAAAGGCGTCTCTTTTATGCAAAATGGATCATTATGGGCATCTCGCCCACATCACCTGGCTTGACTTTTATTTCAACTCTATTCCTCACGACTTCCCCCCTACACCGCACCTATACCTATACCCCCTACTTTATCCTACACTGTGATATCCCGGAGTTGCATGGATTGGATCGGATCTAATGGACACCCCCTCAATACATCGACCAGACCAGACCAGACTGTTTGACTGCTATTCTATTTTTACAAAGCTCAGGCCATCGCCGCTTCGCTTTATTGTTTGATTCTTTTTCTTTTTCTCTTTCTTTTCTTTATTTCACAGTTACGCACAGGGAACCACAGGACCACAATCGGTGCAGAATGTAGATTATTTGATATAGCTCAATTCAAGGCAGACGCTCAAAGCAGCGCATCATCAATACTTCACCCTCCACCTCCCCGCCAGATAGATCTTCCTCAGTCGTAGCATACCATGTACCATGTACCATGTACAATGCACATACAGACGTATCATATCATATACATCCACTCCATCCACTTAACATAATGCGTTGTATAGAGTGGAGTGGGCACGTTGAAGACCCTCGAGCCACATTCACAACCACGGCTCCACCGAACGGGTGGATCGTCCTCCGCGATCCACAAGGCCAACTGAAGCCGGGTGTTTTTTCCATTCCCAGTTTCTCCTCATCTCATGGAGGGTGGAGTGGGGTGGAGTGGAGTGGAGTTCGTTCTTTTCCATACCTTAGTACAGTATGTACTACTCGTACTCGTAGATATACTTTGCCCCATCCCCTACCCCCCCAATTGGCGAATCCCAATCCCATCCCTCACACTCCCACTCACGCCTTAGCAACAATCTCGCCCAACGCCTCCGCATCCTTGGGCACAAACCGCACCTTATACCTCTGCGGAATAGCAACAAGACTAGTCGGATCCGAGTTCCCCCTAACAGGATGCCAATCCGCGTCCTCGTTCGGTTCGATGCGGAAACTATTCAGCATCCGCATGAAGACGAGGTAGAGTTCACGGTTGGCTAGTAAGGATCCCGCACACATGCGGTAGCCCATGCCGTATGTGAACATTGGCGCGTCGGGTTGTTCGAGCCATCGCTCTGGTCGGAATTCTTCCGGGTCTGTCCAGACGTCTGGGTCTATTTGGAGTTAGTAAATGGGAGCCTATTTCAAGTTCTGATATTTCGCAATTGGTGGTGGTGGTGGTGGTGGTGGTGGTGTGTACGTACCCATATTGCAGGCCCAGGCATTGAGGAAAAAGACCGTTCCCTTGGGGATCACGACACCCTCGTAAGTAATATCCCGGATCGAAGTTCGGGGTAGAGCCAGTCGGAGGACGCAGAAGTATCTAAAAGTGGTCAGTCAGATTGGGACATTCCTTTCCATTCCTTTCTCCCTCTTTTCACCTACCTCAAACACTCCTCACCAAAGCCGCAACATAGGCACACTTCTGATCATCATCAGCCGAACACATCGGCTCCCCTTTCCCATAAAACTCCTCAATAGCCTTAGCAGCCTTATCCTGCACATCCCCCTCGTCGAAATCAGTCCAATACTCCAAGCAACAAGTGTAGTAACCGTATCAAGACCCCCACTCAACATAGTCAAACTAATACTAGTAAGCTCCTCACCATTCAACTTAGCCTCCGTATCCAGAATAACATTCGCCTGAATACAAGGATCATGCGTTCCCTTCCGCATCCGCTCATCAAGATCCCTATTCAAATTCCCCAAATACTTATCCCGTCGCAGTCTCATTTCCGCCGCCTTCTTCGAATTAGAACTAAACGGATTCAACCTCAACAACGGAATATAATCCTGTAAATTCCCTGTCGTACTGCGGAATTTACTAATTTCTTCCTCGACGTGGGTGATTTCATCGAAGAGATCTTCTTCTTGTGATGCGATGCGTACGCCCCAGTTTAGCGTTAGCGCGAGACTTAGACTCAGGCGTTGGATCATTGGCATTGGGTCGACGGGGGTTTTGCCCGCTTGGCCGTATCGGTAGAGTTCTTCCACGAAGGATTTCGATTCTATGTCTAGGTGTGAGACGTAGGATTCGACTGAGGGGCGATTGAGTGCTGAGGCGGCGCCTTTGCGGCGACGTTTTAGAGAGTCGCTGTAGGGGGATGTGCCGATTGTTGTTCCGGCGGTGTTTGATACGATCTGGTTATAGCGGAGAGGGTTGGTGGTTAGTCCTAAAAACCAAGCCGCAACCAAATCCAAAACTCACCTTGTGAAAAGTATAAAACTCAGGTCTAGAACTAAGAGCCTGCGCATTCTGGCCGAAAAGAACCTTAGCCGAAGCAGCCGAGTTGACCACAACGACAGGAACATTCCCCAACTGAATCTGATAAACGGCACCATGTTTTCTCGACCAGATCCGATACTGCTCCGCAGCGTTGACACGAATCTGAGCCAAGTTTCCGATCAACGGTAAACCGGTAGGTCCCTTGAGGCCCTTGACACGGGCTGAGGAGCGGATGAACTCGTTCAGAATGACATAGAGGATAGGGACGACTATGGCTGCGACACCGAGGGACTGGAGTGGAGACTTGAGGACGTGGCCTTGTAAGGTTGACAATATGGATGCGATGGCCATGGTGAAGGACTAGCCTAGGTAGCTAGGTACTAGAGAATTGGAGAGAGAGAGAGAGGGAGGGTTGGGTGAAGGTTGATGACAGGTGAGGTCCGGCGAGAGGCTATATTCTATAAAGGTTGGCGCCGGCTACACGTAACACAAGAATGGAATATTTCCGTGGGTAAAGTGCGCAGGTGCCCCGGATGAGTGTTGAGTGTATACAATTCAATGCTACCCCACACTTTCTACCCCAGGTGTGAGTGGCTAGATTCCGCACTGTGTGTGACCGGCATCTTGCATCTACCTGGGAGATGGATGGATGTTCGAATGTCGTGGTTAAATTGTATATTGGTAATGTTTTTGAAGACTGAATACCAGGTGTATATTCTATTTGACGAGCCTATACGAAGTATATCCAATAGATGTAGACCTGTAGATGTGTAGCGATATGTCTATGACACTCTCCCGTTTTCTCGGGTGGTTATTGGCCGAGAAACCAAAGCGGTGAATGTGAGGAATTCTTTCTGCCGTTGTAGAACGGAATTTGGCCGCTCCCCCGGAAATCTTGCGCTCACCATGCAATGAACTTGATCCTCCTTGATCCTCGGTCTTCAGGAAGGCCTCTGGTACATACGAGTATATATCGTTGTAGATTTCTATATATATATTGATTCAGCGAGGAGGTCCTCATAGACTCCGCATTGTAGGACGAATGTGTTTCTGTTCTAAAAAAACATTGTGCTCGCAAAGCCCACGGTACACATGGTCAGCAGTTGTACCTGAATGGATGCAATTGAGAACTTGAAGTGAAGCTGCACCAGATGAACCCAGAATGGACAGTAGCCCTGACGGTGCTTTGCAGGGACCCTGGTGCATTGACTGGCCGCTGATCGTACAGCTAGATCCGGCGCTAGTGGCAATGGCCCAATATAGTATGCGCGGAGCATAAATATGTGTAGATATAAATATAAATATAATTTCCTATGCAAATCTCCTATGCAAATCTCCTACTGATAACAATCAGCTGCCTCTTAAAAGGTCCACCTGGGCACCAATGGAGTAAAGCACGGGAGAAAAAAAAGATAAAAGGTCCGGCTCCACCCAGGACACACAGGAGAATGCCCTAATGACATTCCACCTGAAATCCTGCAAGGAGGAGACAAACCTGGAATTGAAATCCGTTCCCACTGCTACGACTACTCGTAATACTCCATGCCTCCCAATTCCAACACCATCCCGGTTTTGAGGCAAAGAGGTACTCGTACAAACCGGTCGGCAGTGGGAAATGACAACATTAAAGCGCACCAAGTGGGTGGATCGACCAAGGTGCGCCCCTGAAAACCGGGGCCGCGATCTGGAAGTGGATCGAGCCGCAAGTCAGCTGCGCATGCAGAGATTTGTTGGGTCCAGACTTACGGAGTACTCGGAGTGTACTATGCTTTCACCTGTGGATAGTTCTGGATGTCTTCTTTGGTAGAAGGGGGGGGATTCGGGAATGTCCACCGAAGCTGTCCCTTGACCCAGGCCCAAGCCCTAGCCCAAGCCCAAGCCCAAGCCCAAGCAAATAGAAATAGAAATCTCTGCGCGGTCACATGTAGTCAGAGTGGAACTGTTCGAGTCCACAGTCGAGCACCTTGAGCTCTGAGCCGAAGATCTGATTGGTGGGACAATGAACACTTCCATCCAGTTTGTGTGGTGCATGGACACCAGTCACCGTCATGCTGATCCACCTGCCAATGCCAATGCCAATCAATGCTGTACCACAAGCTGGAAGGCGAATGACGCAGGCGTAGAGAGAGGCGTGCTTGGCCCCAGAAAAAAAGGGAAGTCGAAAATAGGGCAATAATACTCCGTACTCCGTAGTTGGAAAAAAGAAGGGGTGGGGGAACCAGTTTATTTGGCAAAGAGAAGGTGTAGCGATCTCGCAAATCCTGCCTGTCTGAGAACTTGGAGTCACGTAGTCGCCCCCTCTCACTCCGACTCTCCTCTCTTCTTGTATTCTCCCTTCCTATTTTCCTTCCCCCATTCCTACTCTCCACTCCCATCGCATCTCGTCCTCATCACGACGAAACCCTCCCACAACTCGGTCACCTTCCAATTGATCCGAGCTATCCTCTTCCTTAACTCCGAAACCTCGACCTCGACCTCCCCGGTCATCCTATACATAGCGCCTGGATAATGGCCGCTCGTCATTCGCGCAAGCTCCTGCGACCTCTGCTCTACACCTCCGCGGCTGCCGCCGCCGGAGCGGGCGTTATCTACATCTCCTACCGTCCTCGTAATATCCCCGGTTTCGAAGCACCCGCAGTTCCTCCCCCCGGATATCACGAGGGCAAGCTAGTCCCTCCCAGCTTCCCTCTCATCAAATCTCGCCTCGAACAGATCCAAGACCTGAAGAAGAGTCAGAAAGAAGAAGAAGAGCCTTATGACCTGTTGGTGATTGGTGCCGGTGCTACCGGTTCCGGTATCGCTCTCGATGCTGCGACACGAGGTTTGAAGGTCGCTATGGTTGAGCGCGACGATTTCAGTTCCGGAACTTCTAGTAAGAGTACTAAGCTGGTACACGGTGGTGTTCGTTACTTGGAGAAGGCTTTCTGGGAATTGGATTACAACCAGTGAGTTTTTCCTGTGCCCTGCTGAATTCGTGGCCGGCCACGATTTCCGCTCCCCCAGCCCCAGCGCACCCCAGCGCAATTGGCCACGATTGCCCGTACTAACCCGATGTCTTCTTAGGTACGCATTGGTGAAGGAGGCTCTTCGCGAGCGTCGCTGGTTCTTGAACACAGCTCCACACCTGTCATCATGGCTGCCCATCATGGTGCCGCTGCAAAAATGGTGGCAGGCTCCCTACTTCTGGGCGGGTTGCAAGGCCTATGACCTTCTGGCTGGCTCCGAGGGCATTGAGAGCTCTTACTTCCTGACCAAGAGTAAGGCCATTGACTCTTTCCCCATGCTGAAGCGTGAAAATGTGCTCGGTGCCATGGTCTACTACGATGGTGCTCACAACGATTCCCGCATGAACGTTTCCCTGGCCATGACCGCCGCCCTCTACGGTAGTACCGTGGTGAACCACATGGAGGTCACCGGTCTGACCAAGGACGCGGATGGCAAGCTGTGCGGTGCCGTTATGAAGGATGTGATCCCCGGCAAGGATGGCAAGGAGAGCGGAGAGTTCAAGATCCGCGCCAAGGGTATCATCAATGCCACCGGCCCCTTCTGTGACTCCATCCGCAAGATGGACGAGCCCGATACCAAGGAGATTGTTGCGCCCAGCTCCGGTGTTCACATTATCCTCCCCGGTTACTACAGCCCTTCGAACATGGGTCTCATTGACCCGTCTACCTCTGACGGCCGTGTCATCTTCTTCCTTCCCTGGCAGGGCAACACCATCGCCGGTACCACCGATGCCCCCACCGAGATCACCGCCAACCCCGAGCCATCTGAGGAGGATATCAACTGGATTCTGAAGGAGATTCGCGGTTACCTGGCTTCCGATATCAACGTGGAGCGTGGAGATGTCCTGGCCGCTTGGTCCGGTATCCGTCCCTTGGTGCGCGACCCCAACAAGAGCAGCTCCCAGGCTCTGGTCCGCAACCACTTGGTCTCCGTCTCTTCTTCCGGCCTGTTGACCTGTGCCGGTGGTAAGTGGACCACCTACCGCCAGATGGCTGAGGAGGCTGTCGACGAGGCTATCAGCGCGTTCAAGCTGAAGCCCCGCTCCCTGACCAACATTCCTGATATCAGTGGTGTTGGTGGCAGCGGCCTTGTGGCTGACGGTGCCACCCTGAACGGTAGCTGCCAGACCCACCAGGTGCGCCTGATCGGTGCCCACGGTTTCTCCAAGACTCTTTTCATCAACCTGATCCAACACTTCGGTCTCGAGACCGACGTCGCTAAGCACCTCACCGAGTCCTACGGTGACCGTGCCTGGCAAGTTGCTGCCCTCTCCGCGCCGACCCACGAGCGTTTCCCCGTCCGTGGCTGCCGTATCTCCCCCTGTACCCATTCGTCGATGGTGAGGTCCGTTATGCCGTCCGTCACGAGTATGCTCAGACTGCCGTCGACGTCATTGCTCGTCGTACCCGTTTGGCCTTCCTGAACGCCGAGGCTGCTCTGGAAGCCCTTCCCCAGGTTATCGATCTGATGGGCGATGAGCTGAACTGGACTCCTTCGCGCAAGGATGTCGAGTGGAAGGACTCACTCAAGTACCTGGCCTCCATGGGTCTCCCCAAGACTTTCATGAAGCTGTCCCGGAAGGAGGTGCAGAGTGGCCGTGTGATGGAGCTTGATGAGGAAGCATACAAGAACTTCTCTCGTACTGGTGAGTTACCGTCCCCCTTCCGTAACTATGAACACTGCTAACCATCCCCAGAACCCCCTGCCGATATCCTCGAGCATGATGCCGTTGTCACACCTGAGGTCGTCTCGGCGGATGCTTCCAAATAGATATTCTCTTATATATAAACCCGACTTGTACAAATAGAAATGTTTCCTTAATGTTCACCTGTGTTCACCTGTGGTTTCCCTCTCTCTAGGCCATTTTATATGCAACGGCAAGTGCGCCTCTCTCCGTTGGTGTTGACCACCAAAAAAGTATGACCGCTCAAATGTGACTTCCCCGTGGGATTTCTGTCTTCCAACTACACACCTCACCTTTTAGCCCCCCCAAATTCCTTATTCTTGCAATGACATCGATAGTCCAGTGGGTGTACAATACCCCGCGCCAACTCGAGGCAAATGAGATCGACAGTGTGGATGTCAAACCGACAGATTTCCCGGCCGAGCAAGACCCATTCGGCGATGAACGCGAGGAGACGGTGAAGTATAAGACCATGACATGGTGGTGAGTGAGATCTGATCTGATCTGATCACTTTGTCATGCCTCTCCTCTCCATCGACTTCATTGACATTGATCTCCGTTTCATCCAGGCAAACCGGCATGAGTACGTTCACCGTTTTTTCAATCATAATCATCGTGTCGCTGGAGCTGATAGTGTCAGTCATGATCGCCGAAACAATCTCCCTCGGCATCCTCTCTCTACCAAAGGCGTTGTCCATCCTAGGTCTTCTTCCGTACGGATCCTCTCTGCTTTACGCTGTTCCATCCCGCGGCTCATACTGACCTGCCCTCCTCCACAGAGGCATTTTCACCATCCTCCTGGTCGGAATGATCTCCACATACACCGGGTACACAATTGGAAAGCTCAAAACCCAACACCCAGGAATTCACTCCATGGCCGACGCAGGCGATCTACTCTTTGGAAAAGCCGGCCGTCACGTCCTCGGATTCGGCCAATTAGTCTTCTTCATCTTCGTAATGGGAAGCCACATCCTAACCTTCTCAATAATGATGAATGTCCTCAGCGACCACTCAGCCTGCACAATTCTCTACTCATCAACGGGCCTCCTAATCTCATTCATACTAACTCTTCCCCGCCGACTGGAACGCCTATCCCACCTCTCAACCGTGAGTTTCATCAGCATCATCGGCGCAGTTCTAACAAGCATGATCGGCGTCTCCGCAAGCAAAATGGCCATCAGTCCTGTCCCGCTTTTCGCCCCAGTACCGACAGTGCACGATGCTTGCCTCGCGATCGCGAATATTATTTTCGCTTATGCGGGTCACGTCGCGTTTTTCACTCTATTCTCGGAACTCAGGGATATCAAGGACTTTCCGAAGGCTCTTTCGTTACTCCAGATGTGCGAAATGGTTATGTATACGATTTCCGCCATCGTGATATATCTCTACGTTGGTGCGAGTGTCACATCGCCCGCTTTGAATTCAGGAGGAATTCTTTTTCGCAAGATTTCGTATGGTATTGCGATTCCGACGGTATGTGTATTTGCTTTGCAGCCAACCCCCTTACTCTAAGTGCCTTTGCTGACTTGACTTGACTTGATTCGCTCTAGATCGTAATTGGAGGCGTCGTAAACGCCCACGTCGCAGTCAAATTTATCTACGTCCGCCTCTTCCGAGGAACCAATTCAATGCATACCCGATCATTTGCGGCCCGGGCCGCGTGGGCCGGCATATGTGCGGCGCTTTGGATTGTCTCGTGGCTGATTGCAGAAGGTATTCCGGTTTTCAACGATGTGCTCGGTCTTGCGGTATGCTCTACCCCAGTTCAAACAATGCAGCAGTTGAAATCGAGTTTCATTTCTGATTGGTCTTTTCAGAGCTCCCTCTTCGCTAGCTGGTTCTCTTTCAGTTTGCCGGGCTTCTTTTGGCTATATTTGAATCGATTGAACAAGGATATTGCCATTGCCGTTCCGGGATGGAGGCAGAGGGCTTCGTATTGGTTAAATGCTTTTTTGGTGGTTCTTGGGATCGTCTTTGTGAGCTCTTCCACGGATTTCAAGAGATGGACAGTTCTGACCGATCTTGCCACTAGTGCGTGATTGGTTTCTATTCTTCCATTCGATCCATTATTTACAATTTGCATGAAGGAATTGGAGGTGGGAGTTTCTCTTGTGGAGACAATTCGATATACTAGACCGCATCGCACCACATCTCTGGACCTCGTTCTCGTTCCTGAAGGATGCAGGCGCAGGCGCCCTGTGATCTTGTTTTCCTGTGACAGCCCATCCCAGCCAGTCTCTTTCCCCACTTTCTTTTGGATGTACGTAGAAGCAGAGCAGAGCGAAGCAGAGCGAAGCAGACAAACAATACATTGTTGTCACTAGGGCTTGGGCATCCCGATTAATATTAATATTAACACCACAGGTCAAGCCAAGACCCATTGGTAGAAAACATGCAGGGCCGGGATTTGAATCAAGTCGGTCAGGTTACGAGTAGCCTTGTACATAGACCCATGCAGACAAGACCAGACCAGACCGTAGGGATCCAAACTCTCTTTCCCTCACCGTCTTGTCTTACTGCACCTCGTGACTGCAGCTCCGTGGCTTGGCAAAAGAACGCAAAGGAGAAAAAAAACACGCTTGCACCGTTGCGTACTCGTACCACCTCTCTGAGAACCCGCAGAGCCGCTCGCTTGACTCGACACTGACATCACATAAATAACCCGGAGACTAACCCATGGCCGTGGACTATGTATATGCTTGTAACAACTGCACAAAATGACGAGCTTTCAAGACTAGCACATATTAAACGCACACCATAAACACCACACTAGTGTCTATCCTATCTCTATCTCATGATCGTTAATGTAATACTTGCCCTGGTGGCCGATAACTAGTTACCGTACGGCTAACGACTACGACTACGTAGCAGCTAACCTAACCGACAGCCCCAAAACTTTAGTGCTAAATTACAGAGCCAGTCGGAGAATTCCTTATGGATCCATCGGATCCCATAGCTACTAGTACGGAGTACTAAGGTAGTGACTACCGTAGTAAGTAGTAACTAGTACCACCCGCGGCGATGTCACACCGCGGCTCTCTGGTTTAGGTATAACCGGTTCAGTCTGGTTTATAAATACTAGTATAAAAATATGGGCAAAGGATAACTTAGGTATTCCAACTTGAAGGTTTTCTGCGTTCCAGTTCCAACAAGGGTTGGATTATTCAAGTTATTTGTGTCTTGTTCTTGTTCTTGTTTGAGAAAGATAATTAAAAGATAATTAATTAATTTCAAGTCCTTTTCTTAATTTCCCGTACTCCAACGGATATCATATGATTATTATGCTAGAGATTGAATATATGTACATAAGTATGGGCTATATGGATAGATGAATGTTTGTACATAGCATGCATGCCTTTCACTGAGCAGGGGAAGAGAGACCCGAGGGGAAACAAGAAAAAAAAATAGACAAGTCGTCCAGTCCCCGCCCTCCCCAACCATTTTAAAATTCAAATTGAATCAGATCCCTCCCCACGCCATAAATGCTCGTATGTGGAGATGCCCTGCCCTGCCCTGCCCAGCCCAACCCAACGCATGTCTTCCCGATAAGTGACAGGGATGTCAAACTGCCTGCCTGCCTGCTGGCTGCACCTTGCTGGCAAAACGAAAACAAAAACGTAACAGCATGCATACTCGTACCAAATTTGTATTCTATCCCCACTTTTGGCTGGGATTGGTGACTTTGATTTTGAATTTGATCGTAATCAGTAATCGTAAGGCTCAGATCAGATCAGAGGCTGGCTGAGCCGGGTTGGATTGGACTTCTTTCTTTCTTTCTCTTTCTCTTGCCAAAATCTTTTTAAAAAAACTCCCCCATAAAACTCCCCCGTAAAGCAAAGCGCTTGAAGTTCCTGTCCTGTCCTGTCCTGTCCTGATCTAACGCCAATGCCAACGCCAACGAAGATGAATTTCTCCCCCGGTTTCCTTTCCCCCATTGAATCCGACACGCCCCGAATATGCCGAAGGAAGGAGAGTGGAGAGTGGAGAAGAGAGTGCGTATGTGTAGTTGTAGTTGTAGCTGTAGTTATATCGATAGCCCGGGCTGAAGTGGAGTGGTGGCAAGGTCCATCCTGGTCGGGGGTTGCGGTTTGGTTTGCGGTTCGCAGTTTGCGCCATCCGGCGTCGTCGAAATGCAGGATGATCAACATCGTCATCTCTCGACCGCCTCGAGAGATGTACATGGATATGGTACATGGTGGTGTAGGTGTAGGTGTAGATGTAGATGTAGGTGCATGGTGGGTGCAGCTGCAGGATGAACGCTGGACTGGACTGCCTCGCCTCGCATCGCATCGCATCGCAGCGCAGCCCAACAAGCGAAAATAGAATAATAACAAAAAGGAGCACACACGCACACAGACAGCACACGCACCGAACTACCAGCACCCAGCCAGCCAGGCTACCCCAGCTCACTCACTCACTCACCAAACCAAACCAAGCCAATCCAGTAGTGCCGGAGCGTTTTGATTTGATTCATTTCAAGTCCGCATTCGGGGAACCATGGTTGGTATTCCAAAAGCGTGCCACGGCCCGTTGTGCCACGGTGGAGCCGCGGTATCGTTCGAGGAAGTAGTTGAAGAGGGCGAACTCGTCTCGAGTGAGGACGTAGGTGTCCGGATCGCGTTGGATTCTCGTCCATAATTCTGTAATGGCGGCTTCGAGGAGGGCGGTTGTTTGCGCGTCTACTGTGCCATCTTCGCAATTTCGGGCACGTTCTAGCGCTTGTCGGATGGCTGTTGAATCTTTGGACATGGCGAGGAGAGGAGAGGAGAGGGAGGGGAGGGAGTTGGTAGAAGTGGTGAAAGTGGTGTATAGAACAAATGTGCTCTTGAATGAAAGAGACAGGGAGAATGGTATGCTTTTTTCCCTAGTAGATTTTCGTTTGTTGTATTGTATCCTCGACCGTTTTCAAGGGTATCAAAGGTTGTAAGTTGTAGGTTGTGGTTGTAGAAGGAAGCGAAAGTTTGCCGCAGATCAGAACCAGACCAGATCGCAGCGGATTAAAGGAGGGCGCCCGAAGGGCTAAATTTGAAGAAGAAAACGTCTTCACGGGAAAAATGAATTCTGCATGCGACCAGACGGAAATCCGAATCTTTTCAATTATAAAACGGAGCCGAAGTGGAGCAAGGGAAGGGGGGGGAGGGGAGGGACCCAGCCCAGTAGCTCCGAGATACTAAGAGTAATACCCGGGAAGTGGAAAGGACCAGCAGGAGAATAGGATTTATTTTAACCAGGCCCGAGTTGCACAAGGACAGGTACAATGCGGTCTTCATCCCGACACCAGCAGGAAAGCTAGCAAGGTAAGGTAAAAAAAAGGAAGAGAAAAAAGCATCAATGCGGAAGCATATTGATTATAGCAAGTACATATCGGGAAATCCGAGTGAAAGCAGAAAAAAAAAGAAAAACCGAACCTGAACCTTCGAAAGTAAATGGTAAGAACAGGATGCGCACAATCCTGGCGCACCGGGGCCACCTGCAATTAAGAAAAAGAGCAACGTGGTGGGGGTGTGGTTTGCCATGGACGGGCTCGCCCGCGCGGTGGAAGCGTTAATGCGTTAGCACAAGGGCCCTTGGCGTAACGGTTTTTTCGGGCCAGAAAATGACATGCTCCGGCTAGGATCGAACTAGCCGGGGAGGATCGAGACCACGTCGGCGGAGTCCGTGATTCGTTACATTCCTATAGGGTTCAAGGGTCGGACATATCGCTAACAGCCATTAGATTAGTGGCGTGGCCAATCCAACTCGCCTGTGGGAACGGTTGAATGCATGTACCCTCGGTGGTCCCCTCAGTGGTCCCTTCAGTGGTCCCCCCAAAAGGTCCAACAAGTCCGGTGCATCAGACGAGTGGAGATTCTATAGGGCCCGCCGGCCGGGGAGGGATGGAGGGGGGGGGGGGGGACTCCCATGTTCTGACTTGCTTTGTGAGGCTCCTTCAATGATTGCGGTTGGTTTCTCTCATTTCCACCCCCATCCCCAGTGCTGCGAATCATCGTTGCCCGCTTGGAAACATCCTTGTCCCGGGGCAGTAGCCTTGTACATCCGGTACGATGTGGTTCGTTTAGCCCTTCCTACCGAAGGGATCGTCGATGGAGGCAAAGCCTGTTGTGCGTTTTTTGCGGGCCCCATGTATGTACCCATGTGTACCTGAGTCAGGCGGAGAAGCTCTCACACTCACAAGATGAGTTCGGCAATTCGGAAGCCAGTCATGGATCTAAGTGGGTTTCGACTTGCCGTCTGCCGGCGACCAGTACGGAGGACGGAGACGGAGTATTGTGTCAAACTACCCGATGCTCTCGATTTCCAGATACAGTAGGAGACGAATACGCGCGATACGGTGGTCGTGATGTGCTGTGCTCGTCAGCTAACAGGGGAATGCTTCCTGCTAGCAGGGGTCGTACTACTCTCATAACTCGCATCATCTCCAGGCGGCTCCATCACTGCGCATCTATACCCAGCGAAACATTTTGAAACAGGCCAGGAAACACAAGATCATCAGGACGATCCTGATTTTTATCCTGCAGGAAGGCGGGATTGGGATCGGAAAAGATCCTTCTGAGCCGAAACAAAGCCAGACATCCGAGTACTCCGCCAAGGGTCACCATATTGGAAGCACCCATATCCATGCTCATGCCCATGCCCATTCCCACGCGATTATGGAGTCCGTCTTGCGCGGCCAGCAGAGGCTCAGGGGAGTGGGGGGGAAGCAAAGTCAAAAAGTGCATCGGCAGAGCGCCCAGATACCCAGATAGGGATATTGCGCCGGAATGAAAGTTCAACGTTCTCTCCACGTCTGCCGAGCAGTCCTTGATTTTTTTTTCATTTATCCACTTCGCTTTGTTTCGGTTTTTTTATTTTTTATTTTTATTTTTTATTTTTTTTATCTAAGGGGGGGACCAGTCTTGTTTCAGGATGGAAAGCCCTAAACGAGGGTCTGAGCTTGTGCCTGGCAGCTCCACCATAACTTTAAAAAAATGCGTGGAGCGGTGGTATGGTTCCGGAACAAGGGCCGAGGAGCCACATTCCACTCGACGCTAGCGTGTGTTGATACTAGTATTTCTTTGTCTTTGGAGAGGGTCGTGAGGCAATTGGTGACACAGGTCAGTCTCCTGGCGGGAGCCGAGGGATGCTCGGGGAGGAGAATTCGGGTAATCCTCGGCCGAGACAAAGAGTTAGCTTCAAGTTGCGCTGGTGGTATAGTACATGGGCTGGTTGTACGCTTCAAGTTGATTGATATGTATATCCTTAACGGCGAGCACAACCTGGTCCGTACATACCTTGGTATCATATGATTCTAGGGCATAAAATGTGGTTACATGGGTGTGCTCTATGTATATAATATTCGATCCGGATTATCCGAGCTTGCAACACAGCCTGTGTACTACTACAACTATGATGGAAGTAGAGGAATGTTTCATCTTTAGCTTTGAGCCTGAAACACTGCCTGGAGAGCTTGCCAGTGAACCTCGGGTAGTTCTTACTATTCAGTAACTCTCTACAACGCCCGACGACGCCGAGGCCACGGGTATATTAGTATAGACAATTAGCTAGAACGGCGCAGTACTTCAAATTTGTCTACGCCTTGGATATATCACCATTTTAGCTATTCTTCAATTCCATGCTATCTCTATCTCCTCCATACGTAGCATGCCTACGTATAACAGCCTTCTCGTAGGCAGATAATCCCGTTCCAGAAGATGCACCTAAGCACAAAGTGACAATGACCGCAACTCGAACATAATGGCCCCCTACTCTAAACAAGGCCAGTCAATTAGTACAACTATAAGTTGCATTATACATCTCGAACCGCCCCATCTCGAACATCGTTTACTCACTCTTCGCTGCTGACTAATCATATAAATCTTCCCGCAAGAATTCCCCACCAAGAACATCTTCAACGAACTCAACTGCGCCGAGCGTGTTAATTCCCTCGCAATCCTCTACCTCTACAGGATCCCTCGCCATGGTCTACTACTTCACATCAAATGTGGTCTCCCCCTCCGCGTTTATATACGTCGGCAAGGACAAGTTCGAGAGTATGTCAACTTGAATCTCCAACTAGCCCCGCGGGGAAGGGAATATGGAACATAGAACATTCCTAACGGATTTGCTTGACTAGACGAGGATCTAATCAGTTACGGTTTGGACGAGGATGTTTGGTACGTGGATGAACCCAGCAATTGAATCAAAATCCGTGATCGGGATATGATACTAACCACATTCTGACGCAGGGTTGGTATCCCACCTCGAACAAACACATTGCGCCGAGCTCTAACCTAACGCCATGACCGATTCCATAGTTCCACGTTGATAATCTATCGAGTGCCCACGTTTACGTCCGCCTACGCGAAGGAGAAACATGGGACAACATCGAAGGACCACTTTTAGAAGACTGCGCGCAACTCACAAAGGCCAATTCCATTGAGGGTTCGTGTAAACTGCCCCGGGTGCTACCGAGAATATCGCGGGAGAACCAACTACACATCGAAAGAGGAAACCAATGGGGGGCTAATTATCAACGTCACGCAGGAAACAAAAAAGACAACATCACAATCATCTACACACCATGGTCCAATCTCAAAAAGGACGGCTCAATGGCCACAGGCCAAGTCTCCTTCCACAACCAGAAACTAGTCCGCAAGATCCTAGTCCGTGAGCGCGAAAATGCGATCGTCAACCGACTGAACAAAACCCGAGTCGAGAAATTCCCTGACCTTCGCACCGAGAAGGAAGAAGCCGCGAAGAAGAAGCGGAATAGCGAGCGCAAGTCGCGCGATCAGCGGATGGAGAGGGAGAAACTTGAGAAGAGGGAGCGGGAACAGTTGAAGTGGCAGAAGGATCATGCTTATGATGATATGTTTAGTGATGAGGCTATGATGAATAGCAGTAATCAGGATCGTGGGGAGGATTTCTTGGATGATTTTATGTGATTGCAATGCATTACCTATTGTCGCAGGTACATAGGTGAATCTGGGCAAGCAAATGAAGACACGACCCCCTATCCATATACAAAAGCATTGCGATTGAAGGGAATATGTGTAAATACCCAAGGCTAGGCTCGGAGAGGAGTGAGGTTGAACTATTGAATAATGCTTCCATTAGATCTTTATACAGCGTGTTTTGTCGTAATAGATCTTGGCTACAGAGAAACGACCAGTAGCAAAATAATTGACTACTAATTGACTAGTACTTGACCAATAATTGGCATCCAATAATCCCAATCCCAATCCCAATCCCAATCCCAATCCCAATATCCTGTGGCGGATAGATTAATCATCGCAATGCGCAATGCTCCCGCTTGGCAGGGCGGAAGGGCCCCAGCCACGCTAGCGGAGATGTTGACAGCTTCCTGAGATCGGCTAAGACTATCTGTTCGACCATCCCCACCTCCCTCTTGCACTTCAACACAACACCATGCCCGAAGACAATCCCCCGTCTGCTGTTCAAGGTACATTCCCCTGATACACTACACTCCCCTGGGTTTCTATTCGGACTGACCCCGCCCCCACTGCTCACAGGCGCGAAATCCAAGAAGAACAAGAAGAAGGGCGCAAAGGCAAAGGCCAATAATGCCCAACACATTGACAATGACGATCAGGGGCCTGATACTACAACGAACCCAGATAATGACACTCATGTAAGTGGTGCATTTCTACCAACCGTGCCATTGTTATCCTCTGCTGAACGCCCTAGGACGATCCCGACCCCGAAGCCGCGGACGACGATGTGACGAATTCCACCGGCGACGGCGACAACAGACCCAATACAGCCGATAGCAGTGCACCAAGTCAAAGCCAACATGCCGAAGACCAGAAACCTACCGATCTTCCAATTCGAGTACCTGAACACCCCGCGTCGAACGATGCCGAATCCGAAGCCGAACCCAAAGACCGCTTCGACGCCCTGGTGCGGGACCGAGACTCACTCCGTGCCGAAGTAACCGACATGCGGAAATCGCTCGAGGAGATCCAATCGAAGCACAAGGCAGATATGGAGGCGCTGCAGCAGAAATTGGACGACACCGAGACAAAGAAGGAGCAGGCAGAAACGCAATTCCAGAAGCTCATGGAGCGAGTCAATGCGATCAAGTCACAGCTCGGAGAACGACTCAAAGAGGATGAGGTGTGTTGAATTACCACCCCGCGGATACTACTACCCTAGGGTATTGGTGGCCTTTACTGACATCCCCCCAGGAAGAATTGGCCAACGCGCGATCCCAGATCGAGGACCTAGAAGACGAAAACGCATCCCTGAAGTCGCAGCTCGAAACCAAGTCCACAGAACTAGTTGAACTATCCGAAGAATCAGCCGAGAAATCAAAGGAGATCGCGACACTACGAGACCGATCGACACTGTCCCAGCAGAACTGGCTGAAGGAGAAAGATGAGCTGGCAGAGCAAGAATCATACCTTCAATCCGAATTCGAGCAGGCGAAGGAGGCAATGCACAATTGGGAAGTCCTCGCAATGGAAGAACGATCCATTCGCGAAAACATGGGAGAGAAGGTCGCAGACCTCGAAGAGCAATTGGGTAATCTTCGAGAGGCTTATGAGAAAGCCGCTGCTGATCGTGACATTCAACAATCTACGGTTGATGGTCTTCAGCGAGCGCTGCAAGAGATTCAAACAGCGCGGAAGCAGGAGCTCAGAGAAATTGTGGAAAGTTCCGACACCCAGCTCGAAGAGCTGAGACGGTCCCTACGTGAGGCGCAGCAGCAAGCCGGTGATGCGGATAAGAAGTTCCAAGCGGCGCAAGAGGAGCTTGAGCGGGCACGACCTTTTGAAAAGGAAGTCAAGGAGAAGAACCTTCTTATCGGAAAGCTTCGACATGAGGCTGTTACTTTGAATGACCATTTGACAAAGGCCCTGCGTTTCTTGAAGAAAGGAAAGCCCGAAGATAATGTTGATCGGTATGTTTCTCCGAGGATCGTCTTGATATACATATACACCGGGGAATGGAGAATGCGCTAACATTTGACATCAGTCATATTGTAACCAATCATTTACTACATTTCCTTGCACTGGATCGGTCAGACCCAAAGAAGTTCCAGATCCTTCAGCTTATCGCTGCTCTTCTAGGCTGGGACGATGGTGAGTGTTCCCCCATACACATTTGTACACGAAACCCCCGACTAATGCAAATTCCAGAACAACGAGAACAGGCCGGCCTTGCACGACCTGGCACCTCAAGTACTGGAAAACTTCGAGTACCAGGAACACCTCTCCGTACCCCCAGCACGCCAAATCTAGCCACAGAATTCATGGACAACGGCGCATCAAGCAAAGAAACCCTCGCAGAATTATGGTCAAACTTCCTAGAACAGGAAGCCGAGGTTGGCAAGATCAGCTCAATGCGACGAGGAAGTCATCCAGGCCCGCCGTCCCAATGAAGTGAGACGGCATCATGTTTTCATATTCATGTATAGAGAGAGAGCTTTCAAAGAGAGAAGGTCAAACAAATGTTCACTACACTACACACTATACACTATACACAACTATAGAAATCCTGAGGCTCATAAGATCGGATCTGCACTGACCGCCTTCATTCTGCCGTCACCGGTTTCGTAAATTGTGGAACTTTCGACTCATCCCCAACTCATCCATGCATTATTTCTCTTTCGCGCGTGCTCTTCCTTCTTTCTCAAGATCTTTTTCAAGTACAAGCGCAATCTGCTCTGCATATAAAATGTCTAGCGCCGGTATGTCTACTTATACCCTGGCTGTGTCCACACCATCAATCCATTTCGCTCCCCGCAACCTTAGCTACCCACGCAAACCAACACAACGACAACACCCCCTCCAAAACCGAGCAAAAAACCCAATCGAACAAATACTAACAAACTCCATTCACACAGTCCAAAACTTCCGACCCGTGGTAATCTCCGGACCCAGCGGCACCGGAAAATCCACCCTACTGAAACGCCTCTTCGCCGAATACCCCGATAAATTCGGCTTCAGCGTCTCACACACAACCCGGTCCCCGCGACTCGGCGAAATCAACGGAAAAGACTACAACTTCGTAACGCGCGAATCCTTCCAATCCCTCATAACCTCCAACGGATTCATCGAACACGCCCAATTCGGCAGCAACCTGTACGGCACCAGTGTAGCCGCAATCAAGTCCGTCGCCGAGCAAGGACGAATTTGTATCCTGGACATTGAAATGGAAGGCGTGAAGCAGGTTAAGCGTCGGGAAGATCTTAATGCGCGCTTCGTATTTCTCGCACCGCCTTCTATGGAGGAACTTGAGCGGCGGTTGAGGGGGAGAAATACCGAGACGGAGGAGAGTTTGCAGCAGAGACTTGCGCAGGCGAGGAATGAGTTGGCTTTTTCGCAGACTCCTGGGGCGCATGATAAGATTGTTGTTAATGATGATCTTGACAGGGCTTATGGGGAGTTGAAGGAGTTTATTGTTGATGGGGGACGGTTTGGGGCTGCGCAATGAGGATCTGATGTGATGTGATGCATGAGCATGAGCATAGGCATGGGAAAGGGTCAGATAATGGCTTGGATAGATCTTGTGTTTGTTAAATTGCCTTGAAAATTGATCTTGGAATTAATTCCTCGATAGCGGTATATAATTACAGAGTCCAGATTGGCTCCTTACACCCTACCTGCAAACTACTTGCCAATGTACAAACTAGTCATGTATAACTTGAATCTAGAATCCTAATTGTTCTCTACAGGGGTTTTCTAATGTTCTTAGTACCCTGAATTTTGTTATAGATATAGTATTCTTTATTTAAGCTAGTAAAGAGAACAACTTGAAGGCTATATCGATGTCTTGTCTGTATTCCATTGCTTGAAGTTGTCGCTATGTTTCTATTTACCGGGCTCATTATAACTTTAACTTTCTTAAGAATATTCCGCAAGCATATGCTGGACCCTTAAATAGATTAATTCTCTTACTTCTGGTAGCCAAGCCCTTATAAAATTAGCAAAGTACCAAGCTTGACAGCGCTACTTTCATTGCTTACTAGTATGGAATTTTTGTTGTTGTACAAAGCGATATCGCATGGGCTAACTATCAGGCAAATAAAAATGGGTAAAGGTACTTCCTTCTCAGAGTATTTTCTATAGGAATATTATAATATCTGGAACTGAAAATTCAACACCATTTTTTTCTCTAATTAAGTGATGATTTCCATTAGTATTGTGCGAGGCTAGTATATTTGGTTATCTTGCTTATTTCCTTTCTGGGTCAATATTAACTTTTATTCAACCACTTCACCTCAAAACTCTACTTACCCTGATTCAGCTAGTAGCTTGTAGACCATCCCCTCGCATCACTTCAAACCTGTAAAATACATAACAAAACAAATACGCTACATTTTCTGTACTCATTTGTTTCATTGATACACTTTCTGCCGATTATTCTTCCTGGAGGCGGCGCGGGTACAGTAGGTACAGCTCAGACATCATCTTTCTACTACCTATCTCTTCCTATTCTTCTCTATATATATGATAAATGGGTAAGTAATGTCTCTATTGAGGATCATTCCCACGCACTGACGATCAATCGGATTCTACAAAACTCTATTCTGGTTGCTGGAACATTTTGCCGGGACTTGTGCGCGCATACCATGACCCCTTGACTCACATTCCAGGGACCATGTCTAAGTATTTCCTTTATAATAACAAAACCTTGACAGTGAATGAATGACTGTGGGCATACTACATATAACCCCCCCTTCCCTGGAAAATCAGGACAAATTGTTCTTGATTATAACGAGCAGTAGGGCCGGTTCAAATCGATATTTCTTTCCTACCAAATTCTTTATCGTCTAAGTGAACGGCTTTGCAAAAATGCGTTTCGCTCTTTTTACCCTTTCGTTCTGTGCTTTTGTCACTGCACTCACTGAAGAAGATACTCTAGAAAAGTGGGGTGGACCTAGAGGTGGGGATAAGCTTTCCCACGGGGGTAACAATATTGGCAATGGGGATGGCGGTGGTATTAATATTGACACTGGGGGTGGTGACATTGGGAACATTGGGGTTGGGGCTGGGGCTGGGGATGGAGGTAGTTGCAACCTGGCCGCTTGTGACGCCAAGGTAGGATTTGTGGATATGCAAAGAGGGTGTTAATACTTGTACTAATATTCTGATTCATTAAAAGTGTCAGGAATTAGGTGACCAATCTGGTTACTGTGCCAGCAGCAGTGGACCTGCGAGTTTAGTTGGACTTATCCTCGGACAAACTGCGTCGTTAGTCTCTTTTTTTGATCGTCTTGGAATTGCAGACCCATCTGGAAGCTAATATGAAATAGAAGCTGCATTTGTATACCACAAACTGTACCTACATGTTCTTCTCCACAGCAGTTATGTGGAGCATCATGTGTGAACACCGCTAGTGATAATAGCAACTGTGGAAGCTGTGGGAATGTTGTACGTGTCGCAATATGCTTCTTATTCGCCATTCTTGGTTATACTGACTTCCGTGACAGTGCCAATCTGGGACATCCTGTTCATCTGGTACCTGTGTACCTACATGTTCATCTCCACTGCAGCCATGTGGAGCATCATGTGTGAATACTGCTAGCGATAATAGCAACTGTGGAAGCTGTGGGAATGTTGTATGTTATTTATTACCTTTGAAAGATAAACAATTACTAACCACACCAATAGTGTCTATCCGGCATGTCCTGCATGAGTAGCAGCTGTACGACTACTGCTTCATGCTCTGATGGGATAGAAGACGGCAGTGAGACAGATATTGATTGTGGTGGCGTCAGTTGTGCGTCGTGTGCTGATGGAAAAAAGTGCATCGTAGGCACGGATTGCCAATCCAGGGTTTGTGCCACAGGTACCTGTCAGGCTCCAACCTGCTCTGATGGCGTCGAAAATGGTGCAGAGACAGACATCGATTGTGGTGGAGGCACTTGTTCTCAGTGTAGCAACGGGAAGCACTGCCTTGTCTCCGCGGACTGCGTCTCTAACAATTGTCAAAGCCAAGTTTGCCAGTAGACTCACTCGTGAGAGGTAAACACTGATATCTGATATCTGATATATCTAAAGCCAGCAATGTCTTGATGGTGTCTGTCATTTGTTGTAGAGTTTTTCGCAATATGTACTACTTCTATAATACTTAATGTATATTACCATACGCTGAGAAAATCATTGTGATTTGACTAAAGACAATTAGAGATCTATTGTCGAGAAATGCCCAGACAAGAGGTAATATGTCATGAAACCGCTCATCGATACCCCGGGATCAATTCTGATAGTTCGACTTGGTCCTGACCTGCACCAGCCTAATATCACAAAATTTAGGAACGACGCGGGAGTCAGCGTTCTTTCTACCGACACCCATACTACTCTTTATTCTTATATGAATCAGAGTAGTTATAGATACCCCGAACTACTAGTACCAGGTACAGGAACACAAACTTGAAGAGAGGGACTAGCCTAAACCTGCCAGTGAATAAGTTCCACAGTCCCGATATGTGTATAGAACCTCAGGTTGGAATTACTTACCAGCTACCAGCTACCAGCTACCAGGATCGATCTACCCTAAGGCTAGAAGTTAAATTAGACACACACTTGAAAGCCGGAATGAGAATATTATTAACCCCAGTAAAGCTAGGAGGATTACACCTGCTCCCCATACCATACCATGCCTTCAATCCATAATTTTGCAAAATACAAAAAAGCCTTGCTTGACAATACCTCAGCCTTAGCCTTAGCCTTAGCAATCAGCATCAATTCAGCATCAGCATCAGCCAAGAATGACAAGTTTCTCATGAGGGATAATTAAGGAAACTAAGTACATGGGAGAAAAAAAAACCAGATACCGAATGTGAATGTTCAGCGCTGATTGCCAGACTCTTATGGTTATCCCCGGCAAGACAAAAATCCTAGGTAAAATAAAGGGGTGGCCCGAGCCCAGTCAGCCTGGATGTAGATGGACCGGGGCCGTGCTGTGGATACAGAATATCGGAGATAATAACACGCAAAGAAAAAAAGAGAAAATAAAAAGGGATATCTGCAAGGGCCTGCTGGCGTCGAAAGGGACAGGAAGTTTTCGGAGGGAGAGGGTGTGTGAGAGCGAGAGCTAGCCTGGCCGAGCTAAGGGTTTGTTTGATATCGTTGGCGCATCAAAGGCGGGCGGCGCGCACACTTTCACCATCGCGGCTGAGCTGAGGCTAAGAGTACCGCAGCAACACCATTCAAGGAGAGAAGTCAAGTCAATCTAGTAACCGTTCATAGCACCGCGTTGAGAGTTGCGGCTCAGCTCCCGCTCCGCAGAGGGGCTGATGGGTCGGCTGCCACCGGTGGAGTGGCCGCCCTGGGCGCTGCTCTCCTTCAGAGCAAGCAGCTGCTTGGCACGGAAGGTCTCGTAGTGGATCTGGCTGGTGGTCTCGACCAGGTCCTGCAAGTGGGTGCGGGTGAGGAAGTTGCGGAGGTAGACGAACTCGCAGTGAGTCTCGTCCTCGACGTTGATCACGCCCCAGCGGTTCTGGCGGCCGCGGACCTGCTTGCCGTTGACGACGATGGTCTTCTCACTGCCGACGACGGAGAAGGGGATGATCTCCTGTATGCTTGTCAGAAACAGAAACAAACTTGCTTGCTTTCGCGGGGCGGGGATTTATGTCCCTACCTTAATTTGAGCGTCGATAGAGCGCTCCTCATCATCGAGCTCCTCATTATCGTAGGGGTACATCTTGAGGTTGTGGAAGGAGAACTCCTCCTTAATGCGCTCTTTGAAGGCCTGGCGCTCCTCAAGAGTCAGGGAGTCGGACTTGGCGATAACGGGGACGACGTTGACAACGTCGGACAGCTTCTTGAGAACGACGATATCGATGGGCTTGAGACTGAAGGCCGGAATAATCAATTAGTACACAGCGTATCGGCGGGGTAGCAGAAATTCGCGGGAAGAGAGGAACTCACGCATGGCCGGAGGGCTGGATGAAGAACAAGCAGCAGTGGATACGGGTATCTTGGATATAACGCTCACGCTGCGCGGTAAGCTCCTTGCGGAGGTATGCCGAGTGCTGGTCCTTGATGTACTTGACAATGGGGTCCCAGCTGAGAAGTGTTAGTAGGAGTGTCCCGCTCTGGTGTGGGAGATGCGTACCATCGGTCATTGTTCACCTGGTCACCGTAACCGGGTGTGTCGACAATGTTCAGACGGAGGCGAACACCGTTCTCCTCGATGACTAGTATATCCGGTCAGCGATTGATCCAATGCGCAGTCCAATGATTCCTTGCAATCATAAATCCTCCCAGACACACGTACTATGCGAAACAGTCTGGATCTCGGTGGTGGAGCGAACGGGCTCTTGAGGGGTGAGACGACCCTTGGAGTCGATCAGGTGGGATGCGAAGATGGTGTTGACAAGGGTGGATTTGCCCAGGCCGGTTTGACCTGGAGGGGGTGTTAGTTGAATGAATTGAAACATTTCTCTCATGAATCTCATGAAATTTCCAGGTAGACAAGCACCACTCACCAACACACATGACATTGAACTGGAAACCACGCTTCAACAGCTTCCGCTCGATCTGGGAGGTGATGCTGTCGAAACCGACATGGCTGTGGGGGAAAACGGTGGGCTGCTGAGCCGAAGCAGCAGAAGTAGCGGCGGCCATTATGTGAAGAGGGTGGAGGAGTGGTAAAAGAGAGACCAAAGTGACCAGATGAAAGAAAGAAGTTCGATTTCCCCAGGTGAAGATGGAGAGAGCCCCTTAAGGTGTGAATGTTATTTCAGGGGTGGCCCTTGCCTGTTTGGGTTTAGCGTGGATGTGTCCGTCTTTTTCATCTTCAACCAACACCAACACTTGCTACCTCTAACCATTATCACTCCAACACTTGCACACACACCACCATGGCTCTTCGTCTCTTCGCCCCCGCGCCCCTGCGCATGTCGCCCTCCATTCTCCCCTTCGCATTCGCCCTCCCCATCTCCATCACCATCCCCCCGCTCCTCGCCGATCTCTGGGAATCCGTCCTCCGCGCCGTCCCCAAGAAGAAGACCTCCCACATGAAGAAGCGCCACCGTCAAATGGCCGGAAAGGCCCTGAAGGATGTCCAGTCTCTGAACAAGTGCCCAGGATGTGGCCAGGTCAAGCGCGCCCACTTGTTGTGTCCTCACTGTGTGAGAGGTACGTACGGAAACAACCGGAGCCTTGGAGCCATCACATCGTCTATATGATGGCTCACATGATGATCGTGTTGATACCCAATTGGTCCGACCCAATAAAAAGCTAACCGATTTCCAATTGTATAGATATCAGGGACTCGTGGAAGACAGCGCAGACCGCATAAAGGCGATTGGATGATCACGACAAATGATCACGAAGAGCTCGACTCGGCTTCCACGACAACGCGTCGCCGATGACTGAAGCTGAAGCTGGAGCTGGAGCTGAAGCTCGAGGGGGGAAGGAAATGCAAGAGCATTGAGTGTATTTCTAGAATTGGGATGTGGCTACGATCCACTGCATGGCACCTGGCGTTTGAATTCCCGGCAAAAAATGATTCACCTGTGATTTACTATAGTATAGTCCTGTATTCCACACAATTGGCCCAATTGGCCAAATAAACAAAACTTCAATTAAACAATCAATTAAATCAAATCAAACACTCCGTAAAAACCCATAAGATATAACCAAAGCAAGAGTTCCCCACTCAATCAATCCCCCTCTAAATCAAACACTGCGGAGGAGGGGATCGGCCTCAGGCGCAAAGGCGGAACTGCAGCTTCTCTCCACCAAACGTCATCATCCACCAGGAAATAGACCGAACAACCACTCGGAAAAAAGCAGAATGGTGAGCAAAACACAGATACGATCTGACGTGATCTGATCTGAATATTCCAGCAAAACGCACAGCTGCTAATTACCCTACCCTCTCCAGTCACGACAATATCTGGCGTGGGCACCGCCGATAATGGTAGGTTCATTCCACTGCAGCGCGCCTTGAAACATCCATTGCTAACAAAGCCAGCACACCCCGTGGACATCTTCTCGGTAGCCGTAACAGACAAGCAAGTCCTATCGGCATCAGGAGCTCCATCCATCAAAGTCCACTCGACCCTCGACACGGAATTCCCACTGGTGCAGTCTCTCGACGGCGCGCACACACTGGGCTGCCACCACGTCGTCACCGGCGCCAAGGGCACGCGCGCTATCAGTGCGGGTTTTGCTGGCGAGGTCAAGGCTTGGGTCTGTCAGGATGGGCATTGGTCGGCTGACCAGGTAGTTTCAGGTAGGACTCAGTCCAGTCTAGACCATTCTGCCCCGCTGAGAGCAATACTGATATACGATGTTCCCCGCAGCGAATCTCACAAATGTGGATGCGTGGGCAATTGCCTTATCTGAAGATGGCCAGTATCTGGCTGGTGTTTCTCAAGATGGTCATGTCCGGGTTTGGGATCTCAATGATAATGGGACTCAAATACGAGATCATGAGACCAAGGGTAGCTTTGGTACATGTATTGACCTGGTAGGTTCCATTTTCTTTTACTGAATTGCATTTGAGCTACGTTCTTGCAAAGGATATTACATTACTGATGCTAACATTGACCTGACAGTCCCCTGATGGAAAATTCATAGCTAGCGGGCATGAAAATGGCGCTGTTTATATCTTCAAGACTGAGGATGGCCGGATGCCCTTCTCTTTGTCTGGTGCGTTGCATTCCATGCCTCGAGCAGTCATTCATGTATTGGTCCTAACTAAACCACCCCAACAGGCCTGGTCAAACCCGTCCGAAGCGTCGCCTTCTCACCAGGAGGAAAGATCCTCGCAGCAGCCGGAGACTCCAAAGTGATCGTGCTCTACGACACATCTTCTGGTCTGCAGATTGCCAATCTTTCCGGCCATAGCGCCTGGATCTTGTCTCTGTCATGGAGCGACTCTGGCGAGTACCTTCTGAGCAGGTGAGTAGAGAGCATCGCTGCCCCGAGTGACACCACAGCATTTTTTATCAAAAATCAAGAACTAACAGATTCTCCAGTTCATTTGACGGTAAGGTGAAGGTCTGGTCAATCGACACCAAGAGCTGCGTCGCTACCCACTCCGAGACCGAGAAGGCTGTCTGGAGCGCTAAGTGGCTGCCCAAGGCGAATAGGTCAGAGGGATTCGCGACTGGAGGTGCGAACCGGAGCATTGCTTTCTACCGGGAGGCTACTGGCGGTTGAATGGGAGGCGAGGGTATTTATCGACACCTTGATGATCAATAATGAAACCGGTTATCCTGTGTATAGAATACAGAAAATTTCATATCAAAAGGATATTCCTAACGCCAGAGTGATCATATCCACTCCACTCCACCCCATTCCAGTCCAGTCCATTCAATTCATAGTCTCCGCAAAAAGCTTCCTCATCCTCTTAAGAAAAGCGCCAAAATCCCTATCATCATTAACAAGATCTACCTCCCGTTCCAAAGCCTCAGCATCCAACTTCGGCCTACAATGAAAAACCTCATAATCCCGACTAGCAGTACCCAATTCAAACCAAGCCTCAGCCTCCCAATCCTTCTCCGATAGATGCGAATAAACAAACTTCAACCGATCCTCCCTCCCCGCCCCCTCAATCCTGAGACAAAGATAATCCTGCCAAAAGTCCAACTCGGGGTTATTCAGTCGAGATTGAGCATCTAGATGTTTCGCGTGCGCCTTTTGCGATTCGACGCGCTGGTTGATGGATTTCTGCGTCTCGGCAATTTGTTGTTTAAGTCTATCGCGTTTTGCGAGACGTGTGTCGCGCTCAACGGTTATGGAGGAAATTGCTGCGTGCATTTCGGCGGCTTCTGCGGCTTCTTTTTGGAGGGTTTGTGTGTGGGTTTGGGATTTTAGGTTTATTATTTCGATATCGCGTTGGCGCATGCGTTCGTCCTCTATGAAATAAATAATATCGAGTTAGTCGTTTTTGTTTTGAGTAAGAACCCCTCCCCCTCCTATTAATCCGTACCTTGAAGTTCGGCGAGGTTGATGTGGAATTGATTGCGCTCTTCCAAAACTTGTTTGCGGCCGCGCTCAATCACGGCGTCAAACTTGGCAGTGAACTGGGCCATGCGATTGCGTAGATCATCGAAACCGAAGTTGATGCTGGGTAGGGAATCGGCCATTGAGGGGGCGTCTGCTGAGGCGAGGGGCGGGCGCATGCCACTCGTCGAGAGTGAGGGGTCGAAAGTAGAGGAGGCCATAGTGTAGACCAGACACAGTTGTCGGGTAGGGGAAATGAGATTGACTTCTTCTTTGCAATACGATGCGGTGCGATGCGATGCGACTAGGTATGGTGGAGAGAAGTTGAGTTGACGCGGTGTGGATGTGAATGTTTTGGGGTTCCCACCGCAACGGGGCTTATCGATAAGCAGCCCACCTCAAAAAATCCAATCGGGAGACCTCCCCGTCACCTTAAAGTATCCTCAATTTAACGACTTCTACTTTATTCGATATTCAGGTGCATCCACTGGCTTGGATTTGACGTCCTTTTATTGACCTTCCTCTTCTGGGACTCGCTCTGCACCCCGCAGATCCGGACTTCAACTTCCCATCTCATCGACATGTCCTGGCGGGGCCTTGCGCCTATTGCGAAGCGCCAGCGCAAGGCAAGAAGGTCCCATGGATGAACATTCCGAGAGTGCTCTACACTATGGGCACACAGGAAGGGCCATATATGTGCCCGACACGCGTTCCTGGTCCTTTACACGTTCATTTAAACGGCCTTCCTTAATCTCAAATACCGGCTTGACTCGAACAACCGTTCCGTCACCACTTGCCCCAGCCCAACGTCAACGGTTCATCGAGCATCTGCCATCTGCAGGCCAGGGTCTGATTCCGAAAGTACTGCCCGATCTTGCATCTGATTGGTCCTCTGTGCGAAATGATTCGTTTTCAAGAGCAGTCGCGAATACAATCAAGTCTTACGATCCCCAAGCATCTACTTTACTCGATCTTGGATATGCTGATCCCGCCCTGGAGAATCTGAATGCTAGGCAGACCGTTGCTATTGCCGCTTCCGTGACTGGCGAATGCGGTAATATAATTACCTTCCGCGTATTGGAAGAAGATCATGTCCAACTAGATGACGACCATCCACTGCATATTCCATGTATCGGCGATGACGATGGCGATGAAACCGAATGGTCGAGACGAGGAGCTCCGATCCTCCAGGTCTGCTTTGCACGATCATTGGAGGAAAGACCACACTGGATGGCAGCTCGACTACCCGACGTAACAGTCATATTTCGCCCTCGTTTATATCGTCGTGAGGCTGTGCCGATATACGTTCCCGAAAACGACATTTCAGAATTTGCAGTTTCGCGGCGGAATTCCCCGCTTGATGCAAACCCCGTATTGGAAATATCAATTATGCAGACTGGAGGTGCGCAGCATGCTGACGTTACGTTCAATCCTTGGTATCCTCGTCAATTTGGCATCATTGATACCGAGGGACATTGGAGTATATGGGAGATTACTGGGCACCCTCGGAAACGGAAGTCGGCTTTTGCGGCGAAATGTCTGAGGAGGGGCTCGCTGCCTTGGATGGATCAGTTTCAGGATCCGAATGGTCCTCAGTATGATGGGTGGTCGTCGATCGAGTGGGTCGGTGATGTTTCAACGGTCCTTGTTTCTGATCGTCGTTGTGTCATGGTTTCTCCAATTGTCGGCGAGGATAATCAAGCTTATCCTGTTGAACTGGGGTTGACTTTACATTCTGAATGGGTCCTGGAAGTACTCAGAAGTGCCCAGAATACATCACACTTTTTCGTTCTCACCACCACTCGACTGCTCTGGTTTGATATGGCAAATGCACAGCCAAACAGGAGTGGAGATATGCAACCTCTACGGGCTCGACTGGCCTGGCGTCACTTCCGAGATCCAGAGGACCTCACATTACGTCTTAGTAGTGTGCAGATGGGGAACACTTTACAGATCGTTCTTTACTCCCGCCTCACCTCGCTTGTGCAGACATTTCAAGTTCCCATGATCAACGAGGAACAGACAGAGTCTGGCTCTGTATCCGACTCCGTTATGCTCGATATCCCATCAACAATCGAGGTATCTTCTCTCGGAGAAATTTCTCACACGCCTTATTTGACCTTTGTATTCCGACAAGTCGGATATGCTCCCATCAACCCAGCAATTACAGAGTACAACACTGACATGACCCTCGTCAAATTATTCTGGTCAGACTCAAATTTCGCTGTCCACGAAACTCTATTTCGAAGCGCAGATGCAAAGAGCGACGAGCAGGATGAACTTGGCGAGGGGAGCCATGGAAGTCATGTCCTGCACTTGAGAAAGAAGCTACCTAACTTACGTTCGAAGTTGAAAGACGACGATGACGACGATGAATTTATTGTCGATGATTGGGATGAATCTACGGTTGCTCCCCCACGTGCGGGTATTCAGAACAGCTCCTCAAGAAAAGTAGAACCCTCATTCGATTCGCAATGGACATTGAACATGACCACTATATACGAAGCCGTGGTGGCGAATTTGCTAGCTGGCACAAATCGGAGTGATTCCGAGTCGCTTCTACGGCCTACTCTGAGCCAACTGACCAAGGAGTTGCAAAGCAATACGCTGGGCACGCTCAAAAAGTGGAACTCCACTGAAACAATGCTCGAGTTAAGCGATGGCCGGCCCTTACTGGATGATATCGACCAGGGTGCCGAGGATCTAGCTGGACTAGTCGCAACGGCACTGAGATTCCAGGATACCGAAGCCCAGAGAAGCTTTATGGTTTTGCCGCTCCATCTCTCGAAACTATTTCATGGCGTTCTTAACGTACCCCAAGGTGTCCGCTCCGGATTGGATTTCTTGGATACCTATAAACAGCTTGTCACGGATTGGGTCACCAGTCTTCCCCACGGAATAAATGGTATACCCGACCAAACCCGAATTATGAAGGAGAAAATGATCCGCCAAATAACTCTCGATCTCTGCCTGGCACGCCTTATCCGAATTTCCAATACAACCGACCCCAAAGCGACCCAGGCCGGGATAGGGGCCGTCGAATCGACGAACCAACATCAACCTCCCGTGAAACCTACAAAGTCATCTTCAGGAAATGCCATCTCATTACGTTCCTCTCAGTGGCAGCTACCGAGCAGTCAGATATTGCCTTCGCAACAAGACAGCTCGAGTCAGATACCGCCAAGCTCAACACCCTCCGCACCCTCCGAACCCGCCAAAGAGACCCAGAACAAACTATACACCAACCTAGCCGCATTCACAACCCTCCGAGAACCACGACAACCACGAAATGTAGCAATGCTCCTCTCACACTGGAAACCAGGTACAGACCCATCAACCTATGAATGGAACAAAACATCCCAAATGCTAGAGAACGAGGAAAGTCAAAGAATGTCCGCACCAGGGACACCACGACGTAGCAGAAGCCAAAGCAAGCGATCCCGATCCCGATCAAAATCCGTCGTGCCGGAGGCTTCAACTTCGAATTCAGCTTCAGCTTCGGCTACAAATGCAAGTGCGAATGCGAGTGCAAGTGCAACGGCCCTGCCGCCTACCCCCGTCGCACCCATGATCCGGGCAAGGGCAAGTCAACCCAGTTGGACGGAGATGGGGACGGCCTTTACCTCTTCGTTACCGATGGCTAGTAGTCAGCCGACTCTCGACGAAGCGCCAATGACACAAATTGAACGTGGGCGGTTCGGGGCGCGTGAAGGGTTGAAGAAGACGCCTAAGGCGAAGAAGAAGAGGCGGGCTGCTGGATTTTAGTGAAGTCTAAATGCTTGAATGAGCCACATAATAGAAATAATTAAGACGTGACTGTCACCATGAAGATAAAATATTGAACTTGTATGTAAAAATCCAGCGCACGGAAAACTTGAAAGGCTCAGCTCAGCTTGTCATAAATATCGCCGTCCGAATACATGAATTAGTATGTTGCAGACCAGACTCTTCCAGATATCTCAGTGCCAAAAGCCGGTATCAAGCAATAACAACCACCCGGTGCTTTTCGTAGTATAACGAATCAGACGTTGCCTGTATTACGTGCCTGTCCATAACTATAACTTACGTCTAATCCATTTGTACTATAGCCATTATAAGAGCTTCTTTCTTCTTCTTTTTTCCCTGGTTTCATTATTTTTATTAATAATATATAATATTCTATTTATTTATATTTGGAGTTATGAATAAGGAGGTCTGATCTATATATTTGTGGTCTTTAGAGTTCGCAGACCGCCATGCTCCCTCAAGTTTCTTTCCTTCTCCTTTTTCCGAGAGACGCACTCATCTGATTGTCTTGATGCATCGTGACAGGTCTAATACCACTACGAGTTGGAACCTGGGATGGGCTTATTCATCGTTCACAACATGAACTACACTAATGCACCATGCACTGTGACTGAACCTATCATGACTCGCTGCGGGGAGCCAATCACCGGGTTGATTGTTTGCGAGGCTGAGCAGGAGAAGCGCCCCAAATCTGCGATCGATTGGGCCTGTCTCGACAAATTTTTCACTTCGACACTAATCACCCATACTGTGCTAGCAGAATGCTTACAAAATTCCGTGCGAAGCTCAGTCGCAGCAAGCTGAAAGACGCGGACACGGTTGTGCATCGCCCCCACGATGCCAGCCGTGCGGACTGGAGCGACAAGACACGCAATAGCGAGGCCAACACGGCCGATGAAGGCATCGCCGTGAGCAGCAGCGAGGAACCCGTTGCGATACCCGATAATTATGACCCGTCTGTGTCGCCCGCGGCCAAGAGAGACCGTGAACAGGACCGGTTGTGGGATATTGCGTTTTCCCGCCTGGACGACGATACCAAGGCCCTGCTGGATGCCGGGGACACTTCAAAACCGGAAGATGCGATCGAGCAAGTAAAGAAAGAGATCGAGGAGAAGTATGAGGCTTATAAGAAGGGGGAGATGCATATTCGGAAGCGAAACGGATCCTCGTTCAATTTCCGAGATGCCACTAGTCGCATCTTGAGCGCTGTACTGAAGGCCAAGCCGGTCTTTTCGTCGGTCGCATCTTTGGATCCAACGGGTCGTGGTATGTATATATCTCTGAGCAAAGCTTGCATATGGGCATGGCTGATCATACATGCAGTTTCCTCCGTGTGGATGATTATATCGCTGGGACTGACGGTAAGGAGGAGTCGCCAAGCGGTGTACAGTATGTATGTCGGATCTAATCGTGAGTGATAGATGGTTGAAAATGATATCGATCGTCGAGACGCTATTTTCGAAGCATGCGAGTTCCTCGCCGACAAGCTCGCCTATTACTCGATTATTGACGATTATTGTTGGAAATACCAGGGTAAAACTCACGAGAGAATCCGACAGTCTCTGATCGGTATCTACACCGCAATCTTCTGTTATACCGCCGAGGCGAAGAAGAGGAGCAATGAGACTTACGGAGGTATTGTCCTAACGACCAAGATCTCAGCTTATTAAAGTATGTGACTGACAGTTATGAAGTTCGTCTGGTAAAAGGCTTGGTGGCATTGACTGAACAACCACTAGCCCAGCTAAAAACAGCTGTGATCGATCATGGACAGATTGTAGATCGCTGGGTCAATTTTTCAACTTACATAGGTCAGGAACTCCCCCGTGGCTTTGGTGCGGATAATTGAATGGCGGCTGATAGTCAAAAAGATCAGATGGAAGCCGGTGAAGCGATCCTCCAACGCATCGACGAAACCGTCAGTCGACTCAAGGCAATTCAAGACAAAACAATGAGTATGCTGATACCGCATTCCCCCAAGCATTGTCACTGACGAACCCAGGTGCGGAGGAGGAAAGGATTCTTGACTGGCTCTCCAGGGCATCCTTTTCTGATATCCAAAACGGCCACCAAGAACGTCGGGCCGCAAACACGGGCGACTGGTTTCTCGACACAGATCCGTACAAGGATTGGAAAGAGAATCCCGGAATTCTATATTGGCTGCATGGCGTGGGTAAGCTTTGCGAACCCCGCGTTAAAATACATAATTGAATAAATGAGAACAGCTGGCTGCGGAAAATCAATCATTTGGTATGAGCCCTTGCCGTGGCTGATAAAATTAGGATTATTAGGCTAACACTCACCAGCTCCACGATTATCAAGGACATTGAGAAACACTGTCAAAAGCCATATAGCACGCCCCAGCGCCTTGCCTACTGGTACTTCCAATTCAGCAATGGTGAGACGCAAGAGATACCCAACCTCCTCAGGTCCCTGCTTCGCCAGCTCAGCTCAGCACCCCTTCCCCCGTCAATTACCAAGCTTTGGGAGTCGTACAGTCGACCAGGTACCCAGCCAGACCAACAGACCCTCTGTGAAGCTCTGAATGAGACTCTTCGGAACCTCGAGGGCCAGGTGTTTCTGGTCCTTGATGCACTGGATGAGTGTCCTAATACCCCCGGTCGTTATCAAAGAAACTTCGCATTGGAATTTCTACTAAAGCTGCAAGCATCTCATCCGACAAAGCTCCACGTTCTGGCAACCAGTCGGCCGGAGCCAGATATCCGGTCCCAGTTTGAGGGCTGTAGGACATTAGACCTGGAGGTGAAGTTGGGTGGCGACGTTGAAACATTTGTTCGTGCTCAAGTGGCTGGGGACCAATAAAGGAATTTGATTCATCCATTCAGGATAAAGTGATTGAAAAGTTACTGGATACGCCAGAACGGTACGTTCCAGGCCTACTACCTAAGAAGCTCATTTTGATCACATTACTAAACCTGTAATTTCTTGCAGACGGTTCCGTTGGGCTGATTTACAGATCAAACGGCTCGAGGAGTGCTATGACGAAGACGAAATAAATCATGCACTGGAAACGATTCCTGATTCCCTCGAGGCAACATACAGAGACATCCTCAACAGGATGGCAGAGAAGAATCGAGTTCGAGCGTGCAAAATCCTGATGTGGATAAGCATGTCCGTTGCACCTGTTACGTTGGCTACAGTCGCTGCAGCGGTGCACCTGCCATCTCCAAACCATATTATCAACATCTGCACCACTTCTCTTGTCACCGTGAGCACCGCGGATGACACAGTGAAGCTCGCTCACTTTTCCGTTCAGGAATTCTTGGTTCTGGAGGATGCTCAGCAGCCACATAGTCAAGAATGGTATCGGTTTTCCATACCAGCGGCCCACTACGATTTGGCAGTCACGGCGTTACAGTGCCTTCTTGACAAAAATGAGCCAATTACAATGAAACATGCTTTCAAAGAGCCTTTCCTGGTCTATGCCGCCCGCTATTGGGATGAGCATGTGGCAATGTTGGGGGATCTTTCAAACCACCCAGCCTTACTTCGCCAGATCGAAGATCTTCTCAGTGAAGAGTTCTCGCAGAGCTACCTCAACTGGCTCAATGTATTGAAACTTAGAGGGTATGAGTATAGATCGCACATGCCTCTGGACGAAGGCCAGATGACTTCGGAAGAGTGCGATCCGCCTATATATCATGCTGCAAGACTGGGGCTGGAGCATGTTGTGGTGAAGCTTCTTGACCAGGGCGTTGATCCCTTAGTACTTGGCTCGAGTGCACAGGACTTTGAACCCGGCACTTTGCTCATTGTCGCTGCTTGTAAAGGCCACCTTCATATTCTCGAGAAGATGCTCGAAAGGTGCGGACGTGTCCCGCTGGAGGTGGCTGCAGCGATAGTACTGCAAGTCGACCATCGGGAGGCCGGCAGCGAGGTGCTGGAGCACATAATGCAAGCATTGTGGATGTGCGGTGCCTTCTTCGAGCAATCCCAAGATCGCACGAGGTTTATAAGTAGCAGATTGGTGGAGGCTGCAATTCAGAATAAACATGCAGGTTTAGAGTTGATGCGCTTCTTTCTTGATCGGCAGCAGGAATCGTTAGTAACGATTGTTACCGATGCCAATACATTCTGGGGAGCCGGGCAGACCCACACAGCCACCGCGGCTCAAATCTTAGAACTGTTGTTTGAAAGACGATTTACAGATGTTTGGTTCAAGGATGTGGACTTCTTAGGACTCTTGGCAGGCAACCCGCTTATGTATGCCTTATTCAAACGAATCATTCAACACGAGGAAATGAGGTCCAAGCTTGGTGACGCTCTAGCCCACGCTGTGGCCAAGAGAGGGACATCTCAAGCAATGGAAGCAGTCATTCAGGTTCTGGAACCTAATTTCAAAGTCACTGAGAAATTACTACTGCTTGTTGCTGGGAATGGTAGGAGGCCTGAGGTACTCCGTCTGCTTCTGGGATTTGGAGGCTCTAGACAATTCACCCACAACCTGCTTTTGAAGGCAGCAAAAAACTATAACAGTCTCGAGTTTCTCAATATTTTACTTGACGAAGTTGATCCCCACTTTCCACTCGGTGAAGAAGTCATGGTTGCGATAGCACATAGCAAAGACGCCGTGGAAATGATTACCAGTTTGTTGACAAAGCAGCAGGCTGGGTTTGCAGTCTCCGAGAGGGTACTAACTCGTGCGATCGGGAATCAGCGCTGCGCAGTTGATATCCTTCAGCTGCTTATGAAAAACGGAGGTTCGGATATTCAAGTTACCGATGAAATGATATGCGCGGCAGCAGAAAATTATGCTCAGGGAGAGTCGGTACTGAACTACTTATCCGAAGTTCACGGGCCCGACCTCCACGTGCCGAACGAAGCAATTTTGAAGGCGGCGGGAAGCCCGCGAATACTGAAGATCCTCTTCGCCCTGCAGCCTGGAACCCGTGTCTCTGACCAAATGTTTATTGAGGCCTGCCACGATCGCGAGTCCATGTCATTTCTTTTGGCCCAGCAGTACGCGTCTATTCCTATTGAGCAAATTTTGGAAGAAATAGGTCACTATTGGGTCGGCATGGCGGGCGGTTTTGATGAACTCTTGAGTCAACGAGTCATTGAGATGAATGAATGGGTGCTGGAAAGGGTCGCATCCAACGCGGTAATAATGGGGGATGTTCTGGCCAAGTACCCAAATATGGCCATCACACAAAAGGCCTTCGAAAATGCTGCGAAGTCAGATTCTCCAGAGCTCGTGAGGGCAATACTTGAAACCAGGTTCGACGGTCTCGCTGTCACAGAACAGGTCATGGAGGCCCCTTTTGATACCACGAGAAGCGCGGATCCCAGTTACTATACGGCAAGTATTCTAAAAGCCTTCATTGTTCGTCTCGGGTCAGAGGCCCCCATTACAGAGAACCTTCTCCAAATTGCTTGTGAATATAGGGACACGAGACCATTGAAATTGCTGTTAGATCAGCGACGCAAGTTAGACCTTCAGGCAGTTTGGGAAAGGTTCTGGCAGGCTGAAAAGTTTAAACGCCGGAAACTTCAAGTGACAGATATTTTGTTGCAATATGAGGCACTTGTTGTTTCTGAAGCCATGTTGGAAGCAATTCCTTTTGATCAGAAGGAGACGGACAAAGATCGATCAGAGCCAAGCAATACAGACGGAGCCAACTCTGACTTTGAGACATTGATTCAGTTCGGTCTCAAGAAGAGCATAGCTATTGTCGAGACTGAAAGAGTCGTGGAACTCATCGTGCAGCGATGCTCCGAGGAGACCGTCAAGGAGTTTCTTGATTCTAAGCCGAATCTCAAAATCACTGAGAAGATCCTCCGAGCCGCAGAGGAAAAGTCAGTTGCGATGAAGGAACTTTTGGCGGCATTCCCTGTTGTCGAAAGCATCAAATGATTTTTGGGTCCTTCCTAAGATCTGCGAATTTGCATGGCGGCTATCGGGACTGCGAGAGGCCAGAATCGTCGCTGAGGCTGTTGTTGGAGTGGTCCCTTGTCCATATCGGATGGCAAGGCTATTGCAAACATACATAGCTTGAAGGGTAGCCAAAAGCATACCGAAACATATTCTCAATTTTTTATTCTTTCTCACGAGAATCAATAAGAAGGCCTTTCAGAATACGCAGTCGCAAAAAAAATGTGACATAGCCAGAGAGCAAATACTATCCCTATTGGTACGAAGTATTTACGCTCAGAGGGGTAAGGGGCTATCGAGCTTGGCAGAAAATCACAGATTTGTGTATGCAGATCATAGGTGCAGATTATCCGTGTAGGAAAAAACACACAGCATACATCTCGTGGGTGAGACGCTGGGGTTTTCCGAGGCTGATCTCGTGCTGTATCTACACAAATAAGCCTAGATAGGGTTGTTTTGAGTGGATCAACGATCTGATGATCTGATGTCCCCAGTGATCAAGGAACTATTCAAAAGCCACCACTCCACAGTCCCGCCGCCCTACCAATGTAAGCCCCTTGGCCGCATGGATTTTAATAGCCGCTGCCTCTTTTTTATTTCCTTTGGGAAAAGTGGTAAGATATAACATTCTCAGACTGTATTATTGTATTTTATCTAGTGATAAAGGCTTGGGTGTGTCAAGACAGTACATCAATACATCATATTAAAGAATACCCCAGAATGGTTAACATATTCATGTGACCAGGGACTAGAATGTGGTTTATGGAGTACATATTATTGAAGATCGGCATGCAGGCTCCATGTACTAGCGTCGCTAGGTTCAGCTACACACGATCTCACGATCCACCCTAGAATCAACATTCTAACATGCTTCGATGCTATAAAATATGAAAAGGCAGCACCGATAAACCCAACTCTCCAGACTCGCATTATCAACAACGAAACCCTTCCCAAAACCCTTATTTGTCAAAGCAGAAAAAAGTACGTGCTTCTTTCTAAGTCCAAATGCCTCGGTGCCATGAACAAAACAAATTAATGATTAATGACAATCTATTTCAGGCTTCAGATCTTACCTCCACAATGAAGCTTCTCGCATCAATCTCCCTTTTCGCTGTCGACTCTCTCGCGGTTACATACCCTGCCGGTACCAAGTGCCACATCAACACAGAGTGCAACAACAACTGCCTGGATAGTTCATGGACTATCATGAGCGTGGACGGTGACTAACAGCTTGTGTGTGATCCAACAAAGGGTGACCCCACTCAAAACTACAGGGCGGATTGCTATGGCGAAAACATTGGTAGTTATGGTAGACCACAAGATTTTGAGGCTGCTATTACTCGTAGTAATGAAGCTAGCAAAGCGGCCTGCGACAAATCTGGGGGATTTTATTGTTTCAATCGCTGCTTCTGCGCAGGGAAACGCAGCGCTCAAAATGATGATGCTAACAGCTGGGGAAAAAGCCTGTGGAGCACAAGGATTAGCGACTAGCTTCAAAACTTTTGTGACGGCCAGTGAAGCAGCTTATTCCGGAACAGAGTATGACGCGAACACAATTCTCCCAAACGCTAAACGGGATATGGCGTTTGAGGCCTAATTTGTCTGCACAATGGCACATCTGTGATCCAATGGCCTGGGTAACCGGGGAATTATATGGATTAGAGATTTTTCTACATGCATCTAATGCTGTTATAACTTGGAGCTTTATGGCTTTCGAATAACCACCAGAATATTTTCGGTTGGAATGGCTCCTGCTCCATGTAGATTTATAGTTATGGCGGCAAAGCCTCACGGTAGTATATAACTACTAGCATGATACTACTAGTGTAGTCATAAGTGCTAGCTATGACCTTGGATAGTATATGTAGTTATACACACAGGAATTTGTCCGCTGGGTGAGGTTTTCCTGCCTAGGCTGCCGCCGCTTTAACGAGAGCGCTCAGACTCAGACCCAGTGAGTAAGTAGATATCGTTATATTAAATAGCAGTACCGCTTTATATATAGAGGTAATTTCCATATTTCAATCGTCTGCATAGTTACTAGTAGTAATACGATAAAAAATGTTATGAGCTACAGGAGCGTCAAGAACAAATATATCAATCAGCTTCAACTCTGAGCTTGCAATATCCTAGATACAACTTGAACTTGAACAAAGTCCGTATATAACATCATTCACCAGGTCCAGCATGGCAAATAACTCAAAGAGGAGAACGTAGTACCTTCACGTGGGGAAATGAGAGCTCCGACTACTGGCAAGAAGACCACCACTGACTACCAGAGACGCAAGTGTACGGAGGGGAACACTGGGTCGGACCGGTATATCCCTGGCCGCCGCACTGACTCCACTGAGAAACAAGACTTCCACTTGGAGAGCTGGAGCTAGTTGTCGAAGTTGTTTTGGTGAGTGTTGTTCCTGGTGAGGTTGTTGATTTAGACGTGGTTGTTGTAGCCTGAGATGTTGTAGGAGGTACAGATGCCGCGAGATCACTAACAACCTGGTCAAGGAAGCCGCTATTCGCATAAAGCTGTGACATATCCCACATCATGACGCCTCCAAAACTACTATATTGCTTACAGTAAGCAATAGCGGCCTGAAGCTGAGAACCGCTGGTATATCCTGCACCGGCGGCACCGGAATTGGCGGGAATTCCGAGGAAGACTTTCACGCTTGGGTTTAGGCTGCCCTTGGCCCAGTTATCCCACGTTGCGAAATTGAATGAAGACTGAGTGCTTGATCCAACCTGGAAGTTTGATGTTTCACACCAGTTGTTATAGAATTGTACCATGACAAAATCAAAAGCAACGCTATCAAGCGTGGTACCATCGGCAGCATCAGGGAAGGGACATTGGGGCGCAGCGGAGAGGTAATACTTCTTGTCGGTTGCGGCATTCATCAAGCTGCGAAGCTCAGCACCAAATGCCGGGAGATTGTTCACGGTCGACTCAAAATCGAAATCAAAGCCATCAACAACGGCATTTCCAAAAGGACGGTCAGTTTGGACGCTGGGGACTGGACCGAACATATTCCACACGGACTGTGCCGCATTTTGTGCGGCGGTAGTCGAAGACCATCCTCCCTGCGTATAGGTAGCGCCTCCAAGAGACAGGATAATTGTTTTACCGTAAGTCTTCTGGCATGTTATTATATCATTCCTAGAAAGCGATCAGAGAGGATTATGGACATTATTGCGGCTTGTATTAACCTACGCAATCTGGGGACAGTTCAAGAGGTTAGGATTGTCACTGAAGGTGGTGCAGTTGTTTCCAGCGTTGGCGAAGTTTGAGATTGCTGGAGTAATGCCGTTCATGAATGCAAGGGGAATGATCTAGGGCTATCAGTTAGAGTAATTCTGGATGTACTGAGACGATTACTCACATTGATTTCAGTGTCTAGATGCATAGTAATACTCCCGGTTAGCCAAAGTTTTTGATATGATATACATCACCTGCCTATTCCGGAGAACATACTGGAGCAATATGAGGCAAGATTCTGCTGCGCGTATGGGCCACTGCCCTGGTTATACGAATTCTGCCCTACATATTGGAAGATTCTGTCAGCTTTTGGAAAAGTGTTTGCTGGTACGTAGAAGTCTGAGATATTACCCCAATATACTGCAATGTTGGAGGAAGAGCCAGGGTTGAAGCCAGCACTCGCAGCTCTAACCAGGGCCATGGCAAAGCCTGCAATATTCAAGACACGATACATGATTGAGAAAGATGAAATGATAAAGATGCTGTTGAAGGTTGATAGCAAATTCGCACTGGCGATTTGGATTGATAATGGCGATTTTCAACATTCAATGCAGCTGTGGTCCTTGCCTATTTATACCTTTATTTCAACACGAATCGACATGATAGACTAGCTTCCATGAATTCTATCCGGTGTAGAACGACTCTCTGGTCGCATGAGAAGGTAACATAGAGTGAAAGCTCTCCGTGGTTATGGTATGCGACCCTAACATACCGGAGTGCCTCCTGAAAGTAGATTCGGATCGACGGAAACTTAACCAGTATCAACGATGTGATAGCGAATACTACTCTAGAACTAATGACTATCTCCGTGGTAGAGTATCTTCAGTCCAGCATCGCAACGCCATTGCCGCCGTAATTTGCAACCCTCATCGGCATTTATGATTAACGAGATCCATGGATTCTAAGCGCTTCTGAAGATATAAAACATTGAGCAGACGGATGCTAGAGAAAGAAGCGGCGCTAGTATGAACCATCTTTATTCGTAGCCCCAGAAATCGTATGAGTAAATTCCAAGAGAACTACCATTTTACAGATCGCTTCGATCAAAGGAAGGGCTGCCCTATCTGTGCACCTCTGCATGACATTTCATCACCGGTGTGACATGTTCGGGCAGAGCTTAGTGGCTTTAGTGATCACGATGGAACTATGTGGCTTAGCGAATCAGGGCTCACGTTTCCCATTAAAAATTATCTTAATTCCGCTAATGATATTTTGGCTTAGTTAACGTTGCATCACACCTTTAAGCGGGATTGGAGGACCGTTCGCTGGAGGTCATTTCCTTAAACCTTCTATCTCCACAATATGGTCTTGTGTTTCATCCGAGTGCAGAAACGTGGAATAGCCCTTCTTCCCCTGCATAAGGTGGTGCTCGTGATTTTCAGGTCCATATTGTGAAGTCTGATCACTTTTTCTTCACGAATCTCGGATGGTAAAGAAAGCCAGATATTAGGAGGCGCTAGTACCACTCTTCATTAACCCCGCTTTGCTTATGCCTCAAGTTGGTAGTATTTCCGAATTCTATCAACTGGGATGCATGAGAGGTGCCATCCGCAGTGATGTGACAAGATCATAAAGATATCACATACATGGATTATGCTGTTTAAGATTAGATTGTAGCCTTTTGTCCGAAAGCAAGGTGGTAATGGAAGTCCAGGAGTAAATCATGTGATGATGCTCAGATACTCATAAGAGATCAACGTACGGCATAGCATACGTTGCAGGGGGAGTAGTAGCGGTCCGACGGAAGTAATAACTTGAGGAGAGAGAGAAGGAAGCTGAGATAAGTTAGATACATGTAGGCATGGATGCCTAGTGGATGCCGCAGGCGTAAAGCATCCACGAATGGTAACAACAGATATTTGGTAAAATATAACAAAGATACAGTGTGATCCACTGGTTTTAATTATTCATACCACCGAACGGGGGTGTAAAGTGGTAGCTATTGGTTTCAACCACAAGGGCTTAGATTCTTTGAAAGTTGTGGCTGATCAGTGTATGGAAATGATATTCAAGTTAGTGAGTCTACGTTTCCGTATCATTTTAAACAAGTATAAAGTTATCTATTTCAAAGCAAGAATAGGTTTTCAACACGTAATACTAGTAGAAGCAGTTCCGGTATGCGAATCACCGAACAAGCTAAATTACTATTAACTTCGAGCATACGTAAAGAACCGGTGTTATTACCATTCGTGGACGCCTTGCGCCTGCGGCATCTACTTAGGCATCTATGCCTATATGTATCTAGTTCCATCTCAGCTTCTTTCTCTCTCTCAAGCTATTACTTTCGTTCGAACCGCTACTACTTCATTCCCTCGTATGCTACGCCGTACGTTGATCTGTGAGCACTTGAGCATCTTCACGGCATATGCTAGTCAACAGCCCTGACTCAGCTACCATAAGTAATGACTAACGAAGATGTGGTAGTTAAGCTATATGCATTATTCTAATTTCTATTATTTCACTCTTCTATACTCATACTCATACCCATACCGTGCCAGCAATTCAAAAATTGGCGTGGTTCAAAAAAAGCTCAACATGCGCGTTTATTGCGTGATGACAAACCAACACTTTCACCTTAACTGTACTGTGTACTGTAAACTGGCCAATCGCGGAAATCTCTCGGAATGACAAATTGCACCATATCCATTTCGATTTCGTAGATAAAAGCTTAAGGGAACACATATATCATTACGGAATGTTTGCTATTTCTTCTATTTTCCTTTCATTTCTTTCTTACGTGGACTCGAACTTGAACTAGCCACCCCCTTGCTTTGTTTCACCACGCGGCCACCTTCAAATTCAACCCACTCCCTCCCACTTCCGCTCCACCGCTTCCCTCCCCTACACACTCCAACCAAACACCTACACACACAATGTCCGACCACCAATACACCTTCAACATCTCCATGAGCTGCGGCGGCTGCTCCGGCGCCGTTGAGCGTGTCCTGAAGAAGCTCGAAGGTAAGTACAAAGCACAAAGAATACCCCGCCCCGCCTTCCCCTTCCCCCTCACCCGCGACACAGCGCAGTGCAGTGCACATCGCTGCTACTATTCCTCACAAGGGCTATTGTTAACCAGTCCTCTTTGCTCCCAGGCGTCAAAACCTTCGACGTAAACCTCGAATCGCAAACCGCAAAGATCACCACCGAGCCGAGTCTTTCGTACGACACTGTTCTGGCTACTATTAAGAAGACTGGGAAGGCTGTTAATAGTGGGGAGGCGGATGGGGAGAAGCAGGCTGTTTAGATTCAGCTGAGCAGAGTACAGCAGCAGAGAGAAATGGGGATGTGGTGATGTCGAGGATGGAGGATGGAGTACAACAAAGTTTGAAGAAGGTTTTGTTTCTGAGACAAAACTACTTTGTGGGCTGGCTGGGCTGGGCTGGGCTGTGCTGGGACCGGATGAGATCTAATCTGATCAGATCAGATCTATCTCAAGTTCCCGATTCGGAGGCATTTTCTTTTTATTTGAGATCATTACGATCGTTTTATCAGCGAAATATACCTCTGCATTTTTCCCTTCGTTGGGAGTATCATATTCAACTGAAAGTCACGTTAACTAACTAAGCCGAAGAATATTTAAAACTAGATATATCTACTAGTACCAGTAGTAGTTGTTAAGACTGAAGAGCGAACATGGAACATAGCACAGGGAACGGATGTAATGTAATCATGTAATACCTAGGCATAGCCATAGGCAAATCTTGCACTGCAAGAAGCTTCGATTGGAACCCTCCTATGAGAAAGGCGATCTAATCTAAAGACAAGATGGATGGGTATCATGTAGACGAGACGGGAAGAAACGAAACGAAACAGAACAGAACAGAACAGAACAAGACGGGACGAAACAATCGCAGAGAATAGAACAGAGAAACAAAAACAACCATGGAAATGCAAACGCAAATGCAAATGCAAATGAAAGTGCAAATGCGATGTCATCGCAATCCCGTAACCGCAACCGCAACCGCAACTGCGATCAGAATCATAATCATTATCAAAAGCCGTAAGCGTAGCCCGCAAGCGCTAACCAAACGCCACTCCACGCCACTCCACTCCAGGAATTCGTATTCATAAAAAACATCAATCAATCAACAATAACAACATGTCTGCTACCCTCGGGCATGGGCTGTGGTGTTTGCGACTCCACTCTTTGAACGTAGATGGGCCGACTTTGTTCGGCCATTTGGAAAGCACGGGGGTCGTGAACGCGTCTGTGAAAAGGAAAATGTTAGTTTTTTCCCTCTCTCAAAGGAATCCCGAAGAAGGAAATCGAATCATTCCAGTGCCCGGGAAGTTTGGCGAGACTGGTTTGTCTTACCGTTTCGGGCCGGGCCCGCTTCCAGGACGTCTCTCACGAACGCCTGCGGGAGGTGGTCCTCGGGGCTGGCGATTTCCAGGCATAGGAATAGGCATAGGCATAGCCTCCGGATGAGTATGAGGAAGAGTCTGATCGTGAGAACTGTGAGTAGCTCGGGAAGCTGGAAGTAGATGCTGCTGCTCCGGTGGAGGCTGGGGCAAGGAGTGAGACTGAGAAAGATCCTTGGGGATAAAGTGTTCAGGAATCCTAGTTCTGTAGGGCTGGCCTTGAGCTTGGCCGATGGGATCTCCGACGCGCGGCTGCTGCGCTCTTGGGCGTGGGACAAAGTACTCGACCGGACGAACTTCGCGGAAATCAACGTGGCGGACAAAGCCGTCAGCGTACAGCTTCCCATTCAAGGGAGCTCCGGGAACTTGAGGATAGGCATAAGGATGATCACCATCTTTCGAGGCACGAGGAGGATCAATCACTGCAGGTCGGGTGTGAGGGCTACGATCACCATAGTAAGCAAGGCGGGAAGAAGCGCCGGGGCCGGCTGCGGCTCTGGGAATGCGATCATCTAGGACCATTCCACTGGTTCCAGGTGGGCCGGAATGTGAGTGCATATCGGCGAGACGAGTCCGATCCATAGCTGGTCTAGCATCATGGGGAGCCTGAACCTGTCTCTCTCTCTGGTATGGATCTGCGGGAGGGAGGTAGTCCCGACGAACAATATTTCCGTCCGCTACGCGATACTCGGGACCGAGATCATCGCGGCGGTATTGACCTCTTGAAGCCAAACCCTCAGAAACAGAAACCGGCATAGCAATGGGCCTTGCGTTCCAAGGATCGGGGCGTGATTCCTGGGATAGGGGCGGGGGTACGTGGTAAACCAGTCGTCTTCTCTTGGAGTTTGGATCATCTGGACTGCCAGGCTGAGACTGCTCTCCCGGTTGTTTGGGTGTTACGGAACGAAGACTCATCCGTTTTGTCATGTTCTCAAGACGGACATCCATCTTTCGCTTGTCCATTGGTGCTTCGATTGAGGGCAGTACGTAATCCTGGGAGGTAGCACCTGGTCTGACCGGATGAGAAATAGGAGCTTCAGTCCGGGCGCCAAACTGATTCTGGTTAATCGAATGCAGTTCCTTGTGCGCGTTAACGAAAACTGGCGAGTATGCGTTGTTATTGGTGGGGATCCGCTCGGTACGAGCATTGGAATTCAAATGGGCTTTGCCTGGAGGTGGAGGATACGGAGCATTCCCAACGGAGCGAGGACTTCTATCCAAGAGGTGAACTTCGGATGAATTCTGTGTGGTTAGTACTGGCTGTCCACTGATCCCATGTTGGGACACAGTTCGTTGACCCTCCAAAGGCCCGCGTCTGTCATGGATACCTACATGGCCGTTCCCTGCTGGCCGTTCTGGAGTAGCGGCTGTACGGTGTACAGTGTTTTCAAAACGGCTGGGGCCTGAAATGACCCTTGGGGCAACTTCCAACGGAAGGGGAGGAATCTCACGGCGCCTGGGAGAGTCTGCAAGTTCACGAGCAGGGGCCAGGGGACGTTTTCCGTGGCGTGGGCTTTGCTGCTCGGCCGTGCCACCGTTCAGGCGGGCCTGTTCGGTGCCATGTGCGGTGCCATTAGTCCCGTACTTGGTCATGGCGCGGTTCCACGCCTGGTATCTGCTAAATCCTCGACGATCGACGGCCTTCTTGGGCACACTATGCACAAATCGGAAACCAGGAGGTGCTTCCTCGGACATCTCGCGTAAGGGGTCCAGGGTTGAGGTTTTCACAAAGCTAACGGGTTGAGTTTGAATGTCATGGACCCTGGCATGGCTGGAAAGAATTTCCACTCCTCGGTTATCGCTTGAGGCGAGGACTTCCTCCTCGGTTTCACTGTCATCATCGTCATCGGATATGACGATGACCTCTCGGAACACATCTTCTAGGACCTTTTGGCCATTCTCGTCATCACCCCGCCAGGCCACGAGCTTGGCTAGAGTCGGCTGTTCAACGGTAGATCTCGCCTCGTGAAATGAGCCCGACTTCAAAAGCTTGTCGTAATCGGTGTAGAGATGGCGGATATGAGCCACCACGGCAAGCTGTGCACGACGAGCCAGTGGCAACTCGGAAGCGGTGCCTACTTTTCGCTGACCCTATACATCATAGCTATCAGGTATTCCCGGTCTTTCAAATTCCGTCTGGTGAGCTCCGGAGGACATACCTTTTGAAATGCAGTTTTAATGATCTGATGTAGATCATTCGAGGGGATATTAGGGAAGAGATCTGTAATTGCGTCTCTTGCCTCCGTGTTGATGGTCAGTTGGTCTTTGTTGGCATCAGCTGTCGGGCGAGTCTCTCTAGAGCTCATCGTATGGAAAGGCACCGCCTTGCCAGTACTGGTGAGGTAGAGTCCCAACTCCGAACAGACAGCTGCAACCACGGTACTCGGGAAATGATAACCTATGCGATGAACGTGGAGGGATAGATTATGGGTGGTGGCATGCGGGGTGGTCTAACTGAGCATGAGTAGAGTCCAAGGGTCATGCATAGAATGCACGAGATGAGATCAATATCCTCCTACCGAGACCGCATAGATCTGTGATCCTTCCTTTCGGCATCTTTCTTTGCAAGCTGTCGTGAGATGAGGATTTCCAGCCGGGATGAAGGTGTAACCGGTTGGAGCGCGTGCCTCGAAGCAGATCTATATCTCGGGTTAGCAGAGTAGAGAGGACAAAAGGAAAGAAGAGGGAAGGAGAAGAGTATATAGGTATATAGATCAGGACAAGACAGGTCTCCTCTCTCATATATATCTCAAAAAAGGGAAACACACAACACTCTGAAGCTTCTTCTTCTCTTGCGTAACCGACTCCATGATCACTTTATGTTTTCGAGCTCTCCGCTGAATAGCGCGGCTGGGGGCGCGCCTGACCGAAGCCGAGGCGGCCCTCCCTGACAACGCGGGCCATTCTGTAGGGTTGGATCCTTCGAAGCAACCTCTTAGAGAAGCCTTTCACACATGGTTTCGGGGGACTGAGTCGGTGGCTAAGGGGGGGGGGGGGGTGATATGACGGAAGTCGGAGAACACGGGCGGTCAGAGCATAAAAAGTACGAGAGGGACGGGTTGGGCCGAGTATAAGGTGGAGTTTTGGGTGGACGCGTAAGGGGAATAAAAAAGGAACCCCGTCCTGTGTCCGGGAATGCAGCAAGTTAAGTCCAGTCGAGTCGAGTGCAAAAAAGGGCCAGCAATAAAAAAGGTCCCGTGCAGGGAAGTGGATGTTTTGGAGTAAATGTTGAAGGTGGGGGGAAGTGAGGAATGAATCGCCGGAGTCGCGCAGTCTCGTCGGTGCCCAAAGTTGCCCGGCTCGTTTGGGTTTAGCGCGGCACCACTGGGAGCGGAGGAAGAACACCTAAACAGCTGTGCATTTACACTACACTACACTGACACTGACCTTACACACTTATATCTATATCTACATCTACATCTACATCTGCACAGTTGCACAGCTGCACAGCTGTATAACTGTATAAATGGCCACCGCTGTCCCCTCAAAGACTGCTGTCCTTCATGCATACCGCCATCTCTTTCGACAAGGCTTGAAGGTTATTCGATACTCCACCCCTGGCCGCTATACGCTACGTACCATTATGAGAAGGTCTTTTCGCTCATCCTCCGAGCAATTTGACGCGCCGCGCATTGCCAACACTTTGCGCTTTCTCGAACGGGCTACGGCCGCCGCCAACATGGAACACAAAATTGTGAAAAACATCCTGATCACTCGATATTGGGAAACTACCCCGATTGGCAAGGACTCTCGCATGTAAGTGGAAATGAAATGGCCCCATTCAATGCGGCCCAGTGGGGAAAGGGAGAGGGAATGAGAAACATCCTGATTCTGATTGCTAACTTTGAACTCCAGGTTGCGGAGCTTGAGACTCTTCAAGGAGGAGGTTATCCTCCGCCAAAGTGCTTATGAACAATTCAATTTGACCCTCGAACGATTGAATGAGAGCCTGGGAACTTGTCTACGATGAGCTCGAGATCAGCTCGAGTATATTCACTTCTGTTCATCCCCGACCCAAACCATGGTTGTCGATCTCATTTGCTAGCTCCCCTACGTTGGGCGCCCGCATCTTTCTTGGGCAGGAATCCAGAATCCAGATGCAGTGAGGAAGCAGCCGACCAAAAAGGGTATCCAGCCACCAGAGTTCGTCCGTTCTAGAATTCCTGGTCGTCTGTTCTCCCCTTGCGGCCCGGGATCGTTGGGTACAATGGTCCCTCTTTGTACATTTTCGTCATCTACACACTTTCGGCGTTGACGTCTGACCAGCCACCTGCATTAGTGGAGGAACCTTTCATCACCATCAAACTTTCAACACCCGAACCCCCTGTTCCTTTCCCCCGAACAGTTCTCCGTCCGAGAGTTTTCTCAAGGTCGGCAATCAGATTGGCTGCAGAAGAGGCTGCAGATCGGGTGATTTTTGCGGGGAAGGGCAAATTGGTCAAAAGTAGAATATCAAATTGTATTATGAAAGAGTGCACTGGATATCTACAATATAGGACTCAAGACAATGTACAATATCCTCTTTTAATCATATACACACCATCTCTCTCTCATGTATCTCATTCATCTCTTCCTTTGGGGCAGTGTTTAACGGGGAAACTTTACTAGCGCCGATCCACGGATGATTCAGCAGAACGTCACATGCCAACAACCTCCGATCATCTCCTCCCCCAAAAGGCCCCAGGCCCTTGAACATAGACTGGACGTTTCTCTCGTATACGTCCATGGTCACTGCATTTGATGTGATCCCATTCAGCCCTTCATGAGCAGCTACGTCAACTCGCTGCTGGTCGAACTCGGAATCCGTGCCGCCCCCCACCACCCAGACGAAGCGGAGCACTCTCGGGGCGACGAATCAACAAAGCTGCCTAACAACAACGATCCTGTTCTTCCCAAGGATCAAGATCGTATTGCATCGGATCGACCTGCTGGAAATGCAGGGTCGCTGCATGGTCCTAGCCCTCCTTTCTTCACCCCTCTCTTGAAAGACATGGATCGCCGAACTTCGGAGCGCGAGCGCCAGCATCAGCATCAGCACCCTCGACATGATGGCGAGTTCCCCAGCCAGGACCAGTCCGCTCCAGTCACCACCACCAATAACATAATCGATAATCCACACCATATTGATATGAACATCCCAAACCTTGGAAACATGCGCCTGCAGGAGGACGAATCGGGCGCCATACAAAATGAACGATCTATTGGAGGAGACGCACAGTCAAGACGAGGATCGCAAGAGGTGTCAGGGCAGAACTCGGACAATACACTCAACGCAGATGAGCTGGCTTCAACGTTTTTGCCTGCTGATGATGGAATGGGATGGCTGAGGAAAAAGATCATTGCAATTCGAGACCGAGACCTTGACAACAACGAGAAGGCGCGGATGGTCCACGATCTCATGACGGAGAAGTACAACAAATGGTCCCGCGCAACGATGCTGAAATCTCCAACCTTAAGCAACTCTCCCATGCATCATCCTCCCAGCTCACCATTCCCCGCAACGAATTCATCGCCAGATCCCTGTCATACGACCTCGAGCCCCACATTGGACATGCCAGCCCCTCCATACGAGAATCATTTCTCCCTCACCGCTGAAGATTTGCAACCAACATTTGTCCCGCGAGTCGAACCTGATTCCCCAGTCGTCGAGACCGGAGATGAGGCCGGCGATGAAGCCGGCGACCAGGACACAGAAGAATTGGAAGAGGCCTCTCTAGGCTGCCAGCATTATAAAAGGAACGTCAAGCTTCAATGCTTCACTTGCAAAAAGTGGTACACGTGCAGGTTCTGCCATGATGAAGTTGAGGATCATCCATTGGTTCGTCGAGATACAGAGAACATGCTCTGCATGCTCTGTGGACATGCCCAGCCTGCAGCCCAAAATTGTCATCGATGCGGAGAAGATACAGCCCACTACTATTGCGATATCTGCAAGCTATGGGACAACGACAGCAAGAAAAGTATCTATCATTGCCACGATTGTGGAATTTGCCGAATTGGCCAAGGACTTGGGAAAGATTTCTTCCATTGCAAGGTGAGTGATTTGCTTATGTGGCTATCGTTGGTTGGATCTTGGCTAACACCTACCTCATAGACCTGTTGTGTGTGCTTGCCCATATCCATAGAGGATACTCACCGATGCATCGAAAGATCCACCCAGTGTGATTGTCCCATCTGTGGGGACTACATGTTTACCTCGCCAGAGACGGTAGTCGTAATGCGATGCGGCCACAGTCTCCATCACAAATGCCTTTCTGAACATTCAAAAACATCCTTCCGATGTCCAATCTGCAGCAAGACCATAACAAACATGGAATCGACATTCCGAAACCTAGACCGCACAATCGAGAGTCAACCAATGCCCGCCGAATTTACAGATACCAAAGGACTCGTCTATTGCAATGACTGCAGCGCCAAATCGATCGTCAAATATCATTGGCTGGGGTTGAAATGTGACTTATGTGAATCTTATAATACAGCCCAGATCCGCATTCTGCAAGGGGACGTTTCTGCGGTCCTCGAGGAAGAGGGCGTGAATGAGTCCGAGCACCAGCACCAGCACCAACACCACCCCGAGCCCAACGAGCCCCCCTCCCGGCTGCGATCAGCATCATTGCATGTGGGAGAGGAGGCCTCGACATCTCTGGCAGCACTGCATATGAACAACACTCCGCCTTCACAGTCCCGTCTCAGTGTACCGGGATCAGCTGGTCCCGATAACCGATTCGTCTCCTACAACATGACTCACAACCGAGCAATCTCACCCGTAGTCAGCAATTACTTTGGTCTACCCACCGAGCGCGAATCAGAGAAACCATCATCGTTGCCATTCTTTGGGAACCCGCTCCGATCCGAGGGCGACACTGATTACGGAGCATTGAATTTCCTAAGTAAAAAGCTTCGAGATCGTTATGGATTTCTTTCGAACGACGCAGCAACCGTTGAGAGAAAGGGGGGAGCTGGAGGTGGAGGTGGAGGTGAAGTTGAAGAAGACGATGACGACGATGAAGCAGAGTCCTCTTCTTCTTCTTCCGGATCTGACAACGAAAATGATGACGATGATGACGACGATGGAATTGACCCCATCGACCTTCTCGGCCACCGATGATCTGAATTGAAGATCCCGCGAATATCATCATTATCGATTAAGCACGAACCCATCTGTGAACCATTTGATCTTTTATAGAGATCACTCCTGTTGGAAGCGATCTTGTCTTATTTCCCATCATCGCATCGCATTGCGCACTGCCAGGCAACTGGGTCGCAGACGCAGAGTGCGAGATCATTTCCCGCAACTCACATTTCATCATCGAATCATAGCCTTGGGCTTGCCGCAAGCCTACATTCACGAATTTTGGATCAAATCCAGTTCTCGCAAAGGGTGCCTCACCCCTCCAAATAAAGTTCAAATTGGAATTGACTTTTCAAGAGCCTGTCCCGAGCCTGACCCCGAGCCTATTTGGGGACAAAGACAGTCAATGCCGATGAGACACCCGAAACAGCTCTGGTGGATATCATTGTCTGCCTTTCCAATGTTCTTGTTCTTGGCTCGCCGGGGCAATCTGGCATGTCCCATACATAGCCTGCTTAAGCAAGGCCACACTGCATACATCGAATTTAGAAACCTTGCATAGCATCACGACGGAATGAAAACATTTTCCCTGAAAGCCTTATACATTTCCATTTCCATTTTCGTTCTCTTGGCTAGCGAAACGAACTTCGAAAACAACAGTACTAGTACTACGCACAATCCAATACTACCCCGTAGTTGATTAAACAGAAGATCTGATAGGCAATGACTCTTGCACCTGTGGCACATCCTCCATATGCGCGGTAGGAGTTTTGTTGTCCTCAGCCTCTTCGCCTTCCCCTCCGCCTGCGACTATTCTGGCTTCGCGTTTCTCCGAACCACCTTCGCACTCTCCAGCTTCAACAAAGTCCACGTCGCCAAATATCTTTTCCATTCGTTCCAGTGATACACCCTTTGTTTCTGGGAGGATGAAGTAGACAGATACCTAGTTCGTGCCAATGTATTAGCATCGCCACTGCAGCCAGAATCAAGATGAAGGGGAAGGGGAAGGATTTGGAGAGGTATATCACTAGCTAGGGGACACTAGGGGATGTGACTTACACCCGCCGCAACATTGAGACCAAATAACAACCAATAACTATGACCCCCGACCTTAGCATTAAACGAAGGCCAAGACTGAGTCAACAAAATCAACCAGCATGTTTGTCCAAGCATTGACAGACCAAACCCCTATACATTAAACCGTGACCATTAGCATTAAACTCCAAATCCTCACTTCATCGAATCGCAATTCTGCCCGCGACTGTGCCATGCTGTACTAACCTTATCACGAACATGCTGAGGGAAAATCTCCGCAACAACCGCCGCAGCAATAGGCCCATTAGACCAACAATAAGTAAGACCAACAATAAACAGCATAGCAACTTCAACAATAGCAGCAGCTTTGTTTCCATTCGTTGGGAATGCAGTCGTAAGACAAGACATGATCAGCAGGGCCAGAGATTGAATCGCAAATCCAGCGAGAAGAAGACCTCTCCTTCCGAAACGTTCCACGGTAAATGTATTTACCAGGACGATGAGTAGTTGGAGAACGGCCTGGATTCCGTTGATGGATAGTGCCTGTGATCCGGAGTCCCAGCCGAGGCTTTGGTAGATGAGAGTTGCGTACATTGTTAATGCTGCGATTCCTCCGCACTAAAGCAAAGTATAAAAATTAGGTTAACTGTGGCCAAAAAGAAACACAGACTGAAAGCAGGGATGGAGAGAGCCAGCTAGCCATTCATGGCATCGCATTGCATTCAATTACCTGTTGAAGACCCGCAGCATAAAACCCAAAAGCAAGCCGCTTTCTCATACTCTTATTCCTAAGTAACCCAATATACCCCGTATCAAACCTCATCCTAAAATCCCTCGAGACGATCAATTCATGAAACTCGACCCGAATCCGTTCATCGGTAGGCGCACCAGATCGAAGCCTACACAAAACTTTCAAACAAAGTTCAGGTGTATCTGGGTATTTTTCAAGCATGAATCGAGGGACTTTCCGGATACCAGAAAGAAACGAAGATAAAAGCTAGACCGATCGGGATTTGAATTAAATTTGAGACTCGCCAGGCGATATTGTATGGGGATTTGTGGAAGGACATTCCATAGCCGGCCCAGAATGCTATTAGGGTGCCCAATTGGTAGCCGAATTGGGAGACTGTGCCGACGAAACTGCCTCGTAGTTTTGTTGGGGCACATTCGGCGACGTAGAGGTTTGTGGCGATGTAGACGCAGCCGAAGCCAAGGCCACTAGAAAAAAGATATTAGGATCAGAATCAGAAGTTACGTAAAATCACCGGGGTTACGGAGATCATGAATGAGGGTAGGTAGGGTTAAGAAGAACTCACGTCAAAAGTCGACCTAGAATCAGGACGCCGAAGTTGTTGGGGACGACCTGCACCACTCTACATGTTGGACATACTAGTCAGTATACCTAACTGTATAGCATTCGGCACTAGGAGGGGGTATGGCCATACACTCCAATAATCATAATGCAAATAGAAATCCGCAATGCCCACAGACGTCCCAGCCATCCAGCAAGGAATCCACCCAGCCAAAGCTGAGCCAGCCCTATTAAATTCCGGTGGTTAGTCTTTATAAAAAAACCTAGAAAAGAAAGCCGAAGCTGTCCATGTGGGTAAATACCAGTCATAGCCCAAGGTATAGTCGCGACCAAGCCCGATCTATTGGCATCAATGCTATAGTACTCGATAAACTGCTTATCAGCCAGAATCACAGTCATGATTCCTGCATCGTAGCCGTTGAAGCAAGTTGAAAACACCATTCCATAGAGGAGTAATGCCGCAAAGCTGGAAAGGGCCGAAGGTTAGCCGGGTCACAGACGCAACGTCCCCAAGGCTCAGGTCTCGGGGTCCCTACCGGTCATCTTTAGGAAGGAACTTCTCCACGATACTCATTTTCACGCAGGTAGCTCCAGAATTGTCGAAGATTATACCAACGTAGTGAGTTCAAAGCCCAGAGCATGGTCTGACACTGCAGTCACGGAGCATAACCTTGGAAATTTCCCCGCGATCAGCAACTTTGGTTGGTATATATATGCATGAGAAACCGGAGTTTCGGGTCTCCACATCTGGGGTGATGATCTGGGGTACATAAATTCAGAAAGTACTAACCAATAGCAGACCATACCAGTCAAGGCTTCTCTTGCGGGGCCGAGGAGGTCGACAGGTAAACTTTTTACTGGAGTAGTACTACCCAAGCCGGCATTGACCCCGGCATCGGCATCTCTTCCCCGCCGGAGCGTCTCCGCCGGAATCTTACCATGCGGGCATCCCACTCGGAGAAAGCGCCATTGCCGGCGGGGAGTTGGGCACCACGGCATCCGAGTCTCTGCATATCTAACAGGCCGAATAGAATGGGATGGATCCGCTCGAAATCAGGGGGACACCCGGACCCCTCAGCGTATAAGAAAGCAAATGGGCGTCTATTGTAATCTTCTTTCTTTCTTTCTTTCTGATCTCGATTCGACTTTATCCCGACATCCCGAGTCAAGTATACACTGCATCCACGCCACGATGGACTATCCACAAGAAACTTTCGTCAACACCACCTTCACCCCAGGATCATTCTGGGCCCGACGGCGCGAGATTGTACGTGCCCAAACACTCCGCCACCAACTCGAGATGCTCAAAAAGACCGGACGATACGAAGCATTTAAATTAGGATGGCATCCGAGCTATTCAGATCCTCCAACCGTCTACCCTGTTCCCAATCACCAATTCTGGGATTCCGATGTAGCGAAGTGGATCGAGGGTGCTTGTTACTTACTCACGGATCACTTTGACACCGAAATAGATGAAGCTGTGCGGGAATTGGTGCGGATGATTCAAGGGGCGCAACATGGGGGATGGATATTTGAATATCCATTACTCTGTTGTTGAGCCTGGGAAACGATTTACTAATTTACGCGATATGCATGAATTGTATGTAAGCCTTGAACAAACTTAATTTGTCATTTTCCGTGACCAGGTCCGAAGCCATTTGTGCAGAAGATTTAACATTTATTGCCATTCCTCTAGGTATAATGCAGGCCACCTCATCGAAGCAGCCCTCGCCCACCATAACTTCTACAAGAACAACGAAATGCTCGCACCAATTTTGAAATACGTCTATCTATTAGCCAGGACGTTTGGAGCATCGGAAAGTCAAATCCCTGGCTACCCAGGCCACCCAGAAATCGAATTAGCGCTACTACGCCTGTACAAAGTAACCCAAGACCCCAAACACCTCCAACTAGCCCGATTCTTCATCGAGGAGAGAGGGGAACCCGCACGGCGGGAAAGAGAAACGGCATTTTTATGACGTGGAGAGAGAGGCGAGAGGGGAAAGTGAACATGATTTACCCATGTGTTATCCTGCGGCAAGAAGTTACTGGTAGGATTTTCCTTGAGACATGGGAGGACCTAGTTAGCATCTGGCGTACATACTGACAGCTAGCTATTCAGGTATCAACAAGCCCACACCCCAATAATCAACCAAGAAACGATCGAAGGACATTCAGTTCGAGCAATGTATCTCCTCACCGCAGTGGCAGATATGATCCGAATTTCCTCTTCCTCGCCCGACAACGCAAACGAACTCGGAAGCAAATACCTACCCGCTCTCCATCGACTATGGTCAAACATGATCGAAAAGAAATCTTACGTTACGGGTGGTATTGGAGCTATGAAGAAATGGGAGGGATTTGGAATTGACTACTTTCTTCCCACGGAACAGATGAGGGTGGATGCTATGCTGAAACCTGTGCGGCGATTGGGGTTATGATGTTGGCTGAACGATTGTTGCAGGTATGATTGATCTTACTCTACATACCCTATAAATACCGTTGGTTATAGGGTGAGTGGTGTGAGTGGTTCCAAGTCTAACCCTAAACAGATCGAATTAAAGAGCGAATACGCAGATATAATGGAACTCTGCCTATATAATGCAGTTCTAACTGGCATGAGTTTGGACGGGAAGGCATTCACTTATGTGAATCAATTAGCCTCATCTGATGAGGATCTATCACAGCGCCATGAATGGTTTGAGTGTGCTTGTTGTCCGCCTAATGTTACCCGGACGCTGGGGTTTCTTGGTGGTTATGTCTGGAGTCAGCGGATTGAGGAGTCGGAAAAAGCTGCAAGTGCAATTGTCAATGTGCACTTGTATACCTCTGCGATATTGCGTCTAGAGACAAAGGGATCCAACTCTGGCAGGATTCAGATAATTCAAAAAACGGAGTGGCCTTGGAGTGGTGATGTTGATTTCGATATTTCTGCCGAGGAATCGGGAGATGTCGAACTCGAACTCGAGCTGCGATTAAGAATTCCTGGCTGGGCATCTGAGTCATGGGAAGTAAGTTCAATGGCCCTATTCAGGAAGAATTACACCATGCAGCTGAATCTCTGACTAACTTTACCCAAAAGATAACCCCCCGCCCCAATAAAATCAACATCCAGGACGGATATCTCTACCTAAACAAAAAATGGGTTCACGAAAATCCAAAATTCCGATTCTCATGTCCAATGCAAGCACGCATAGTCCGACCTCATCCACTAACGATGCAGCGAATCGCATATATTACCCGGGGTCCGATTGTGTACTGTGTGGAAGATATTGATCACCCATGGGAACAAGACCATTTCAAGGTAAAATAAAACCCACGCTACCAAATTTGGCTAGCGAGATATTTTAATTGAATCATGCTAACAATACATCTTGAATACATAGCGAATCATATTCGATCCCAAAGTAGCGTTGCGAGAGGAGAGACGGTCTGATCCTGATGCCTATGTCGCTATTATTGCGGAGAAAGGTGCTCTGGGACAACTTGATACTTCCGCATGGGATGGGAAAATCGTGGCTGGCGGTGAAGGCGAAGGCAAAGACACACTTGTAGGGGAGTTGAGAGATCTTTGTTTCATCCCTTATTATCTGCGCGCAAATCGAAGAGGAAGAGGGCAGATGAGGGTGGGATTACGGGTTTTATGAAATACAGATACAAGATCTTGAATCGGAAAGGATACGAAAAATAGAAAAGTTCAAGTTAAACTACAGCAATGCAAACACTTCCAGAACACCGTCTCGTAGATTCATGTTTATAGTAGTAAGAAAAATGCCATTTCATTCCATTCCATTCGTCATGATAGTATCAACCCCGAAATCCACTTCCACTCCATGTCATGACCAAACCATAAACCACAATGTCGTACGCCACAATAGGAAATCATTCATGCATACCCTTTTAGGATTGTTTGGAATCGCACTTGGCCCTGCTCCTGCCCCACATTTAAGAAGTAGGAAGAGAGACCTGAGCAACGCCATCGGTGACCTTCTCAACAGCGTCCGCATCAACACTAGGACTCTCAGCACCACCCTTAGCAGTAGCCTCAACGCCCTTCTTCTCCTTCTTCTCCTTCTTCTTAGCCTTAGCAGCGGCCTTCTTAGCAGCAGCCTTAGCAGCCTCCTCTTCCTTCTTCGCGCGGTCAGCCTGAGACCCACCGAATGAATCGCGCCACTCATCAGCCTTCTTAGGATCAATGCGAGAGAATAGATACTTGGCCTTGCCAAGCTTGTGACCGCCCTTCAGGGTGGTGGGCTTCCAGCCGTCCTTGAGATCGTCCTTGGACGGGATGTAAATGAAAGGAGCCTCGAGCTGCTCCAAGATAGACTTCGCAGTCGTTGGCATGTATGGGGCAAAGACAGCAGAGAGCAGGTGGATCAGGTTAAGCACTGAACCGACGACGGCAGCAGCGCGCTCGGGCTCGTTGGCAATCAGCGAGTTATCCAAGCGGTTAGCTTGGATCAGACCGTTACCGGCCTCGGCAATTTTCATAGCAGTTGCAACACCAGCACGGAGGTGAACGCTCTCCATCTCGTCGATGTACTGACGGGTCAGAGTGGTGACTTCCTCCAGGAAAGGGTTGAAGTCCTCCGGGACGGTGAATTCGGGAATAACGCCGCCGTAGGAGGCAGTGACAAGCTTGATGACTCGGTTAACAAGGTTGCCCAGCTTAGCCAACAGTTCACTGTTGTTGCTGTCGACGAAAGAGCGCCACTCGAATTGGGTATCGCCAGTCTCGGGACGGTTCTTGAGGAGGTAGTAGCGCCACACATCAGCGGGGACGCCGGTATCCTTAGCATTTGTACCGAAGACACCAACACCACGGGACTTGCTGAACTTGCCACCCTCGTAGTTGAGATACTCGGTAGCGCTCAAGTGGTGGTTCATAGTCCATTTATCCCGGGTACCGATCTGGGTGGCGGGGAAAATAACACTGTGGAAAGGCACATTGTCCTTACCCAGGAATTGGTAGAGTTGGACCTCTTCAGGGTTGCGCCACCACTGCTCCCAATCCTTTGTGTAGTTGGCAGTGATCGAGGGGTATCCGATACAAGCCTCGAACCAGACGTACAGCACCTTGCTATCATATCCGTCCAGAGGAACGGGAACACCCCACTTCAAATCACGAGTGATACCACGATCCTTCAGACCCTCCTTCAACCAAGACTCGGTAATAACGCGGGAGTTCTTGGGCCAGTCACCCTTCGAGATAGACTCAGCAGACCACTTCTCAACCTCGGGCTGGAGCTTGTCGAGAAGAAGGTGGATGTGTTTCGTCTCACGGCGCACTGGGGTAGCACCATCGAGCTTGCAGCGAGGCTTGATAAGGTCGAAAGGATCGAGAAGGTGACCGCACTTGTCACACTGGTCACCGCGCGCATCATCGTAGTGGCAGCGGGGACACTCACCCTCGACATAACGATCAGCCAAGAAGGAACCGTGCTGCTCGCAGAATGGCTGCTCGGCGGTGCGCTCGCCTAGGAAACCGTTATCGTAAAGACGCTTGAAGATGGCCTGGGAGATTTCGGTGTGCTTTTCGGTAGGGGTACGTCCGAAGTGGTCGAATCCGATGCCGAACCATTCGTAGACTTCTTGATGGATCTTGTTGTACTTGGCGCAAAGCTCTTGCGGGGTCACCTTCTCCTCCAACGCCTTTGTTTCCGTGGCTGTGCCGTACTCATCGGTACCGCAGATGTATAATGTAGAGCGTCCGCAAGTCTTGTGGTATCTAGTTACAAAGTAATAATAATAATGGTTAGGAACTGAAGGTATCATATAGAATGGCGGGGGGTTCCCATATTGGCTGATTGAGTCATACCTCGCAAATACATCGGCACTCAGCACAGAGCCGACGACATTACCCAAATGAGGGACATTGTTGACATAGGGTAAAGCGCTAGTCACAAGGATATTGCGCTCGCCCTTCTTGGGCAGAATTGGGTCTGAAGTCATGTTGGGTTGGGGGGTGATGTAAAAAGAGCGTTGGAGGGGTTGCGGCGGGAAAATGGAAAAGTGGGCATCTCGTGACATTCGCCCCGCATATCAAAAATTATTTCCACGGAGCTCTTTGTTGCGTTGCTTTCATCTAACAAATCCTTGCAAATATCTGATATCTGATAGATCATGGACTCAAATATGCTGGATAGTCTTCTTGACATTGAAGAGGACTTCTATAAAGAGGGGTATGACCTGGGAGTCGCCGATGGCGCTCATGCCGGCTATACCGAAGGCAGCGTCTTCGCCGTGGAGAAGGGATTCGAGAAGTTTATAGAGCTGGGTCGTCTCTACGGGAAATCACTCGTCTGGGCTCAACGACTTGCGGACTCTAAGACGAAAGCTGAGACATCCGAGCAGTCACAGACTGCGCCAGTCAAGACCGACGCCTTGTCTCTGGACCCATCGATAAGCAAAGAATTGCCCCAATTGCCAGCACACAGCGCGCGACTCGCGAGAAATCTGCAAACGCTCATGGAACTGGTTGATCCGGCCTCTTTGGATATGAGCAATACCGAGGAAGCCGTGAATGACGTGGATGAACGGCTGAGAGGTGCGGCTGTCAAAGCGAAGCTGATCCAACGAGCTATGGGCGAAAGCGAAGACGGTGGGCAAAAGCCGGGAGATGGCACTGGAAGCATTGAAGATATCAGTGCATTGAATGTTCGTCACTGAGAGCGGGGCATATATTCATGGGGCTGTCAAGCAACTTCACCTATCGAATCCCATCATTTATCTCAATCTGAGATGTCATATCTGGCATGGAGATGTCAGCTACGCCCGGTCAAAGTACGAACATCAAAGTGCCAACAGCAATTGCAGTCTCATCTACGGCTTATACCGACGGCGCCGAAGACGAAATAATGGACACGAAGCTAAGCCCAGGTCATACTCTATACGTGACCCGTGGGCCAAACGGCTATCTCAGCAAAAGCTACGGCGCCGATCATCGATGTTTTCGCCCAAGGAATATTTCATTTCGCCCAATCTTCGAAAAAAGGAGGCCGTACCATGGGATCATGGCCCAGGATAAGCGGCACTACACATGATGTTTCCTATATCAATGTACTACTAGTAGTATATCAGCCATAAAGCCACTGGCAGACATTGAAATCGTTCAAAAACTCGAATATATTGATATCTTCATAAACCCTTCAAACCAAAGAAGGTATAACTTTTACATTCGTACCATTTCAATCATAAAACCCCCCTACAGACCCAAGCTACGAACAGCCATAGCCATAGCACCCTCCTTCGTCTTATGACCACCAATGAACCCACTAGCATGAACAAAGACCGCACCAGCAGGCAACTTATCCTGACCAGCCTTCTCAGCCTCAGTAGCCATAACACCATCAAGGTCCTGGTCGCGCACGCCTCGCCACGCCTCAGGAAGAGGCTTACGGGAGACAAAGCTACCCTCCGACTCGGAGACACACTGCACGCGCCACTTAGCATCCTCAGCCGCGCTCTCGGGGTACAAAACGTAGTAAACCTGCTCCGCACCGGCAGCCTGCGCCTCCTGCTCAAAGTTATACAGGTGTTCCTTCCATGGAACACCGCCTTGGGGCAAGATCAAGATACGGCCGGAGGAGTGGGCCTCGGTGCGAGACTTGTAAGCATTGCCGACAGTTGTGCGAGCGGGCATCCACGAGTTAGCAGCCTGGTGCAGTTTGCGGGCGAAAACGTTTCCGATTAGAGTACTAGCGCGGCCGAAGAGGGAGTCTTCATCCTGGGGTTCACCGGGGGGGACTGGTCGGGTCGGGGTTGTTCATGTCGTTGACGATGGAGGCGAGAGTGACACCGCCGTCCTTGAAGCGCTTCTCCAGATTGGCGGCGGATAGGGCAGCGGGATCGTAGGCGGAGATACCGTTGTCATTGGCGTCAATGGCTTCGATGAAGTCGGTGTACAGCTTCTCGTACAGTAGGTCGACGTCCGCGTGGTCTTCGGGTAGGGATAGGTGTTGGGCAATAATGGCGCGGCCGAAGTGCATGTACACCAGGCCGGCGGAGGAGAGCTTGGTCTCATGCTTGGGAAAGAAGGTGGAGAAGGTGCGCTGGTGGTGATCATAGCGGTTGATGGCGGCGTCGTAGACACCGCCGACATCGACGACGGTGTGGCATTCTTCCAGTTGGGCGGGATCGCGGGTGCGCACGAGTGGAGAGGAGGCGTAGGTGGGCAAGAGACGGAGCAGGTAGACGGCTAGAGCTTCGTCGGCGTGGAAGTGGCCGCTAGAAAGGATCGAAGTTAGCTTTCTATATAGCTCCAACGCGGGGTAAGGGCAATGGTAATGGCAAGCTCTTACTTGTGAGTCCCGATCAAGGGGGACGAGGTCTTGAGCTTCTTTGCAACAGTTTCGGCCATTTTGAAGTATTGACGAGCACGAAACATGCACTTAATTGGGGATTGAATTGAGTAGTATAGAAAAAGCGGACTCTCGGGCGACCCTAGGCTATTATGAACTGCTCAACGCTGGCTGGTCCATCTTATCGCAGTGTCCGAATCAGGTAGGTAGGGCAAGATAAGGGGGGTTACCTGCTATCACGTGCATGATGCCCAGTAGTGTCACGTGCACATGCATTGCACCCCCACGGGAGTAAGAACAGTCTTGTACAGGTACTTATATCTCTAGCATTCCAGTATGTACTGCCAAGTACCAGTACGTCCATCTAGTTGATGCAATCCAATCTGATCACTCTCCACGATCCAGTGAGAGCACGAGTTCCAGACGATCGTGGTTAAACTTTTGCACATCACAAGCTGATAGATGCAATACCAGCAGGCACTAGCTACTACATAGGCACCAAGCACTAGACACTAGGCATACCCTGGGACTCACTGGACTATCTCGTAATTCACCATCGCCAGATCGTGCTTTGACCGCCACTAATCTCGAATCTCTCTAACTCATTATCCTGGTTTTTCTCTTTATTCTCAGACATTCTTTTCTCATCTGTCTCCATACAATAAATACTATTCTCTACTGAAAGAGTGCATACCAGTGCATCCCATCCCATCCCATACATACCATACATACCATACATACCTTCCCTCTCCACCGCCCTTCCGCACGTGAAAGAAAGGGCTGATAAGCTCAAGAACAGAAAAAGAAAAATAAAGTCATCAGTCGTGTGCCTCCCCTCTCCCTCTCTCTCTTCCTTCCCACCACTTCCGTCCCCTCTGCGCGCCCCGCGCCTCTCTCTCGCCCTCCATGTGGCTCTTTCGGGTCTTCTCGTCGGCCATCTTCCTCGCCGTCACCGTCTCCTCCATCCCGCTGGCCTTCGACGTGGGAGGAAAGACGTGCGGTCTGGCCTTTTCGCTATCCCTGGCCACCTTCTACTTCCTCTTCTCCTTGTTGAGGCTGACCACTCCCGAGCGCTCATGGATTCGCTCTTCCCTGATCGTCATCATTCGCTCTACGCAATGGGTCCTCATCCCCGTCTTGTTGATCTGGTCCCTGAACCGCTTCTCGGTTGATCCCGACCATAACGGTGGTTGGGTCGAGCGCACCTTTACTGGGAAACGCGCGCAGGATGGCTCCATCAACGAATGGCTTTTCGGTCGTGATGGCTTGGTGGAAACCGTCACTCTGGGTAACTGGGACCGTTTGTTGCGATGGTCTACCCCCGTCTTTCAACTGGCCGAAGGCTTCTGCAGCCTGTTGGTCATTCAGGCCGCCGGGCAGATCACCCGATGGCTCGTGAATCGCGGTGGTCGAAGTGATAGCTGGATGGTATGTTGAGAACTCCCCAGGCGCGGTGATCGCGAATGAACAAGTGAACTGAACTGACCTCTTTGACTTGCACAGATCGGTCTACTCGTCCTCTCAGCAACAATCATCTCAAGCTCCGTCTATTTCCTCTGGCGCGTCCTCCAATTCCCCGAGATCTCCAATGTTGACGCGGCTCTGATCGGCGTCTCGGTGACCTGCGCTGTGATCCTATGCGCCTGGGGAATCGGCAGCGGCCGTGGTAACCCCGTCGAGAGCTCCCTACTCTTCGCCTACATCGTACTCTGCATCTACCAGATCTTCACCGACTACCAGCCCTCGCATCCCGTTGAACAGATCCCCACGCCTTCGCAGGCAGGCGATTTTCCCCCTCTCCCGCCCATCTTCATGGCTTCGTACACGACTCTCATGCACGCGCTCTCTCTTCTCCCTTCGATCATCCACGCCGGGTTCAACGTTATCACCGCAGTCTTCAGCGCCGTCACACCATCCGTTCTGATTTCGCTCGCCTATCGCCTTTTGGTACTGTACGCATCTACGCGCATTATTCCGGCCGTCCGTGAAGCTGGTGCTCGCGCTCTTTCCCAGGAGGCTTCTCTCGACGACTCGGATGCGGCGGGGCAAGTTCTTGGCTTCATGAGCTACTTCGCCCCGTCCATCCTCATCGCTGTCTACACGAGTCTCTTGATGCAGCACTTCGCATCTGCGTCTCAAGCTATGGGAGGCAGCGGCGAGTGGTGGAGTAGTCAGGGCGGCGGTGGAGGCAATATGTGGCGATGGATTAACCTGGCCTGCACTATGGGTCTGTACGCCGTTGAGCTTTGGCTTGGAGAAAATGACGATCTCGATCACGGTCTCGCTGGACATTGGAAGACAGACTGATTTGATATCGACTTGTTCCACCCTGGCTTACTCCAGGTCTCGCAAGGTCGTCTCGCAAAGTCGTCTCGATCTTCTTCTATCTCTATGCGTGGCAAGGCAGAATAGATATCCTGCGGTGGTCGTCCACCTCTGACCCAACCCCCACTGGCATAACCACCGCAAAACAGCAAGCACCTTGGCCGTGAGTCACGGTCTCCTAGCTTGTCTAGCTTGTTGAACAAAGCCAGGGACCCGACCCCATCTTCCATTTCCGGTGTCTCCACTTTCAAATCGATTTCCCGTCGCCATGTATCTCGCATGTCCACGGATATTTGAAATTGATCTAACCACGGTGAATAATCCCCCTTTTATCCGGATCGCAACTAGCACCACCCACCCTACCTCCACCCGGCGATTTCCCCATATGAAGCTATACACGGGCGCATTTGGATAACCCCTACCCCACCATCCCTGGCCTTTGTGACACTTCGCTTTTCTCTCTGTGCATGTATAATCCGTTTCCATCCCCAAGTCCCGTCCCATCCCGTCCCATCCATGTCTCGAGGCAGCGCATAATACCCCCCATTTGTGTACGGGCAATGCATGGAATTTCCTGCGTCCCATGTCCCACGTTCCATCTTCCACGTCCCACATCCTGTTTTCCGTGACTTATCTCGGAGACTATCCTATCCTATCCTATCCACCACTCTACGTTGACCCTACTACGGGGCCCTACCCATTTCATGACCCAATCGCAATGATACCAGACGCAATTTTCTTTGCAAATTTTCTTTTTCTTGCATTACCTTATCCCCTGCCCATATCCCGGGTATGTTGGCTTGGCACTACACTACACTACACTACACTACTTATACCCTTTATCGCTTTATCCAATCTGGCTTCGCTTCGCTTCGTTTAATCGAGTTGTCTCGACTCGACTGACACGATCATAATACTTCTCATGCCCGGGCCTCGGTAATGTCGTGCTGTGATCATCAGCTTTTGCTGTGCTGTGCTGTGCTGTGTACATAAAATACCCTGATAATTTCGGGCAAAGTAAGAACATAACATAAATCTGTGAACGTGAGCGTGATTATTGTTCGTATGAATTCTTCATGAAGGGTCAGATAAGACTAGAGGACTCGATATTCGGTATATCATGTCACTCGCGTAGACTAGGGACCATACACCGACCTTAGACGCTGGAACAACATGAATACAAATACACAGACAGAGGCATAGTTACTCGCTATACTATACTGTTACTAGTACTCTTTCAAGTAAATAGACAAATTGTGAAGAGAAGATAAGAGAAAAGAAAAGAAAAAAAGAAGAATCAACAAGTAGAGACGAGAAAGATGAAAGATAAAGAAAACAGGTTCATTCTTCCTCATTTCTCACTTCCTGCCCTGCCCTGGCTCCTAATACCTCGCCTCGCCTTGCCATGCTATGCTATGCCTTGCACTGCAGCGCACGACAATGCCAACGGAAAAAGAAAACAAAAACCCGAACTCATCATCCCCATAGCGCCAGGCTTTTGAAAATAAAAACCAGAGTGAAAAGAAAAAACGAAATCATGAAATCCCAACCCGTCAAAACGATAAGCATAACACAGACAGACTCAAAGACAGAAATTCACAACACGAAACAAAACAGAACCATGCAATGCATCTCGATGAAGATAGGAAAAGAAAAGACGTAGATAGAAGAAAGGAAAAGGCGTGGTTTTCAGTCGTGAGTATGAGCGTGAATGTCGGAATGAGCATAGGCATAGGCATAGGGACGGGCATAAAATCAACCAACCAAGAAATCAGTTAATCAATTCAAACCCCAGACCCGGGACAGCCCAGCCCAGCCCACGCAGTCGCCCTTCCTGCCACTCACTCCATATTCAACTTCACTTCAAACCCTAACCCCCAACCCCTCCACCTCACCGCTGAATAGGAACACCCTCCCTCGCAACAGGGGGGACTAACACTCCCATCCTTCTCCTCACCATCCTTCCCAAAATCACCGGGACCACTAGACCCCTCACTGAGACTACTACCCCGATGCAAAAAGCCCCCCTCCTTAGCCGGGCTGCCCCGATTCTGGAATCCCACAGAACCAGGATGACCACTGATAGTTCCTGGAATCTGTTGGCCGCCCTGGGCACTGATGCTTCCGCCTTGGGCGCTGATGCTGCCACCGCCGTTGCCGGCCGCGGAGGGGTTGTTGGTTCCCGGTGAGGTCGCGGTTAGGTGGGGGATGTTTTCGGGGACCGGATGGCGGGATCCGATGCTTGTTACGTCGGAGGCTTTGCCGGCTTTGCTTAGGGCGTAGTCGCCTGAGTCGAAGTATTTGCGTTCCTGTTGTGGGTGGGTTGTTAGATTGGGAGAAGAAGTAGAGTAGCGGTGACGTTGTGAGCGGGAGGGGAGGTGGAGGTGGAGGTGGGTGGTGGTGGTCATCCATCACTAGGAACTAGCTGATGGAGAGGAGGCCGACGGGTGTGCTCTGCTCTGCTCGACTCACCTTCAGTTTATTCTGGAGGAGGTCTTTCTTGTTGGGCATTTTGCCGTAGAGGCGGAACAGGCGCTGTTCGTCCGAAGACATAGCCTGGAGGGGTCAATACCATACAATACAAGGTTGAATAGAAAGGGTGCTGCGACCGGTGGGGGTGGGAGATGGGAGATGGGAACTCACGTTGATGTCGACCTTGTTCTGCTGATGAGGATTCATGATGGGTGGATGGATGGTAGGAGGGGAGGATGGTGGAGGAGGAGGGAGAGAGAGAGAGAAGAAGAGTTGGAAGTTCGAAGTCCGAAGTCCATGACGGTGGAGTCCCCTCAAGCTGTGAAGCGCGGGGTGAGTACGAGTGTACAACAGTACAGCAGTTTACATTACACTACGCTACACTACAGTTTATGTATTTGACATTGTTAAGCTATATTTATTATTGATTAAATAAATATATTGTATTTATTATATATTACATTTAATGATACTTTAAATCCCAGATACACTATACCTACACCTCCTCCACCGCCGTATCTCATCGACGACCCGCATCCGCACATTCCTCCATCACACTTTTCTCCCAACCCCGCCGCCATGAGCCAAACGACACAAAGGGCCTTCGTGGTCGAACACCTTGACCCCGAGCTGGGTCCATGGTCCGCTCTCGAATACGGCTGCATCGCTCGCGAATCACATGAGCGTGGCGCCCGATTCCTGCTCAGTTCCGTGCCCGCAGAGCTGCAGATGCCCGCCGACCTGGCAGCCACCAAGGGCCTCGAAGTGGAACAGCGCAGTGTCGAGGATATTTTCGCTGATAAGAAGGAGCGTGTTTGTCTGCTGGACCCCGCTGCCCAGGTTGAATTGAGTCCTGAGGATGGTGATAACTTTGATGTCTTTCTCTTCGGCGGTATTCTCGGTATGAAATGAGCCCTTCTACCAGCTTGCGTATAACCCGGGTTGTGGTTATAGACTGCAAATCTATGTTCTTGCTACAGTTCTCCCTTCAGGGGTACCGCACGCAGCATTGAGTTTGAAGGCTAACATATACTCTTATTTCCTGGGTGACTGCAGGCGATGACCCTCCTCGCGGTAAGTTGCTCCCTCCTCCCAGCTGTATGGAGTACATGTATGTATGTACCCTGTATCAGGGTATGTCTCGCTGACGACAATATCAATTGTAGATCGCACCTCCGAATTGAGGAAGAAGGGCTATGTCGGCCGCCGCCTGGGACCTAAGCAGATGACGACCGACACCGCGGTGCGCGTTACTCGTCTAGTCGTGCATGAAAAGGGTAAATTTCACCTACCTCCTTCTATATACTCCATCCACTGAGCCAGTGCTAACTCCTCCAGTCCCCCTGGAACAAATCTCTTACGTCGACTACCCGGAAATTCTGATCAACGAGCACGAACGGACTGAAATGCCGTTCCGCTATGTGAAAGATGCCGCTGGCCAGCCAATCATGCCTCCGGTGAGTGCCCCTCCATCAACGCTAAGATATTTAGGACTTAGGGGCTTGTGCTGATACTCTTCAGGGGATGGTGGATCTGATTAAGAAGGACGCCGACAAGTCTATCGATCTATTCTAAACATGCGGGAACTCCGGGCGTGGCTGGGTTGTTCCGCCGGTCAGATCAAAAGTATTTATATCTGTTTCAAGTTCATACATACCTTTTTTCCTCCGTACTCGTATTTATCCTCTCCTATTTTTCTCCCATCTTATTCTGCTCCTCTTTGGGCCAGTCTTTTTCTATAGACCGCCCGAACAGGCAAGGGGTAGTGAGCATCATTCAGTTATATACAGTATTGTACCCGTATAACCTTAATACCACCAACGCAATCCCGTAAGATACACATAATACCAATACCATACCACATACCCAACAAGGCCACGCCAGCCTGTCCGTTTCGTCATCCTTTGAACCGCCTTCACCTTCACCTTCACCTTCACCCTTTTGCTCTCGCAACACACACTTACACTTCTTGTACCTTCATTTGCAATTCCCAAATTCTCCGCTCTTTCCCCTCTTTTCATCCCGGCTTCGATGATCGCTTGATTCGCGCATCGTCTGCGCCGGGCCTCTGCATTTGCATCTGCCATCCCTTCCCTACCCAAATACGAGTACCCTATGATTGCGACCAACGCCAGCGCCAATCCGCCAAAATGATCCCCATACCTTCCTTCGCCCGCTCAAAGGGCAGCGCCTTGGTCGCGCTATCTTGGACCCTCGCCCTATTATCGCCCTCACTAGCGACGGCCAAATCAGCCGCCGATTACTATGTTCACGATCTTCCGGGCGCGCCGGCTGATGGGCCACTCTTGAAGATGCACGCTGGGTGAGTTGAAGTGATGCGCGGAGGGAAACAAACCCTTCATTATACCTACCCTCCCCTCCACTCCGAGGTTCTCCATACCTAAATATTCTTCTCAATCTAATCATCTTCAATTCCACCTTAGCCACATCGAAGTCGACCCAAAATCAAACGGCAACCTATTCTTCTGGCACTACCAAAACCGCCACATCGCAAACCGACAGCGAACAGTGATATGGCTGAACGGTGGTCCGGGCTGTAGTTCCATGGACGGTGCATTGATGGAAGTCGGCCCCTACCGCGTGACGGAAAATCAGACATTGGAATATAATAAGGGTTCTTGGGACGAATTTGCCAATTTACTCTTTGTCGATCAGCCTGTTGGAACCGGGTTCAGTTATGCGGAGACGAATAGCTATTTGAAGGATTTGGATCCGTTGTCGGCTCATTTTATGGTGTTTTTGGAAAAGTTCTTTGGCTTGTTTCCTGAGTTTGAGAAGGATGATGTGCGTGAATCCCTTTCCGAGGAGAGAAGCCAATGCTAATTGGTAACAGATCTATCTCGCCGGCGAATCCTGGGCCGGTCAATCGATCCCATACATCGCCAAAGCAATCCAAGAACGAAACAAAGCCGCAAAGCAAAACGGTAAATCGAAATGGCCGCTCAAAGGCCTACTTATTGGCAACGGCTGGATCTCGCCCAAGGACCAATACCCGTCATACTTCGACTTCCTCGAACGAGAAGCTCTCATCGAGCAGGGAACTGATACTTACAAGAAGCTCGACGCACTGAACAACTACTGCAAGACGAAATTGGGAGAGTCCGAATACAAAGACTCACTCAATGTGGAACCTTGCGAACTCGTCATGAGAGAATTCCTGGATTTGACCAAGGAAGCAGGCGAATGCTTCAACATGTACGACGTGCGTCTAAAGGACAAAATCACCAATGGCTGTGGTATGGGCTGGCCTCTTGATCTGGACAACGTAACCCCCTACCTCCGACGAAACGATGTCATCAAAGCTCTAAACATCAACCCGGCAAAGGCATCTGGCTGGGACGAGTGCAACGGTGACGTCGGGAGTGCGATGTCAACGCTAAATTCCAAGCCTGCTATCACCCTTCTCCCTGACCTAATCGATTCCGGCATCAACATCCTCCTCTTCAGCGGCGACAAGGATCTCATCTGCAACCACATCGGAACAGAAACAATGATCCACAACATGAAGTGGAAAGGAGGCTCAGGTTTCGAAACAGCACCCGGAGTCTGGGCTCCACGCCATGACTGGACCTTCGAAGGCGAACCAGCCGGTTACTACCAGCACGCGCGAAACCTAACCTACGTTCTCTTCTACAATTCCAGCCACATGGTCCCCTACGACCAACCCCGACAAACCCGCGACATGCTAGACCGCTTCATGAAAGTCGATATCGCCAGCATAGGCGGTAAACCAGCCGACTCACGCATCGACGGAGAAAAATTACCCCAAACTTCCGTCGGCGGTCAAACAAACAGTACAGCAGCGGAACAACAAGAAGAGAAGAAAATCAAAGAGACCGAAATGAAGGCATACACTAAATCTGGCGAGGCAATTCTAGTCGTCGTCATTATCGGAGTCCTTATCTGGGGCTTTTTCATTTGGCGCAGTCGTCGCTCGCATAAGGGGTACTATGGCGTTCACAATCACAATACTAGTACTTCCGAAATCGTGCCTCGGTCGGTCCTGGATCGATTCGGAAATAAGCGCTCGACTAATGATGTCGAGGCTGGTGATTTTGATGAGTCTGAGCTTGATGATCTTCAATCTCCTGGTATTGACCGTGAGCATTATGCTGTTGGTGATGTTAGCGATGAGGAAGAAGTGGACGCGGGGGAGGGCGATCATCTTCATGATACTCGTGCCGAGGGAAAAGGAAAACGTGGCAGTCAGCAATGATTTGAAAACAGCATATCGCAGGCGTAGGCAGGGGTGCCTTTCGTTTTTTTTGTTGCTTTTTGTTTGTGTGATTCCCCATTTTTGATGTGCATATCACAGAGTCGGGTCGGGCCGTGCGTCTAGTTTAGTCTTGGTATGGGGTGAAGGAGTCCTATACTGGGTGCTAACTAGTACGTCGGATTTGACTTGGACATTTCTATAGAATAAATGTTAAATATATCCATTGCTATGTATTCAAGTTATTTGGTACCCACTGGTGATTAATGAGTAATTTCCCATGCTCATAAGGGTATTAATAGCGTGGTGCCAGGCTGATCTAATCTGATCTGATTAGCCGAATCCAAACCCGATCCGATATCTGGTTCCCGCAAGTGTACCATCGCCCAATGGATCGGGATGGAGAGGGGAAGAGAGGCCTCGTAGCATCAATCGATCATTTGAAAGACTTTGAACACCGCTTTCTAGACCCGACCTAGCTTCAAGTTCAAGTTTTCTCTCTGCTAAGGTATTCTTTCTACATATCCTTCGCAATCTCTGACAATGTTCCTGTTACTTAGGTTGTAGTCAGCGGTCTCCATAGCTTCTATCTTCATGACCTTTTACACCTCCCTCTCTAACACAACACACAACACACAAAATACTACTACATTGTACTTCACATATTACGCTCCGTATTCCTAGCTCCCATGGGGAAGGTCGGGAAATGCGTCACGCTGGAAAGTTGATTCAATTTCAAGTTCCTGGTCTGATTTACATTCTAGGTGCTGTGCATTGGAAACCCGCTACAGGTATAGTATGGAGACTTGGAGATAGGAAAGAAGACAATTTTATAGAGGTGGTATTGGTCAGGGTAGAAAGGAGATGGGGTTGAAAAAAAGAGAGAGGGAAAATAAAGAAAACCTGAAAGACTCGCAGAATGGAAAAGAAGAAAATGGAGGATGAGGGGTTTCAGCTGGGAAGCAGCATTGGATGCATCACCCTTGGTGATGTTGATAGTTGATAGATCACATTAAGATCGGCCTCGTGGTTCCAACATATATTATACTTGGGCTCGGTTTAGTTCCGGGGCTTGGTTCAGGTCAAAGAAATAGAGTGAGTCGATTTTCTATTCCATCGGGTATCTTCTAGAAACTTAAGCTCTCTGATTTCTTGGCAATTATCTGCTAATTCCATCCAATATTTAGAAGGAGCTTACAGCAATGAGTTCTCCTATCTCCAGAGACACCCCAGATTCATTTATCATACAAGCCTCTTAGTCTTCACGCCCCCATCTCCCTTTTCCTTCATAGTCTTAATAATTTCATCCAGGGTTATCGGAGAGGTAATTTCGAAGACATCAAGACCAACGCAATACCAGAAGTAAAACTTTCCCCCGGCTTCAAACAGGTAGGCATGGTCTGTGCAATGACACATAATCGGACGGCCTCTCCCAAGATTCAACTGTTCACATATATGTTGTCCGAATCTATCCTCCGCCTCCCAGTTATCTTCGTACTCGAGGTCCTGGGCTTTGAGCCCCACCCGGACGGTGGGTCCTTTTATCTGCATTAGCGTTGGATACAAAATGAATTGGCAGCGATAAGCTTACCACGATGTCCATGATGTTGGTTTCGGCAATAGATTGGAGTGGGGGTTGTGATGAGGGAATAGGTAGGTCGGAAATGCGTCATTAACGGTTAGGGACTCGGAGGATTAAAGGCCTGAGGCAGACATCTACTCCGAGTCTGTGTAATACTAAGCATGATACCCTGAACTCTATATAATAAGGGCCTTAAGGTATTTATGCTGCTGTGTTCAAGTTATATAATCTTCAAGCTTCTTCAAGAAATATCTGTATTTGCTGTACCTTCCACTCAAAGTCCTTCAAAGTCTACACCCCGTGAGTACATAAAGATCAGCCAGTTTCAAACCAGCTAACCATATTTAACAGATGCTTAAGTAGTGAAATTGGCGTTTGGGAGAGGAAGTGGTAATGTAATGTAATTGTGGCAGTGCATATATCAGAGTTCTATTTATCTTGCCGTGTTCTCCTTGTAGGCAGCATTGCTGCAATCCATATATCCAGATCAGTATGTATAGACATCATAATTATTCCTGTAAATGCCCAGCCTTATCACTTCAAACGGCCCTACATTGGGACGTCCAATGGTAGGATCGAGTAAATCCTTCAGCGTTCCGGTCCCGTTTGGAGATTCAAGGGGAGCTGATTCCTTAAAAGTGGTTTCCCCATCATCGTAGATAAAATCTTCTACCTCTTTTTCAGCCCATATAACTCCATAATCGGGGGGGCCACCCCCAAGCGAATCTGACACCCCAATCTTAATCGTGGGTCTGGAGATTGGATTTAGGTCTCGCCACGATGTGTTGTCAAATACCATTCGGCGGATCATTTTGAGCATTCTATGCCAGTCCCCAAGATCATGGAATTCCATCACAGTAAGCTCAATAGATCGGATGAATTTTGGCAGGGTGGGGAGAAAGGAAATGCACTCATCCTCTGAGATTACAAAGCCGGAGAGTTCAAAGTGGCGCAGCTTCGACCATTTTTCCACGGGCACGATGTCATTCAAGGATATCCGTGGGTATTGTCCCTCGGCATGAATATCCTCATCGTATGTTGTGTGCAGCCTGAGCTCCTCCATTTCTGTTGCGCCACGTAGTGCATGGCATAGACGACCATTCCGAAGAGATCGCCAGCATGCTTCAAGGTCTGACTCCACTTCTCCGCCAACAAGGAGTGAGATATCAAGACGACGAAACCCTGGGTTTTTCAACACCTTGACAAACTGATCATACTCTTCGCAGGGCTCGTCGAACATTGTGCAGTTGATTCCCGTAGGTAGGAAGCTGGAAGTCATCACGAGCTCAGAAACAGAATTAGGTTCATTGGCGAGTACTCGCATTACGGTTTGGAAGCCCCGATACTGTGCTCTGAGCTCAGGGTAATGATTCCACGCGTACGCAGTGGCAGGTTTATCTTCTTCAGTGTACAGCCAACCATGTGGAATAGGGTAATTAAACCCTTTAGGGAATGCTCGAATCATTGGGGTCGGGTAAAGCGGAGAGAAGAGGTAACCATGGGCTGCAGGTGTGATGGTAACTCTTTTCAGAGCAGGGAACTGTTTCACGCCAAATAAGAATACTTCGTAGTCGCTATCTCCGGCCAGCACATCCTTTTGCTGACACAACAAATGTTGATAATGTTGCCAGCATTGCCCCAGTGGAGGCTGAGCCTGGATCTGCGCTCTACACGCAATATATTCGGGTGTATCTTTATCGTCATATTTGCGGTTCCTTATAATGCGGAGGTTTTCTTCACAGACTTCTTTGAACCATATAGGGCACGCGCTCTCTTCATCATATTCATGTCGCTCCATGAGTTTCTCTTTAAAGTAGTCGTGGTAATGTTCAGCCCATTCTCTGGTGTTATTGGGCTCATCTTCGTCTGAGAGTAATTCGTGACCCTCATCAGTTTGATCCATTCGTTTGGGACCCCGTGGTAAGCGTGCCTCATCCCAGATAACTTCAGTCACAGAATGGCGGAACTTCTCGTGAGATGCAATATTGCGAAAGACCTCTATGTTGAGTGGGTTTGCGGATAGAAAAACACGGTCAAGGCGTAGAGGGACTGCGTTGTAGAATAGAGTACATGTCAGGCGTAAAGTCTTGATATCGGCATTGGACAAATAGAAGGCGATGCAGCCCCATAGCTCGAATGGTAGGGGGGCGAGGTTTGCACAAGTCATGATATACTATCACGATCGTTTTTGGAAGTCGGTTGGGGGTATAACGCCGCTTTATACCTGGCAACTGGTTCAGCCCCCACTGTTTACCGCCCGCATTCAACACAACTGCTACCAGCGTGAGTTGACTTCCTCCTTTGAGTGGGGTTTTTTGACACCTTGAACGGTTTCTCGAGATCCTTCCAAGGGGCCCGGTGAGCTGCATTATAGTTTGGACATGTGAATACTGGTGTACTAGTTAGCGGGTAAGCCTAGGGATTACTAGTATTGATGGTGAAGGCTGAACTGCCTGAAGGACTTCGTATAAAACCAATCAGATAAAAGCTCTGAGGTTGAACCACCCCATTTCATGATCTGAAATTCAAGCAGCAAAAGAATGGCAATTGGAGAGTAGAGTACAGAGAGTGCAGAGAGTATAAAGAGAGAGATGATGTTGCATTACTAATCACGGATGACTAACTCAGCCTCACCCCTCTACTCTGATTTACTATAGTCGATTACCTAGATTATTGTATAATAATAACTAAGAACTAGGTTCAATTTAAGAAATACTAACACTAGTACTAGTACTCAAATCAAACTATCCCATGAATAAAAACTCCATGACCGAATAGTACTGTCTTCCCACTATATTGCTACTATACCCGTTCACCTGATAAGCTAATTGCGGCCAAAATTTCCCCTCCGCCCACTTTCCTCCGCACGCCCACCATCTTCACCCCTCACCCTCACCACCTCACCACTCCTTCTCTCCTTCACTCTCCCACACAGCCATTCCCACCATGGCACAAACCAATTCACACCTCACCCTCCTCTCAGACCTAACACCCCCCTCCCTCGAACGAACCTGGCTCACATCCCCACATCCCACCCTGCCCATCGTCGCAACCTGCAGCTCCGACAAAACAGTCCGAATCTACTCCCTCACAAACTTCAAGCTCCTCTCCACAATAACCGGCGGCCACAAACGCAGCGTCCGCACTGCAGCCTGGAAACCACACATATCCGGCGAAAGCGTTCTTGCCACAGGCTCCTTCGACGCGACAGTCGGTATCTGGAGACGATGGGATAATTACGGCGCCACAAACACCACCGAAGAAAACCACACCAACCTTACCGAAGGCGCAGACGACGCCGACACCGAAGACGAAGAATGGCGCTTCGCCGTCCTCCTAGACGGCCACGATTCCGAAGTAAAATCCGTCTCCTGGTCTCCGTCAGGAATGCTCCTCGCAACATGTGCAAGGGACAAATCAATCTGGATCTGGGAAGATCTCGATGACGGCGACAACAATTTCGAAACCGTCGCCGTGATGCAGGAACATGGTGGTGATGTGAAATGTGTCTCTTGGCACCCTGTTGAAGAGTGTCTTGCGTCTGCGGGATACGATGATACGATTCGACTTTGGAGGGAGGATCTTGATGATTGGGGTCAGGTTGCTTGTATCAAGGGTCATGCGGGTACGGTTTGGTTTTTGGATTGGGAGGGTGTTGATACCACGCCTGCGTCAGCAGCAGGAGCAGTTTCTGCGGACCTGCAACGCCAATGGTGTGAACAAGTTTCCCTCTCCGGTCCAAGACTAGTATCCTGCTCCGACGACCGCACAGCACGAATTTGGCGCCGTGTTCCGAAAGAAAGTGTCAGCGGCACGGCGCTGTCTTCAGCCGCGACGGGAATTCCGAGTATCATTCGGCCGACGGGGACGGATGAGAATTGGGAGGAAGATGCTTGCCTTCCTCATGCGCATGAGTTGGCTATTTATTCTGTTGCTTGGAGTCGGCGGACGGGACTTATTGCGTCTGTTGGTGCTGATGGGCGGATCGTGCTTTATGAAGAGCGATTTGTGGAGGGTGGGCCCAGCACTGATGCTGGTGCTGATGCTGGTGCTGATGCTGGTGCTGATGCTATGGATACGACTGATGACGCTGCCCCTGTTCAGTCTTCGTCTTTGCGAACAGAGTGGTCGATTGTTGCGGTTGTGGATGGGGCGCATGGGATTTATGAGATTAATCATGCGGCTTGGGCGAAGAGGGCGGATCGGGGTTCTGAGAGTACTAGTACTAGTACCAGTCCCAATGAGGAGGAAGTGCTCGTTACGACTGCGGATGATGGGAGTGTTAAGGTGTGGAGTTTCCAGCGGTAAATGGATTCTGTGAATGAGATGGATGGGATTGGATGCATATATCATGTCATGACTTAGAACTCGGATCGAATTGAGGCCGCTGGCACTCTCCAGAGGCAAGATCCGGTATAAAAATGAATGCTCAAGTACATTTCAACTACAAATCAAAATACAAATGAAAGTAGTACACAATTGAGTACTTGACACCATGATCCTTAGTATCATTACCATGCATGAATAAAATAAATTGCAAAACCACAGTTAAAAACGGATCTGACCTAAACGCCTATTGCCTATACAAAATGCGCAATACCTGCCAATCTGCCCGATGGTCCCATTCCAGCCAGCATAGTCACTTAAAAACATAAACTTCAAAAACTTGAAAAACGCCCCCGATCCCATTAGAAAAATCAACTTATATGTATGATGATATGATGGATGTATGCATCATCCAGACCAAACCAAACGCCGCCCATTACTGCGAAACACCTTCTTCATATACACGTTCATAAACAGCTCCATGGCAAAGCCAATCCACCTCCCGAACCTTCTCAAGCTCATCAACCAGTTTGCCGACCTCATTCACAAACTCCGGCATTCCCGCACCAGCAAGGCTCTGGCTAGCTGTTGTCGTTGCCCGGACTCGCTCTGAGGCACTAGACGCACTGAGACGGGAGAGGACGTGGCTTCGTAGGCGGGAGAGCATTAATTTTGCAACGGGGTCTGAGAAACTAGGCGCTGACGGTGCATTTCCGTTTCCTCCATTCTCAGCGAGTCTCGAGAGATCCGGATTAATTTGCACGGACTGCGGGGCAGCGGTAACGGCAGCTTTAGCAACAGGAGCCAAGACCCGGCGAATCGTCGAAGAAAGTTGTGCGCTGGCATTTGGTGGCATTGGGTGTGTGGACTGTAGAATGGACTGGACACGCTCGGCACTTATTTCATTAAAGTCCAAAGACATGATTCTGTCAGCCTCAGCCTTCCAATGGGAGCGAGCATCTCTTTTCAACAAATTTTTGGCCGTCAGTAAGATCGACGCGGTCGCGACGATTTGGAAAGCTTTGGCGTGTAATCGCTCCAGACGTTGCTGATCAAGTACCAATGTCTCTGGAATTAGATCTTCAGAGACAACGGCGTTACTCAGGACCAGATCTGCGATACCGTAGGCGTAGACTCGTGATGCGGATGGTTGAGGATCGCCGTGGATACTCTCCGGATCTCGTTTCTTCATTTCATCAATAATCATCTTGCGATGGGTTCGCCAGAAGCGGCGTGTTTTGCTTAGACCGATTGAGCCATCGGTAATGCCCTTGTCGAAGGTTCGTTGCTCGTAACCCGGTGCTTCTTGGATTAGTTGGGGTGCTGCAACTTGGATCATGAAGTTTGTATGATCTAGCGATAGTAGGTCGATTATTCCCATCAGTCGGGCCAGCTTGTCAATGGCGTCTCCTGAATTGTCTTCGGCAAAAGCTTTGACTGCGGGATCACGGTATGGAGCGCACAGACGGGGCAAGATATTGTTCATGAAATCGAAAAAGTTCTCATAAGAGAAGCTTCCCGCTTTGCACTGGCTTTCAACCAGTTTTGGATCCAGTACTTCGCTGATGAGTACGTAGAGCGAGTTGCCGGGTCGCAGTGAGCGCAACAGTCGGTCCTGAATGACAGTGGCCATGGCAACAGTCCAGCCGGTGCCATGCCCTGCTTCGACATCCTGCCTCATTTGCTCACACATATGTTCCATAATTCTTTCCCGGGGACCCGTGTATGAATTTTCCTCGATCTTAAACTCTTTGTTTAGGAGTAGTTCATGAACTAGCTCTCGGTTATCAGGTAGAGCTGTGAGGATCTTGGTAAAGCGTTCGTGTGGGGATGTGCGCTGCTTCTCGAGTTCGTGAAGAACTGTGGAATCAATGTTGTTGAACGATTCACTGATGGGAGATGTGACGTTTTCAGACAAAACATCCGTTGACGAAGCTTCAGCCACCTCGGCGGATCGAGGGATAGCTTGCTTAGAGGAAGACCGCCTCTTCTCTCGCTTTGCCTTCTTGAGCGAGACCCGGATCATTTCCATGGCACGATCAGACCCCGCGAGGCGCTTGAGTCGAGCTAGAAGTAGAATCTGGTTCTGTCGAATACCCTGTCGATAATCCTCCGCAACGCCACCAGCTTGATCATCTTTGACGGTCTGCCAAATGAGCTCCAATTCAACAAACTGCGCAAGCATAATCTCAATCAAGACTGTTGAATCATGCGACTTCCAGGCATGGAAAGCCGAGAAAAACACATTATGAGACTCGCATAGTATTTGAAGATCCGCGGTGATAACTGTCGGCGAACAGCAACCGGACGAAAGCAACGCAGTAACCTGGTCAAAGGCCACGAGGAGCTCCCGAGCCTTGGAAATAAGATCCTGCTCCTGTTCACCATCACCACTCAAAACATCGGCCGGATGCGTGACAATCAGGTAGCTGCTGAGGAACGTGCGCACCGCACCACGCTCCCCCATCGCACCACCTTCCATATCCTGCAGCCCGCATAGTCGCAGAACCTTGGTCATAGTATTTAAAACATCCCGATTCGAAAGAAAAGCTCCCACCTTCTCAAAAGACATTTCCCGCACCTGCTCGACAGACAAGTTCAACGCCTTGAACTCCAGCATCACAGCCTTGGCATGATGAGTCCTCCAAACACGCTGGATCTTCCTCGCCGCCGCATCTCGCGTAAGCGACTTGGTCACCGATCGCGACATCTTCTTCTCCTCCGCAACGGGCAAACTACTCGTACGCTGACGACGATGAGTCTGCTGATAAGCCGTCCGTCTCTTCTCAGCCTCCGCCAACTTCTCCGCCATTTCCAGACGAATACGAGCGTGTTCAGCGGCCTGTTTCTCCCGCTGATCTTCAGCCTTCTTCTTCGCCCGTTTAACCTGGTCCTCGCACTTAGCCGCAATGTCTGCAAGGAGGCGTTCCCGGGCTTGCTGGGCAGCCAGCGCTCGTTCTTCGATATGCAAGTTCCGGGTAGCCGCCTTTGAAAGCGCGGCGCGCAATCTCACCTTCTCTGCATGTAGGGCGCGATCGGCCAGTCGCGCCTTGCGGGTTTCGATAATGGTGGTTCGGCGGAGGTGTTGGGCGATATTGTCGGCGCTTGTCGAGCCGTTTGAGGAGGCGGAGTGTATGGATGAAATTGAGCTGCGGCGTGAGGAGGCGGTTGAGCCGCGACGGACTTTACTGCTGCGGCGGTAGAAACGTGCGGCGATGTGTGGTGGGAGTGTTAATGGTGGTGCGGCGGGTTCGTCGGATAGCATTTCCACGTCTGGCTCGCTGACGGTTTCTGGGGAGAGAGGGGGGTTGGACCCGCATCGGGGAGTTGGATTTCGATATCCGAGTTGCGACGCATCTCGGACAGAGTGAGGAGTGTAGCTCGTGGGCGAAACTGCTGTGCTGTGTTTGCTGTGCTGGTGGTAGGGCTGGTCTGAGGGGCAGCAGTTCGGACTGATAAGCGATTAGGGAAACAAGGGGATAGTCAGAATCGCAGAGACGCGGTTTCACGGAGTGCGCAGAAGTAATAGATTCAGTGTCGCAGTGGAGATCTTATATGAATTCTCAGGATCTTGAAAGGAGGAAGAGTATGGAAGCCTGAAACTGGGGGAAAGGAGTGTGCTCGTGGCCGTGGGTGTGCTCGTGCTCGTGCCCGGCCGGGGTTGCGGAGGGATCTGTGCAGTGTTTCAGAGTGAAGGAGGGAAAGGAGAGATTAAATCAGGGAACCCCAAGCAAGAGAAACAAGGGATAGAAGAAAGAAAGTTGACCGGACTCGAACTCGCAAGAACGAAAGCAGTCAAGCAGTCAAGCAGATCTCCCCGTTCAAGCAGATGGAATCCCACCGCAAGCAGCAGAAGACGTCAACAATGCTTAGCTAAGCTGATCAAGCAGTATCACAGTGGTGTAGGGAGTATAGCAAGATAGGTTTATGATAATATATTATACATTATATATTATACTAGTATTTAATCTAGATTTATTTTATTGAAGATAACTGGAATACCTGCTCCAATTACTCCCACTCGTTCTGTCTAGTTGATCCTCGTGTTTCTATACTTCGCAGATGCAATTAGTCAGACAGCCACGCGTGCTTATTATGGGGAATATGTACTATTACTTACGCAATAAATATATTGAGTAGCACATGCTTGGCTGTTTCAGATCACCTGTTTGATCGTCATGATCTCATCATTTCATCTCATCTCATCCCTGACAATCATATACCCTCCAGGGCTGTGGACTGCTGACCACCGAGCCCTATATTTACGTTTTACACATTACACATTACACATTACACATTACACATTACATTTGAATCACGATATACCAGGCTAAAATCCCATTTGCAATTCTCTTTTAAAAAAGTAAAATACACGCCGGTGTGATAAAAAAAAGTTCATTACATGCTCATAGCGCCAACGGCCCCAGGACGCTCTGGAGAAAGCGAAACGCCCAGCCAAATTCCTCCCTTCTCCCCATTTGTACTGCCATGTACTGTCATTCAATCAACGCTTGCGAGCTCCACCAGGTCGAGGCTTCATTTCATCCGGCCCCACAGGGTGCAGCATGACCTTGTTTGTAGTCTGCTGAGTATTGGCCGAGTATCCCTTACTCCAATCGTAGCTAACAGCATAAGCAAAGATATTTCCATTGCGGCTGAAAGCAGTGCTGGAAATCGGTCCCTGGACAGACGGGTACCCCTTGAGCCGGTGCTTAGCATCCTTATCCCAGAAATGGAACGTGCCGTCACTACCGGCAGTGCTAAATGTTCCGTGTACAGGGTGGAAGTTGATCGAGTTCACGGAGTAAATGTTGCAGATATCCCGGTTGGCGGGTGGAGTTTCACGGTGACACTTGAACGAGAAGTTGGAAGCAGAATCCTTCTCCTCGACATACTGAATCGCACAACGACCCTCGATACTGCCGACAGCGAAACCGCTCGCATCGGCGAAGCAGCTGACTACCCGCGTCTGCCACTTGAGGGGGGATTGCATGGTCTTGTAGAATTTGGTGGGGTTGTCGAGGTTGACGATGTTGATGTATCGATCCGCGGTACCGATGACTAGCAGCTTGTTCTTAACGTCCATTGTGTAAACGCGGTCCTGACATTCAATTTGTGCGATCGGGTTCGACTGTCGCAGATCCCAGTATTTGACTGTTTTATCCCACGAGCCGGTGACGAGAAGCGGAGACCCGCCGACGGACGGGTTGGGAATCATGTGGACGCTTCGAATGGGCGCATCGTGCGCGGCGACCTGTACGGGGGTCGTAGCTCCGGCGCCTAGGTCAAGCATGCGGGCAGCCTTGTCGGCACCAGCACCGACGACTTTCGATCCATCCTAGAAAAGTACAGCCCGTTAGTTTAGCAGCTCGGGCCGGGGGCAGAGTATATATAGACAAGGGAAAACTTACCGGAGACCAGCAGCAGCTCAAGACAGGGGCCTCGTGCTCGAACAGAGCTTTTCCTTCACTCATGCCTTGTTCGTTAATCTCGTAGATGCGGACCTTCTTATCCCACGATGCAACAGCCAAGTGATCGGAGGCGGGCGAGAAAGCCATGTCAGAGATGCTATCCTCGGGAGGTTGGTTGAGAGTTACATCTTTTGAGATGTCACCTGTCGTATTCGCCGCACCGGCGGACGCGGTCGCAGCGCTGGCGCCGCCGCCAAAGAGAGTCGACATCACAAGGGCGCGCTGTGATTTGTTTGTAAGATGAGGGAGGTGTGAGGGTCGGAATGGGAGAGAAAGTGTGATGAGCTGTAGCGTGGCTCACACTTTGACGAAACCCCAGCGAAGGGTGAAAAGAGGTGTGGGTGAAGGAGGATGGGAGTGTTTGGAGAGAGCTGGAAAAAGTAATTCGTGAAGCTGGTTGAAGCCGGCGAATCTCAAGCGCGATGCCCGGCAGAATGTGTAGACCGCCTTCTGTTTACAACCGCCAACTATAAACACTACTTTTTGGTCAAGAATATCGTATTTTTTGATTAATTCACTAAATTTCAAGTCTAAAGCGATGAATCAAGACGCTCCTCAAAATAGACATGCTCATTGACCACTTTGTTGAACCAGTAGTTTCGTGTCTCTAGTCCCTTGGCCGGATCCTCTAGGCGAATATGAAACTCTCGTAGTAGTTGTGGGACAAGTTTATAAATTTCACTCAATGCAATCTGGAATTTGCTTTCTGTCAGTCAAACTTGAGGATTGCGAATATATGAGACGAAAAGTCTTACATTTTTCCCAATGCAAATGCGAGTTCCAATCCCGAAATGCAGCATCGCCTTTTCCATCTGCGGTGCACCTGCTCCTAACCAGCGATCGGGATTATATTGTTCAGCATCTAGCCCAAACAAATTCTTGTCATACTGAACAACTGCCGGATTCATGCCGACAATATATCCTTCTGGAATATAAACACCATCGATTGTCGTTCCGCCAGGTGGAACGTGTCGAGGCATGGTCAAGCCCACACTGGGGTGTAAGCGCATTCCTTCGTTGATGCATGCTCGCAGATATGGGAGTTTGATAGCCTCTTTATATTTGATAGGCATAGAAAATGAGCCCTCCGCCGTGGCAGTGTCAATTTCACTGGTTAGCTTTCCATAAGCAATGGGGTTTCGAATCAGATGACCCAAAATACTCGACATTGCAATAGCAGTTGTGTCGGCACCCGCAAAACTGGTCACATCGTCAGTAAAAAGGAAGTAAAAAAGAGAAAACCAATAGCAGAAAGAAGAATAGAGCCAGTGTATTCAAAACATACAATGAGCTGTGAGATTCAGCGTATATATGATTCGTATTGAAATTGACCTTCTCTCCTCGATCGGCGCTGATCTCCATCAACTTTCGAATAATATCCCGCCGATCATCCGAATTTTCCTCAATTTCTCGCATTCGTCTATCCATTGCTGTTTTCGACGAGACAGATAAATTGATGATCGCCTCAATAGTCCCACGGAACGATGGACAGAACAATGTGAGAGTTGGGAAGGTCAGCCCAGATAAATAAGAAGGCACGGTACCGGCGATCGTATTCTTGATGCATATTTCATGAATCGCTTTCATATAGTTTCCCACGTCTGTCTTCTCTTTCATGAAGCCAAAGTCTTTACCGAAAAATAATTCACCAATCACGTCAAACGCATACCTTACAGTTGTCATGTCAGCGGCACATTTTCGAACTGTAGATACTAGACACTTAAAGTATCCCAGGTCGGGCAAACTTACATATTCATCCATACAGATAAATCAACCTTTGACTTTTCCTTGGCGTAATTTCGCATTGTGTCGCACAAGACCTGGGTACATGAATTAATTGCATCCTCGGATTCCAAAACACTCGCTATCGAGTAAACATTATTGACAATGCGGCGGCGCTCCGTGTGTGCTTTTTCATCGCGGGTCTGAAAATGGCCGGCATATCCTTTGTTTACTTTCGATTGCCATGCGTCATAGAATTCAGTCTGGGAAGGCGTTAGTAGCTGGATGGACCTAGGCATGCAGAATGAAAATAATCAACTTTATTGAATAGTGGCTTAGTTCCGTATATGACCTAGCGGAGTCAGATTATTATACTTTCTGGCCTCGGGCGATAATCTTAAGAGCAGAACAATACCTTGATGGCGCTGGGATCCGAACAAGAAACCTCATTCGGAGCAATGCGAATCAAATGTCCTGAAGTTTGAGAACATGGGTTAAAATATGACTGAGTAGCCCAGGAGCTTCAAAAGATACCATATTTCTTGTGTAGAGCACGCTGGGTATATTCCATATCGCCTCTACCCGTCTTGTATACAATCCACACTCTACTAATAGATGCGAGAAAGGGGCCTGGAATAGAGCGGAGAGGATGAAAGAAGCGACAGTAAATAATCCATCCTGCCCAGTATACCGATAAGGCTGTGACGACTAGTTGAAGGAAATTTGAACTAATCAGTAGTGTCATCTTTCCCAATTTCTTAGTAGTTGGATGGAAGCGGATTAGAAGTTCGTAAAGACGGGGTGAAACCTTTAAATAAAGTCCAGATAACACCATGGCGTTTCTAAGCAGATTTGTATGGTGCCCGATTGGGGGCCAGCCTTATAGAATGAGGTCATGTCGATCTTTTCTTGTTTGACTAGCATCTCAGTTACCCGATCGAGTTAGTATAGCGAGTGCCGACCGTGGAATGCAGATATCAAGAATTTTGGCTGGGATAATTCAGAATTGTCAATTCATGTAAATAATCTGAATGTATTCAGCCCGCCGTCAATTTTCAGACATAGCAAAATCCCTTTTTACATTATCGATGCTGGGATACAATATGTTGGATTTCGAGACTGCTGTTAGTTGTACGGTTTTAACCCCCAAATACAGCGAACGATAGACGCCACCGGGTGGTAGCATCGTTCCGGCAGAGCCCCATGGCAACATTTTAACTAAAAAAGAAAGATAAATTCATAAAAGTTTCCATATCTGCAACGCTTAGATTATGCAGATCGCAGTGTAAATAGTTTGTGGCTGTAGGAGGTGATCGGCTCTCCAGCTATGTAGTTTCTCATCCTAAATAGTACTTACTATGACGCCTTCCTCTTTGTATGCACGCCGCGGTTCCGGTTGCCGTCTGCGATCTATTTCGATATCAAATCGCACCTGCCAAATTAACGAGACAATCATAAAGAACATCAAAGAAACCTTTGCAAGCAGAAGTGAACTCTTCCTTGTACTCTACTTAAGGTCGATTTATTTGAAGTCTTGATCAGGTCCAAGCCTTGGAGGATCTTCATCTCAGTGGCCGACCCCCAAGGAACATATAGCTTATGAGGGCGTCGACTAGATTGAAGAATCCGATATGAGAGGAGACCTACGGATAGAAGAAGTAGAGGGTGGTTGATTGTCTGCCTCTGCACGCAGTGAAGTCTTATATCACATAAGGCCTTAGTAGTCACACCGCCATTTCGATACCCCGCGGACTATTTCCCCTAGTACAGTACATACTAGTATTTATCTTCAGGCTCATATAACTAGTACTTTGTACCGAGGCCAATATATCCACACTGGCAATGGATGTCATCATATCAAGACCTCTGTTTGGATAACCCAAAGAAACTTCCAGCCTAGAGCAATTAAAGAGGTCGAAACATAGTGTCCATGTAAGGTTGACTGATGGTTCAATATAGATAGCTTGTTAGAAAGCTTATTTTACCTGGGGAATGTGGTACGGTAAAGTCTTGAATGCGACTTTGACATGTCAATTTCAGCTCTTCGGGTAAAAGATCGAATAAGAGCTGAATAGGTCGGCGAGCCGCCTAGACCAAACTCATGGGCGCTAGGTGACCGCCAACCTACAATATCTGCTATCTTATGTTATTTTATTCTTATTTTGTTTTTGTTTTTATTCACTATTTTTTGGTGGAAGGTCCTTTTTTGGTTCGTTGGCTAACCATATTTGCCCGTTTACAGTGATATTTTGCCAACTAAATTTCTTTCCCAAGTACGGGGTGAGAATAGGGTGAGAATCAAAATCAGCGCGTTAGGGTTCCCATAACGATCTCTGATGACAGTAAACATGGGAGAAGAGGGAAGAAGAAGAAGAAAAAAAAAGAAGAAGTCTAGAGCGAACTGAAGCCATACCCTTACTTCCTCTTTCCTAAGTAGAAGCTACGCTCGCATTCCAACTTAGAGCTATGTACTTGCTCGAGGCTGTCGCACACACGGGCTGTTTCTAAAGCAAAAGTTGCTAGCGAAAACGATATCCCTATTCTTGTATCCGTGTCATTTGGGCATTGGCTGCCTTGTTTGGTCTTTAGCCCAATGCCAACGCATAACATAGCCAAGGCGCCCGACAGAATACGGCTTACGAGTCACACCCGGTAAATCAGTTGAACTTCAAAAAGGCTTTGTTGTCTTGAAGTCATAAAAGACTTTTTACTTCTTAGATTACCCCCTGGTTACTGGTTCAAGACCCTATTTATAAGTTTGTCTGAGTTTTGAACGACTGATGGATTTTTTCCAAGCACCATCTAACGGCATTTGCCGAAAACTGCGAAAGTCCAAGCGCCGAGATTGGAACGGGATTGTACGATCTTCATCTCCAGTGCCCCAGAGACAAATTCGTGGAGAGCACCAGGGTTACCTTGAGGAGGCAGAGGATTTAGACGACTCTGTGGATTCAGTTGATCAAACATGGAGATCCTTTTCGAATAAACTTGAATGTTTTCCGGCTTCTGCAACGTCAATTCCTCTGCCCTTCACTGATGCTGGGTCTCCTAACTCTCAGTATGGATGATCCATCCCTCCCACCTCCAATTAATTTCATTTTCTGTAAATTCGCTCTCAGTCTAACACATGGAGTTATCCACAGGAAGAAGGTGTCCAAGATGCTGTGTCCCACGTTAAATCGTCATAAACGCAACACGGACGTTTCGCAGAGCTCGTCATTTAAGACTGCCTTATGCCATTTGACCGATACGACAATGGATGTGTTGCAATCCGATGCATTTAAAGACAACCAACAATTTAAAGACACAAATCGAATTCAAGAGCCCGGTTCCATGACGTTCGAATCAAGCTGGGAGCTTCCACAATTTATTGCCAATGTACCTGACAAGCGAGAAAATTTGCTAAACACTCTCACATTGACTGGATTTGAGAACACGGTTTATGTTGCTACCTGTGGAAGCTATATTAGATCACGATATGGAGAGGCAGGGATTGACATGTTGAGAAAGGTAATTGATGCCTTGGAGGATGATAATGGCACATACGGTGAGAGAAAACCCAGAGAACTCAAAAGTAGGCACGAGAGGCACGATTTCAGGCTAACAAGTATAAAGTGGATAATACTGTAACAATCGAAGTGCTTCCTGGTGGAATCAAAGTGATATGGCCCAACGAGCATCATTGGGATTTGCTCCTGTGGATTTGTTTGACCTTTCGAAGGCCAAATCATGGAATGGTTTCTGTATCAACATGCATGATCAAGGATGAAAGAGTGATTTTAAAACCACTCACACAAGCGAAGGTGCCAGAAGAGACCAGTTGTTGGACTAATCTCTTTGAGACGGCCATCATCGCAATGGATCTTTACATTGAATTTGGCTCGCACATATTTCTGGACACAGACTTTCAGACAATGATACAGCTAGCAGCCGTGGAGTACCCGGTGATGGAAAATCGTGGCATAATACTTATGGGATACTCTACTGCCTCGTCCCAATGAAGCGACTACCAGGGAGTGACACAGTATTTTGGCACCTAGAAACAGGAAATGAAGACCTTCAGCTCAAGCCTACAGAGCTTTTGGGACCAAAGGGGAGATGGATGAAGAGGCGAGCATTGGAGGATCTTCGGTCTCCAAGGGTTCTGATAGGCTGGTGTCAGGAGGCAGTCACATTGCTAGGTACAGAACTCGCCACGACTGTGGATTATTCCGGTATTACCAAATCCAAAAAGTCTACAATGAGATGGGTAGGCGCCAATCTTCAGCTAAATGCAACAACGGCTGCTCCTTTTCAAATCGGGGGTTCGGCAGGCATGGCATTCCAGAGAACAACCAATACTCTCCGATTCGACACCGCAAAAAACTATCGGAAGTGCCTGAATACCAGTGCGATGGAACAGATCATTCTCTACGATGCCTTAGAATCTCGCGCTTGGCTCGTGTCCTTGATCTGCGTCTTCCACGAGATGCTGATTGCCTATTGGCAGAGAAATGTTCCAGCGGAGCAGCGCAAGGACAATATGCCTCTAGCCAGGCCTCACCCCAATGGTGCCTCGGCATCACTAGTCGCTCTACGAGATAATGGGAACTGCATTGTGGAGGGCTCAGATAAAGACCAATTAACCGTTCGAGATATGATATTAGGCTTCTCAATCAACATGTCAAAGATATCGCCAAATCGTCCCAGTCGATCGAAAGTATTTGGCTATGAGTTCATGGACATCGTCATGGAGCCTACAATCGTTCCTCTCAAGAAACGCAGCATTGAAAAAGAAGCGTGGGCATGGAAATCATTGTTGAGTGAAATCAAATGCCTTTTTTGCTCGCAGCTTGGAGATGCCATGCTTGGTTCCAGAAACCCGTCCAAAGAATCCGAGTGCAATAAACTCCCCAAGGGACTAGACTGGTTGGCCACATCTATGCACAGTATTGTGGCTCTTGATTCTCGACACGGTAATTCAAAGTCTATGGGGTATGGGCTCTCCAGTCGACATGTCTGGGTCAAGACCGGAAATCCTTTTGGAAAATGTGGAAATTGTGAAAATGGAGTCTGCTGGACAACCGGATCGTTCTTGCAACGAATACGCTCTACGCACAACTTGAAACTTGAAACTTCAGATAACACACAGAATCAGCGCGATTCTGCAGTTGTGTTTGGCCTCGGACGAATCAAAGCTGACTTTTCATATGATAAGGGTTCTGGTGAAAGTCGGCAGGCCACTTCAGATAATAGTCCGCTCTACATAAGAAGAGAATCAAAATTCTCAGCAGGTGAATATGCGATTCCAAGAAGGGATGCGATTGATCAGGGTCGTGGTGGACAGATATGTGGTAGATTGATGGATGAATTATCAAGATTCCTATCCGGGTCTGTTTGTGAATAGCAATGTACTACCTATTAAGCCATCCCCAAATTTCCCCCCGCAACAGGCCTTGAATTTCAGGATCCATATTCCCATTTTTGGAAAAGAGAAAACTAGTTTCCGGCACCAAATGCCAGTCGTAGTATTCACCGACTTCTACCGCTTGGAACTAGACGAGGGTACACGCAGCTGAAATCTTACAATAAGAAACAACATTCATTAACATAAATATTGGCTTACAATATACAAAGAATAAACATCCAACAATACACTGCTGTCTCCAAATCTTCAGCAATTCAACACTAGTATCTAACGGGTATACCTATACAAAACAAGATCGATGATTTCGGCACCCTCGTATCATTTCTCAAGGTACCACTTCTCAAAGATCCTAAGGTCTTCCGAGTCTATATCACTAATCAAGTATATAGCAATCTATCTAACCAAATTGATAATCTTTACACCCTACGTAGATGTATTTATCTCTATAGGACTAAGACAGTTGCCTATCTAGATAATCTAACTAAAGATCTGCTATATCTTAATCCTATGTACACTAAGGCTCAGAGCAGGTGTCTCCTTTACCAACCTTCTGGTTGAGGACTGGTATGTTGATATCCCACCGTCAGCGTGCTGCACATATGTGAATTGCGTTACAACTCCCTTGATTTGACTCGCTGATCCGAAACCAGATCCAAACACCTTCAAATTGGTTCTTTGCAGTACATGTTTAAATCTGTTTTCGACTCTCCCCATTCATCTTTAGGTTATCACCTATAAACCTAGCTCTAGGCACAAAGCCTAGTATCAATGGATGTTGTATTAACTAGTATATATTGATTTATTTTGTAGTTACTCTGTTCTACAGTCTGTTGTAATTTGATCTCATTTTTTAATCTATACTCCTAAGTTCGGCAAGGGACAGGGCTGCTCCTTCAGGGCCAGCCTTAGAACCTTAGATTGTTATACCTGGCAAAAACTTGTCGTAGTCAGAAAGAGGGGAGGGGATTAAGATGCCTAGGGAGGGGGCTTGTTGACACATACTGCGGGCGACAGGAACACGCAGAATGGACGAATCAGGAGGTGAAGAAATAGGATGCAGTGCTTCCGTTTTGCGACTAAGGTATGGGGGTTAGTACAAGTTTGACAGAATAAAATATATTTTAATTCTGTGCTTGCACCTGACGATACCGATCCGCAATCTCCTCACAGCACCGCCAGATCCGTCGTCGATTCACCAACGGCAGAAACGGACCGGTCAGACCATACTTCGTCCTCGTCTTGGACTCCAGCCACAGATACATCTGCTTATAATCCACCTCCTTCGATCGATCATCCTTCAATTCCTGCACCTCCCAACACCATGCCATGTCCCGCTGAATACGCTGTTTCCAAAACGCACCATGGCGCGTCGTCGCACACACCAACCACGACGCCTGACAGAGCGCGAGAACCGCATCTCCGCACAGGTATCCCACGATCAAACTGGTCACATCATACGGCAGATGTCCAAACGGATCATGAATCACCTTTGCGCTGAGATCCGACTGAGTACTATGGTTCATCGTAACGTTATCAGGGATATGGAACCCCAGGTGAACGGATATTGTCGGACACAAGACCGAGTACTGGTCCATATTCGTTAGAACGGTCTGATATGAAAAGAGAAACGAAGGGAAAGCACTACCTCTTCCCCCGGTATATTTTGCCAATCCTGATCGTCCCCGTGAAAATCCCCGTAGTCTAGGTCCAGCCTCGTAAAACCGCCAATGTCCTGCATCGCCCGGTAGAGGGTCTCCTTTTGGAGTTGATCCGAGTCTGGGCTTCCGGTAATGGCACGGGAAAGCAATTGGAGGCAGTCCCAGTGAAAGGGAAAGACGGGAGGATCATCAAGATCGGAGACAGAGTAACTAGACGTTTGACTTCCTATCAGTCCTAAAAAAGGGAATGTCTGTCTGTATAAATCTACAGACCCGTAAAATTTGGACTCGTCTTCTGGGAGTTCCGGATCTGACTTTCTGTGAGTACCTATTCTTTTCTCCTGTTCAGGGTAAAAAAAAGGTTCCTTACCATTACTTGGATTCACCATGTAGAGCCAATGCTTTTTCAATTAGATTCTACTACTATTCATTCTGTTTCGGAGATGGGCTTGACGTACCCGATCCTCGTACTGAAATGGCGCTATAAAGTATCTACAAACTCTGATGGTGAATACTAATACAGAGAGAAAAAATAAAATAAAGGAGGAAAGCTTACCTCTTCGGTCCCGATCGTCGATGATCTATCCCTACCCCATACGTGGAACTCAACCAGTCCAAACCATCCGCACCCAAGATCCCCGGATCATACGAGTGAGCGTAGTCCTCGCTGAGAACGGAGTTTGCATCATCCTCGTCGGTGTCATTAAGGAGCTCATCACCTGGATCCAGCACCTGAACCATATATCGTTTTCTTTCTTGCCGCCCCTCTTCATCTTCATCCTCGGTTTCGTCATATGGTAATTCGCGTTCCAGCCAGTACTTGCGCCGTGCTACCCGTCCGCGTCGGAGTTTGAGAATATGCGGCACGTCGGAGCCAATATCGCCGCCATGCAGGGAGCAGGAGCAAATGGCACAGAAGGTGTCGAATTCAGCTACCATCGTGTTCCTCGGAGGAGGTAATGAAAGAAGGGAATACGTATGGATAGACATGTGGGGTTGATACGAGTATAGAAACGTATATGTTACGTAAGACGGTTATCCCCTTGCCTAGCAAGACGCTACCTGGTTAGCGTCTTTTTTCTACCGTAAGTAACCTATCCCCTTAAGTCATAATCCAATATCTGACTACCACGATCTTTAAAAAATTATTGATATTTCTATAGGCAAAGGATTGTCGCCATTGCTTTATTTACCTTTACCTAGGTACTGATAAAGATCCCAAAGATTCTGAAGATTCTGAAGATAATAAAGATACTACCCCTGTTCTTGGACGAATTTCTCGAAACGAGGTTACCTAACCGAGTAGTTACTAGTTGGCTGCCATTTGCTGAATGATCATCCAACCATGGGCCGATAGGTAGTTCGGCTGGCCTAATATGTCTTCGGCTCCAAACTAGGATCCGGGGGTTCGCCGTAGTGCCCCTCATTTTGATCCATGAATCCATCAAGAATTTTCAATTTTCAATCGTCAAGTACATTCATATTGACTCTCTGCAGTCCCTATCCAAGTCTGCTATATTCCAATCCATTCCCAAGTCAACATGGCTTCGCGAGATGAAATAAATACAAGTGAAGAACCGGCTCACTCAGCATTCATGGCAAAGGATCTCATCGAGTCTTTTTTGAATGCCGAAGACCTGGAATTGGAGCTAGATTCAATTATTCTCAAGCGATGTCTCAGTTTAAATTCTGTCGTCTCAATGGCCTCCTTTTTCAACTGCCGCTCCCAAACTGTGAATATTTATTCTGACCGACAAGAGGTCAATCAAATCGGCAGTGGCCTACAAGGTGCCATCTTTGAGGTTGTTGGACAAACCGACGTCTTCAAAAAGGAACATCCAGGTAATGAATTACGATCATCGAATCTCCAACGCGAGTTCAGAACCCACTGCAATGTTTCGGCCGCATTTGAACTCTACAAGACTACCACTTTTAGCGTAGTCAAAGTTCCTAAGCCCAAGAATTTTGTCCCCAAAGCTCAAAGGGAATGGTTCTGGGTTTTTATCTTGCCAAACTTACCCCAGGACTATCGCACACGCGGGGATGTCATCACCATGGATCGGATTCTTCCGTTGCCAAAGATTGTACGAAGAGCGCTCCTCACCTTTTTTTATGCTGGTGAAAACCCTCGGCCTTGTAATGAGTCTGAAGTCGAACGCCTTCACAATAACAAGGAAAACAAGCACTGCCTTGCCCGAGTCTATTTGGGCAAGGGCAATGGTTCATATAATCAGGGTAACCCAGCCCCGCTCAGAAATTTCCCACTCTATCTCGACTCTATGAAGGCCCTTGACATGGATACCCTTGTCCTTGCCAAAGAAATGGGTAAGGCATATGCAATCATGCACTGGGGTGCTGCCACAAATGGTGACGACGTGGAGTTCGTCCTTGGCACATCAGCCTTAAAGAGACCGGCAGACTCGGAGCACATAGATCGTCCAAACGTTCAACATCGCGCCATTGGATTATATCTTCTCGACTTCGGCCAATGCGAGGCCGTTGATTTGACGCGGGATTGTGATGTCGTTTACCAAGAATTCAAAGGGGCTATGGTAATGGGTGATAATCAGCTCTTTATCCCGCATGTTTCGAAAAGTCCGGAATTGTTCGCAACCTTCAAGAAGGGATACATCGATGCTGGTAATGTTATCCTATCAGACAAGAAGCTCAACGGCAAGTTCAGCATGGAGGACTTTATGCAAGAGTATGAAGAATATGCCGAGGACTTTGTGTATTAGCTTCCATGCATACTCTCAGCCATGAAGCTTGAGAAGGAGTTGAGCTCTAGCTTGTGTTTCTAGCTATAGATTGTGTGTTCGGGGATAGCTTCATATAGCTACGAAAATGAATTTATGGTCTTAGTGTATTCTATGGTGTTATCTGCGTAAATAATCCACCCATCCACTTCGCTCCAGTTTCATGAATTTAGTATTTTGCTAGTTTGTGCGTTGCCGTTGTGACACAGAACAGCGCTCCGTAAGCGCAGGGTGGTCAGTAGTTGTATATAGGGGTATTTTACAGTGGTCTTGCAATAGCTTGAAGCCTACTGCCAACCATTTCGGACCCCTTCTAATGGCAGACCAGTAGCTACCTAAGATGTAAGAGGTTGTCCAATCTTCTCCATCATGGGTAGCTACTAGTCTGCCACTGGGAAGGCGGAGACGAAGCTTGTCAACAATGGCTTGGAAAATTGTGTGGATACTGACTACTTTGCGCTTACTGAGTGCCGTAACACAGCCTGACTTTTACTTTTGGACGTCTTTAACCGAGCATGCAACACAAAAAGGTTGAAAAAGGGCAACCGGAGATGCACAAATCTCAGCGACAATTCCAATGCTGGATCTTTCTATCGTTTAGATAGGATATACGACTATTATTAGGTTTAGATCTTACCATGATTATTCTAAGGATCGCCAAGACAGGTAATTTTGCGGATACTCAAATTGCTGGCTGCATGTGAAAGAGGTAAGCATTCAAATTTGAGTTTGCTCCACTTTAAACTGGCGATCATCGGGGAGTTAATTGATCCGAACAAAGGTATATGAGAAATGCCACTGCCACACTACCCGGCCGCTACTCATTGCCCAGTCTAGAAGAGGGCAGAATCAGGCCTCACTGTCAAAAAATCCCAAGTATGGCGAGCTTTGTTGCGGCATTCGCCAACCCGTTCAACTATCTTGGTGGTGTCAGTTTCAACCCCGAGAAGGATATTCATGACTTATCTGGGAAGGTCGCGCTAGTTACAGGCGGTACGTTGAGATTGAAGTACTTCAAATATGCTTTAAATCACCAAGAAGCAGAAAATCTGCGAACAAACATCCTAACTGGCTCCAGGCAATGCTGGTCTCGGCAAAGAAACAATCCAACAACTTTCAAAACATAAGCCAAGCAAGATTTTTCTGGGCGCACGATCGGAATCCAAAGCTACAGAGGCAATCAAGTCCATCAAATCTTCAGTATCCAGTGATGTCGAAATAATCTGGCTCCCGTTAGATCTGGCATCTTGCGATTCGGTTCAAAATGCGGCCAAACAGTTCAATTCCCAGTCAGATAGGCTTGATATTCTCGTCCTCAATGCTGGAGTCATGGCGTTACCCCCCGGAGAAACCGAATTGGGCCACGAAATCCAACTCGGAACCAACCACACCGGCCACTTTCTGTTGACCAAGCTTTTGCTGCCATCATTGCTGAAGACGGCAGAGGAACCTAATTCAGATGTCCGTGTCGTGTCACTCGCCTCAATCGGACATAATTACGCGCCTTGTTTCGACACGATCCTTAACCAAGAAAAACTCAAGAAGGTTGATACCTCCGCCCGATATGGCGCTTCAAAGGCAGCCAACATTCTGTTCGCGGCAGAACTCAGTCGGCGCCATCCATCGATCACCTCGGTATCCGTTCATCCTGGCATAATTTTGACCGATCTGTATGGCTCTATTAGCCAGCGCTCTTCGATTGTTGCCCTGGGTTCCAAGACGTTAAACCTTTTCGGGTCCTCGGTCGCTGAGGGGGCCTATAACGAGCTATGGGCAGCGGCGGGTGCGAAAAAGGAGGAACTGGTCAATGGAGCTTACTATGTCCCCGTGGGCATTCACAAACCGCATAACAAGTATGTTCGGAGTGAGAAAATGGGCAAGGGGTTGTGGGACTGGACTGAAGCCGAACTCAGTAAAGTCAATCTCTGATCGGTTACCCAGCTCGTATGATAACTTTTTCACATTTTTATCACAGTATACTTAAGAAAGATTAGATGTGTAAAACCAATTCAACATATCTTTTTGTGCAATCCAATACTAAGAAATTTGGTTAAAACTTCGAAGTATGACGTCAGGGCAGATAATGCAGGCTAAGACAACCAAGCAAATCATGTTCATTTCCAAGTTTCAATTCAACCAATTCAATCAATTGCTTTGCGTAATACCAAGGAACTTTTCTTTTTCGCGTTGACAGGAATTTAGCTAATTTAATCTCTTCTGAAGCTGCTTGCGAGCGAGCCGAGGCATAGTTAAATAGTGATACAATGTGGTGGAGCCCTCACGTAGCGGTCGCGGCACAACAATCTTTCCGGCAAAATTGATATTTAACAGTCATTGACCCGTTGTGATGCTTTGATCTCATAGTGGTAGTCTAGGTTCTGCTGAATGATTCAAGTATTAACGGATCAATCTAACTGACTGCCCCGTTTTAGGAAAATAGGGTTAGGCCGAGATCAATGGTGTCGTAATAGACATGACATAATACAAATGTCTCATAGACTTAAATAGAGTAAAGGAAGCAGGTTTAACAATTGATGGACGAATTAACTCCGTTAATTTCTATTTTTTTATTAGAGGTCCTTGAGTAACGAACATGCCCTATTTGAAACTTCGAGATGGTGCCGAACTCTTCTACAAGGACTGGGGCAACCCCAAAGGAGAAGTAGTGACTTTCTCACACGGATGGCCTCTTAGCAGTGATAACTGGGAGAGCCAAATGGTCTTCCTGGTTAGCCATGGCTACCGTGTGATTGCTCACGACCGGCGTGGCCATGGGCGTTCAACACAGAATTGGACTGATCATAACATGGAGATATTTGTGGATGATCTTCAAGAGCTTTACAAGCATCTCGACATCAAGAATGCTATGATAGTCGGACATTCACATGGCGGAGGCGAAGTTACTCGTTTTCTTGGAAAGCACGGCACAAGTCGAGTAAAGAAAGCTGTCCTTGTTGGAGCGATACCGCCTTTCATGTTAAAGAGCTCAGCCAATCCGGAGGGAACCGAAAAGTCTGTTTTCGATTCATTCAGAGAGGCGATGAGCAAGGATCGGGCTCAATTCTTTTTGGACGTTCCAACTGGGCCTTTCTTCGGATTCAATCGACCTAACGCGGCGAAGAGTGAGGGTCAAATTCGAAGCTGGTGGGAGCAGGGTATGAGAACGAGCTTCAAGGCATCATACGATTGCATCAAAGACTTTTCGGAAACGGACTTCACCAAGGACCTCAAAAGCATCGACATTCCAGTTCTCGTTCTTCATGGCGATGACGACCAAGTTGTGCCCATTGGCGCGGCTGGACTGAAGTCGGCAAAGCTTCTGCCCCAAGGAAAGCTTAAGATTTATCCTGGAGGGTCTCATGCGATTCACAACGTCAACGTTGACGAGGTGAACAAAGATTTACTCGATTTCATAACGTCTTGAAGTCAGGAGGATATTGATTTTTGGCTTCCCAACATTCTTTCTAATATTTTGGCATGGTCACTCCTTACTTCGGTGATTTTGTGAGTTTACCATACTGAATGCCAGCGTTTATTAGTCGGCGACAAAAGGTTCTTATCCCCATGAGATTAGAATCCTAGCTGTATAAAATCAACCAAGCATAATACACGAGCTGTTTCTTTTAAGCCCAATATCAACATTCAGATGGGGACGATTATATGAAGGTGCTCCGTTGGTGATGCCAACGATACCCATATCGCTAGGTTTAAAATATTTGGTGCCAGTAGCCAAGACTCAGCGTTGTTGTAGTCTACATGAACAACGCGGAGACAACGACGGGACTATTTCCGATTTCGAGACTGCTATTTCTTCTTTTTACGACGGCATATCACCGATCCCAAAGTTTATACCTGTCTATCCCAAAACCTGTCCTTGGAAGCTCATTTCGGCGCACCGGAAAACCCCGCCTGCGCTCGCCTTTTGTATTCAACTCTCTCACAAATATTGGATTGAAGACTACCCGTGGTCAGTAATATTCGCTAACCATAGACAGGCACCTTGTGTCTCGTCAATACTCGGGGTTCGTTGCATTTGAAAACTTTGACCTTTTGCTGCTCGCGGAAAGCGAATCTTTCACAAAGATTACAAGGAAATCCTATCTTGGGTAAGATAGCAAAAAATTCTCTAATCAATCTCTGGTGACACCATCGGAGATTTCTCTTTTTTTAAAAAAAAAAACAATTTTCATAGCAATTTGATTCAAAAGGGTGGCCGCCTTATTCGAACAGGAACAGCCTATTCCGTTTCGGGACGCCGCCCATAGACTCACGGTTCACCATAAGCCGAGTATGAGTCAGATTCTTACTTTATTGTTTATAAAATGCTGGCTATGGCTCGGACAAGCATCGAAGAAATACTGCGGCGGCCATTACTTTAAGAACATCGCATTTGTTGCTCCGCCGGCAAGGCTAGTGAAGGCTCCACTATCCAAAATGGCGATGCGCAACCTGCTTCGTGTTCACAAGGAGATCGAAGATGTTAATGCTGATTTCCATTCTCTCAGAACTGTTTTGAAGGAGACAGCAAACAAAGCCAAATGGAATTTTGTCATGTTCCCGAATGATGGTGCGCTGTCGCATCTTCCTCTGATCGGCGAACTCATCATCCCCTCGGAGTACCCGAACTGCCCTCCTGTACTTCACCTTTTTACTCGTACTCTCCGATACAATGTCGATGTCTATCGAAATAACATCAACAACGACAACCACAGCACGATGTGCTTTGACATTCTATCCAGTAAATCTAGGGGAGGTACCTGGGAAAACGACTACACAATATCCTGTCTCTTTGCAAGTCTTATGCAGGCTTTGGTGACACAACGAGTTCCACAAACTTATGGCTCCGATAGAGCAGAATTTGTCACCATGGACACGCTCGATCAAATCAAAAAGTCCGTACATAAAACCTATCAGGAGCACAAAAATCGCATTCCCTATCTTCCAACTATACCCACTATTCGGGCTGCCTCAGTTGCAGCCAAACCATTCATTTTCACTCGACTCGACGACGAAACTCCACTTGATTCACTTCAATTCCAAGCCGAAGACAAGTATGTCAGTCAGCCATTCTATCTTCAAGATCCTCAAGATCCACAGTCCTGGTCAACCGTACTAGACCTGCGTAATCTGCATCCCGGTGTTGTCTTCTCCGTGATACTCTCAAACAAGCGGGGAACCGATGTTACCGGTAGGAAGAACGATACTATACTGCTTCGAAATGGCGTGACTGGAACTGCGGCAAAAAAGCAAAAAAATGAACCAATTCGCTGGTTCTACCATGGAAAACCATTGAATGATCAGAATCTCTCCGTTTGCGTGACTGTGACCAGCGACCAATTTGTGATTTCCTACAAGGACGATGATGCCAACACCTTCATCGTCCATGGAGACACTCCCATATCCAAACTCAGAAAAGCACAAATTGGAAACGTGGCAGGCATGCCGTTTTACGTGACCATCTTGCTAAAACGAAAGTCCGGGGCGGAAGGGTTTATCAATGTTCTCGACCAAAAGCAAGTTGGTTTCGTTCATGCCAGCCAAATCGAGACCCCCATGGCAATTCGCAGGAAATATCCAAAGTCAGTGAGCCTGACCTTGGGCACTGAGCAAACAGCTCGTCTTCAAGGAGTCATTGATTTCTATGAGTTGGGGCTGGAGTTTAAGGTCCAAAGAAATGTCTGGTTCCCCGCACATTATACGCTTATTTCTTCAACGGACTATCCCAACGAGGAATATACAAAGGCTATCGATGAAATATATACTCCAATGCGTGGAAAGGCGGTAGAGGTGAATATTATTGCTATAATCGCGGATGGTGACTGCGTTGCTCTCTTGACAGATACTTATCGATGCCCTGAAGATCAGGTGGAGTTACAATCCTTCCCTGAGAAGAGTCTCTCCGCTTTGACAATGCGTTTACGGAGCGATAAGGTGACTGCGAGTTGCGTTGATGAATTGCTCGGACGAGTATCCGAAGACACTCAAAAAGACTGGGTTCATATTGGAGACGTTTATATTAAGCTACCACAGCCGATCAAGGTTGTATGTCATTTGCAGTTTCAATTTTGAAGTTGGCCTTCGAATAGGGAATATTAATACAAAAGGATTAGTTGGCTCAAGTTGGCTTTGCTAGGAGTTTGCAAAATAATAAAAAGATTGGAGAATTATACTAGTATCTATAAGGGCTAATTTCCCCGCTACATATGAAACATTGGCCACAGGTCTGTTCACCAGGAGGATATGTCAGATATAGATATGAAAAACAAAAATTGCTATCAGATTCGACCTATCTGATCCGGTTCGTACGACTTAAATCACAATGGTGCAAAGGAGGGTCAAGCTAAATTTTCGAATATCAGTCGCGATACCGTCATAGACGCGTACCCAAACAACCTGTGTTTACGACATTCGATATTTAAACCTAGCTATGTGGTGAGAGTTTTTCACAAGTTCTGAGCACGGAGCCTCCATGTGTTGAGAGGGGTTCCGGGGGAACTTGACAGCCTCGAAAACATGCAATAAACTTGACTATAGCTTCTCCTGGTGGAGTCGCTTACACTAGAATGCAGGTGTCGGTACCGCTTCCTATTGGTGTCGTCAAATTCAGCGACATTATTCCTGAAATGTGTCCAAAGTACCGCGTAAAACTTTAATTTAGCAACAGTGCCCAGGGGCTGCCTTTTTCTTTTTTTTTTGTACGGCCTAGATTCATCATGGCCCTAGCATCCCAATGACAAAGTACCGTAGGTGGCGCTAGCCTCCTCGTGCATTAGTCCAGCAATGTGACAGCGGGCCGCCCGAGCCAACGAGAAGAAGTGGAAATTGTGACCAAGCGAGCCGGGAGAACACGAGGGTTGCCCACGAGACTTTTGTTGACAGTTGATATGTCGACTGCACAGACATTGATCGACAACATTGTGCTACATATTTACGCCTCAGAAACCAAAATTCCAGCGTGAGTCCCTCACCCTGAAAATGATGTGTCCCAAAATTAAACTCTTCCACCTCTTTAATTAAGCATAGCTTAGTTGGTGAAGTTGATCTGAGCACAAAGTGAGCCGTTACGACACTCTGGAGTCGGATATGAATGGCATCGAATTCAGGCCACAATTTCCTACACCAATGAATTGGCCCTCACATAAGTACGTTTGCATGCGGGTTAAGGCCGATCCTGGTGTTTTTTTGTTTTGGACCAATCATTTGCTTCTGGTGGCCGTTGCCTGTTTCATCATTAATGTCCTTGCTTGTACTTATGTCGACGACCCATCACAATCTGTGATTCAAGCTCTTGCAATTTTTTCTTCAATGGAGAGTATCAGAACAACAATGTCACGTACTTATATCTGGATGGTGCAACCACTTGTCGCGCATTGATTCTGTGGCATCAACTCCAAGAAAGTCTGACCTTTCCCTTTCAATCCAGTTCTTTGAGGACTTTCACCTGGCGATACAATCCAAAATGATGGGCGGCAAAGGACCTCGTTCCATTGCGGTAATGTGGTTGATGACATCCCTTTCTTTAATTTTGGTTATCCTCAGACTATATACAAGAATCTTTGTTGTTAAAGCAGTCGGGATAGACGATCATGTCTTTAACTTGGCCTGGGTATGCTAGTTCTCATCGTGACATGCGATAACAGGTAGCCTGATGATATAGTACTGAAATTGTTTATAGGTTTTTCTGTTGATATACACGATATTCATGACGATATCAGCACTCTACGGATTTGGTCAGCCCATAACAAACTTGCAGATCGACTCGGCTGTTAAAGCTGTGTACTATGAGATGATCGGCCAGACATTTGCTGTGCTGGGAATGGCAATTGCGAAGATTTCACTCGGCCTTTTCCTACTTCGCATTGTGGTGAAGCAATGGCATCGAATTTCTATCTGGTTCTGCATGGTGACACTAGCCGCGATTTCGGTAATGACAAGTATTACTTTCTGGCTTCAACGCTACCCGGCTGAGGCTATCTACGATCCGCGCGTGCCAGGCCGCACTTTGCTATCTGTCACGCCTTTCGCACTTGCGCTTGGGAGTAAGTTGATCAATTCCGCTGATAAATAAATATTATGGTATATTGGCTGACAAACAATGTTATTTTTATCTAGTTTGGTGTGCTGTTGTGGACTTCTATCTTGCTCTTCTTCCATGGATTTTCATTTGGAATTTGAACATGAAATTCAAGGAGAAAATGTCTATTGCGATAAGTTTGAGCCTAGGCTTTATGTGCGTTGTCTGGGAGCTACCAGTTGTGAAGATGTTGACTAATATTTATTCACAGCGCCTGTGCCTGCGGAATTATTCGATCAGTTGATATTGTGGGCATGAACAGTAGCAATTACACCGGTATGGAACTCCGACGGGTGGTAAACTTGATTCCAACATGCTAATTATGATATTCCCTTCTTTTAATTAGAGGCCACCATCGGACTCATTGTTTGGTCGGCCGTCGAGTTAGCTGTCACCCTCATCTGTGTTGGTATTCCTACCGTCCGGCCTCTCTATCGTGTCATAGTTCATGGATCAAAACCGGAAAGCTCAAATGGTAGGTATAACCAGCAACCTGGCTCGGATCATTCGTCGCGTTTCCGCATGCGAAACCTGATGAAAGACAACAGTTTGTTCAGCATGACACAAGAGGGACAGACGGAGTCATATATCACCCGCAATGACAATAAGAGTGACGAAGAAGTTTTGGTGGGTCATAATGGAACCACTCATGATGGCATTATTGTGCGAGAGGATGTGACTGTGGAAACAGGGAAGCGATATTGATCGAAGTGACGACCAAGAAAAGCATTTTATTGGGTCTCTGAAAATACCTGAAATTCGAGATATATGACTTATGAATCATAGTGACCGGCAGTAAGCCGAAGGTGTCTATTTAATTGCAGCCCTCTTGATAGCATTCTTGGGATCCAATGTATCCCATCTTGGGCTAGCATAATATAAAGAGATCCCGCTTATAATATTTTACGTCAATAATGCCAAACTTGAAGATCCTGCGTATTTCCGCTGAAGGATTGAGTATTTCTTTGATGTCGGAATCATGAAGCCATTTCCAGCAATCAAAATTTTCTCTCTTCAAAGGCTCTGCGAGCATTAATAATGATGAAGAATGTTGATTTAAATGTATTGCATGCTTTCGTATTTGCCAACTGAAGTATGATAGATAGTTGCGACATAGGGAAGGAACGAAAATCGTGGCAACTTGGCACGACCGCCGTTGCGATACTGCCATAATCTACTAAGATCACGAGTTTTCAACTTTGATTGAATACCTCCCTTGTTCACGCCTGTGTCCCTTTCCTAGTCTGTATTCCCACACGATGTCAAAACGGGGCTAAAATTGAAAATGTCTGTCTCCTCCTGGCCCGAATCTAGCTTCTTGAAAAGGAGGTGTGATGCTCTAGATTCTTCCTTCATCCCGTCCTGACCAGACCCCTTTAAAACGGCATTCAAATCCATAAAGTCGCCTTCTTGAGGGTCTCTCGTAAAACTATTGGTTTTATCAAGAGGAAATATTGTATCAAGATAGTGCTGATTCAACTGATGTCCTAACCTTGGATTCACGAATACCTTACCCATAAAATGGTTCTCGAGGTGGTTCTGAAGTGCTCTTTTTGTAAAGTTAAGCACTCCAAATCGGCTCGCAAAGTCGTATGAGTTGGCATAATGCTCTATGTGTCGAATTGCGCGGTCGTGACCTGGCGTTATCTGCATTCTATTAACTGCTGAACCAGAGTTCTCGTCATGCGAAATTAATTGTCGATATGGATTGTCGAAATGGTTGGCTATAGATCCAAATGTAGTATATATCTCAGGGGCCAGGTATTGCAGGAGTTCTTGAGAAACTTCGTTACAAAAGCGAATCCATGATCATTCCACCCTCAATACCACCCTGGTAATGGAGGATGAAAACAACTTTTTTAACTGGTTTGTGGTAGAGAGCCTTTTTAACCAGCGCAAAACATTCGTGAACGTCTGATGTTGCGTAAAGCATGGATCTTTGAATAAGACATTGGATTATAATGCGAGATTAAGTTAATTATTGATGAGATACATGATTATGCATTCGAGATACGTTTGTGTTCCACGTTTCTTTATCCGTATAGTCAAAAATGAACATCTTACAGCTCCAGAGGCACTCAAGGTCCTGATATCGAAAATAAAATGGATCACTAAATAGTAGAATTCTACATAAGATAGACAACATGTCGACACCGGAAGCGCCACGTCAATAATGCCCACTAAGTCCGAGTCCCCAGCACCAGTCCTATTTGGGCCCCCACTCTCGGCCCCCAATATCCTGTCAGCCTCTGATATCCCCTTTCTTTCCATCCTCATCAATTTATTTCTACCACCGCTCCCGGTAAATTCGATATCTAGTGAGCGTTTTGGGAAGAATTTCGCGACCATGGAAGGCATGCAAGTATTGTCCTTGGGCATGTCCAGGACCGGAACAGCTTGTAAGTCAAATTCAGTGCAACATATCTGCGCTCATTCTCAAATCATTTATCAGCGATGAAAGAGGCTCTTCGCATTCTTGGACACGACAGAGTTCATCATGCATATGAGCTCTACAGCCACCCCGATCAATGTCGACAATGGCTTGCTGCTTGGGATGCAAAGGCAAAGGGTCTTGGTGAGACGCTTGATCGCAATTACTGGAACAATATCCTGGCAGGATACACCGCTGTGACTGATATGCCGGCTGTTTGTTTTGCGAAGGAGCTTATTGATGCCTACCCAGAAGCAAAGGTTGTCCTCATTCAGCGGGAGGAGGAGGCCTGGCTTCGCAGCTTCAAATCAGCGGTGATAGATACATATTTTGACAACTCACTCATCACGGCTTCGATATCCCTCTTCGATCGCGAGCTAATGCGACCACTTCATTTCCTATGGAGTCGCCTGTTGGCCGCAAGGGACGGCTTTTTCGAAGGCACGACAAAGAGCCAGGTAGAACAGAATGCTCTTGAGGTCTATAGAAAGCATAATGCCCTAATTATAGCCCATACTCCGCCGGAAAACTTACTGCTATTCAACCTTGAAGATGGTTGGAAACCTCTTTGTGCGTTCCTCGGCATGGAAATACCCCAGGTTCCATTTCCAAACGTCAACGAGGGCGATGCTGTCAAGGATGTTGTTGCAGCCTTCACCCAGAAAAGCATGATTCGAGCGGTCCGCAATCTTTTTATCATCGGCGTCAGCTGTGCGGCGGCATTTTATCTGTGCGCTTAATGTGCCAGGACTGTTTGTGCCTATGAGACGAGGGTTACACCAAATTTACGGATTACCATCAGATATCAACCGAATTTACGAGATGGGCTGTACACCTAAATACTCGTGCTCCAGCATCGCGATTACCCAAATATATTGGGAATGTTCTCAACAGTCCATGTTTAGTCATGTCATAGCGACCATATTGAAATAATTGTTTCAGAGCCTTACATTAAGTGATGCCGACGGCCCTGACAAATGCCACTTCATTGAAGATGAAATCCAATAAAGAAGTGATCTAATTTCTGAATTGAAGCTCAAATGACCCGATAGGTTTGGAGCGCAGAAAAGCTTAAGAAGGGAAACCTCGATATTCCATTCAATCAACCCGATGCATTCTAACTTATAACGGAACCCAAGTTAAAGCGTTCCCTCCATCGCCTAGTGGAACCTCCAGAAGGATCCGGAGAAGAAGAGGGAATCGCCGTTTCTTGCAAATCAATCAACGAGAACAAAGTTCTTTTTCTCGCTTCCTGATCACTTGCTTCATCAGAATAGGTCGAGTAGTCTCCGTCTGGAGTCAACCTTTTCTCAATTGGAGGTTCCATCAATCCCGCAGAGTAATATCGCCAAGGGTCCCAAATGTAGATACCGAGTTGTTTGAAAGAATTTAAGTCACCATCGGAGGTGTAGCCTATAATGGTGGAACTTGCTCTTGGGAGTTTCTCGAAATCTTCAATTCGCTCTGTAGTCAAATGCCGATATCTTGGACTCAAATACCAAGAGTCACCGACCTCGTCGTCCAGTGGGGGGATCGGCGGTGGGGCCCATGTAGGGAAATCGATATCTTCCTTTAGCTCGAGGCTTAAGAAAAATGGAAGATAGTCCCAAAATCGGTCTTGAAATCTTGCAGGGATCTCTGGAGGGGACGAAATGACGACTTCTTTCAAAATTTCGTGGACGGTTCTCACTTCTTCGATCATCGCACGTGAAAGGCCCCTTTTACTTGCGTATCCTTCAAGTGCCCATTTGTACTGGGTGTTCCATCCTGTAGAACGAACAGCTGCGTATATCTCTGAATATATTTGCAAGATCCAGATCGCCCTGTATACACGGAGCTCTTCTATCCAAGAAGGCGGACCAAAAGCAGCGTGAGCACGACGAACATGGATGTCTGGAGCCCTTTTGGTTGCATCCTCTAGGTTACCCAACATCAGGCATAGGCAGGCACAAGCTAAGCGTTGTATTTGGGCAGCGAGCTTGATCATTCCTCGCATCACACTAGATGCCTCGGACTGACTCCTCCCGCGGAAGTGCAGACTGAGACAACTTTCCGATGAAATAGACATGATAGTGGAAATACTCATTTCCGGGAACTTTGAGCGAAATGAAGGAGTGCGGATATAGACGATTTCTCGAAAGAATCGATATATGTCACAGTTAAAAGTGCTCGGCGTACTTGGTGGGAATTCCCGGTCCATGCTGGTGTCTAGACGAACATGGCTATCTCCGTAGCCGACCTTGGGTAAAGGTTTTGTTATTGAACAAGCATGAAGAACCTTCTCTGTTATCCTGACACTGTGGGTCTGGAAGATGATTGCAGCTCGGGGTAAGCACCGAAGCAGACTATCGAGTCCATAGAAATCATCTACATGCTCGATGATTATGATAAGAACCTCTGTGGGTATTCGCTCGAGTCCATCCATTGTGTGATAAATGAAGATCAAAGAAGTGGAATGTGATAGGTTAAGGGGCGGGGCAATGTCAGACTCAGGCTGTTTGGGGCCGCTCTGGATTGGGTTTAGTTGGGATGGCGAGGGTACATCTCAAGTGTTTCAGGATTCGCGGATTATAGTGGGAGTGTAAGTATTTCGCGGATTTGGAAAGATTGATATAGAGATCAAAGTGGAAAAGTATTATCAATTGAAGATCAACCTAGAAATTCTCGAATAATTGATCGTGGCTGGGAGATGCATCAATATCAATTTCCTTGTCGTCCGTTTGTACTGGTCTGGGCGCCAAGACTTTATGCAGTCTGCCTTCTGCTACTCATCATGCCCGTTCGCAACTTCAATTCTACCAAAGACATACTTCTGTCTGGCTTGAAATCGACAATGTCTACTGCAAATCCTCATAGGCTCCCAGTAAGACCTAGAGGTCGCCCTTGTAAATCTTCTACAGGAACAGTCGACTCAGTAGGCGCACCTCTCCCCCCTTTTCCGTTCGGCGCTCACCGGATCCACAGGAGCGAAGGAGGCAGATTCGCGATGCTCAAAGAGCCTATAGATCGCGTCAACAAAGCCTACTTGAATCACTCAAGGAACGAAATGCACACCTGGAGGATGTTATGGGCCAGCTCTCTCAGATCATGCACTCGTTCCATGAAGCCAAAGCGAACTCACATCTTCCGTTATCAAACCTTTCAAAGGCAGTTGATCTGCTCGAAGACGAGATCACACTTCAACTCAAACGAGCCGAAGCACATTCTTTAAGAGAAAATCCTCATCGCCCTACGCAATTGCCAATTTTCCGGGAAAGAATGCAGAATCTGCTCGTTCAGCCTTCTCTGGATCTGGCGAAGACAGTTTATCCGCCACCCTCCATCGTGAAGCAATCCGATTCTCCGTTCTGGACATCATTTCTTCAGAGATCTCATCCACTCATCCCGAGCGCTGTGCGCGCACCTATTAACGCCTCTTTCGATATATCTACAGCCACACTGAGTCCCCACGACCAGTCAATTCCCTACGCAACCACCCACTTCACACAAAAGCTCTTTCAAGCATGTGCTGAAAGCGGCCATCGCTATCTAACAAACGACGCTGTCACTGATCAAGAAATGTGGCATGAATTCGGTCTCATGCTGCAAAAGGTCCCGAGGGCCCAAATCACGTCTTACTTCCAACGAGTCCTAGCAGCAACACCTTGCAACCCTGTCGAGGACTTTCAGTTTCCGTTCATCAGCCTCGGCGGTGCAGGCACACACTTTCCCCGCACAAAGCAAATGTCGATCGGTGCATCTGGATTGCAGAATCTACTTCCATTCCAAACGACAAATGGGATTATGGAACTGCCTTCCGATGAGCAATGGTTCGATGTTCATGACGTTGAGGGCTTCCTATCAAGCCGGAGGATTTTGCTTCAATCTAACCGGTCGCTTCCGACAAATACTGAACTGGTTGACACACAATCGATGTCTTCGAGACCCTTGCAGCCTTTCTTTGAGCAAAACGTGGGAAATGAATATATTTCCTTCGACCGGAATTCATCTATAATGCCGATATTGACCATCGATGAGAATTTTATCATTACAGGTAAATACAAAATTTCTAATATCTAAATTCGCCCTATTGACATCGAAACAGAACTCAGTCGTCTTTGCATTTGCATTGGATGTGCCGCTGCGTTTCGTCGACGCGATGTCGAGGCTCTTGTCTCCCATAGTGCTCAGAAAATGCCAGACACTAACCTCGCATCTATCAATATATGAAACCTTTTTCAAAGCCCCATCGTCACTTCGACTGTAAGATAAGAAAGTCAATTTTCATAAAAAGTCAATCCGACCTATCCCGCTCGATCATTTGATTGCCTTTCTCCGGCTCATCACATCTTCACGCCAGAACCACAAGGCTGCAGCGCTGGCACCTGGACCAATGAGCACAAAGCCGGCCATCAAGTACCCGAGTCCAGCCTTCCAATCAACCCGTGACAGTCCTGCTCTGTGAAGATCAGCAATATTCACCAAGCTCCATATGAAGCTAGCAGCTGTCACGAGAAGAAAGTCATTCTGGAAGAAACAAAAACACCGCCCGCCAACGTTTCAACTCGCCCGAACGAATCTCCGGGAACAAAGATCTGCATCAACGAAATTTCGTTCGAAATGAAACAGCCAATAACAACGCTGAGATGGATACAGGCTGCGATGGTTCCAGTTGTCTGATAAATAGCACGCAAGTGAAACATGTCATCTCCGGGCGAATTTGGATTACACCCATTTGATTTCTTCACCGCAGCGTTGGCGAGCTTTGCAAAGACATATGTGAAGCAAGAGACTAGTGCGGGTGCAGGCTGCCAGGCCGCGATAACGGCCTGCAGGCTCTCGGTGTCCTTGAATGGAAAGAAGAGCAGAATGGTGGGCACGATGAATCCAAGTATGAGAGCTGGGAGAATGAACTTGGCCGCAGGTACCTCTCGGCCGGGTACGAGGAGAAATATAGATTTCCGCGAAACGAAATGGCTGGCAGCGAAGTACAGTGGTGCGATGAACCCAATTCCGCGTAGCTGGTACAAAATACCCCAAATGCTGGGACTGTATGGGGAATTAGCAAAGTTCAAGTTCTATTTTGGAGCTTTCTTACCTTGCTATCATGGACCACCTGTTCTTCTGTCGATATCCCTCGATAGTAAAAATGGCAATGAGTGGCAGCATCGACGACAAGAAATATAGAAGCTGCAATGGCTGCTCTCGGTGAGAGCTAGTAATTGCCGGTAGGAAGATTGACACGAGTGTCGTGAGGATTTTGTCAATAGATTGCACGCCTGTGTAAGACTCACGCAAGCTTCCACTCAAGTCGCCAATTGAGCGATTGATGACTGCTTCGCGGACCAGAGACCAGGTGCCATTTACCTTGCCAGCTGCGAACAGTAGTTGAAATGCAACTACTGCCAAGGCCGCAAAGACAATGTACAACAGATATCCAAATGGTCCACGAGCAGATGGGGCTCTGAGCAACTCGTCATAGAAAGGGATTGCATGGTCCCTCTCAGGTGCCGGAAGCATGTTCAAGGAAACACCCGAAGCATATGTGTCGACCCATCGATCTGTCAGCACGCTTTTTGGGACATACGGTATGATGTATCTAGCGACGAATTTCAAAACAGAAGTCTCCATGCATTCCATACGCTGTCTGGCATGCGACTGTTTGACGAGAGACCAGGTACGGTCCTCGCGTTGTCGCTGAGTTGTCTCAAAAATAGATGTGATTTCTGTTGTTGAGAGGTCTCCCGAATCGTTTTTCTTCAGAGACGCGACCAAATGATTGGCCAAGGATGCTGAAGTTTCAATTGCATTATTGCCTCCTTGTCCGGTCAATGGCTCGAACTAAATCATTATGGTTAGAGACTGTCCAAACTGCCCGAAACTCGTAATACATACTTTGTGTGCTGCATCACCAATGGTCATAATTCTCTGAAAATACCATTTCTTGTACACGTATTCTGGCAGAGCTGTGTACACAGAGCTTATCTTGTGCTTGTACAAGTCTGAGAATTGCAATGTCGGGGTGATATAGTCGTCCCAGTGTTCCTTGACAAGCTTTTCCTCGTCTTCTTTCGTGTAACGTGGAATCTCGGAGCCATGGAGTGTTTTACCCATGTTTCTGACTAGGAACCAATAAGTCCTGTCTCCCGGGCCGCTTGGAACCAGGTAAGAGAAATGCTCGTTGAAAACTGAGTTCAATGTTCCTTTCTCCACGCCTGGTCCTCCTTTCGATATACCGAAGATGCACGCGTATGTTGCTGGGAGGGCTTTTGTCCAAGTCAGCTTCCAATATCTCAGTGGTTACAAAGGGGTCTCGCACCATCTTTCTCGGATGGATCGATCCATGTTGGATCTAACTTCTGCGCGGTCTCCCACATCTGTTGGCGAACAGCCGAATGGATACCATCTGCCCCAACAACGAATGTTCCCATGAATTCCTTTCCAGATTGGGTAGTAACCGCCACATGAGTCGGGTGGTTTCTCACAGTAACCACTTTCTCAGAAGTCAGGATCTTGTCCTTTTGTTGAATCTTGTCATACAAGATTTGAATCAACATGCGCCGATCAAAAAACACGCATGGATAGCCATGTCTTCGGAATATTAGCTAGAGTCCTCAAATATCATTCATTCTTCGCAGTGGTACGGATATGGATGGAATCACAAACCTTTCAGAGATCCTTTCATTGAAGTCCTCAAAAGACCAAAATATTTTTCCACGCGAATCACGAAAAGTCACCTTCTCGACTGGGTATTCAGATTCGGCGAGAACTCGTTCGTAGCACCCTAGTTGATCAAGAATTCGCAGACCATTTGGCAGAAGGCCAATGCTTGCTCCAGCCTGAGGCGCAATGTCGCGATAGGCCTCCAATACCAGAAAGTCAATTCCGTTCTTCTCCAGCATCAATGCCAGAGACAGACCAGCAATACTTCCCCCCGCGATGATCACCTTCATGTCTTTTTGGGACATGGTGAAATAATAATGGGGCCAAATCTTTGAACCGATTTCTCTACATGCTCCGAATGAGAACTAGACAGGCATTTATAGACTTGGATTAGCACACAGCTGAGTCCGTGGCCTCCCTTGATTTGTATGGCGGTTCCACATTTTCCCCGGCAGGCTTCCTCAGCTTGGCCAAGTTGCGGGATTCACACACATAAACCGTCGTCGAAATTGGCCCGAGTCCTCCATGATCAATAATCAAGCCAATCATATTGCGGTTAAGAGTGGATTCGGGTGAACTTTTGGCTGTGGGTCTACGCCTACGCTACGGCCGCGGCTGATCGCAATCAACCGAGACTCCCAATCGAGAAAGTTCGAGGCTGAAAAACAATTCACGAATTAATATAGAGAGGCACATTTGGTAAGCCATATTTTACCATTGTTCGACATTCAACTTATACACCTCTCGGCCTACTAGTATATACTTTCTGAGCGGGAGAAAATGAATTGCAGAAGTATGCCGGAGCACGACAAATTAATTCTGCCTCAAAAAATCAATAATAAGTCCAGAGATTTCTTCCGGCTTATCATGCTGCGAGAAATGCCCCGCACCATCCACAATATCAAGCTTCGATCCAGGAATCGTCTTGTTCAATTTATACGCCCAATCAACAACCTGCCAAGCATCATCCTTGCCCCAAATCAGGTGAACTGGCAATTGACCCAGAGTCGGAAGTTGATCAACGATCTCCATCGTATGCTTGGGATCATAGTGTCGAATTTGATGCTGGAAATAACTACCTTGTCCGATGGGGCCGGAAATATATTCAAGAAAAGTGTCCAAAGTGCCCTCATTCTCGAACTTCTTTTTCTCATATACACCCGACAAAATCCATTCTCTAAAATGGGCCCGATGGTCCCCATCTGAAGCGGTTATCATCTTCTCAAGACCATTCTCCATCAATTGCTTCGTTCTCGGGGACGGATAACTGTCAAAAGAGACCGTGTCGATAAGTGTCAAAGACTTAACACGCTCCGGCGAACGAATACCAAAGCGCTGAGCAATGGCGCCGCCAAAATCGTGTGCCACGATATGGGTCTTTTCTATATTCCAGAAAGAAAGAAGACCCTCGAATATTGGAACTTGGGCTGTTGGAGATGTGTCAATTGATTGATTCCAGGGACGCTCGGATAGTCCGTATCCGAGGAGATCAAAGAGGTGGACTTTGTAGCCGGCTTTCACTAGATTGGGGACAATGTCACGCCAGACGAGTGAAGAGAAGGGTGTGCCATGAAGTAAAACAACTAGTTCGCCATCCCCGAATATGCCATAGGCGATGCGATTCCCGTTGATGAGAGTATTCTGAGTAGCAAGGGGTTCCATTTTCAAGGTTTCCGATCAGACAATTTTTATCGGCTGACTCTGGAGTTTGTAAGGGGGCATTGATTTATATGTCTGTCTTGAATTATTTGGCTAAGCTCTATTTATTTGGTTTAATTCTACGTCATATCAGACATTCAAGTATGAATCTACGAAAATACGAGGTTGATTTCAAAGCATGAGGGGTTAGGTGTGGGGCCCCGCCATAGTTATACCAATACTGATCCCGATTAAACTCATTTATAGTGGACCACTCTGAACCATATCAAGCAACATCGTTTTAATCTTCACATATGCATCATCGTACGATGACTCATATTTGATCATGCCGCCGTGGCTACTATTGATCAATATGTGTGGCGAGAGTCGTTGGAACGAAGGCTATCCCACAGTACCAGAGGTTAGCGACAATAAGGAATGCAATCTTGTCTCTGGGTAATTCTTGGAATATCTTACCAGAGTTTCTCTATCAGAAGAATCTTGAGGCTGAGCACATTCATATGCGAAACAAGTTCTAAACTCATTTGCAATCAAGGAATATCTTTCAAGCACGGACAGCATCCAGCGTGCTTCTTCGAAGTCCGCGTTTTGCTGTTGCGGTGATTTCTCAAGGAGACTAATAAACTTCTTCAAGCCATCAAGTCTGGAATCTAATTCAGGTGTTCCCATGAAAATAGTCCCACGTGTCGAAAGGCTTATACTGCGAAGATTTGTCGCCGAGGACCTTGCATCGGTTGACTCTTTCGACGCCGAATATAGTATTGCCTAGTAATAGATATCAACACAAATTTAACTCTTCAGATCTTCAGCATGCTTGTAGAAGGTTTACATACACCTTTGACTACAGTGCCGCCTTGGCTATGGGCAATGAATATCATAGGGCGCGAATGTGTCTGTCGCTGGGATTTAGCCTGCACCACCTCTCCCTTAATCGAGTTTTGTGAACATACTTCGTCTAATCCCCTCACTTTATATAGCTCCTCAACTAATCTTTCGGAAATTGTTTGGAAGACCGGTACTTGAGGTCCGACATTCGTGGTCTGCGTATCGTAGCCCCAAGTGTAGATTCTTGAGTTGGGCAGATCCGATGGTAAAAGACTCTGAAGCCAATTCACTCCATTCGAAGCTGTCCATGATTTCTCACGGTGTCCGTTCAATCCATGGACTGCGACGATACTGTCAAATCAGGTCAGTTGGCATTAGGGAAATGTCTAGATCTCTTGAAATGGTCGCCCTACTCCACTTTAGCATTGGATCCATTATACAGCAATTTTAATCCAGTTTCGTCAAATTCGGCTTTTTTTTTCGGTCTAACGATGAATTTCATTAATTTGAATAACGTTAACATTGTCAAGGCCATTTGCACTGGTTGCTTACCTGTTTGGTTTCTGGTGACTCATCCTCTCTACGTTTGAAGAGCTGAGAGAATTTTCGAGTTAAACGTCTCATCTTCGAGTTGGTGAATTGTATCGGTCACCGGTGCACTGGGAATTTCTTTTTCACACCTGCATAAACTTGTTAATGATATCAAAGAAGATTGTTGATTTGGATTGACCCTATCCCCGCCACTAAAAAGTGCTTGGATGATAAGCACGATAAGCTTGCAGTTCCCCTCATCACGTGGGGCAATTGCATCCACCAAAAATTTCGCATCTTTAACTGTCTTTAACTCACCCTGAAATCCCAACTCTTCAAAAAAAGATCAAATTATATACTATGTCATCAAAACCAGACAATCCAGTCCAAGCACCCGGGACCGAATCCATCCCCGCCGACTCCAAAATCAACCATGAAGCCTCTATCAAGTACTGGAGCAGTTTACCAAGTACCAACAGTAACATGCTAGGCATGCTCGGTACATATCCATGGTATACACGAATTGAACTCCAAGGATCAAAGTCCTTCCTTACAAAAGTCCGTCGATTACTACCCGGTCTGCCCACGAGCGGTAAATTCGCACTCGGGGCAGATTGTGGTGCGGGCGTGGGTCGCGTCACAGAGGGCTTTCTATCCCATGTCTGTGAAGTTGTCGATGCGGTAGAACCGGTCAAGAAATTCACGGACGTTTTGGCAAATAGTCAGCTCAAGACTGACGGTGTTGTTGGAGATATATACACCGTTGGTCTTGAGAATTGGTATCCGGAAAAACTTGAAAAGAAATACGACCTCATTTGGACCCAGTGGTGTGTGGGCCATTTAACGGATGCGCAATTGATTGATTATATTGCGCGATGTCGGACCTCGCTTGCTGAGAGTGGATTGGTGGTTTTGAAGGAGAATTTGTCGACTGATCCTCGGGGGCTGGATATGTTTGATGAGGAGGATAGTAGTGTTACTCGGACCGATGAGAAGTTCAGGCAGATCTTTGAGGCGGCGGGGATGGATGTTATCAAGTCGGAGATTCAGACGGGTTTTCCGAAGCAGTTTAAATTGCTTCCGGTTAAGTCTTATGCGCTGCGACCAAAGTCTTGAAGATGAGTATAACTTTTTTGATATTCTGAATGAGGGAATGATTGTCCATTCAGATATTCGAGTATTCACTCATGACCAAGTGCAAAATATGGATTGCTACAACGGACTTGTCATTTATATCAACTGCCGTTGATTCATACCTGGGCGAAATCTTTTGAAAGAATTACCCATACTAGCAACCGCAACAAAACAAAGTGGCAGCTATCAAAAGAAACACTATTGCCACCAGACCTCCCCCCCGGTTTCTGGCAATACTTCGATCTCTCGAAAGATATATGGGAAATATAATTACAACCTTACCTTTCAACTCATCCCCAACGACTCGGAGCAACCTTGGAATCGAACATTGCAGTGCGACAAGATCTGCTCTTCTATATCAAACAGAGTATAATGGATTAATATCAAAATTGTTCGAATCGCTTCCCTAGCCAAATTTATTGAGCATGATAAAAGCCGTTCAGCATCAGTAAAAGTTTCAAGATCAGCTCTATGTTGAGCAGAAATATTGTTCGAGAATGCAGGCCTCTTCCATTTCTATCAAAAATAGCACCGTGTGTCTACAGGTCTATTGAACTACATCACAGTCTGTACCTTTTAGGCCACACCAAACAAACACAAAATAGTACTTATATTAGACGCAGTATATGTACGTTCGTTCCATTCCGATTCTCATTCTCCGATAATCAAGACAAGAATGTATTATGAATAAACTGTTGTTTAGAGGGGAGGGGAGGGGGGGGTAGTGTAGCCTCATCTCATTCATCGTTCCCTATGTCCACCATGAACCAATTGTTTTTCTTGGTTTTCCACTTGCAAGAAATGAACACTTCGCTTCTAAAAAGAGCAGAAAAAGGTGGGGGAAAAACACAAAGCAGTTAACAAAAACTCCCTTTACACCTACAAGCCACTCCATAGTTACAAAAAAATGTGGAGAAACAAGCCATGCTTTATGCCCATGCTCATGCTTCGCCTTCGCCGCGGCGCAATGCCAGCAATGCCCGGACATCGGTGACATATTGCAGTGCCTCGAACGTAGGAATTAGGTGCAGCAGACCGTTATCCGTTGGATCGTTGATCCAGCCCTCGATCGGAACAGCATTATCTCAGAATAGAAGAGAGGCGTTAGTGGATGAGTGACGAAAAGCATGCGAATGTGATTGCAGATCCATACCTTCGTGGAAAATATAGCTCATCGGGCTGTTGTCCAAGATCATGACCTTGCTCAGGTCGGGCTCAACAGAGCTGAGGTCCTTGATATACGCACCCTGGCGGAACGTACAATGCTGTCGGTAATAGCGGGCCTGGAAGTACTTGCGCTCCTGCTCGAGCCAGTCGATCACGGGGTCGGCATATTCCTGGACACTGGCAGTGAAAATGACCAGTTTGTACCACTTGGAGACCTTGCGCAAGAACTCATCGCAATGCGGCCGCTTATGAACATAGTACAAAATAGGATGTTGAGGACCCAGAGTGGCCTGCGGCCCACCCGGTGTCAAGGCGGTGGTCATGGGCATGGATAGCTTGACCTCGACCATATGGCCACTAGACATACGGCCGCCTTTGGCGAGCGAGTGGATGAGCGTCTCGTCGAGATCCAAGACCAGCGTTTTCTGTGGGAGTCGGGCATTGCGCGGGGCAGCGGTATATGAAGGTAGCCGCGGGGGGAGGAGAGGTCGCGGCGGATCGGGGGAGGAATGCGGGTATTTGGTTATGCGATGAACAGAGGAAGAGGTGGGGGATTTCAAGCTATCGGCGCCCTGAACGCGAGTCACACCCTCAGGCATTGGATGACCAAGGTCCGTACTCTGAGTCCGGCGCTGCCTCTGTCGTTTGGAAACTTCCTCGTTATGTAGCTTAATACGGATCGACCGACGCGGAGTATTATCATCTGGGTTGGTATCGGGGAAAGGTTCAATGTCGACGCTCGGGGTCCTGCTGGAGTTTCTGCTATGTCGAGGTTTCGGGTTTGGAGTGCCTTTGATATTCCGTTTATCTGCATCTGATTCTGAGGTCGTCGATATGATGGAATCTCGTGATGTTTGCGGTTTCAACTTGCGGGTGGAGCCACTGCGTCGCCGACCTTCTACCCGAGGAGAGGCCCCTTTATCCGACCGGATCCTGGGGTCGGCAGAAGGGTGGCGCCAAATTTTCCTCACTGGAGCTAAAAGCGAATAGTGCCCGTCATCGTTTTGGAAGCATTGGGCTAAGTAGATGCCTGGTGCCGCTAGCGTAGATAAAATGAAGTGTATCGTTTCCGTGATCGCATCGAAGATTCGGTGGGTGAAAAGTCGCCAGGTACTTTTAGTTACCAGAGTTCCATCCTTTTGAATTCCGTGGAGTAAAGTCGATTTCTCGTCATATGAGTGGTGGTTATCTTCGTCGTCATCTCGGTCATCGGCTGATGCGACACCGTCGTAACTCTTGTCAAAAGCAACACTGGACCGGAAGTTGTCGCTACTGTAAGATCGATGCTTTGCGAAGTCGCCAGGCAAGGTCTCGCGCCTTTTCTCGCCCTGGGATTGTGATCGCGGCCGCGGTGAGCTGGAAGACTGGCCGATGACTCGCGAGGAAAGGATATTCAGCGAGTTCATCTTCCAACGAGGCCCACGGGGAGAAAGACAAGGAGATCTAATAAAAGGTGATCCGTGAGCGAAGTCGTCACCACATCAGGTAGGCCATGGGCCAAGATGAAGTTCGTCAAAGGTCGTTCGTGGGGTTCTCAAGGGGAAGGGAAGGATAGGAGAAGAGACATGGGCAAGGAGGAAGCTAGTGCAAGGTGAGCAAGGTGAGCGTTGGGACCAACCTCGATGCGCCAGTCACCCGAGCCTCGGAACTACTTCCGCGACGCCCAGTCCGATATCTACCGCGGAGGGGCGGAAATGCAGTAGAACCCAAAAGTAATCAAAGAAACAAAGGGTAGTAAGAAATTCGATGCTGGTCTAAAAGAAAGAAAGGAAAGGAAATGAGGAGGGAGACAAAGATGAGGAGAGGAAGAGAAGAGGAGAGGTTCGCAAGTGTGGGGAAGCGGACAAAGTCGAGCGGCAGAAAATCAACTTGACCTTCTTTTTGCTGTTGCCCACTTGGACTTGCTGCAATACTCTTTACACTACACTGGACAAGGTTGGGCAGATCTTAAAGACGATCAAGAGGAATAGTATGTTAATCTCAGTGCTCATGTCCATGTTCACTATATCCTTTATCCTATATCCCACCTCCCACTAACATCTTCTTCAGCTCCTCTACAACCATCCCACATGCCGTCCACCTCGTTGGCCCTGACACCAGGCCTGTCGTCTTTTCTCAAATCTCTCAAGTCCAATCCTATTGATACTTCAATCGAGAATCTCATCTCGTACGTCTTATGCTCGCCAATGTGCTTTGCGCTGTGCGATATGCGCTGTGCGCTATGCTATAATCCCCCCCCACTAATGACTCAACTCAACGCCAGACTCCTAAAACGCCGCCAAATCTGCCATTCACGAGCATCCGCTACCGCAACCGCCTACCTACTCCGCAGTGTGGTCTCGCTATGTCGGACATCCGAGTCATCTAAGCTCATCGAGCGAGTGCAGAGTGTGGGCCGCCGCCTCATGGCCGCGCAGCCGCGCGAGATGGTGGTGGGGAATATTGTGCGACGAGTCCTCGGTCTCATTCGCGACGAAGCAGAGGACGATCGCGAGGCCGAATTCGCTCTCAGTGAATCGGAGAGTCAGCCTCAAACCCCTCGGGCTTTCGATGGTGAGTGTGCAACAAATCCGAGATATTCGCATTCGCTGTAAACATACTCTTGAAGACTCAGCCCACTAACCCAACCCGAATAGATGCATCATTGCCCTTGGATCGCGATTCTCTCCCCTTAGGCGCAGAACGCTCCACTCGTCCTCCACTGACATCCATGTTCAGTCTTCTTTCTCACCCCGAACCAGAAGCCTCCCTGCCCAGCACACCTGGCTCCCAATCTCCGGGTGGACACAATAACTTCACAAAGGATCTCCGCGCCGAGGTGCTGGAGGGTATCAATGAGATCATCGACGAGCTCGGCCAAGTCGACGAGCAGATCTCAAACTACGCCCTCGAGCACATCCACTCCAACGAGATCATCCTAACCCACACATCCTCCACAACGGTGCAAAAATTCCTCCTCCGAGCCGCAACCAAGCGCAAGTTCACCGTCATCCACGCAGAGTCATACCCCAACAACCACGAGGTCACACACGCCACCGTCAGCGGTAACCGCCGCGACGACGACGAACTTCTGAGCTTCGAATCCTTCCAGAAACCCCTCATCGCCCACGGCATCACGGTCATCCTGATCCCAGACTCTGCCGTCTTCGCCCTGATGTCCCGAGTCAACAAGGTCATTCTGGGAACGCACTCCGTCCTCGCTAACGGCGGTCTCGTCGCGGCCGCCGGTACCCGTGTTATTGCGCGCGCTGCAAAGGTCCACCAAACCCCCGTCGTGGTGGTGAGCGGTGTCTACAAATTGAGTCCCGTGTATCCGTTCGACTTCGACTCTCTCATCGAATACGGTGATGCTAGTAAGGTTCTTCCCTACGAGGATGGCGATCTTGTCGAACAAATTGATGTTCAGAACCCGCTCTACGATTATGTTCCTGCGGAGTTGGTGGATCTTTACATTACCAATCTGTGCGTATCCCTTTACCCTTTACTGCTGTATAATTTTATCGCAAGCATTTCTAACTTCTTCGCAGCGGTGGCCATGCCCCATCATATCTCTACAGGATTGTCTCTGATCATTACCGGAAGGAGGATATCAGTTTCTGAGCGGTTATGAATAGTTACGTAGTATAGAGACAAAAAGTGACCAGGGTTAACGAAAGAATATGAGCTTCTTATGAGCTGCATTTTAAATTTGCATTTAAAAATTTCCACCATTTATACTTAGTCATAAATTAAATTTACTAGAGGTCAGTACTTGTATGCAAATAGTCGCCCTGGATCCCTAAAGTAAGAGCAGAAATCTACCGTTTTATGAGCTGGCAGCCTCGGAACCAATCATCCGCCCAAGGTATCAGTATAGGATATTTAACTAAATACTAAATAGTATTAATATGGAAATAATGTATTTCTATTAAAATCCTATGCTTATATCAACGGTATTTAAGGTATTATTGCCATCCTAGACAAGTTTGATTTTTGGCGGCGTGATGGGAGTCAACCCGCAATAAAAATATATATCAAATGGAAGGAACGTATAAGTCAAACCTTAAACTCGGACGAATTGATTCCTGATATTGATATTTCAATAAATCTACTAAATGATCCAAGTAAATAGGATAATCCATGGATGTGACAACAAGCTGTTTACTATGGGCACCTGGGCATGATGAAGTGGTAGAAAATTTAGATATCTAAAGGTTGACTTCGATCCGAAAAACCACTGCCAGTCTCCACAAATCATGAATTTCCCGAGGTCGCAATTGATCACTAACACTCAAGGAACCGTTGACAGAGTCAAAAATAAACAATAAATACTAGTACTATTAGTAGTACTAGTGGCAATACCCTTTAAACCCCTGGTATCTGATCACAAAGTACCCACTAGGCAAAAGAAGCAGTCACAGACTGGAGTCATCCGACACCTGTGGAGATGAATCTATGCGGGGATATCATGATCACCGCAATTACATCGCTACAAAGCACATCCCATGGGCAAGAGTATACAGATAAGACAGTATACACCCGGGGCGGACTTATCAAAACGCGGGGAGACATGAGAGTAACCCTACAGCCCTTAGAACAGAACCAGAAAAAATATTTGAAAGGTCGTAGCGCCAAATTTTTGGAATTGTATCGAAATCGTGGTTAATTCACATCAAACCAGCCAACACCAGACTGGAAAGCACCCGCCCCTAGAGGGGTAATTCCCAAAAAAAAAATTCTCATGAAATCCAGGCGCTAACATGGAACGGAAAACTTCCAGCCTGGCCCTCCACATCCACATCCACACACACAGACATAGACATAGACATCCTCGCCTGAGTTGTTTGCTTTGCTTTTAAAGTTTTGAGATGCGTTTGCGCAACTCCCTTAAGAGCGGGGCTTCTCCTTCTTCTCCTTCCACAGAGCGGCGAGACCGACACCGGAGACCTTGACGACCTTGAAACGGACACCGGGAATATCACCCTTGGCCTTGCCCTTGCGACCGAAACCGGCCAGGAGAACCTCGTCGTTCTCGTCGATGAAGTTCAGGCAACCGTCATTGGGGACTAAACAGAAAATGAAGATTAGCGATATGTGTCGGATGAATGAAGCGCATGTCGGATGTTGATTTGTCCGACATTGTATGCGAATCGTTTGTTGGAAGGATTGGAGAGAGAAAACCCACCGAAAGCAGCGACCTTCTTGCCGTTCTTGATCAGCTGGACCTTGACACACTTGCGAATGGCGGAGTTGGGCTGCTTGGCCTCAACACCGACCTTCTCAAGGACGATACCCTTGGCGTGGGAAGCACCACCGAAGGGGGGAGGACTTGTAGGCGGTTCCGAGGAGACGCTTCTTGAAGTTGAGGTCGGCCCACTTCTGCTCCTTGCGGTGCGCCTGGAGCTTGCGGGCGGCGTTAAGACCACGAGGTTGTCCCTTACCCATGTTGGCGGATGATTGAACGTCTGGAGGGAGAGTTCGTTAGTATATTCTGGAGCGCGTAATTCAAGTTGAATCGGTGTGGTGGTGGGGAGTGTTTCGATCGTGGTGCGAATGCGAGTTGGTGGTGCAGTGTTGCAGTGTGTATGTGGGTGGGTGGTTCGATGGTGGGAGATCTGGGAATTTTTGTGCGTGCAAGTCGATTCGAGATCGGGTTGGTTTTGACGGTGTCGAATATCGCCAGGAAACCGAAGAATGCAAACCAAACACGCACAATAGGAATTTCCAGAGGGGTATTCTCCCACCTTCGTGCAGGGATGGGCCGAATACGTACCGACTGAAAATGGGTGTTGTCGCTGAAGGGTTGTGGTCGACGAAGGGTTCGGATAGCACTTTGACCGGGGCGGACTCGCTTGCTTGGGACGCTTTTTCCAAATCCCGTGACTTGTGTGCGCTTTTGCCCTAAGCGAGTCACCTGATCACAGCAGCCCCCACTATACTGATTACGTCATCTGATAGCTCTTATCTTATCAGTCTTGGCATTTATCCTCAGTGACATACAATGGAGTTGTCCAAGTACATACATACACTTCAGTTTTATACAGTTGTTATGTACTAACTTCAACTCACCATGGACCTCTCTCGGAAACCAACCAACTCACAACGGTTACCACCACCGTCACTCTTCCAAGCCCCGCCCTCCCACAATGCATCCAACGTCTCACTCGCCGTTCCCCCAACCAACCAACCCCTCACAACACCACCAGGAAGTCAACCACCACCTCTAAATCGCACCCGAAGCCCCGGCGACAACCGCAGCCTTCTCTCCCCATTCATCGCGCGTCGACCATCTAAAAATGACGTCGACGGATCCGACGCCATCTGGCAAGAAATGCAAAGTGCTCTCTCCGAAGTCGAACTAAGCGCCGTAACCAGCGAACATGTATTCGGAGAAAAGCACGCCGAGGCCTTAGAAGACCTTCGCACCAAACAACTAAATCTCGCGCAAGCGTGGGCCCGCAGTGAAGCAGACGACGAAGTGGTGGGCTCGAGTCGCAACACCGCAGACGGTGAGAGTGCGCAACGCCGGGGTTCTGCAGAAGCAACAGCAACGGCAACAAAAGATACCACCGGAGCCACAGCTAGTGAATCCGCCCCTGTCAGAGATCGTGTCTCACACCGCACGCTTGACGAGGAGACGGAAAAAGATATAATTCTAGCGCGAAAGCGCCGTGATGCGAATGATCGGTACTTTGATCGTGTGAATCAGGGTGTTTTGGACGTCGTTGCGAAGCTTGAGGAGGTTTCGCAGGCTATGCGGACGGTTGAGCGGGAGAGTAGGGATATCTGGAGTGATTCGGAGAGTGTGACTACTGCGCCGCCGTCAACCAATGCTGGGTCATAGTTGATCTGAAGATGATCCCGTTTGATTAATGCCCGTTACGACTTGCGCCGGACGCCCTTTACACTCTTGAAGTCAGGCAGTAGCTATCGCTACCGGTCTTTCCGTGGCCGCACTAATAAATGTACTGTACATACTTATATTATCAAGAGACATACATCGTCAGTTATGCAACCAAAATAATAATACAACGCAACGCAAAACGCCAGGGTATCCAAACTCCACTGCTCCAAGCACGAACAAAACAAAGCCCATAATACTAATATACATCGTGAAGAGTTGAGTTGAGTTGAGAAATCAAAAGGTTAGCCCAGAGTCGTGAGTAGTCATCTACTACTCTTTCTTCACCAGACTCATAACCCCCCTCCACCCTTCAGCAGTAGCATCCCTCACATCCTCCCACCTCGTCTCATGCGCCTTCCTAGCCAACTTCTCAACCTCGGTGTTCCACCGATGCTTGAGAACTTCCTTGATTGTAATCGGACCTTCCCTTGGTGGAAATCGATCTTCCAGTGTGCGGGGGATATCTTCAGGAAGGTTTCGACGATCATAGGCACCGGTCGATCTCGCGAGCCAATTTATTTGCTCAACTTGGTCGCGAATGACGCGCCGTTGTTCGAGGCGGTTGGTGCGGTGGATGGTGACTGTTATGTAGAGGGCGGAAGTTGTGAGGGCGAATCCGCTAATCTATTGCGCAAGAGCAAGAAATAATGATTAGTTTTTATTCGAGAATGAGGTTAAAGTAAGTCTGGACGTACAAAGCCCGTGAAGAAGCCCATGGTAGTCGTGGGTGAGTGCCAGTGGTGGTCGGGGTTGGCTGGTGATGGGGATAGACAAAAGTTCGCGCGTGGAAGAAATAAGGAGACTAGTAGGTCTGAATATCTCCTGCTGGCAGAAATCCTGGTCAAAGAAAGACCTTAATGTCCCAATGGCAAATGGCAAATGTCGAGAAAGTCTGGCGGGTGAGGCGGGCAAAGGCGGTGGCAGCTCTCCGATTGGCCGAAGTCAACTCGAATCTTTTAGGCCTTCGCGTTTCCGACGACTTGCGATCTTCTGCTTTTTATTGTCTGGGGAATTGACCGCCACCACACTCCGTCAGGACATTCTCGAACTATTGTCCCGAATCACTTGACATACCCTCTCTTCGCCTTCTCTCCCTCCCTACACAATGGCCGGCGGCGGAGGAAAATACCGGCACCTGGGCCGCAAGTCTTCACATCGTCAGGCCCTGCTGCGCAACCTGGTGACCTCGCTCTTCGAAAACGAATCCATCACAACGACATGGCACAAGGCGAAGGAGGCCCAGCGATTGGCTGACAAACTGATCACCCTGGGAAAGAAGAACTCGGAGGCCTCTCGGCGACGGGCTCTGGAGATTTTCTATGTACGTGCCACCGAATCCCGGGAGTGCAAGCATTCAAGCGGATATTTCTCTGGGTTGAATTGTATTTCATTGCATTGGATTGCCAGAAATGAAACCTCTCAGCAGTGATATCCCAAGTGCCTTGCTCTCAAGATAACCACACCACAACCCCCTGGGGTAAAACGAAACTCTCATGCTAACCTTCCAACCCAGAAACCACACCAAATCATCCCCAAGCTCTTCGGACCCCTCCGTGAACGCTACGCCGACCGACCAGGCGGCTACACCCGCGTCCTCCGCATCGAACCAAAGCAAAAATGGGAATACTACTCAGTAGCCCAGGGCGACAAGGGCGCCATACCCGAACGCAAACCCTCAGACCAAGCGCCCTCGGCAATTCTCGAACTCGTCGACGGACCCAAGGACATGCGTTTCGCCATGACAGCGCGAACAGTCCTCCGTCAGCGCGAGGGCTATTCCGGCCAATTGAATAACATCACTAAGCTCAATGTGGAGAAAGTGACTCGGTTCCGGAAGGGTGGTGCTGAGGCGCTTGAGGAGGCTATTCGGAAATTGCAGGTGGGCGATAAGAAAGGTGCTGCTAAGATTGTTAAGGAGCAGGAGGAGTTGGCTGAGAGTGAGGATTTGGCGGCGGCTGAGGAGGCGGTTAGGTCTGAGAAGGAGGCTGCTGAGTTGGCGAAGAAGGTTGAGAACTTGAAGGTTTAGACTAGGCCCAGCTCTCCCTGGGGTCTCTTACCTTGCCTTGTCTTGCCTTGCATTGAATGTCGCCGTCGCCTCGCCCTCGCATGTATTCTTTCTCCGGTGCCGTGGAGGGTTGGGGGAGTTGTTGACTATTGTCCTGCTCCCCCCTTTTGATATCTTTTCTTTTTACCTGTTTTTATAGGAGTTTCGCTTTGGCATTTTGTTCTGTTGCGTCTGCGCTCATGTGACATAGCCCGTGTACAGTATAAACTTGAAGTATTTGATACCTTTCATCTAACTTGATACCGTTGTAAAATATACTATAACATGATCAATTTGAAGTTCTTGGGTGGGCACCTTGAATAAAACTGACACCATCCGATGCCGTTACTGATCAGCCGAGAATAGTCTCTCAGGATATATGAGTACCTAGTAAGGTACTACCTAGTCACGGCGGTACTAGTATTCGCCAAAGGGTTTGCAGTGGGCGTCTTTACTAGTAGATATGCTGCTGATAATGTGGGAATACACGCAATATCAGCAGCATAACTAAAGATGCCTCTGCAAACCCTTTGAACTCAAATTCGAGAACAGTTTTCCCATGCTGTTCCAAGATTGTGAGACCCCTAGACGAAATTTTGTGTTCAGCCATATATATCAGCATATAGAGCAGTGTGGAACTCGGGGGGTCATTGATCCCGGCCCGATCTTTGCCTGCCAGACACTACATCACTAGATTTCGGCACGAAGTATCACGAAGTGGGCTGGAAGTACTGAGCATTGGAGGTGAGCTTGTGTCTAGGAATAAAAATCGTACTAATAGTATCATGGCCGTGTCTGGTGTTGGAAAAGTATGCTCGGGTGTCTGTCAGCATATATTCTGGTTCCAGTCGATGAATATGTCTTCGTTCCCAAAACCTCAAGTTAACTGCAATTGCAAGAATGCCGAAGCCATTTCCAAGGTTATTGATCACAGGCCATATAAACGAAGACAAGCATACTTATCGTCAGTAACAGAGGCCGACAACTTGAAGGCCTAGCGGAATACGTTTGAGGTGAGATCAGAACGAAGGAGATGAGATGAGATGATCCAAGCAAAAAAGTGAGAACAGCCTCACGCAATATCTAGTACAGTCTCAAATAAAACGACAAATGACGTGCAAAAGGCGTACAAACGAATAACCAACGCGATGAAAACAATAAATCAACGCAATGCATGCATGCGATGGAAGCAAGCAGTGCATGCATACAGTGTGGCCTGAGGGCCTCAATAATCGTAAACCCAACGGACAACCTCACCCAAGGATGTACTTCCATTGAAATCCGACAGTTCAAGTACGACCGACTGCAGTGGAGAACTATGTCTCCGTGGATATATAAACTTGCCCTACAAGGGTAAAAGAAGAGAAGTAATCGAACTCACATTATATCAAGCCTTCAGAAGACGTAGATCATTTATTTAGCCAGCCGACAGTGAACCCTCATACCGCTTCAGTATAAATCTTAGAGATTAGATTCACCCGAAACCTCTAAAGATCCGGACCAATTTATTACAACACGTCCTTGGAGCAGCCGAGAAAACATCAAACACGACAAAGGAGCAACGAGGCTCATACTACTAGTACAGATAAATATTCGGGCGTCTGAATCGCAATGCATTGTCCTAACTGTACAAGCTACCGCTACCGAGCTGACATGCATAAAATCTAGACTAGACTAGACTAGACTAGACTAGACTACCTTTACTACCGTCCGAAAGCCAAAGCCTGTATCACACACGCACACCGACACGATGCATATAACAACTTAAGAGCCACACACACAGAGGGAGGGAAAGAAAAAGAAAGAAAGAAACCATATAAGATTGATGTCTTAATTCATTTTTGGGGCGCCGGCTCCACTAGAAACAACCAGAGGCCCATTTATACCGCCAGGTACAGGAATTCCATTGCTCTGGTACGAAGATGGACCTGGGCCTGGGCCTGTTCGACCGCCGAGGTCAAATTCGGAGGGGACTTCGGATGGGGGTGGTTTGGGAGGGAGATGTGAGGGGGTGCCCCATTTCGCGATGGAATCCCGGGAGCTTACGCTTGCGGTGCGAATTGTGTTGACGGATGAGTGATCTTGGCCTTGGCCTTGACCTTGACCTTGACCTCGGGCTTGCATCATATCTGAGTATCCATTCCATTGCGGCTGAGCGGGCAGATTTCCTTGCATATTGCCATATGGCATTGGCTGCTGTGCTCCCCTGCTTGCATTTGCATGTCGGGGTAGTGGTGCCCCGCCCGGAATGAATGCTCGGGTTTGGGGGTTGAAATGGGATTGGGATCGCTCATATGCTCCTGGCATCCCAGGTCTACCGGCTTGGTTTTGCATGGCATTATTGAGATGCTGGCCAGGGAACTGGGCGTAAGGATTGGCAGCCATGTTGGGCGTCATGGATTGTTGTTGCTGGGGGTAGTTGGGCCAATGCACAGGTGGTTGGTTCCGCTGGAGCGGGGATTGTTGAACACTGCCAGGGTAGGGAGTGGAGTTCCAATTGGGAGATTGTTGGTACTGTTGAGATTGGGGCATGGCGTAAGTGTTCATTGTCGGCGAAGGCTTGTTTGAGGACTGTTGGCCCATCATGTTGGATGGGCTCATCGACGCGTATCCAGAAGAATAGGGCTGCTGCTGCGGCATGTTACCTCCTTGCCACGGGCCATTAGAGCCCAGTTGCGGAGACACAGCCATCGGGTACTGGGACTGGGACATGTTGTTGATACCCATTTGCCCTGGGTGCATCGCGTTGTTCTGACCTGCAGCCACATAGCCACTGGGGGGTGGTTGTACACCTGGCCCAACCAGGTAGGGAACCGGGTTGGCGGAATACCCATCACCCATGTTACCATTGTATGACATCGAGCCATTCGTGTACTGGGCTCCTGGGTAGTAGGCATTGAACTGGGAACGGGCTTCAAAGCCGTCATCATTCGGATTTCGCTGTCTATGGCTCTTTTTGCGTCCTGTCGTAGAACTCGATCTCGACATATTGGGGTTTGAGTCGCCAGTGTCTGACTTGGCACTTTCTGGAAAATCGCGGAAGATTCTTTCGCGCACTTCGTGGTATTTGGCTTCGCGTTCCTCTCTAGTAAGTGCCAGTCGGTCCTTAGCTGGAGTAGCACCGGAAGAAGAACCTGCACGATCGCCGTCAAAGCCACTGTCCCCGTTTCGGAGGTAGCCTTGGATGGGGCAGACGAGCTCGCCCCAACACTGCCTTCACCCGAGGCGCGCTCCAGGTCCGCTCGGCGCATGATCTTCATGGCAGGGACGACTGGGGGTGGGGTGGTATTACTGGAGGCGTATATCTCAGATAAAGGTGTGGGTCTGGAGGAAGTCAGCACTATATACCGCTGACTATGCCAAACTCATGTCAAAAAAACTCACAGTCTGCAGTAGGGAGTTCGATGAAGTCGAACAGACGTCACATTGTTATCCACAAAGTGTGTCAAATGGTAATAATCTCCAAGTTTATGTGCAAGAAGGCGACCAAATGCATTTGAGGGGGGCAGTTCCAAAGATTGTTCCCTGAGTGTGAGGTTAGCTTCAATCCGATGGAAGTCCTTCAGATGGGGTCCAATATTTGCTGAAGGATGCTTACTCGGAGTCTTTGATGAAACTGCGGATCTTCTCCTCGAGCTGAAGAATTAATAGTCGGTCCTTCGGGGACTTCATGGCTTCCACAAGCTTTTCATCGGGTTCTTTTGGAAGACCATGCAGGCTGGAGCCATCTGAATTACTTCCAGAACTGGCGGGGACAATGAAATTGTTTGAAACAGAGTCTGAGGGAATAGCTTCCACACCCCTTTGACCACCATCAATGAAAAGAGGCCCCGGGACTGGGAGAATACCACGAGGACGCAATGCACTCCCTTCGCGGAACTGATCTCGAAATCCTCGCCCTCCAGCCTCGGACCCTGTAGTAGAGTTTGGAGCGCCAGATGCGGGGCCCGAGAAAGATTCCTCATCATCAATAGCTTGTACACTGGCACTATCATCGGGTCGAACTGAATCCTTCTCATCCATAGCGAATGTTGTAACAGAGGCTAGGCTCTTTGAGTCGAAGTTCGTCATCTTCGTCGATGAATTTGAAAGATGGGTGCGGTCATCATCAAAGGAGTTTTCTCGTTTGAAGATGCCATTTTCTTGGTTATCCAACGATAAACCAGAACCAATTTGGTCTTTCCGCAGAGTGATGTCGATATCCTGGACCGCTCGGCTAAGGCCGTCAATGCAAGGGTCACTCAGGGTACTCGCTTGCTTCATGGTATGTGGAAGGTGGGGTTGGGGCAAAGGCACACCAGCATGGTGATTTTCTAGACCGACGGAGTCGATTGCAGGCTGAGAATGGATGCTGTCGTCGTAAGCCGGGGACGACTGAGATTCGAGGGATACGGGCATCGCAGAAATCTGACAAAGACGGATATAGATTAGCCTTCCACTCCATAACCATAGGTAGAGCTTGTGCAAAGAACATACGTTTGCAAAGGAGAAATGGGCGTTTTCTCCTGATGTAGTGTTTGGTGCCATATCAACGCAGACCTGGCGGGATGTCACAAGTTCTTGAAAGGATTCCACGAAGGCAATGGAAAGTGAGACCGAGACGCCGTATACTTCAGTAAATGGCAGATTTCACACAAACAGAAATGGGCGATTGAATGGTAATGAAGTCACTGGTGTATCCCGCTTCACACAAGCTCAAAAAGAAAGACATATCTCTGGTAAAGGGCCTTCGCCATGAGGGAAAGCTGTAAGAAGAGTATCATTAGAATCGGTAGTAGTGATGTGTTGTATGGCTCCAGGACTGTAGAATTGACATAGGCATAGTCGAAAGGATAGAACTGGGAGAAACAAGCGGGCCTTACATATCAAAGCTGGCTCATAGTCTGGGCGATAGACCTTGGATTGAGATGGGGTTGGGTGTCCGACTGGGGCTGGGAGAGGGGAGAGAATAATCGTACAGCACACCACACGAAAATCCGATGAAGATGACACTCGCAGCCGGAGACAACCAGGCGCAAATGGAGATCCTGAAGAGAAGGAGCGTTGGAAGTTTGGATTTCTTATTCTTCAAACGCCCGAAGGTTCGTGGGCCATTTTGCCGCGCCTGCCCGCCTTTACCGCGCGCCTGACAATTTCCCAGCGGAACAGCCGCGGGGCGAATGGAATTAGTTAGCCTTCATCTCTCACTGTTGTCATCGCTGGTATACGATCTATTCTGCCGACGCGAGAGATCAGATTGATTGTTCGATTTGGGATTTGTTTGCCCGCCGATCGCGACTGGAACCACCCGCTATGAACCGTTATCGAAATGCGCCGGGCATGCGAGGCCCCAGTAAAGCCTCGCCGACGACGCAATGCCAGAAATGCCTACAACGAGATATGTGACCCCGACCCCCCTCGCCTCGGATTGCTGATGTACTGACATTATTTGCACGGCACTACAGTTATGAATGCAAAGGAACTGCCCAAGACCGCCCATATAAGCCTCGACCTTCGCGCACTCAGCAATTGCTTAACCCCAAGCTGATGCCGAAGCTTTCAACGGAAAACCCCAATACTTTGCTTGAATCGTATGTCTTCAATTTAGCTGAAATCATGGTCACAGATCCGTCAATCGCAAAACTAACCCAGAACAGCAACGGCGTAGCGGATGGCATCCTGGCAAAGCGGGATGAGGAGCGCGGTCGAAAGAGAGATCTCGATGGACAAGGTGGCTCTGGACAGTCGCCCAAGCGAGCAAGATCGCTTTCTACACACTCGGTTGACTCGATTTCAACCGTATCAACCAACCGCTCTGCTTCACGCTCACCTGCTCCTCGAAGCTCACGCGGTGGAGGCGACAAAGGAAACTCAGCGTCCCCAGCCGCATCTAAGTCTCGGAAGAGAAGATACAGTGATTCGGCAGACAGCTATTCCGCTTCTTCTTACTCATCAGGCGCAAGGCACCGATCCAGGTCCAGAGAGTGGACTGAGGACCGGAACATTCGCCGACGACGCCGGGAAAGCAGTCCGGAGCAGCGTGGAAGAAAGCGTGACTCGGAGGGTCAAGATTCTCGACGAGAAAGGCGCAGCCGAAGCGCGGAAAGTCCTCGGCCAGCGAGGGAACGCCGTTCAATGACGCCCGAGGCCAAGCAGGACCGATCCGGTCAACGTTCCTACCGAGATCGAGAAAACCCGCCCACCCAAACACAGCGAGGACAACCCAGACAGGAACCTCGAGGGCGGCCGGGCCCCCCTCGTCAACGCAGCATGAGTCCATACAGCAAGCGTCTGGCATTAACTCAGTCCATGAATGTTGGACGGTAAGATATGGGTTGAAGTACAAAAATGGGAGTTTTAAGGCTGGTTATTTGGGAAGGTCTTTCATACGGCGCATCACTTTCATTCTTGGTGAGCACATAATGCCTGTTTCATGGTTCACCAATCCAATTAGTTGGAACAATTGTATTACTATAGCATATTCATACATCCCAATGTGCAAGCCTTTTTCAACGCCACTTTTCATGTTTGCAGAATGGCCTGGGTCCTATCAGACATGTCAAATAAAAAATAAAAAGATATAGATCCCGGATGGACATGGCTTAGAACACAAAAATAATAAGAAATCATAAGAGCGGAAGATTCAACCAGTGCCTATCGTCCTGCAATATCGGGTATCACTTCAAATCGTATCCTCATCCTTATCCTCCTCCTGTTCACGTAGATGAATTCCTTCAACAAGAGCTTCACCCTCAATCCCCACTTCCTCCCCTTGATCGCCACCATTGGAGCCCGCGCCTCGTTCCTTCGCCGCACGCTGGGCACCTTCTATCCGTTGTCGAACCAGCTTGGCAATCGCATTTTCGGTCCTCACATCGAGAATCTTAAGCTTCTCATCGAGATCTCGGCGCAGATCCCAGTTGGGTTTCTTCGGTTGTAACTTGAACAAGTCGATGGGTTGATCGGCCAAATCGTCCTTTTGTGCTTGTTGTTTTACAGCCTCTTCAATCTCAGCTGCTTGCGTTTCGACAGTGACTTTGCCTTCTTGAGGACCTTCTTCGAAACCAAGCTTGGGGCCACGAGTCTCGGCGTCGTAGTTGCGACCAGAGAGGTATTTAGTCGTCATTTCCGAGGCTCCGGAATCCTCGATATTCGTATCGCCATCAGCATCGGCGTCTGGCAATGTGTCGTCGGTCTCGGGTTGCTTGCGCTTTAATGCTGCGAGCTTCGCTAGGCGGGCTTTGCGATCGTTGGACGCCGCATCTAGGGATGCGTGGCTGGATGACATGATTGCGACAAGCTGGATGAGGAGATAGAAGATATTGAGAAGTGAAATCGGCCTTGAATGATCCCCAGAGTCCTCCGCGCCAGGCAAGAAAAAAAAAGTAGTTCAAGTTGGTGAGGAGCAAAAGAGCGGGCGATAACGATGGGGCGGCGGCGCACTGCAAAATCGGCCTCCGCTCTGCTCTCCGCTTGCCGGCTCCGTTCTTTCTTTTTCGAACTTGAACTTCAACCTTGGATTCATCTGCGCATACTCCTCATGCGCGTGACAACAGGCTCCTGAATGTTACTGTGTGCGCAAAGGCTCGCCCGGTCACGGGCTCATGGGCTACTGGCGCCGCGCTTGAGCGGTAGTCCTGGCTGCTTGCACCGGGGCTCGCAGACATCTCGCATAGCTAACATAGTCCATGCCTCAACATCTGCGCCATTGAACCAAAACTCCAGCTTGGAATTCCAGAAACTAGCGACCGATCAGTCACAATCGAACAACTATTCCCCTTCGCACGCGATTACAGTACTCACTGGGGATGGAGAAGTACAGAATCTCGGGGAGGCAGAGGCAACCAACACGACAACCGATCAACATGATCCTGACACCCACAACCCAAGCAGCGCTTCAAGAGGCCCCCGTAGGCCGGGCGCCTGGTCGATATCCAAAAAAGCCACCCGAAAGATCCTCCATTCACAAGGCGTCTCGTCCAAACTCGCCCACTCTGTCACGCGCCGTCTCAATGCTCAAATCCGACTCCGACATAAACCATTGAGTAGTAGAGAATTGTACCTTGCGACTGTCATTCAAGGCAATTCACTCTACTCGCGGGAACTGGGACTCAAGCAATGGAGAGCTGCCTATAAGGAAATTTACCTGGCCAATCGATATGAACGTGAGATTCAGAATAAAAGTGTACTACCAGCATTGAGAGATGCCGGAAAGGAAATACTCGAGAAGATCCACACAGACTGCGATGGTAGCTTTCGAGAAACTTGGAACGCGATGCACCGGACCGAAAAAGCATCACATTGGCAGCGCTTGGCTATCTGGTTATTGCAGCATGAACCTGAGAGGCTTCCGGATTTCCTGATTGTCACGACCGAATGCAAGGAAAAACCAAACTTCACCATGGTCTATGACTGTCTTCGTTACTTGGATAACTTTCACTATGATACCTGGTTGAAGGACTGGCAAAGTGGCAGCCATAATTACCAGTCTCTGGTTGAGACATGTTTGGACCCGCGGGATTGGCCCCTTGTCTCTGTGACCCAGAAAGCCCCTCGACTTTATATTCGAAGAGCCAGCCATGATGGAGTTTTGTCAGCCCTTCGGATTGTCAAGGAAAGATCCATTCGTATAAGTGCAGAAACGGCATTGTGCTTTATGTGGCGATTTACAGAACTCGCGGACGTGGAGCGGGCACTTCACGCTTTGGAATTCATTCCACAAAAGCAAGACGACGGCTTGACGATAGACTCAGATGAAGTTATGCGACATTGTTGCAAGCTTTTGACACTGGACACGGTACATGATGGCTCAGCTGGGCGCAATTTCAATATTCTTCCACGACTGTTGAAGATGGGTGTTCGGCCAGACCGTGATATGATGAACGTCGTCCTATCCAATGCGTTCAAGACTGGTGATCCCCAGCTTGGTAATGATATTCTGCAATTCATGAAGAGCCACGATCATACCTTCGACGCGTACACATATACCACACTCATGAAGGATGCAGTCTCGCGCGGAGATCGAGCCAAAGTTGACTCCCTGATCCACGATATCGCTTCAAAGGATGAACTCCGTGAGAATCCTTACCTTGCGAGCAAGATCTTCCATTCCCATTACATTTTCACAACCAAGTACATGGACGCCGATGCCGACCCTTCACGCGTTTTCTATGCGATGCTTGACCTGTACAACCAACTCCACGACATTACACCACTCAAAGAGCTTCTTATTATTCCGCCTCACTATACACCTCGCGAAGGGTCTAACCTCCCCCCCTTCCCCCATCGCGCTTTATATCATGATTGCGACATTTTTCCGCTGCCAGAACCGCTTCTCTAATGTGCAACGCATTTATGGCCAGTTCCGTCAGCTTGTGGCGCAGGGACACCCATTGATCTCCCCTTTGGCAAAGACCGATCACACCTATAATGAATTTCTAATCGCGCTTCGAAGCAATCCGCGTGGACTCAGACTGTGTATCCAACTCGTGGAAGACATGTTGCATAGTTCGTCTGCGAAACAGGAGAACAAGACCCCCTACCATGTCAAGCCCTCCATGCGCACTTGGACTATACTTCTTAGTGCCTTCATCTTCAACCGACAGCCTCGCGCGGCGGACAAGATCAAGGAAATGATGGCCAAGCACAATGTCAAATACAACGACGTGACCTGGAATGTCATCATCAATGGTTACGCCAATGCGCAGAATATTCCACAGACAGCTGCCTCAATCAAGGCCATGGAACAGCAAGGCTTCTCCATTGATCCCTATACCATGAAAAGTCTACGCTATCTGCGCGATCCGGAGCGCCTTTGGGTTGCGATTGATGAGTTGGACGAAGCTGCCCCTGCCCATGCCCAGGACACTCAGCCAGCAAAAATTGAGACCACCCCAGAACATGAACCTAAACCTGAGCTCTCCAGTGAGGAGCGACTTGAGAAAGAGCTTGACGAGGGTCTTGGAAAATTGGGCGGCAAGATGAAGCCCAAGCTGTGATATTCGATGCCCCATCTCTTCTTCACCTTCACCTTCACCTTCACCTTTTTGTTTATATTATAGATTATTGCATATTAGGACCCCGCGGGTTGGGTTCGGAGCAAACGTTGGTGTTTCGATTTGTGTAAAATTTACTCAATCTCCTGTACTATACATTGAATCATGAATTTTCCCATGCGCTTAATAGCCATCGCTTTGTAGTGAACCAATCCATAACACCATCGCAGCTTCCTCTGAGCAATATGTCGTTCTTTCCCTCCCAGTTGTTTCGTAATGACTTATCGTCCGTGAGGTAACCTCAAGGTAAACTTGAAGGTGAAGGTGTTTAACCACCGAAGAAGATAGAGCACTGCATCAACATTCAAATTAGCATCCTTCTTCCTTCCATGCTCTCTCCCTCTCTCCCTCTCTCTTCCTCGATCTCCGATTTGAGGGAACTTACCGCCATCAAGAAGCAGCATATGCTGACATATGGACTCAGCCGTTCTCCTACACGAGCGCATTTCCAGAATATCCCGAACAGTCTATCCTCATCAGCTTGGTCTCTTTATCATCCACCACCACCACCTTCATCTCGAACGCGATTGAGGGGCCCTACCCATTCTGATTCCGGTCCATGATACCGGGCATGATCGAGTGCGCATAGGTACTCGTACAGATGATCAAGAGGATCACCAGAAGAAGTGATTGGAAGTTGAAGAGAGCCGTCTAGGTAAGTTCCCAAATTGTTAGTGCTGATGTCGTCACAACAGTACACAGTATGCTGAGATGCCTCCAGTGCGCGCACAGCTACAGCAGTAGCTACAGTAGCCTGGAAGGCGCTTCTCACACACAATCCCGAGAACAGGAAGAACACAAAAACTCACCATCTTGAAGGACCACCGCACCCACAGGCTGGATTTTCCAAGAAAGAAAGGCCGAAGAACAAGGGCATCAAGCAGTCCAAGCAGTCCAGCTGTCCGCAATCCCGCAATTCTGCCCACCATGTCCGCCCACAGCACAGACCAACAACTGTCCGGCCCTTCGCGTCCGCCGACGCCATCGATATCATTATCACTATCATTATCTCCATCTCCATCGCCATCACTTTCCCAGGCTTCACTTGATTCTTCATCCTTCGTCCCACCTCCACTCGAAGAACTAGACCCCGTTACCGCCCGACAGAGATATAACCAGTACTTACGAGACAATCCGCAAGGCGCATCTCTGATCAGAGCAGGCTATCAACCCGCCTTCGAGCCACCACCACTGCCAGCTCCACCTCCAACCGTACCAGAACCAAGAAAACGAAGCCACAAGAAACAAACCTCCAACATGGCGGAGCCCCGTGCCCGTGTCGCAAGACACAAGGGGCAAATGAACTTCTCTTCAGAGCGTATGTCCATCAAAGCTCCCAACCGCAATTCCTACCTTCAATTCTCCGCAACTATATCAAAAAACCTCAAGAAACCGATTACGAACCATTCTCTCTAACATACCCCACCACATCTAGTCCGCCTCCTCCTCCTCGCTTACGGAGACCCAGCACCCCACCACTCCTACCCACAAGAACCCCTCCCAGAAACAATCCGAGTCCTAGACGAAATAGTCACAGACTTCATCCTAGAACTCTGCCACGGCGCAGCCCAAGTCGCACACCACGCCCGACGACAAAAGATCAAAGTCGACGACTTCCGCTTCGCACTGCGCCGAGACCCGAATAAGCTCGGCCGTGTACAGGAATTGCTACGCATGGAGCGCGAGCTTAAAGAGGCGCGTAAAGCATTCGATCAGAATGATGATCAGGTTGCCAAGGATGCGGGGAAGAAAGGTGCACCTGCGGCAACGGATGATGGTGATGCTGCTGCTGGTGGAGGTGGAGGAGGAGATACAGCTCCCCCGCCTTCTACTACTGGTACTGCCACTGGTGGTGGGAAGAAGAGTAAGGGCAAGGGGAAGAGGGCTGCGAGAAGGGAGTCTGATGCTACTGAGGACTCGTCGGTGCCTATGCCGAAGAAGAGGAAGACTATTGGTTGATTGAAAAGCATCTCTCTCCACCGGCACCGATTCTCATCCTTTTTCTTTCTTTCTTTTTTTTTTTTGCGGGAACTTCATTATTGGCGTTTGAGAGGTTTTTATCATGATTGCTTTCACGCACATAATAACATTATACCTGGCATGGGACTTCTGGCACTCCTGGCGTTCGGGATGGGATATGACATACTAGTACTTTGCGGATCATGGGTTTCTTACAAATTTCAGATATCGAACTTTTTACAAGGAATTGATCCTTATGCTCTCCGGGACTTTCTTTTATTACGTATAATAGAGACCGATATCCCTTTCCCACAGAGACAGGTATTTGGCATACTTGTAAAGGTTGTCCGGAAGGGGTGGGGGGGGGGTTCTTGAACACAAACTTAGGGTGAAACTACCATAATGTCTGAAAGCCTCCATAATTCCCCGATAAACGAACTTGATAAACTAACTTGAACTAGAATACTTCTTCATCTTAACCCAACACCCATCAGCACTCGACACAACCAAAGTCAACAGCTGCCTCTCAAGCCCAACAGGCATATCAAACTCTTTCCCCTCAACCATCTCAATACTCTCATACATCTGCAAAAGCCTTACAACGGTATACGCCGCTTCAAGCAAAGCAAATTCCTGTCCCAGACAAACTCTCGGACCGCCGTTAAATGGCAAATAGCCATATCCGATATTCTTCAGCGCGCCATTCTCCCAACGCTCGGGACGGAACTCCTCAGCGTCGGGTCCGTATAAATCTTTACGGCGATGCATAATGTAAACACAGTAGCCTACTGCTTCACCTTTTCGGATGAGGACTGGTGCTGTGCCGTCTGGGCCGCCGCCCGTTGGTAGGGTGGTTGGATTGAGACTGACCGGTGAACTGTGAAGACAGCACCGCCTCGAGATTTCGAGGCTCTATTGTATTGACTCCTCGGGCAAACAGAAGTTGCTGCTCGAATGTCGTGCCTGACTCGTTACAGACTTGGACGAACAGTCAAAGGATCTGTTTCCTCGCATCGCGGCGGAACGCTCTGATCAACAGATCAAGGCCCAGCGGCCATTTTGCACTCCAAGGCTTGAGAGGCTGGCATCCTTTCTCGGTAGCGAATTGGAAGTCGACCTACTACTAGATCAACGTGTGCCGTGGCCCTGGAGGGAGAGAACGTGAAGGTCAACATACTCGACTTTTTCGCCACGATGCGACATTATTTACAAATCAGGACCACCGCTAGGGTGCCGATGACAATGCTGAGCGTCTGAATTGGAAGCACCATGGTGTCCCCAGGTGTGAATATATCAAAGAAAATAAGATCGAAGCCAGATTTCTATCGAGACTAGACCCCTGACACAGACATTCCAGCAATTCAAATCCCAAGCTACCATCACATCACACAATAGGAATTAATGAATTAATGAGTAGGCTATGCACCGTCTTTCACTTTCTTTGGCTGTACTTTACGGTATCGCTTTTCTTTGACAATGTATGAGACCGGGTGCAGAACCCTCCTCAAAGAACGGCTAATCCAAAGGCATACGAAGTGGCGCTCACTAACTAGAACCCTGTCGACGAGTAACTTATACAAAGGGAAATTGAGGAACAATGAATGAGAAGAAACCCGATGACTCGTGTGAGTTTCCCAGCCCCTTTTGCATTGGGCAGAGCTTGTCAGCTCAGCACTCAGAACTCACCTAGTCGTCTATCTGCATATTCATGTATCCGTTATTATGCTGGCTTGCGCAAAGTGGCTGGGGTATCAATTCCTAAATCAGTCTGCTCCCGCAGGGCAGATTTAAAGAAGCAGAAAAGACATTGAAGGCGACGATGAAGGGGCAAGCAGACATTTCATCTCAAATAGGCGAGAACCACCCCGACTGCATCGGTACAATGATAGAGCTTGCAGAGTGCTATGAGAAGCAGGAGAAATTTGATGACGGTATCGCAATGTGTGATCAGATCATCGAAGGACTGCGCAGGATCAGCTACTCGGAACATCCATTGGAACGAAAAACACAGCAACAGAAAGACAGATTGATCAAAGATGGTGATGCAAAGAAGGCTCAGTAAGATGGTTGTTGCGTTGCCCTTGTGAGAAGTTTCACTTGCATATCCCGTGTATCATCTTTTGTATATTACCTTTTTTTGAGGAAGTTCTTCAATCCAATTTCAACTAAATATTAATTCTCAAATGTGATATTTAGACTCTATAAAATTATATTCGCAACATTTTGGCCATCACTGAGGCTGAGAACTAACTATTTGAATAGTCAATTCAAGGTCAATGTTAAATTGACACCCGCTCGGCCCTTCATAAGATTCTTTATCATGCTCTTTAATTGTGTTGTCAATATAACCGTCCTAGTGTTTGACCCCACGCGCTAAGCACTTAGCGTGGAGGGGTAATTAAGCAAATGTCTTGGTAGCGCAGGGGCCAGTAATCTTGCAATAACATCCTCTAATCGCAACTGTGTTGCGACAATGGTCCTTGATCCGCTAAGTTCACTATCTCTGGCATGTACAGTCTGCCAGTTCCTTGAATTTTCTGGTACACTGTTCTCCAAATCTCACAAAATCTACAAGAGTGCCACAGGATACGATGAAGACACCGACTCGTTGTTTGGAATCACCAGGGATTTGCGCTCGTTGACAGAGAAATTAGAGCCACCCATTGATTCGAAGTCCTTATCCGCTGAAGAAACGGAGCTTGTCAATCTTGGCGATAGATGCAAACAAACAGCCGATGAGCTTCTCCTGGTTCTGGGTGATCTGCAGGACAGCAAAACCTCAAGATGGAGCAGTTTCCGCGCAGCGCTAAAAACAGTGTGGGCACAAGACCACATCGATGAAATGGCTAAAAAGCTTGAGTCATATAGATCGCAGCTTATTCTCCGCTTGACAATCATGCAGAGGTAAATCATTGATCCAACAAAATAAACGCGCCAGCGATATTGACATGACTATAGCTCCAATGGCAGCAATGTGCGTATCATGAATAAATTGCTCGAAACTAACCACCTGATCCGGGGTGGATTGGCACCATCCATTGAAGGGTTGAGAATGACAGTGATGGAATCGATGGAAACACTGAGAGCTGACTTCGAGAGGCAAAGCAGACTGTTTATGCTTGCTCTAGAGGAAGAAAGAACTGAGAAAACAAAGCCTCAGCTGCAGTTGGATCGGCAACAAGAAATTCGACGATTGGAAGCGCTCCAGCCGGTTGATATCACCGCAATCAGGCAAAATATACAGCACACTGCGCTTGCTACTAATAAGCTGGCCACGGAATTGTTCATCATGCGAACCCTTCGCTTCGACGGCATGGAGTTGCGTCGGTCCCAAATTTCAGATGCTCATAAGCGCACGTACCGCTGGGCTTACATGTCGAATTTTTCGGACTGGATGATTACAGAGCACCCTCTCTTTTGGATAAGCGGGAAGCCGGGATCAGGTAAAAGTACCTTGATGAAGTACCTAGTCAATAGCCCCGATACATCTGCGTACCTAGGGAAATGGGCAGGGACACGAAAGCTGGTTATCATCGACTACTTCTTTTGGATCAATGGCTCCGATATCCATCGCTCACAGGAGGGTCTGCTTCGATCATTGCTATTCGACATCTTCCAAAAGTGTCCCGAACTCATTCAAAAAACATTTCCAGAGAGATGGGCTGAATCTATAAACATGAGTCTTGATCTCAAGGGATCCATGATATCGTGGAATCGTCAGGAGTTACTAAATGGCTTGCAAAGAATCACCCAACAAACGACCTTGTCCAATGCGTTCTGTATCTTCATCGATGGGCTTGATGAATATGAGGGCGAGCACGAGGATCTGGTCAGCATACTTTCCAAGATGGCACATACATCCCCCATCAAGCTTTGTGTCGCAAGCCGACCTTGGAACGTTTTCGAAAAAGCTCTTGGAACGGACCCCAGTCGCAAAATATACCTAGAAGATCTGAATAGACCCGACATCGAGCTCTACGTGAAGAACACATTGCAGGACCGCGCTGACTTTCAAGCCTTGGCATTGTCTGATCCAGATGCCACAGAGCTAGCAATGGACATTGTTCAACGATCCAATGGCGTATTTCTTTGGGTCTATTTAGTCGTGCTTCTAGTGAAGAAAGGCCTAGTCAATGAGGATAGACTCGTGGATCTGAAGCGTCGCGTGAGCGCCTATCCAGCTGACCTCAACGACTTTTTCAAACATATAATGGACTCACTGGACCCATGCTATCAGGCTCAAATTGCCACTGGATTTTCTGTGGCATTGGCGGCTAGGGAACCACTTTCAATCGTCAGCTTCTGGTACCTTGATGAATTGGAGCTGGATTCTAATGTTGCAATCGCTAAGAAGATTGACGAGCCGTCCGTGAAGAGCAACAGGTTGGACACCTTTTGGCGAGACGAGGTTCGTAAAATGGAGGCACGTCTCAATGGACGGTTCAAGGGACTTCTAGAGATTGTGAAGATGCCCAAGTGGGAAGTTTCATCCGACATCATGGTAGAATTTCTCCATCGGACGGTGCGAGACTTCCTCATCACAGAAGACTGCCAGCGAGTACTGAAAGAATGGACTCCTGCCGGGTTTGATGTCCATTTTGCACTTTGCAATATCCAACTTGCTGAGATAAAAGAGCTGCACCCAAAGCTGGCAGACCCGAACACTCTGAAGCGATTGACAGAAGGTACATTTTACGCTGCACAGCAATTCGAGAAATCTCATCAAAAGTCGCTCAACAAAGTACTTGAACATCTCGACCGTACAATTGACAGCTATGGCTTGGGAATGTCCCCCTGGGAGGAGCTAGAAGTAAGAAGCTTCACCATGTACGCCGTCATGAGCAATATGACCGGCTATATTTCTCATCTTCTGGAGACGGGCTTTCTCAGCGATATGGAGAGATTGAGATGTCTTCGAAAAATCTTCGACACGACTAGAGATTTAAGTGCAGATGTTTTGCACGATCCCGAACCTAAGATCGCAGTGATTGAAAATCCCCTAAACATGATTATCCTTCTGGCGGAGACACGTCCTCTATCGAAAATTCCATTTAACAAGATATTTACTGGACTGGAAGTGTACGATACATCAACCATCATCAGTATCTTGCGATGCCTTTGCAAGAATGGACATGTGGACATTGAACAATTTCAACTTCTCGCCCCTCGGGTCAAAAGACTCACTAGTTCGTGGGATGCGAAGGAGCTAGAGGAAATGATTCGTCCAGGAAAGGATCTAGCGACCAGAACCATACGAAGCGATTTATCTCGGAAGAAAAATAACACTCACACGAAAGAGAAGGGAAAATTACACAGATGGTTGGGGAAGTTCAAATATAGCCAATGATAAGCAAGGGATATCATCGTATGTTTGAGTTGTGGTCAAGATATTTGTCATTCATCCAAACGATGGATGCCAACTTTGAGACATACTAGATTGATAGTTCACCTGCTTCGTCAGTAACATCCGCTTGTACAGTAAATTTGAATTATACAGCCGGAAATTAATTGCCGAGGTTGATTTCAAGGTCGCATTCAGAAGTACTTGTTTCGACTGCACTAACTCCTCGGCATCAATATTGACCAATATAACATTCCAAGGTTTGCATGCTCAAACAGATATCGACGAGCAAACTCAAGTTTGATATTACCTGCTCCTATAATGAGCACCACCAAGCTCTGGCCGCGATTGGGAATTAATTTTTTTTTTTCCCGAGGGGTAGGGATAACAGCATCCTTGAACTTAAAGGACTGACTTGAGCGCCATGAATCCAATCGAGTCAACGGTACCTTTGTTTCAAGAAAATGTACCTTTTACCCCTCATTCCAAGTTTGCTCGAACATATCCGTCTCCACTTCGGGTAAGTTTTCTAACTTAGAAATCGAACTTTTGACCTCGGAAAATGGACCGAACCTCTGGGTTGGAATGTACTAGGGCCTCGCCTGGAATGGATTGCGGGGTCGTGGGAAGTGTGGGGGTGTTCCGAGCTGGTTTTAGATGATGGTGTAGCTTTAGAACGGGCGGAGACGGAAAGGCGGTTAGGCGGCAGGATACCCCTCAGTAGAATCAGTTCTATTTCAATCAAGAATTATGATGCATCATGATGCAGTGATTGGATGGGCCTTTCGTATTGCCGGAGGACTCTCCTCCGTTGAGCTGAGTTGAGTTGTTGGCGGGTAGAACCTAGAATGAAAGAGGACCTTTCCTGGAATACTTTTTGGCTTCATGATGTTACGATTACTTGGGACACGTTCACTGTGAGAAAATATAAGACGGTTTTAAAATTATGTCTCATCTTCGAAAGAGTAGTTAATATAATAAAAAGGATCCCAGCTACCAAAAATAACAATATTCGTCACGGTCGTAGGATCTCTTCGTGTAATCACGAAGCTGTTTCGCAAAGGATTGCGGAGATTGTGACTCCGGTAGATTATACAGAAAGATCATTCACTCATTTCGGAGATTGGAGTCCGCTTTGAATAGCTGTGATGATCGACACAATTCCACATGCACCTGGATCCGGAATACCCTTGGTAGGGTCCTCACCACCGCCGGCACCAACATAAGTCGATCGACCGAAGGAAGATACCATCCACTTGGTAGACTCTGCACCATCGCTAGCAGCCTTCACAGCTTTTTGTAGTGCCTCCGAAGAATTGGCATTATCAGTGAACACAGCCTTTGACAACTCATTCACAAAAGGAATCAAGGCATCCATCAAAGTTCGGCTATTCTCCCGAGCGTTGGTGTATCCCTTCAAGGTTTCCAGAGCTTGAGTCGCGCTCTTAGCAAATAGTTGAATGTTGACCTCCTTGATGTCTTCAAAGTTCCGCTGGACAGCAGACACGAACGAGTTGAGGAAGATTCCATAGAGAGCACCGGATGTTCCACCCATACCGCTGCGGACAGCAGATGCGATCTTCATCAACCCCTTGGCGAGGTTGGCGAGGTTCTCGTCATTCTCTTCGGCGATTCCAAATGCAGCCTTCGCGCCTGCAAGAAGTGTAGTACCACAGTCTCCATCTCCCATGAGAGTATCGTATTCTGTGAGTTTTGGCTCATCTGTCGTCACCTGGGCAAGGATTTTCTGGAGAACAGCAGTAAAAAGAATTTTGTCACCTATTAGGTCATTGAGTTAGCAAGTGAATATTTTTGTTCGGAATAAGGACTAGCACATACAAGCAATATTTTGCTTCACGGCTGGGGAGCGGGCGCGCTCTCCGTGTTGTGGCGAGTTCGATCTCTCCGCCGGGTTAGGCAAGGGATGGCAGGTAGCCCAGCTGGCCATTTTGACAGGCTCATCGAGCAATGAGAGCAAGTTGGTATCGGGGAATATTTTAGGTGTCAGATTGGCGAGAGTTATGCTGAAGCCTGGCGCATCCAGAGCGGTCAAGTAAGTGTTGACATAGATACGAATTGGCACGATATTGTATTGGTTCTTCAGATCCTCCAACACAACGTTTGCAATGGCCTGCAGCTCGAGGACGGACAAACCTCCGAGGTTGTTAACCATCAATACAAGCTCGGACTGGTCTTGGGGAATGCCCTGGAACTTCAGGAAACCGTGCTCTGGGTCACTTTCAGTCAATAGCAGCTTCAGCATGTTGCCGACAAGTTGTTCAATGGTGGGCTGCGGCGAGATGCGCTGGGCACCAGGCTCATTGTGGATACCCATTCCCAGCTCAATGGCATTTTCGGGAATGGAAGGTTGATCGTGACCACCTGGGAGGTTGGCATAGTCCAATGAGCATCCAATGGTGGCCATGTTATCGGAGACATGCTGGGCAATCTTGGACACCTGGGAAAGATCCAGACCACGGAGTGCGGCAGCTCCAGCAATCTTATGAACAATGACCGCACCGGCTAAGCCCCGACGACCAACCAGCTTTCCACGCGAGTATGGTACTGAGACGTCGTCTGCAATTGTGACAATGTTGGTGGGGATTCCAGTCTGTGCTTGGTATGTCTCTGAGGCAAGGCCAAAATTGAGCTTGTCACCGGTATAATTCTTGACGATGACGAGGATTCCTCGGGGCGTTGCAACACGATCAAATGCTGAAATAATCTGGTCGAAGTTGGGTGAAGCAAACACCTTTCCGCAGACAGCCGCGTCTAGCATTCCCTTGCCAACATACCCAGCGTGGGCAGGCTCATGTCCGGAGCCACCGCCACTGATCAGGCTGACTTTCTTTTCGTTCTGGTCAATTGGGCGGAAGAGAACTGCATAGGAAATATTTATTAATTCATTCATCCGATTGATTGTCCTTGTTCAACTTGGCTCACCTTTATTTTCATCGTCATATCGCAGGGATGGGTTCTGAGCCGCCAACGAACCACACATGTGGTCGACAATCCGAGTCGGATCACTGAAAAAGGCCTTGGACTTCATATCGGCGATTATAGACTTGAAAGTGTCAAGATTGACAAGTTTGGGAGCTGAAAGAAGACGGGAATTGGAGGTAGCACGACTGAACCCCCTTTCTCCTAGGGTCGTTCCCCCCCTCTTTATACCGTGCCACGCATGCTCGGAATACCTTGCGATCCTCCGGCCAACCCCGCAAGTGAATGGCCCCCGCGTACTCATGAGTGAACCTGGTCTGGAATTTCTTGGTGCAGCCACGCCCAGTAGTGCACAGACCTCAACATCAATTCGGGGCCCTGGTTTCTTGGTGGATGCCACACGGCTTTTCCGCTGGGGAGTGGATACCCGCTTTTTTCACACTCAGGTGACACTTTGTGACAACGCCACCGATTCCTCCTATCATACGACACCGTCTAGGAAGGTTTTCCGAGTATCAAAAGCAAACTTCATTCTTGTCCTCCTTGTTTCCTTGTTGCTACCCCACAGATATAGAATCCTGATCCACTTCCACTACGCAAGGGCCGCGGGATCGTGCATGCGGGGCTCCATGTCAAGGACCCAACCGGAAGCAAGGTTGATCTGCGTAGGATCATCTAAAACTGGTTTCTCCTTTCTGATTTTCCTTGCTGTGATTCAGCCGCCAATGTCTCCATACCAAGGCATTCCACGTAAACATCAGTCCACTCCTTCTGTCGTGCTGCGTCACGAGGATGCACTTTTTTTTTCTTTTGTGATTGACCTGTCTGGAAAAACGATCCCCACATGCTCCTCGGAATTCTCCTCGGCAGGCTCCTCGGCTTACTTATGCAAATCCGGTCATCTTGTCCAGATTTAGAATGTTTAACCCTCCAAATCAGCCACCCCAACGTTTTGTGCAGGGGGTGCTCGAATTTGGCGTGACACTTATTTTCGGAGTGGATCATCGCTAGAAATAACAGTATAAATTATGAACAAATAAATTAGGCATTGATCCGTAGCTACGCTTATAGCGGTCTGTTGAATTGATTCCACCAACAGGAATCCCATGTATCCACTTTCAGGGGCAGCAACTACATGATCATCGATGCACTGCAGAGCTATGTCTCCACTGTATCCATTCCTTGTGGATATCTCTGGTCGTCACATGGACTTCAGATTTTTCCAGAAATAAGCTTACATTTATTGATAGATCATTTGGTTGGAGGATTACGAATCATCTGGAAAATCACGCTATAATGTTGAAACTTGTCCACTTTTGTATGGTCTAGAACATTATTAGGAGAATCTTGTCAGGCACCCTTTTTTAATCGATGCCGATCCGGACAGTAGAAGGCCTTTAAATTCTGGCCTATAATAAATAAACGTGCCCAAGGAGTATACATGCACATGACGGATATCTTTCCATTGTTTCGATATGAGCATACTTATTCCGGGCGGGCATTTGAGCTCAGAGAGCCTCGGCTAGGAAAATAACCGGACTAGAGCCATAAGTATTTCCGATATCGATATTTTCACTATTTTATCGAACGGGGCTAGAATGTAGAATAGCTATAGCTTCCGGGGCGTCGGCGGTTAGTTAACCGGTGCGTAAAGTTACCGGAAAAGGACAATATCCGTAATGCCATCACGAACACTTCTTCCCTCGGTTAACGGAACCGCTTGGAAAAATCGCTTGGAATTGCCGGGAATTCAATCATACGCGACTGTATATCATGAACAGAGAATCATGGCCTTCGACTAGAAGGGGAATCACCAACCCCTTAACTGAAGTTCTAGAATGGCGGGTGACGCAGAGTGGAGATGACATCTTCAATCGTTACGGACGTGTCCTTTTTTTTAGTAAATATATTGATAGCTACTCATTGAATTTGCACAAATATTTTATCAGATTTGATCCAGCATCCCTAGTATCATATTATCATAACTGTTTGCAGGGTTACTGTAATATAGTCTCACTTCGCACAAGAATGACTTCTAAGGGGCTCAGGTGCGCTTTTATTTTTTTCCATCGAACTAATAGCAAGTTCCCGGGGATATGAAATGTAATGATTCGTCGATAAGGAGAAGCTGTTCATTAAAATTGATCGCATTCACTTCGAACTTCCCTTCTTTTGTTGAGTCAATCGATCAGCAGAGCAGCAAGCTTTTTGCCTCAGGCACCAAGGCAGGTGACCCTCCCGACCTCTCGGTAGTTCGCATATAGATGTTATGCTCCCTTGCCCTTTTTGAACCTTTTGATCTTGATCATTTGCTCATTTCTAAGCCCCTGAAAGGATATGCCTATCATCTCGCCTGAGGAGGTCAACAGTGGGGGAAGTGCGGGGGGGCTAGAGTGAGGCGGTGTATCAAACACCCAAATGTAGATCAGGCATCGTGCAGTTCCAACTTCCAACACATCGTATCTCTCTGGGGCTGCTGCGAGCGTTGAAAGTGACCATACGCTAATTCTACGGACTTAACCAACACCTTCACGAATTCTCAACCAATTCGATTCTATTCAGCTTCGCATCCATTGACTCGAGTCGATCGCAAGAGTCCACACATCGGCGTCAGTCCCGGTAATACCCAGCCAGTTTTACATTCATCTCAATCAGCTGAAGTCCAGAATCCATTATGAGTTTTGGATTTGGCGTTGGTGACTTCATCGCCATAATCAACCAGGCAAGCAAGCTCAGAAAGGCCTTCGTTGGAGCGCCTTCTCAGTGTAAGGAGCTATCTGATGAGTATATGTTCCTGACATTCCGACAATTAAAATCATGATTTGACTCTTTACTAGCATGCTTTATTAAAGATTGAGATCTCTACAGAGCGTCATACACGATGTCGATGTCGATTTATCCACTACTGAGCTCAACAGCTACCAACGCGATGATTTGACAGTGATTACAAAAAGCTGCCGCGACACGCTGACAGACATCGAGAATGTGGTTAACAAATACTCCGCGAAAGAGTCCCATAGTATCGGAAGAATTTGGAGGAGAGCCACTTGGGATTCTGACGAACTGCGTCATCTTCGGGATCGGGTTTGCGTCAACGTCGGAAATCTCAATGCTTTCAACGGAAAATTGGCTCGAGTTCAGATCTCAGATGTCCTTATGAACATGTCCAATGAGCAAGACCAGATGTGTCTTGACTGGTTGTCATCGACAGACCATGCAGCGCAACAAGGAGAGTACAATAGTCTTCGGCAACCGGGAAGTGGACAATGGTTCCTAGGTTCTCAATTGTTTCATGAGTGGATTAGGTTGCCACAGCAGACTCTGTTCTGCCCCGGTATACCGGGAGCAGGGAAAACAATTATTGTCTCGGCAGTGATTGATGAGCTGAACAACATGTACCGGGACAACCCCGAGGTTGGCATTGCATATATTTATTGCGATTTCCAGTATATTTACCACGAGAGACAAAAGGTCAACTTTCTGCTGGCATGCATTATCCGGCAGTTATTGCAAAGCATGCAAAAAATGACACCGGGTGTCCTTAAGATGTTCAACAATCATAAGAGCAAAGGAACACGTCCATCGACCAAAGAACTATCCGAGGCCTTGCTTTCTGTAATAAAGGCAGCCCAGCAAGTATTTATTATCATCGATGCCTTGGACGAGCTCAATGATTCAAACAAAATTCTGGACGAAGTATTCGGCCTCCAGGCTGGCGAGAAAGTGAGCCTTCTGGCAACTGCACGGTTCATACCGGAAATAGTTGCACGGTTTCAAGGCATGCCTTTACTAGAGATCCAAGCATCGAGAGACGACGTGACAAACTATCTCAGGACTAGTCTGGAAGCAATGCCCCACCTTTCAAGAAAGCCGGGACTACACCCAGAGATTATAAAAGGAATCTGCGACGCAGTTGATGGAATGTAAGTGATACCTCAACCACCTATACCGTGAAAGTAGCTTATAATGAATAGGTTCCTTTTAGCTCGGCTGTATCTAAACTCCTTATCAGGAAAGTTGTCTCCAAAAGCCATTCGCACTGAGCTCAGAAAATTGACGAGCGGATCTCAAACGTACGATGATGCCTATGACAATACCATGCAAAGAATCATCGATCAGAAATCTGTACAGGCCATGGCACTTCATGTTCTTGCGTGGGTAACGTGCGCCAAGAGACCTTTGACAGCCGCCGAGCTGCAACATGGACTTGCTATAGAGCTGGGCGAGTCACACTTTGACGAGGATAACATCTCTGATATTGAAGACTTGATTTCGATATGTGCCGGTCTCATCACTATCACTGTGGATGGGACAAGGAATGTTATTCGACTGGTGCATTATACCGCTCAGGAATACTTCGAACAGAAGTTGGTTTGTTGGCTACCCGAGCCTCAGAAAGCAATTGGAACAGCCTGCATTACCTATATTTCATACGAGGCCTTTGGAACAGGTAGCTGCTTGTCAGATGCTGAATTCGAAGAGAGACTCGAAAAATATCCCCTCTACACATATGCCTCCAGGAACTGGGGGTACCATGTTCACGATGAGCCGGTTGTGGACCCATTGCTCTTGGTATTTCTACTAGATCAATCCAAGACAGACGCATGTGGACAAGCTGTTTTCGCTCAAAAGGGATACGTATCCCACGGGGATTATAGCCTTGATGTACCTCTTGGTATGACAGGCTTGCATCTAGCAGCCTATTTTGGACTTGCAGAGACGGCAAAAACCCTACTTGAGAGAGGCTATATTTTATCGGTAACGGACTCACTGGACAAGACCCCATTTGAATGGGCAGCCACCCGTGGCCATGACAAGGTCGTCAAACTTCTGTTGGACCGAGGGATCGACGCAAATCAACGAGGCCTCGGATGTCGATCACCTATAGCATTAGCGGCCTCTGGGGGATGGATCAGTACGATCAAGCTACTTCTTGCTCATGGCGTGTGGGTCGACTCTTGTTGCAAGCATGATCGAACAGCCATCTCTTGGGCAGCTTCTGAAGGACATAGAGATGTTGTGCAACTTTTGCTAGAAATGGGTGCCGCGCCAGATTCAAAAGATGAAGAGTATCGAACCCCTCTTTGGTGGGCAGTTGCGTTGGATCGGCCTGAAATAGTGGTAGATCTACTACAAAGGGACTGTGATCCTAATTCTATTGACATATATGGCCGAACTGCCCTCTGCGAAGCGGCGGAGAATGGCCATGTTGCCGTGGTAGAGATCCTACTGAAGCAGGCGCCAATACAGATATCAAAGACAAAGATGGAAGAACAGCTCTTTCTTTCGCCCTGCAACATGGTCATGGCGAGACCTCCAGAATACTTCGAGAGCACCCATCAGAAACAATGTGGTTCGGTCAAGGAACAACCCACACAAGCTTTGTTTTAAACAAAACCCAGCAAGGTGCCATGCCGAACTCCTGGGACACACCTGAAATCACTCGCTCCATTGGAAGAGGTGGAACTGCTCTTAAATGCCCATGTTGTGTCAAAGGGCCAACTTCCATGAACCTTGGGGTGTTGACCCGTCACATCAAAGACGCCCACTTCTCTCAGTGGCAATATCAGTGTCCTAAACCAGGATGTTCAATCACACAGCGCAGAAAGGACAAAATACAGAATCATATTCGGGCACACCCAGACTATTCCCATGAAAGTCCCATCGCATTTGAATTCCCAGTTCCTTCATGTTGCCCGATTTGTGGTATTGCCACAGATTCCTGGGACCTTTTTTATTCTTGCGTGTTGAAACACGCCAGGGCTGCCAAGTGATATGTTTCAGCTACTGGCCACTAAGCCCACCCAGGGAAATAGAATTTTAATCGATGAAGCTTACTTAACATCGATGTATGACCCGCAGTAAATACCGCATGGCTATTCTTTCATGGTAGTATTTTTCTGTTTTGACTAAGGGTGGCAGATTCTCTAGCACGTTTGCCCTTTTTTGTGAATATTACGGGCTCGCTGAAAATATCCACACCCGTTGTTTGGATTGAAATCAGAGTAATCAGTGGACCATTTCCTAGCTCCATTAAGTGTGGGATGGCCAAAATATTCACGGATTAAGGTTCAATCGCGCTCGGCTGGAGATGCTTGTATTGGGATCTACCGGATGTTCCTGTGCATTAGCGGAGACCGGCAAGTCGATCAATATTTTGGCGTTGAAAGATACATTCCTACGATGCTGGTTAGCCGGGAACTGGACCAATGGCTCTATTAATTACGTACCAGACATTGCTTTCATGGCCATCAAATCATATTATTCACGGGAAATAGGCCGGAGGGGTCCGTAGATTTATCAACTGTAAAACCTCTAAATAAATAGAAAGCTGGCATTTTGAATGGCGACACAGGTCACTCCTGGATACACATGTCATATTCGGGAAGGACTGGACGTCAATTCAATATCGGGCCATCTCAGCTAGCATCACTGTAAAAAACATCGATTTTGAAAACCCCTCCGTGTTCAGACGAGCCCACGAAAATCGTAAAACTTTATATTTTCTTTTTTATTCCATCTGCGGGTAAGCGGGTGAGTATAGCCACTCACCCGGGCGGCAGCATCAAAAGAGAATCTTGCAAATGCCAGTATAATAAACTGCTTCGCAATATTTTGTATCCTAAAAGTTCGCATGAACATTGCAAGAGTCGGGCGGGATTTAAAAAGAGAGCGAGCTCCGGAGCGAGAATCTTGGCATGCCAAGCTCCAAGCTGCAGCTTGTAGATTTCGTGATCGGCCTCCAAGATTACGACGATCCGAAAGGATCAGACCTTGAGTATATGAAACCTATAAAGCTTGTCAAAATCCTCCGAAATTTTTCGAAATTGTCCCTCTTCCACCCAACGCCTAACAATGACGAGCATATCTGGGACCAAGGCACATTCAAGTTCGGATGAGGTGCCATACTCCCCACCCACAGGGCTATGGAGCTATATCCCGTACTTCAGGAAACCTGAAAATGTCCTTCTCTTTAAGCTGGACTGTTTGCTGTTGACATGGACTTTCATCGCTGGAATTTTGAAGGAAATGGACCAAACTGCTACCACCCAAGCATACGTGTCGGGAATGAAGGAGTCATTGAGCTTATATGGCAACGAGTTAGTCAATTTCAACATTTTCTTTTCGGTGGGATATGCCATCGGTCTTATTCCGGGCCAGCTAATTCAAACTAAAGTGAGTGGTTCTTGAAAGACCCGACCGCGTGGATATAAGCTAATAGTTCCAGATTCGCCCTTCCCTCTTCTTGCCCTTTTGTGAAATAGCGTGGGGTATTTTGGTCACCTGGTTGGTTTTAACGAAGTGAATTACTCCATGTATTATCTAACATCCCTGACAGCATAGCTCAAGCTCCTAATGCTAAAACTGTATATGGATTGCGTATATTACTGGGTCTTTTCTCCGCCGTCTTCTGGCCTACTGCCGTCTCGCTGATTTTCAATTGGTATAAACCCGCCGAATTAGCCAAGAGAGTCGCATTTTTCAATGTTTCCGATGCAGCGGGAGGAATGTTCATAAGTGCATTGCAAGCCACTCTTTACAAAAACATGAATGGCGTTCATGGAATCTCCGGATGGCAATGGCTATTCATTATATCGGGCACAGTCACAATTGGCCAAGGACTTCTAGGCCTCGTCATCATACCAGATACGCCGGCTCTTAGTCGCGCTATCTGGATCACAGATGCAGAGAAACGTATTGCAAAGGAGCGCATGGCTAGCTTCGGCGCCGATACGTCGAAAATTCTCCCCGCTGCAGTCCTCAAAGAAAAGTTGCGAAAGTTAGCATCCCACCCGGTGGCTTACTTCTTTCTTCTAGCCTTCACTTTGCAGGCTTGGGCCAGTCGAGCAAACTCTTATTTCCCCCTCTACCTGGAAGGATTGAAAGACTCGGCTGGAAATCTTCGTTTCAATACATATCAGGTCAACGTCATACCGATAGGAGGCTATGCACTACAGATCGTCAGTAATCTGGCCCTGAACGCATTATCTGACTGGAAATACTGGCGCTGGCAGATCAGCATAGCTCCATGTTTTCTGTTCGGGGTTGTTCTGTGTGTTTTATGTGCCTGGCCTTCCGACTACAAAGTCGTCTTGGCCTTTTATTTCCTGACATATGCGACAAATGCGGGAAGTCCGTCACTTCTGTCCTGGATGGCTGAGCTACTGAGAAAGGAGCCAGAAGCTCGTGCCATTCTCGTCGCTATCACTGTTACGATTGTCTATGTTGGCCATGCGACCATTCCACTCAGGGCCTGGCGAACAAAAGACTCTCCGACATATCCTATTGGGTTTCCTCTTGCAACTGCGTTTATTTTCTCGTCCGTCGCTGTCCAGCTTGGTATGTTGTGGTGGCAGCGGCGCTACAAAAGTTCGGGCGATGACAATTTTGATGCACAATCCCAAGTATCTGTGGTCGCTACAAGAGAGGTGAATGCGAAGTCTTCAGGCGAGGAAGCGATAAAAGCACGAGGAGATTCGAAGACTCCAAATCCAGAAATCTCTGAGGTGTAAAAGGTCTTGATGCTTAGTATCAAAGCAGCCTATAAAAGTCCTCATAAATCGTGGATTGTTTATAACTCTGATATTCAAGTACTTCCTATCGAATAAATAGTTATGAAAAGAAAGCCAAACAAATAAAATAGCAACTGAACTGGGTGTGAGCCCCGTCATCATCTATCACTGACGATCATAGTACATCCGAAAATCTTTTGCCCGGTCTGCCCCATTATATATTCGCGAAGGTCGTCAATGTGCGTGAAATAAGCAATTTTGTTAAACTCCAGGCCGGCAAAAATCATTCCCACTACCTCATGAAAACAAGTCTTGAGAAGTAAAGATCATAAATCACCCTTGGTCGCAAGAGGATTGAGGTCACTTCCACTTCCACATACGCTGCGTCGCTTGCGGCCGTCAGTGTCAATCTTTCCTTCCTCGTCGTGTATATACATGGACCTTCGGCGATGCTTCTTGCCGTTTTGCCGTTTGATGCTTCGCTGATCTGCGCCTTTGGCCTCGATAAGGATTGGCGATGCGTATGCAAGTTCAGAGTCTGATCCCCAGGAAGAACGGGCAAGTGTAGACATTGTGAGCTCGTATAAAGAATGGTGTCGAATTAATAGGGTGTGAAAGATTGGAATAAAAGGAAAAAAGGAAAATGCATCTGAGGGCTGCTAAATAGACCATGGTCCTTCCGAATCCAAATTAGAATGTACTAATACTATACAAATTTGGATACACTTGATCCATCTAAAGCATTTGTCAATAAATCAAGCAGAAACAATGTGTAAGTCTATAATCTACTGAATAATCTTGAATTCTTGATTAAGTTACTTTAACACGGGTTCGAAGGAAAACAGCTGTCGGAAGTACCTCTGTTGCCGTGAAGCTAGTAACATCTAAATCTAGCAACCGCGCTGACTCACCTCCACACCCATGGAAACCACTGCCTACTACTAAGCCCGATTCACCAGTGGAAAAGTTTTGGTACTACGAGACAGTAATAGGCTTTTTATAAAAAAGGCTCATAATAAATATGCAATCAGTAATTAATGAACCGGCCAATAAGGACCTTTGTATGGCTGGCTGGATCAACCCTCAGATGAACTACTAGTAGAGCGTTGGTGTTAAATTTATCTGAACATTCATATCATCTGTTTCAATTCAGAGTCGTCGTACATATTCTTCCACTGCTTTCCCAAAGCTCTCCCTCGTCGAGAGGCCGAGACTGAAAGCCAAGGAGACATCAAAGTTGCAGGGCCACGATTGAACCAAGTCCGCGAAGTTGGAATCCTCCACCTCCTCTATTAAGTCCAACTTTTCTCGACCAGCGACCTTTGCCAGAGTTTCTGTCATCTCTTGAATCGTAACCAGGATTCCTGGCGCATTTAACACTCGCCTATGCAAAGGCAACGCATTACCAGCCAAACCAAGAATACAAACCAAATTTGATACTATATCATTAATGGAACAGACCCAGAACGCCTTCGATCGATCCTTCGTCGGCACAATGCATTTCTTCCCTGCCAGTGGCTCCCTGATAATTCCGCTGAGAAAGCTGCTCGCGGCTTGCGCAGGCGGTCCTGGCCGAATAACCACTCCAGGTAAGCGAATCGCAAACCCATCAATATACCCTCGTCTGGTGTAGTCGTTGATGAGCGTTTCGCATATCACCTTTTCGCTTCCATATGACCCCTCGGGAGTGGGATACACATCTTCCGTGATTTTTTGAGGCAAAGGCCGGCCGTATACAGCAATACTAGAGCCATAAATTACCCGAGTATGCCATCCTTTCTTCCTGATGCAGTCCAGTAAGTGGCGTGTTGCATCGACATTCACTCTTAAGCCCAAATCAAGGTTTGCCTCTGCGCCAGACGACATGATTCCATGGAGAATGTATACAGCATCCACTTTCTCAATGAGAACAGCTTGTGGCTCTTTGACTAGATCTGCTTGGATGCATATTGCGTTTTCGGGATGATTTGACGAATGCGGGGTAGAGAAATCCGCTATGTCGGTCAGAATCAGTTTGTTCTCTGGATTTTTGAGGAGCTCTCTGGCTAGGTGTTGTCCAACAAAACCGCCGGCACCAGTGATTAAGATTTTCATGTTGGATGAGTTAAATTCAGACTTCAGAGATGGAGTAGAGACAAGACTATCTCCAAAGTTGCTGGCCGAATTTGACGAGGATACTCGGCAAATGACCGAAACGTTGCACCAGCCAATGAACGATGGGGATTGCCTCAAAAGTACCATTTTGAACTTCGTGAAATTTAGAAGCGTGCGCGACTCCCATATCTAACACGTGTACGCTCTCATGGAGCAAACGTGAGTACCCAAAATCGTTCTCTACCTACGTAGTTGAGGAATTTCTGTTCTATAATCATTATTCCACTATTCATTAATTTGAACCATCTTGACGGCTATACTTGAATACAAAGACGCCTAAACAAGCGACTCATCTAGGCATTGAGCTCAACAGAATCTCAAAAATCTGTATAATTTCCTCTTGCTCTTCCTTCGATAAATTCAATCGCTGCGCATGCGCATAACCCTCCCTTAACCTCGCAGCAACAATAGCCTTAGGAGTCTTCGTCCTAAACGCAGCCTCGATGCTCTTCGAAATACCATGGAACGGGTAAGCCATCAATCCGATACCAGCTTCAGCGAAAGGCAAAGTGTTAGCATTGCATTCAGTTGCACAAACAAAGCGACGAAACTCACCAGAAGGCATCTTCGTCGCCATCCCCAAAGCGCCCCTCGTAAGACCCTTGATAGCACCATCCTTCCCTCCATCCAACGCACCCTTCAACGGCTCGGTAAACATCCCCGCTACGCCCCCAGCCATACCGCCAACAAAATTCTTCCCGCCAACCGCGATACCCGATTTCCAATCAGAAACGTGTCCGTATTCCTTCGGCTTCTCGCCGTAAAGTTGCGGTGCCCGTCGGAACCCCTCAGCTGCCGCGTGTGGAATGTCAACCATCACGCCTCGCAGATAGGTGCCGGAGAATTTCCCAAAGCCTTGTAACCCCGCGCCTGCCATTTTACCCGCTGTTCCGAATGAGTCCTGGCGGTTTTCGAGAGATCGGGATGAGGATGGATCGCCCGTCGCGTTTGTGCGACTGCGTTTGAATTCTTTGTATGGGTTGTAGAACATTTCGCCTGTTGATTTTGCCATGTTTGCGCCCGTTGCTGTTGCTGCGGAGAGGACGCCTGTTAGAGGGTCCCAGCGTCGATTGACGATCAAAATTGGGTTGGCTGGGTAGCTATTTGTCTTTAAATCAGTATTTGTTTCTGACGTGGGATTGCTGGGTGGAGGGGGTTTAAGATTGAGCTAACCATTTGATGTTTTCGGAGTTAATCTTGTTGTGCTCGATTAAGACCTCTGCTGCTGTCTTTGACAAAATTAAACGGTGTTTCTCATTCTTATATTTCCACACCGCGACTTGATCGGGCATGATACTGCATCGCATTCGATCGAGCGGTAGATTCCGGTGGAACGAGTCCACTGCTGCCGACACGCCTGAGTCGGCCTGCATCTTGATAGCAATTTCCTGTGCAGCTTCTGATGCTTCTGGCGTCAGGCAAAATTGCATTGCAGAAGCCAGGAGCTCAGGCTCAAGGTCTTTATGCGGGATTGGCTCGGGGCCAGCGCCGGCTTTGGCGACCATATCGCCCCAGAAGGGTTGACTGGGTAAATGTTAGCAATATTTCAGATATCATATACAGGAAGTCAAGGAATGGAGCTGAGTGAACACATACTCGCCGAAGAACGGTACAATAGTGGTAGGCTTTCCATTTTGCAGTCCGCAGGCAGTCGTTCCAGCGCCACCGTGGTGGACTACTGCGGCCACCTGTTGGAAAAGCCATCCGTGCGGGCAGTCGCCGATATAGTAAATATTCTCATCTGAGGTTCCAGCGAGTTCACTCCAACCCTTTGAAACAATGGCTCGTATGCCAGCCAGCTTGACCGCTTCAACAACTGTCTTAATGAGCTTTTGAGGGTCATCAACGACGATACTGCCAAAGCCAATATACACAGGGGGTGGCCCTGCTTGAAGGAATTCTGCCAGATCTGGAGGGGGTGTATATTCAGGGGTATCTGCGAAGAAGAATCCAACGACATCTGTCTCGATTAGCTGCCGATAATATCTGCGATCCTGACTCTTTGATCTCAAAACATACCGATATGTGATGGCCAGTCAGTTGGGCGTGGAACTAATGCCGGGGACCAACAGTAGGTGAACGGAATTTCCAAAGCTTCCGCTAAACAAGGGCCCTCTGTAGCAGGAACCGATGCGAGATCAATAGACGATCTAAATCGATTAATCACATCACCCAACCTGCGAACTCTGTCAGCGAACAATACCCATGGATATGGAGATTCAAACATACCCCTGCCACGTCAACCATTCCACAATCCCATAAGAAACCCAATTCGCCGTAGGCGTATTCATAATCTCCGGGTTCAAACTCTGACTCAAGTTCGCCAACGGATGAGGAAACGCTCTAGTTGTACTCCAAGGCATAGTAAACATCAAATGAACCGGGATGCCCAACGCCTGCGCACAATGCACATGAGCAAAACTCGGCGGATTGGCAATAATCGCATCAGCGACAAAGGGTTCCTGACTCGTCGGATCGTCCGCGATACAAGATCTCCAACACCCATCCAACATTTCCGCAACCATTCGCTGTTTCTTCTTAATCTCGCCATCGCGAAGGGTTTGCATTTGCGGTATTAGTCCGGGATTCTTGACCATGTACGCCATGAGTTGTGCCGGGTCGCCGCCAATAGGGAAGAATTCCAGAAATGAGTCCTTGACGAATTTCTCGAAGACGCCGTGCGTGGCGATGCGGACTCGGTGGCCGTGACTTTGGAGGGCATTTCCTAGTGCGATGAAGGGCTGGACGTCACCGCGACTGCCGACTATTTGAATGACGATGTTGAGTTTTATGTCGCAGACCTGTGATGGTCGAGGTTCAGTCTGTTGAGACAGTGGTGGGTAGTTATCTTTCAGCTCTTTCAGCTCTTGTTTTGCGATTTGGGCCAGTGATTTGGCGAGTTTGGAGTTGAGGTTAACATCGATACGTCCATCGGCTGTTGTTTAGTTAGCTCTGTGGCTCAATATTTGAATAACTGCGCATCCCACATCCTCCTACTTACTCTTAACATCGCCTGATTCGGCAGTCACCTGAGGGTCAACATATGGAGTGTATGGTGGGGGGCTGGGCTCTCTGTTGGTGTCCGCGCGGTCGGGCAGTGGAGGTTTCTCCATGTTGGCCAAAATGAAGGGGACTTGACCGCATGTGAAGAAAAGAAAGAATAAATCGATTCAGGTCAGTAAATAGAGATTAGTTTCAAACCCATAGACTACTGTGTAAGTTCCACGATTTCAAGTCTCTTGTGCAACTTGTTGGCCGTGGCGAATCTCATGCCCCGCGATGTCCCAACGAGCTTCAGCCACGCAGGCACTAACGAAGAACCAATTATGACGGCCAAAATTAGATTAGCGGGTCATCTCCCACTTAAACCAACCCCTTTTGTCCACTTAAACTCCAGGGCACTCGTCAGTGGCAAACGGGCCGTGCTTAACGACGATCCACACTTGCTTCCCCCTCCTCTCCACGAATTGTGGCTGTGCGGAAACTAATGAGACGAAAGGTGGAAACCTGCTTTAATTATGACCGCATGTCTACAAGTATTATCCCCAACCCACCGTCTTCTTCGCGACGATGCACGGCGCGATCCGCAATGGCGCCAACCACTCCTGCGATAGCCTCTCGCTGTCGCTACCCCCAAGCCGGGGCTTTCGAGCAAAATGACAAGAGAAGGCTGTTGTTGATTTATATCCATGGATTCATGGGCTCCGAGGCGAGCTTCCAGGAGTTCCCCGCTCACATTCATGACATGTTGACCGCATTATTGAGTGATTCGCATGTTGTGTACACGCGTATTTATCCTCGGTATAAATCCCACGGGGAGATTCAGTCTGCAGCAGCCCAATTCAGTGCTTGGTAGGTCCTCCGAATAGAAACACACACTGTCACACCGTCCCGCCGGGCCGTCCCGTTCGTCTTGAAGCCTTTGTGCCTAGGCTGATGTAGATCTATCTATCTAGGCTGGCCCCTCACGAAGCAGATGACCTCGATATAATCCTGCTGGGCCACAGTCTCGGCGGAATCGTCGCAGCAGACGTGGCCCTTTTACAAAAACATCAAATTCTGGGGCTAATCAACTTCGACGTACCCTTCCTGGGCCTTCATCCGCGCGTAGTACCAACAGGTATTCTCAGCTCGATGCCAAAAAAGCCTGGAGACGTCGCGCCAGAAGAAACGCTCGCAGATGAGCAAGCTTCTCTAGGCATGGATCCCGCCTATAAACCGGCAACACCACCAAGACCAGCAGCGCCAGATCCGAATTTCGATCGGCCGTGGAGAAATGATATTCGACTACCTAATCGCGGATTCCTCAAGGGGGTGATGCATTTTGTCAATAAGAATACCGACAACCTTGCACGATCAGTCTTCGACCGGGTGGTGTCATCTGCGAAATTCGCGGGCTGTGTGAATAATTATTCTGAGCTTCGACGGCGATATCGCCATCTTATGGAGTTGGAGGCTTCGAATCGCGTGCCGCCTCACTCGATTAAATTCATCAATTATTATACAGCCAGCACGGGTCGCAAAAAGCCAAAGAAGGGGGATGATTCTGCAACAAAGACGGACTCCGCACAAGAAAGTCCCAGTCCCTCTCTTGAAGTCGAAGAAGAGGAAATAACCGGCCAAGATGAGAAGTCCACGACTCCTACACAGCAGACGCCTGCTATCGAAAGATCGCTAGAGAACATGAGCATTTCTTCAGAACCCAGAACCCACGAATCTGGAGCCGATGAAGCAGAAAGCACTGTCAAGACCAACCCAGTCGAGGAATCACAGTCCAAATCCTCCTCAACTTCAACATTAGCAATAATAGACGCCGAACCCATCCCAGAACCCTCAATCGAAGACGAAACAACATCAGAAAGCCAAATACAAACCCCTGAACCCACACAACAACCCCTCTCCCCAACACCATCAGAAACCCTCCGAGAAGCAAGCCTCCACCTCTCAGAAAGCACCACAAGCGGAAATACAAGTATAACAACAACATCCAGCTCAAACTCAAACTCAGACCCCAGCACACCAAAACTGCGGAAATTCATCCTATTGCCAAAGAATCACTGGAAATACCACGACAACGCACACTGGACCGCAGTCGTAATGCAAGATATCGACGAGGTCGAGGCTCATCAGTCTATGTTCATTCCGTCTGGTGCGCATTATGATCCTCTCGTTGGTGATACGGTTAGCTTGATTGAGACGTGGGTGCAGGATGAATTGAGTAGGAGGTTGGTTAGGGAGAGTTTGGATTAGATTTAGATACCCGGGTGGCTACTTGCTAGAGTGATCTTGGTGGGCATTGGTACTTGCAGAGGCAGGGAGGGGGGGAGAGGTTTCTTTTTACATCGTCAATTCGACTAGATTGCGTACAGTGCATACATAGCATACTACCCTAGATCGAAGAAGCATCTAATCTACAACGAAGTTACGCAGCAAACATGGCCAAGCTTCCAGCTCTCAGCCAATCCATCTGAACCAAACCGAATCTAAATCTAATCTCATAAAAGTAATCATACAATCAATATACGTACAAGCATATCTTTTCGGCCGTTAAAAAAGAGTCAGGAGTAGAAAGAAGCATAGTAGGGTTCAGTTCGGTTAGATTCCCATATAACCATCCCCGCTAAACCCACCCACCCCCTTCACCAGGACGATGCCCACTGGCAGCAGTCGAAGGGCCAAGTGTACTCAGCCTTCCACCCGCACCAATAGAACTCATCCTAATAGTACGTCTCCTAGCAATCTCCGCCTCAGTCTTAACAGCTTCAGCCCTCGTCTGCGGCTGTGTCTGACCGTCCTTCTCAGGCGTCTCAGTCTTAGGCTTCTCCTTAATAGAAATCCACTCCATGAAAATCGGTCCCAGAATCGAAATACTCCCCGTCGCAACAGCCACGTAAAGGGCTTGCATGACTGCATCATTATAAGCCGCCATAATCGGTGGTAATTGGGCCTTAGGCACTGAGCTTCTGAATCCCGTCGCTCCGCCTGACAGGACAAGAGCCGCTGTTTCTTTTGACAATGAACTGAGAAGGTTCTTGATAAGTCTATTCTGGAATACGCTCTCTGCAACGGAGAGACAGATTGTTCCGCCGAGAGTTTGAACGAACGTCAGGATTGATGTCGCGATGGCCATATCCTCTGCGTCAACGGCGACCTGTGAGACTAGCATGACGTTTTGAACGCCGAAGCCGACGCCTGCGGCTAGGAGGACTTGGTAGCCGAACCATTCTGGCATTCCTGAGTTGACGTTGAGGGTTGAGAGCATTCCTGCTGCGATGGCGGTGAGGACGGAGGAAATTAGGACGAAGGGGGTGTAGTAGCCGATTACTGAGGCGAGGACGCCGGCTATGATTGCGAAGACGACGATGCCTATTTCAGACTGGGGAGATTGTCGATTCCGGATGTGGTGGCTGATACGCCTTTAATGGCTTGAAACCAGATGGGGAGCTGTGTAAAAGTTAGCGGAGGGGTTGCTTAGTATAAGTGGATAGGATGCGGGGACGAACATAGTAGGCGACGACGAACATGGGTGCCGAGATACAGCATGCGTACCAAGCGGCGCCAAAGACACTTCTGTTTTTCATCAGGCGGACGGGCACGGTAGCTCTGTCCTTTTGCCAGATTTGAATACCCACAAAGGCTGCAAAGAGCAGGGCGAAGAGAATCATCAATACAATAATCCGGGCGTTCTTCCAGTCATACTTCGAACCGCCCCATTGCAGGGCGAGGAGTAGACAAATAATCGAAGGGATCATGGTCAGAGTACCAGGGAGATCGAACTGTTTGACCTGCTCTTTCCACGGGAGCGGTTGCACATCGCCAGCCCGAGTCGGCATAAGGAAGAAGATTCCAATAGCAGTCAACCCACCGAGTGGTAAATTGATCCAGAAACACCACCGCCAAGTAAGATGATCGGTAAAAGCCCCGCCCAGAATTGGGCCAGCCACACTGGCGATGGAGTGCATGCTGGACAGAATACCGATATAGATCGGGCGAATGCGTAGAGGAACCGTATTGGCGATGATAATGATAGCCCCAGAGAATAAGCCCGCAGCGCCGATACCAGCAATTGCACGGCCGATAATGAGTGAGACCGAGTTAGGCGCAATGGCACAAACTAAAGAGCCAATCTCGAAGATCCCCAGTCCGCTTAGGAACACCCATTTCGCAGAATAAAAGGTGTACAGCTTGCCGAAAAATAGCTGCACTGTACAATTTGTGAATAGGAACGAACTACCGTACCAGCCGACATCATCGAGAGAGTTGAAAGAATTGGTGATTTTCGGAATCGCAGTCGCTAAAATGGTTCCGTCCTGCAGGAGTGTTAAATGTCGCGTGTCGCGTGAAGGAAGGGGTAATTTGCGGACGGATGTGATGTGATTGCGCCGCGCCGGGGACACCAATGGCGACATCGACCCCAACAAAAGGAGGGAATGACGAAGAGAACTTACCAAGGACAAACAAAAGGTAGCCAGACATAAACAAATCGTTAAAGGCACCAGCTTCGCATAGGAGACTTCCTCGGTAGATTTGCCGCGGGCTGTAGTGGGGTTAGGAGAATCGGGCGATATAGGCTCCTCCGCTAAGATCGGTTTCGTGTCGTAGTCTAAGGGGTCGAAGTGCTGCCGATGCGAGTCGAACCGCTGCAGCTCGAGGTCATCCTCCTCTTCAGGCGGATCCAAGAACGTATGCAATGGCATTGGCGCGGTGTGATAGTGGTCATCCAGAACACGAGCCATTATCGTAGAGGGGGTCTGGAGTGGTGGGTGTTGGGTTGTCTATGTATGACGAGCGCGTCTCGACTTGACTCGATTACGATTTTCCCGGATCCATCCCTTAATCCGCTTTGTGATACAGGTCCTGAAATTCAGTTCATCTGCAAGCACTCTCGTTGGCGCGCTGGACCCACAAGGGGTTCTTCGCATGCCGCGGGCCCGTGGACAGCGAGGCGTTTCCTGCGCGTTCGGAGCAAAGATCGGCGATCGAGAAGCGGACAAGAATGTGCCGGAATGCTTCTGTCAATAAATCTGCCGTCATCTTTGTCCTTGGTGGATGATGGTTGGTTCTTTCTAGTTGCGATATTCCCATTTTTTTCGAACAGTTTCTCGTCTGTGAACTGTGCAGAGGTGTGGGTCAGACCCTTATTCTTAATTCAAGCCTTCATCCAATGCCGGGGTGGGGGCGGCGAGCCAGGCACGTCGTGTTGCGCGTTGTGTTATGCGCACTTGATGTTGGGAATCTGTCGTCGTCCGGAGACTTGAAGCCCTCCATTCCAAAAGTTGACCTTGGTAGAAGAGGATGGTTTGGTGTGCAGGCCCTTTTGTTGATAGATCAACCTTATCTGCTCCACTTGCTGTAACCCTTGGCATACTTTCATGGAGTGGTTTCACGACGGCGGGTGTGACACGGTGGTGTAGGTAGTGGAGACGTCAAAAAAATTAGTGCTCAGCCTAAATTGGTGGCCGGATTGATCGGAGTGATGTGATGTCAATGCGGAGACGGAAAGACGGAGAGGTTGAGTTGTGGTGTTGGTAAGTTGCTGAAATTGCCGGAGGAAGGGATCTTGTTATATGGGCACTCCACTATTACTTATAAGGACACTTCTCGACACATGAGGCGGGATGCGGTTTCTGTATTACCATTAGTATGGTAATAAAAAGCACCATATCATAGACATCTCCAGGATTGATGTATTGTATTTACACATATCGGGCAGAAGGTGTCCACTTAGTACTTCTGTAGTATTTCTGTAGTGCAGTGACTAATTAATTACTAACTAATCCTCCGGGGTAACTTGGAGTTTGGGTTGACCCAAAAATGAGACCAACGCCCACGGTTACAGCTGGATTGTTTTAGGTACAGTCTGAAACTTGCTACTTGCTACTGTACTTGCACTACATGCATAAATGAAACTGACAAACGTCTAACATTTTATGTCCATTCATCATAACTAACGCCGCGCCCAGTAGATGCGACTTCATAAACCGGGTTGGACCCGGTGACTACACAGTCGGCAGACTTGATACTTTTGGGGTCTGCTTCTGCTTCTGCTCTGCTTCTGCTCCTGTTTTGCTGATCACATTGCTCCATCACCTTGCCTTGCCTCGTCTCTATCTCTTCTCCAAAGCAAGATAAGCTAGATCGACTCCGATGCGCCAATTGCTTTTCAATAAAGGCCATCCGCACACAAAGTCAGTCCGGAGACAGAATGCGGAGGACAGGAAAGAAGGATATGCCCGAGTGTAGATGTCTGTCTCGCAAATGGGGTAAAAGAGGAGGGAAACTGTAAAGAAAAAAAGAAAATGGAAAATGGTAGGTAGAACAAACAAAGGACGAGCCCAATAAATGTCGAAAGAGGTGGAAAGGGCGATTCGGTGGGTGGGGGAGACATAAAGAAACATCATCGGGCAAGTATAGCTTCACAGGAATTCACATCATGCATCATTTCTCCGTAGCTGTTTATGCGCGAGCCTCCTCGGCCTGGGCGCGGTCCTGACGAGGACGGTTACCACCCTTACCGCCGCGCTGGTTGTTGCGCTGGCCCTCATGGCCACCGGTACCAGTTGACTCGCCGCCACCCAGGGTCAGTTGGGCGGTTGCTAGTCGGTTAGACAGCTCCATCTGTGTGCGGATGGTGTTGGCGAGGTAAGAAACGACCAGGACATCCTGGATGTGGTTGTTGCTGGAGGGAAAAAATCAAAGGTCAGTAAACAAGTTCAACCCGGCTCGATAGAATGCGGGGTCACATACAAGTCCTTCTCAATATCAGCAGGCTCGACCTTGGGAGCCAAAGCGAGAGCGTTGAGCAGGAATTGACCCATAGCGGTGGAAGCGGGAGCCTCCTCGTCAATCACGGACTCAACGTAGCGCGAAACACGGTCGATCATAGACAGAACCTCCTCAATGGCACGCTCCAGAGCCTCGACATCGGTGGCGATGCTGGTCGAGCGCTCCTCGGTGTCCTTGGCGTTGGCAATGGCCTCGAGACCACTCTTGTCGGCCTCGCCGTATCGGAGCTCGTAAGGGACGGGGATGAAAGCAGCGCTGTCGGCAGCACGCTCGGCGGTGACACCGACGGGGGCGGAGATGTAGGCGCGGGTCTCGAGGTCCTTGCCGGCCTCGGTGGCCACGGTAAGGTGAACGGCGGGGTGGGGCCATGTGCCATCGCCCTGGCCGCTGTAGAAGTTCTGGATCAAGGCGGAGAAGGTGTTGAGCTCCGAGGCGGTGGCGTACCAGCCGACCAGCACCTCGCGGGGGTTGGCCTTGAGGTGCAGGGCCAGCATCTGCTTGTGATACTCCATATCGACCTCGACCTGATCCTCAGCCTCGGAGTGGCCCACGGCGAAGGCGGAGCGCACTTCGACCTCACCTCCATCTTCCGAGCGTGTTCCGAGAAGGGTACCGATGACACGGTTCTGGTCGGCATTGCGGCGCAGCGAGTGATCGAGGATAGAGAAAACGGCCTGGAGTGAAGTTGTGTCAGCGATATGGCTGGCAGCGACAGCGGTTTTGGATGTTGGATATTGGGTGGTGGTTGCTGGGTGTTGGGTGTTATTGAATGCCCCTCCATATGTCACATACCTGGGGCTGGATGACCACGTTCAAAGGGGCGGTGGACGGGGCAGTCCCCACGGAGACAGGGCCCAGAGGACGGGCAAGGTGGAGGAAAGAATCGGCCATTTTGGTGAGGAGTATAGGTGGTGGATGGTGGAGGGAGTCCCGAAGCCAAACTGGAAGATCTCTTTCGGAGGGACAATTTTCCTCGATGTTGGCCTGAGGCAATCAACGCTGTCTTTGTGTGTGGAATTTTCGCGCTAAGATAAGATAAGACTCACTTACTATGGGACAATGGTAGTTATTACTACACTTGTGTAGTTCTTTGCGTGTATAACATCTTCATTTGCGATATATGATATACTACACATTGTACATTGTACATCATATAGTGTGCTCAAGTTTACAGGCCTTCCGTTGAACTTAGGGCTATCCGTCTAATGTTCAGCCGTATGCCTTGGTAACTATACATACTTCACCACACTAAGACTGCGTAATGAGATCCTTCTTCTGGAATTTCTAATTATAAATTAAATACATTAGCCCATTTCAACCTTGGAACACTAGTGACAGTGCATTGGGCCGCCGTAAATAGCTACGTTCACCTCCATTTAAGGCTTCATTTTGCCAAGAAATTAGTCATCGTACCACGTGATTATCATCACCACGCTGCCCACTTGAACAGGCCTGGCTTGAACAAGTGGAACAATGGTCTTGGGAAATTGAAGATGGGGGGGGGAACTTCAAATTCCTTGTTATGAGTTGACAACGTCAAATTGAACCCATTTTTGGAGTCTTCGGCTCCAAGGCTGCTCACTGCCAGTGGCACTACTAATAGTACCTAGGTAGTCCGATATATATCGAATTATGCACACTGGTTCCAAGGTTGAAAATCTTACTATGAGTCCTATCACTGTAATAAAAAATGGGTATCACTCTCACCTAGAAGGTCTCTAATATTCCTAATTTAAGAGTATCGCCTATCCTAGGGGGCAGTATTGACCATCCGGGGCAAAAGGCCGAAAAGGCTCCGGCCCGGGCCTGATACTAGTCCACGCCCCGCATAATCATGGCGGAATTGGACCCCTCCTGATTCGCTGGATATGGACCATCCATTGAAAAAAGTTCCTTCGTTCCGGTGGCATACATAGATTCTCTTCTCAAGGAGTTTACTCAAGAGGCCTGTGGCTTTTATTTTGAGATGGCTGAGACGATATATGGCTACGATTATTGAATGACACCGAAAGCCCACGGCTGTCCCTAAAGTTCATAAAATCATCGTGCCATCTGCCAATTTTCACTCGCTTCTTAATGCGACACCTACGAGTAGGTTGATGACACTGAGATGGATGGTTCAAGCATCACACAAGGCTTAGTTATTCGTGTCCCAACAGCTGAAAAGCAGTCTCCACATTGATCTGCTTGGGGGTGGGGAGTGGGCCGAAGCCTCCACGAATGGCCCAATCTCTTGGCCACTTGATATACAAAATAGGCTAGCGTGTTTGGATGTTACTTTGAGAGAAAGCTAGCTGCCGATCAACAAGGACAGACGGGCAGGATGAATACTGGGCCACAAATATATAGCCGCGGGCTGGGAACTGGGTGAAAGGATTCGATCGCAAGCAGAGGGAGATCGCCTGGACGGCACGGATCGCGTTTCCAATTCAACGCGATGGACTAGTACTGTATGTAAGACCCACGAAGACACTAGCTCCACCTCCCCATTCCCACATCGACGAGGCACGGGGAGGCATATCAAGGAAATCAATAGTCAAAAACCACGGATTCGATGAGAAGTACCCGAGTGAAATAAAGTCTTGCATGAACTCGAACTGAAGAATCGAATTCCATATTTCAACTTTGGCAGAGCGGGAATCTCGGCTACAGTAGCTGAGGGGACGGATTAAAGGCTTAGCATATTAGGGCTGAAGCTAAGGCCGAACAAGGAAACAAGCGCGCAGCCAGCGCCAACAGCGAGCCTCCACGGGTCGCACGGACTGCATGGGCTGCATAAGTGAGTGGTGCGCATCCGTAAGTCGACGCAGTTCAAACTCAGCTGCTGATCGACATGGGTTAGGCCCCCTTTTAAAAACTGGCCGTCGCACTTGTTCCTCGATTTTTCTTAAATTTAGGTTGTGAGGCGCAAAAGAAGCATTCTTAAACAAAGGAGGTCCTGTCGCTACTCAAAGTGCTACCTGTTTCCGTCACTAATCTGGCACTCGGCTGATTTCGCCCTTGTTTATCCCTTTTTTCCTCTCGGCCGCAGTGCGGTCGATTTGTCTCCTTCAACGCACCCGACCACGTCACAAAAATGAGTTCTACTCCTGGTATTTACTCCGATCCTCTTTGCTATTTCATAGACCGACCACTCATCATAAATAGAGTATAATAATGATAATATCAAGCCGGAGCCGATCTTGAGTCAGCAAGACCACGAGGATGGCCCCGTTCCTCCGCCTAACGTTGACGATGCCGCACTTGTCCGCAAAATTGACATGCGTGTACTGCCAATGCTATTTGCCATTTATCTCGTCGCGTTTTTGGACCGGTATGTCAATTGGACTTATGTATTTCATGACTTCATTCATGCTGATTCCGCCGATTCCGCCCCAGAGTAAACATCTCGAACGCACTCACCATGAGCATGCCGACTGATTTGGATTTATATGGTGACCGGGCAAACATTGCCCTTCTGATCTTTTACATTCCATATATTCTTTTCGAGATCCCCTCGAATATCGTGATGAAGAAGCTTAAACCGCATATCTGGCTTTCCGGCTGTATCATTGCCTTTGGTATTGTCATGCTCGGTCAAGCTTTTGTTCAAAGCTACGGCGGTTTGATCGCGACTCGCTTCTTCCTTGGACTTGCCGAGTGCGGGATCTTTCCCGGTAGCTTTTACCTGATCAGTTTCTGGTATAAACGTGCCGAGGCCCAGAAGCGTTTCACTATGTATTGGTCATCAGTCATTTTTGCCGGTGCCTTTGGTGGTCTGCTTGCCTCAGGTATTGCCAAAATGGATGGCATGCGCGGTCTTGAAAATTGGCGATGGATTTTCTTGCTGGAGGGTATTGCTTCTATCCTGATCGGCATTTTCGCGCTGTTCTTCTGCGCTGATTTCCCTCAGCAAGCATCTTGGTTGACCGAGGATGAAAAAGCAGCGGTGATTGCGAAGACTCGCAATTTCGAAGATGATGAGGTCTCGGTTACAAAGTCCGATTTGATTGCGTCTTCAAAGGATCTCAAGCTGTACCTGGCGGGGTTCATGTACTTTAGTGAGTTATCGTTGCCAAGTTGTACGTTTTTTTCATGATCTAACCCACGCAAACAGCAATCGTCGTCCCCATCTACGCTTTCTCTTACTTCGCGCCGACTATTATCAAAGCCCTGGGATACGGAACGATTCAAACCCAATTGCACAGCGTGCCACCATTTGCCGCCGCCCTTGGACTCTGCGTTGTAGTCGCATATTTCTCAGACCGCTTGAATATCCGCCTTCCATTCATTCTTCTTGGTCAAATACTGATCATCATTGGCGTGGCAATCATGTTAACGACGCATGGAAAGAGCCATTTCTCAGCCGAGTATCTCGGCATTTGCTTCATCACTATGGGTGCATTTAGTTCTGGAGCTGTCATCATCTGCTGGGTCTTGATGAACATGCAGGGCCACAAGGAGCGAAGTATCGGGTCTGGTTGGGTGATTGGCGTCGGCAATGCAGGTGGTATCGTCGCTGTTTTCTGCTTCACTAAGGACGATGCACCCTTGTATCATCGTGGATACTGGATTCTGATGGGTATCACGCTTGCCGGAGTGGTGCTTACTTTGTTATACGCCTTAGTTATTGTCCGCGACCGCCGCCGTCAGGTCCGCGATGAGGGCAAGGTTGACAAGGAGAAGGTTTTGTCTCTATAGAAAGTTTAATATTTGACCTCATTTCTGGGACTGGGGCTGCCGTTTTCGATTTTTTCTGAGGCGACTCGAAGACTACATTACGGTCCTGAAGGAATAAAATCTCTGTATATCTACTATCCAGAGGATTCACCGGGCAAGACCTTTCTGCTTGTATATTTGTCGAAAATAATGATAATTCTGAACTTAGAAAATTCTATTCTACTGGCAACTACCGGTGATTCGGGTCACTGATCTTGCCCCCAGAAAGATAACAATTCCCTGACATAGAGATTATGTACCGATTTTATATGACGTGTTGATAAAATGAGCTGCGAACGCAAAGAAAAATTTAGATTAGAGTTTCTAGTAACTAGTATTTGCCTAGCTGGCAGTGCCTGGCGAAATACGAAACCCGCCGGGATTCTAGGCAACCCCTTAACCCCTCAACCCCGCATATCCTTTCTTCGGCGGAATTATCTATTGCATCCACTCACAGATAGGTATAGTTTCTTATTCTTATCAAGCCTTCTAAAATAACATCTTTCTTTCTCTTATCATGCTATCTACAAGAGGATCAGCCTGGGGAAAAGCCGATTTCGCTCATGGGAAACAAGACTTTTACGACCTTTCCACCAATCCCAACGGCGTTGTCAGCTTCGCCAACGCCGAAAATGTATCCCACCACGGCACTTCTTACAGATAGGCAGACAGCTAATAAACAATAGTGGCTACTTCACGATGATCTGACCGATTATCTCAATAAACAGGTATCTAGCGCAAACCCCAACCCGGACACCTAGTCATAACTGACCATACAAACAAAGACGTTGGACAAACAATGCTGTTCATACGGCGAAGGCTATACAGGATCTTCGAGACTCCGGTCCGCAATGGCAAACCACCTGAACACACATTTCAATCCATTCACCCCAGTCGACGCCGAAGAGGTCACATTCGCAGCCGGAGTAACAAGTCTAAATGAGCTATGCGCCCTTCTCCTGTGCGACCCAGATGATTCCATTCTTCTGATCGGCCCTGTATATGGATCATTTACTCGAGATCTCACCACCAAGACTAGGTACGCAAAGCACGCCCTTTCCAGCATCATGATTAGTTAGTACCGGACCCAACAAGCTGATCAACATACTCCCAGCGTAAACTTAGAGTACGTTCATGTCGGTGAAAAAGACCAATTCTCACCTGACAGCATCGCCGAAATCGAGACTGGATTCGAAGCAGCGAAAGCGCGAGGCAAAAACGTCAAAGCATTATTCATATGCAACCCCCATAATCCGCTTGGACGGTGCTATTCTCGGGAAACATTAACCGGGCTGCTTCGTCTGTGCGCGAAAAAGGGTATTCATCTGGTCAGCGATGAAATTTATGCTTTATCGGTTTATGAGCGGGATGATAGGCCTTCGGAAACTTTTACATCGGTTCGATCGATTGATTGCACCGGGATCATTAGCTCTGATCAGGTTCATGTTCTTTATGGGATGTCAAAGGTAGTCCAAATCTCCCGATACACAGAAAGTGAGCGGCGGCAGTGCTGACTTTCATGAATAGGACTTTGCTGCGAGTGGAATGCGATTAGGTTGTGTGATCTCGCAAAATGACGAGTTCAACAAAGCGATTCGAGCTCTTTGGTGAGACTAACCCTAAACTAACTATCTCGATCTATCGCGAAAAAATGAATGAATAATGAACTGACCCTAGACTCTTGTTCAGCCGCTTTTCTTCCCCTTCCCAAATTTCAATGAGCCTAGCAGCAACAATGCTGGAAGACCAAGAATTCATTCGAACGTTCTTGAAAAAGTCACACAGCCTCCTGCTTCGGAATCGACTCTTAGCAGAAGAGCTCCTCAAACAAGCCGGGATCAGCTTTTATGATAAAGGGTACGATTTCTAAGCCACCTTTAATCCCTCAAATTATATTAGAAAGGGGTTCAGGGTCCCAGTCAGCTAATTTCGCGAATCACAATAGAAATGCAGGATTCTTCATATGGATCGATTTGAGTCCGCATCTTCGCAGTGAAGATACTCAACGAGATGCATGGGCTGCGGAAAGACTTCTCTCGGCTCGCTTCGCACAGGCTGGTGTCATCATGTCTACTGGTGAACAGTATCGTGCACTAGAACCTGGGAAATTTCGGATTATATTTTCCGTGGGGGAAGAGACCCTGCGGGAGGGGATTCGAAGGTTCGTTCAATGCGCCCAGATGTGATTTATCTGGGATTCCCTGCGAAGAACTTGACTGAGAGTGAGACTTTTGCACGATATCTGCTGTTTTGAAAGATTGATTGATGGGTATTTTGACTGTATGGCTTGATTCCGAGGATAATAATATTGGCATTTCATTTCACCACACCAGACAACCATTTGATACATAAATACGAATAATAGTATGTTCCGCTGGGCCCCTCCCTCGCTTTTCCTCCGAGCATTGCAAGAGACATAATGTCTCTCGGTTGAAAGTAACAACAGATTGCACCGAAATGAGAACAAAGATCCACAACGCCCCTACCTTTCCACCTAGACGCAGATAGATATCTTCTCAAATTGTTGCTCGTCGTCCCTTTCGAGAAGTTCGGCCCGCTGGGTGAAACAGTCGACCTTTTCATTCAAAAGCTCGACTTGTCGGGTAAGAATCCGCATCATCTCATTATGGCCGACCATCTCTCCGATCAGACTTTTGTGATACCTACCCAGAGACTCGAGCTGTTGGTTGTAAAGATCGAGAGCCTCCCGGAGCCACTTGGCGGCATTTTTCAGTTCCCGTTTCTGGAGAGGCTTCGGTTAGCGAATATCCGAAATAGCAAGACCGGGAAGGAGGGGGTTCAAATTACTACTGAAAGCTCGCACACGAGGCAAACTGATTCATTCAAAGAAAGATCTTTATCTTCGAGCCGTGCGAAGATTCTATCGAATGAGGATTTGAGTCTGTCGGCGCTTTCGTCCGTGGTCAAGACCTGTTGATTGATTCGTGAGCAGATATGTGAAGCAAAAGATTCAGGGTGTAGGACCAGCTGCTGCTTACCTGGACTAAGCATTTCGCCGTGAGATCTCGCAGACGGTCCATAGACTCGAGCTTTGTCAATCGGAGATTCATCCCGAGAATGTGCCTGTCATGTATTGCGTTCTTTAGATTCGTTAGCGGTCATCCGGGAGGAAGATTGGGTGCAGATCTTGTTCTGGGCGTACAAGCATGATAAGACACCAAATGCTGAAAGCAGCTGTCCATTGAAATGGAATTCCGATGTACAATGCCAGGCCAAGCCACAACGCCTGCATAACCCAGAGACTCATGTTCAAGGCAGCGTGAAGTAGGATAGTTGACGATTCGTGTGAGGATGAGTTGAAAGACTAGGGTTGACTATCAGAGAAGAAGAATTGAGAGTTGAGAGTTGAAGTCGAAGGTCGAGAATTAGCTGGGGTGAATGGAAGGTGCGATAGACCACACCGTTCCTTCCCAGGCTGCACTCAGTATTGAATAGTACACAGTACACAGTACACAGTACACAGTACATACACACTATACAGTACTGTTGTAGTCTACAGTCCTAGAGATCTATATTTACCATCTAGATGAGAGGTATTTTGACAAAAATGGCATGAACCCTGCCTATATTGGGGGTACTTAGAGGACATGATATACCCAGGGTAACCCTGGTTATATCCAAGTATAGTATAATCCGAACCCTAACTTGACCTAGAGCCCTAACATACAGACTTCATAGATAGTCAAGCATAATAATATCTTCATTTCTCATCACGCCATACGCCATACGCCATACACCATATCCATATATCCAAAGCCTAACCTAACCAGCCGTAATAGCCAACATCCTCTTCCTCCTCCCCATTCCCATCCCCATCTCCATCGGCACATCGACATCTCCATCGACATCCATCCCACCCCCCTCTCCCCAACAATAACCCCCCTCAAATCTTCCCTCAACCGCACAGCATCCCTAATCAACTCCCCCTCAACAACCCCCCCTAGAAGCAACATCACAGCGTGCCGTAACTGCCAAATCAAACATCTCCAAACCCCTAACCTGCAACAAAGGCTTAACCCACCCCTCATTAACATCAAGCTTAAGTCTCTGCCCCAAACCCCCGCCAACCAAAACCGGTCCACCACCAACCATCATCCCCGTAAACCGGCCTAAATCAACACTCAACTTCAAAGTCCGTAACCCAGTAAATTCCCTCGCAACACACCCCCAAAATCCAACCCAAAGCTCATCACTATGCGTATGCGCATATATAGACCCCTTATGTTCCTGCCCACTAAGCGGTGTCCAAACCGGCATCCACTGAACCGTTAAAGATGTAACGGCCCGTCTAGCGCGCGGCGATAACGATCCGGCAAAGGAGAGGAATGTGTATAAGTCGTCGACGTCAATTGTGGAGTTTTTGTATAATGTTGTTTGGGTTTCTGCGTAGATTGCTTTACAGGTTCGCAGTAGTGAGACGGGAGTCGTGGAGAGTGTTGAGGGTAGATCGGTGTGCGTGTGTGGGTAGAGTAATCTATCTGTGTGTCCCGGGATTCGGCCGTCGTAGATGCGCCATCGGGCTGGGGTTTTGGGGCAGCAGTGGCGATGGTGGGTGAGAGCGGTGCTGGCGCTGCTGGTGGAGGTGCATCTAACGTGCTTTATTTTGTCTTTTATTTGGACGAGGTGGAGGGTGTCGGAGCCGAAGACGTAGGCCCATATCATGGATCGGATTTCGGGAGGTAGTTTTGTGAGTAAGGGGGTTGTTTGGGGTGTGGTTTTTGTCCAGTCTATTCCGGGTGTGTCTAGTGGTTGTGTACTACTAGTAGTAGTAGTATATGTAGATGTACTAGTAGATGTCGGCGCAGCAGGCGAGCAGATAGCGCGGTCATGGATCAATTCGCAGACTTGATCTTGCCATTTTCGGCCCGTTGAGTAGTAATGCCAGATGGAGTAGGGGTCGCGGACCAGCCAGGCGTCGAAGTGGCGCATGGTGGCTGTATAGCAGAGATGGATATGAGATGAGATGAGATGGAGTCAATGGAGGATTTCAAGATCTGCAAAATCTGGGGAAAAGTGGGCTTCTGCTCCACTATATACTCCACGCTCCTTTCTCACACCCACATTCAGCCATGACGGTACGGAGTAAATGGTAGAGATTTCCCTCGTAGCCTCTCCACAGAGGCAATTGGCAGCTGCAGCTGTGAGTGGTCGACGATGAATGCAGCGCGGGCAATCCCGGCGTGTAACCTTATGACGTCACGTGGAGCAGTGTGCTCCGTCGAGCAGCAGAGATACGAGTAAAGTAGAGTAGAGTATAGTTGGGATTTGGTTTATTTATTAGATTATCAGTATAATGGTGTAACATATATATTATGATTGGCAGTGCAGTATACTACTAGTACATAGTTGGTGGATTGTGGATGCCAGTGCAGTTACTAGTATAAACAGAAGTCTAGATCTAGATTCATATTATACGACACTCAAAATATACCCAGATTAGTTCCAATAATCCTGGATATATGCCATCTACTGCGCACTACTCTGTACACTTTCCTCCTCTCTCCCCTCTCTCACTCCCTCATCCTCACCCCCTCCCTCCTGCACCTTTGCATCATCACCACCACCACCATCACCCCCCTTCACCCGGGCCCCCTCCTGCATAACAGCCACATAAACCGCACAGGCCAAAATAAGCCCCGACCCAACCCAAGCCACCCCATCAAGCGTCGTCCCCCAAACAACCTTATCATAAAACAGCGCAAAAAGCATCTGCGTATACACCATGCTAGTCGCCTTAGACCCTTGCTTCCCCTTACCAGCTCCAGCACCAGCTCCCCTCCTTCCATAACGCTTCGCGGCGGCACATAAGACAACCCCGCCGTAAGCAAAAACTGCAACAAAAACCCACAAACACCCAAACCCACCATAAAGCTCCACTCCGTACTGGTGGTCGGGACGCGGAACTCGACGCTGGGCAGAACCAGCATAGCTACCAGTGATATAATCGTCGTCACGCTGGAGAAATATGTCACGGAGACTAGCGGGTGTGCGCGACGTCCTATCATTCGAATAGAAGTGTATGCGCCCGCTGCGCCGAGGACACCAATACTGGCTACTATTGTTGCGAGGACGTGGTGGTATGCGTCTGCTTGATCGGGACTTTCATCACCATCACCAGCTGTCGAGTTTTCACCACCTGCTGAGCCAGCTTTATTCGAGCGAAACGGCCGCGCAATCAAAACAACACCCACAAGACTAACAACAGCCGCAACCTGCTGTCGCCGCGAGAACGTCTCACCGGGTATAAAAACCGAACAGGCGTAACAGGTCATTATAGGCGCTAGGAAGGTTATAACAGTTGCTTCGGATAAGGGTAGGTATTGGACTGAGTAGTATAGGGCGTAAACGCCTGTGAATCCGCAGACGGCGCGGAAGAGGAGGAGTGGGAGGACTGGTCGTGTGCCGAGGGGGTGGGGGGTTTTCGCGATGAACATGTAGATGTAGCTTGCTAGGGCTGTTATGGACATTCGGGCGAATAGGATCTGGGGAAATGTTGGTGTTAGTTTCGGCATAACTTTGGCATTGGAACTGGCACTGAGTTGTCATGTAACTAAGTGCTGTCCAGGCTGGGCTGAACGAACCTGAAAAGGATGCATAGAACTATGAATCTCCAGAACCTGAGTCATGACATTCATACTTGCGCCGAACATTTGCGCCAAGAGTACGAGGATCATGCCTTTATTCCTCAGCCAGAAGATGCGTGCTTTGGCGGCGTATTTTGTGCGTGGGCGCGTGGATGCTGCGAGTGCGTCTATGTCTGCGTCGGCGTTTTCCTCGTCTTCGTCGATGGGTCGCGGCTCGTACTCGGCCAATGACTCGAGATCGGGATCGGGATCATCGCGGTACGGCTGGGACTGGGACTGGGGGAGCGGGGCGTCTGGGTGGTTCTGATAATCCCTGTCCTGTCGTGCTTGTGCTTGTGCTTGTTCTTGTGTCTGAGTTTGAGCTTGTTGCTGGGAGGGTGCTGGTTGGTGGGGGGATTGTTCCGGCATTTTTTTCAAGCTGGGATGTCGGGCGGCTCAACTCTGCGCCGGATGATGGGTTTTATTGTATATTTCCAAGGGGTATATCCATGAGAATATACAAGAAGGAATAAAATGGGAAGAAGGAAGAAGGTGAGGAGTGGCGAGTGGGTGAGATATGTACAGTCGAGACCCGAGTTGGAGAAGGGAAAAAAGAAAAGATGCGCGATGTCGGCGGGTGACTTTACCGCTCACGAAAGTGAACTACTAAGAGTAAACTGGCACTCCGATGATTCACGGTCATTCGCATCTTATTTGCATTTGATTATATTATTCCGCATAGCTCTAACTCTAGTTCTAGTTCTAGACCTTTTACCTGGGTCGTTGCTAGTGTTTACGCATATCGCGTGACCAAGTCTAGTTACAATCGGAGGAAGTATGACTTTGTATATGACTTAAGTATATGACTTTTTAGTGTAATTATTTCAACAGATGCCTAGATGGATGCAACTGACACCGGATTTATATCCGAAGCAAACCACAGCCTGCGGCCTGCAGTCAGCAGTCCGCCTAATCTCAATAGTTCGCAACAGCCTGCAGCCTGCAGGCAAAGATCGACGGATCTCCCCGCATCCTCGGCACATCCCCAACTATCAGATGCACGTATACATCAACACCACACTTCACTCTATACACAGCCAACCGCTAAACAAAAGTAAAAGTATCCCCTCCCCTCTCACGCAGCATATTCCCCACCCTGGACGTCCCCACCACACGCTCCAACTTCAGCGCATCCCACTTAGAGAACAAAACACGCACCCCACCCTCCGCAGCCTCAACAACCGCCGCCGGATCGAGCCCCAAAAAGCCCACAATCTCGCCATAGAAGACCGGATTCTCAGGAACACCATACATAATCACCCGTCGCACACCACGGATCTGATTCCTGCGGAAATGATGCGCGCGCTCCGTATAAAGCAACACGGAATGTCTACCCGTGACAAAGTGACTCCGCGCACGCGACGCTTCCCGCGGCTCGGTGTACTCGGAAATCGCGCCGAAGGAAACATTCGTCGTTTGCGCCGATGTAGCGAAGTGATTTCTCACACGGACGAAATCGAGGTACGAGGGGACGAAGATGAGAGTTCCCGCGCCACCTTTGTTACTGCGGCCTGTGATACTTTTCACCAGTGTTGAGAGGATTGTTGTGGTGAAGTGTTTGAAGCGGGCGTCTGGATCCTTTGATGGGGAGAGACTGTCGATTCGGGTGAATGTTTGCTTTACGGAGACGGGGAGGGGGAGGTCGGTTATGGCGCCGGCGTGGGTGGGCGTTATTTTGATGCGGCCGGAGGTGTTTTGCATGTGTGTTGAGAAGAGGGAGTTGATTTCTGGCGTTATGAATGAGGCTAGGACGATTGTTTGGCGGATGTGGCGGGCGTGGTTGTCTAGGTACCAGTTGCGGACTCGGCTGAAGTCGCAGCCGTGGGCTTCCTTGGGTTGCTGGTTTAGATGCTGGAAGATGAAGGAGATGTGGTCCCAGTTCTGCATGAGGAGAGCGTCGGCGTGGTCGACGACGACTACTTCGATGGAGGAGAGGAAGTCGTGGTCTCGCTTCTTGGCACTGTTAAGGTAGAGGTTAGTTTTGGATTATACCGCGGTTGTGGTGGTGATCCTGGTGGTGACTTACTCGGCTTGGTCCATGATGGTACGTAGACCGAGCGGACTGGCCAGAATAACATCCGAGTTGTAGAATTGCGCAAAGTACTTCACAGTCTTGCGGGTAAACTTCAATCCCAGCCGGAACATATCGTCGTCATTGCCGCCAAACAGTTCGCGGAAATCCTCCGTCTTGTTCTCCCAAGAAGCATCATCGGGCGAGGAGAAGCTGTCAGTGAAGCGCTTCTTGTTCTCGTGCTGCTCAGCTTGGTAGATCCGGGCAATTGCATTGACGACGCGCACACAGGCTTGTCGTGTTGGGAGGATGTAGAGGACCTTGGGCCGGGTGAAACCCTGATCCCGGCACTCGATATCGGTATCGGGGTCCTTGGCCAGACGGGCATTATTCTTCAGGACTTGGTCGCGAGTCTTGATGAGATGGTTGACTGTGTGAAGGGCCGCAAGCTCGCGCATGCTATCCGCATTGCTGGCCGTTCGCGACCCAAAGAGTAGATCCTGGTAATCGAAGATGTATGGGGCGAGGTGCTGGGCGGAGCCGCTGATTGTCGGCAAGAGTTCGGCGACGCGGGGTTTGAGTTTATTTTTGAGCTAAATGCGTTAGTTGTAGGCCAAAAAAATTGCTGATAAGGGTCTCGACAAACCTTAAGGTTCGCAGTGCTCTTGATGGCTGGTAGTAGCGATGCGGCGTCTCCCATATCCGGGATTGACTGCACGAAGCGCAAACCGTCTGCTTCTTTCTTGGCCGACACCCATTTGTTCGCTTGGATTTGCTCAATCTTCTTGGAAAGATCCGACCCATCGGGCAAGTTGAAGTGCTTCTCGAAAGGACCAGCAGCATCGTCGTCCTCGTCGTCTTGAGCCTCTTCCTCATCATCTGACGGAGCCTGATCTTGCAGAGCATCGGCCTCAGCCTCTTCCTCGGCCTCTTCCGCCGCAGCCACCTTGGTATCACTGGTATCGTTGTCAACCTTTCTCCGCTTGCGAGCTGGTCCTTTAGAATCGGCATCGGTCTGAAGTAGTTGCAACAACTCGTTATACGGGCGCTCGGTTTGCTCTTCCTCGTCACTGCTGGAAGAGACATCATCGTCCATGTCGACGTCTTCAGTGACTTCGATCGGAGGCGCATCTTCGTCGGAGGATTCATCCGACCTAGAAAAATTTAGTTAGGGACCAATATTGCAATTTGTTATGCGATTGCGACTCACTCGGCATCGTGCAATCGCGACGAGTCGAAATTTTGTCGTCGGAAGCCGCCACGGCCACCACGACCACGACCGCGACCGCGGCCTCGGGGGGGCTCCTCGTCCACCTCTTCCGCCTCCGCCTCGAGAGAAGGCCATTGTGGATTGTGTTGAGGGGGTAATGAGGGTTCACGAGGAATATGGGGGAGCTGGGGAACTCACGCCGAAAATTGTCAACTTTTGGCGGCAGATAGGCAGAATTCGTTTTGCTTATCACCTCGTGATGGGAGGGCTTGACCGCCTCCCCTATATGGAAGTTTCCAACGACTGAACATCACCTTTATTCACTTTTAGCACTTTAAAGCGGTTGGGACTTTATGGTTCTTATTCGCGCGAAATGGGCATGTTCGAGAGATGCTCTGGTTAAATTAATAGGGGCGATGATACTGTCCATTGGCGAAATTGTGTAGTACTCCTGTGCCAACCAGCAGTGCTAATTGGACCTTGTGTACCATCTTTGCCACTTGGACAATGGTAATTTCTAATCCTGAATTGTATAAATTTGCCATGTAAATTAAAGTTATAATCCTGCCACATTACTTGTACCCCCGATGTTTAGCCACTTCATCTCAATCTCATGAGCCTCCCTCTTCCACTACCACGTAGGTCTTGGCTCGCCTGGTAAGTATAAGACCTTATAGTTAGTAAAGCTGTAGAATAGCGACGCTTAGTGGTGATAAACACCAATTTTTAGACATGTTGGCAGAGAAGAATACTAATAGATAGCACATTAGGCAAAGTCATAGATACTTTATCTTATTTTAACCAGCCTGCTTACACTATCATGGCCAACAAAAGCACACAAGACCCGATAACATGAGGCCGGGCATCAGGGGTACACTGGATGGGGCGGGGTTGTGACCAAATTTTCTATGGCAAATACGTACAAATCTAGGGTTGGAAATTGGCATTGTCCAAGTAGCAAAAATTATAAAGTGATGGCGGTCCAAATAGCGCTCCTTGTGCAATATACTCACAGGCCTGTGGCCTTTGGCCTGCGGCTTTGCTAGCTCACAATTAATGCATGCAGGACGAGTGTCTGCCCTTGCCTACATTGCATTACGCTCTTTGCTTTCACGGCGATTACACATTAATTGCATACTATTTGTCAGTAGATAGATAGATATAGCGTGAGAACTTTCTCCTTCATCGCACAGATCCATCTAGATATTCATCTTCATCTTCTATCTCATATTTCTGGCTCTCTCGCCAACTTGTAACTTTTATAATAAATAATGGATAGGTAGTAGTAGGGCAATTTGCAACACATGCGCCTGGGATTGTAATTCGATACTCTTGAGCTCCAGTACTAGTACTACTACTACCGAGTAAGGTCTGCTGTCTGGGGATGAACTTGAGCGCCAGGGACCTGGAGCCCACCGTACCTTCCTCATTCAACTCAGCTCATTCCCCACCTGGGCACCCTCAACGATTAGGATTTTGTTGTTTACTTTCCCCTTCCCCTTCCTTCCTCTTGATCAAATCCTTATTCCAAGCAGGCATTTTCCAGGATTTGAATCGATTCTAACACATCCCCCACTTTTGCACCTGCTAGTTATGGTCTTCATGGGTATTTTGAGAACACTACGCCACTGGGGTAGCCAGGCCTTGGGTCTCGGACACAGAATTGCTATGTTTTTCCGGCCATAGTGGACTGGAGAGTTCGACTTCGAAATATGGTGATTGAAGTACGCCCTGAGAGATATCTGAGCCCCGTTCTATGTTCGAAAAGTCACTAACAAGTCCAAAGATTTTGCGTCCGGGTAAACTTATGGTGCCGTGGGAGAGCAAGCGGTACGTTCAACATGGATTGAGCAAACAGATTATTCAGGTAGACGAGAACCCCACCTACGCCCTTGCATTTCTCATCCGAATATCTACTGATGAGTCCACAGTTTCTCCTTCTGCTTAAGGATGACACTCGGTATAACCGCCAGATCGATGAAAGGATTGAGCTCTTCATGAAGGAAATTGATAACACGCGTGATGACCGGTTGATGTGTCGTCTGTGTGCAGAAGAAGAGATATCCAGAATTCGATCACAATCACCCTTCCATTTCGAAGGAGCGACTCGCTGATACAAGACTTTGCAGGAGGCGGCATTGAAAATTTGGGACCGGTTTTCGAAGAGCAAAAGCGACCTTTCTCCAAGCTTGTCGTCAAGCAGCTTAAGATGAGGGAGGACTATGACCCGGACTCTACCAACTTTATCAATAACCCCAACGAGATGATGGAGGTTCTCACCCAGCATATCGATAAACTCGACCGACAGGTCAAACTTGCCCGGGAGAAGTCCCATCACCTCAAACTGGGTATGTAAAGTCTCAACAGAGATGAGTGTCACGGAATGCATACTGCCTAGGCATCCATTCAGTGTCCGGCGACAAGCGGCGCTTATGGTGACCCAGGGATCACAATCGTTGGCAATGATTGACTGAAGTTTTCTTACACCAATGAAATTCTCCTTGGCATCATCTGAAGCTTCCCTCCTCCATCTCAAAGTATGCTGAGCCCCATCCTTATCTGAAATAGCAGCTAACAAATCTGAACACCTTAAGCCATGACAAGCCGAGAACGGCGCCACAAGAAGACAATTATCTTCCAGGCATATCCATCTTTACATCATTTCCTTACACAACACGGTAGACCAACTTGAACGTTCATATTAAGATAATAATGCTCATAATACTTGATCTACCGCATTCCATCAGTAGACAGGGCAAGGAGAACATCTACATGATTATCTTCCTATTTCAGAGACCCCTTCATACAGTGGATGGATGGATGGATGGATGATTTCATTTACCCCGACCCCTCGCGAACGATATGCAGGATTCAACAACTATATACATGTGTCTCTTCGTAATTGCCGTGTCTAATTTCCTAAGCGACCTTAATGCCTCGCCGAAGCCTTTCGTGGCTCCCTAGCCCTTCGTTCTCATGTTGTCTTCATGGTACTCGGCTTTGAAACCGTTGTGATGCTTCAGCGAAGTCCAAGACGGCTTCCACCGTCTTCGCCTTCGAAGCATGGCTAACCTTACCTCTCTCCTCTCCTCCAGACCCTCCTAGTAGGATTGAAATGCTGTTGAACGCCTCGCCGACCTTTTCTCGGAGCTCTCGCCGAAGTGCTCTCAGCTCTGGACAGTCTAGCAGAACATGGCTTACACTCTCGCGTTCGCCACAGACACATAGGTCATTGTCGCGGAAGCGAAACGTCTTTGCATATGTTGATAGCCAGCAGTGGCCAGTTCGCAATTGGGTGAGTAGATAAGCCCGGTTCCTCGGGAGGGAACCGTAGAGGCCACGTGTGTACTTGGCTGGCAAGGTGTTGTCAATCCGGCGCAGGTGGCTGCCAGTCTTCGACCCTTTCCATTCCTCTGCCCATTGGTCCTGAATAACTTGCCTGATATGTGCTCTCTCGCGTGATATCAAGGGACTGAACGGGTGTGTCTTGCCCGGGATGGCGGCTTCTTTAGCAAGCTGATCGGCGATCTCGTTCCCCGGTATTTCGCAGTGACCGGGGATCCATTGTAGTCGAATCATTGTACCATGGTTCTTGGTGGTTTCGGCTGCTCGTAGGATGGCGTGGATGATCTGCTGTCCCGACTTGTTCCCCGGTCTTCGAATAGCTTGCAGTGCCGACATACTGTCGCTGAAGATCGTGGCGGATCTCACCCGCGCGTGCGATGCTGTCTAACGTCGAACCGCGACTTGATTGATGATATTGATAGCGTATAGAATCCCAATGAGCTCTGCCGCATGGACCGACCAGCGGTCCATACTGCCCATCTGTATTTGTATCCTGTCAGTTGTCTGCTGCCTCTCGTCGATCGCGACGGCTGCAGCTCCCAGATGACCTTGTCGCCCCGAGGCGTCTGAGTAGATTATCACATCCGAGATGGATCGTACCGTTTCCGCTTTCTCTATTGCGACCTCTCGATCAGGTTCTATTTCGATTCTGGCGAACCCCTCCGGTCTCCATGGAGGGAGCGGGGTCGGGTCAATCATCTCGATTTCTCTCAGTCTCTCCAAGTTCATTGTTTTCAACGCCTCTGCTAGAGGGAACCTGGCGTATGATCCAATATTGTCCCGCCTTCTCTGGGCCCGAAGAAGGGTGCTCCAGATAGGATGTTTTTGGGGCAGGGTGTGGAGTCTTGTAATGGTATTCTGTGCACGGAAGCGTAGTCGAAGATGGATTGGCCGGACGTGTGCTTCTACATCCAGCGCAGCTGTGGCCACCGTTCGAAATGCCGATAGAACGCGGATGAGCGCAGTCCGCTGTACGGTGCGTAAGTGCCGAAGATGCGTCTTATCTCGGAGTGGGTCATGCCAGACGGTAGACGCATAGTCAATGACCGGTGCGACACACGCTTCGTAGAGCTAACGCATCTGCTCTGGGCGTAAATGCCGTAGTCCACCAAGAGCGAGGTTGACCTTTGTAGCTCGTTTGACCGCCTGCTGTACGTGTGGTTTCCATCGTAGCTCATGGTCGAAGATAATTCCCAGTAGTTTGGCCGTTGTGGATGGTTTGACTGCTTTGCCATTCATGATCAGTTCCCCTTGGCACTGTTCCTTTCTCTTGCGAGTGATGTGGATAAGTTCAGTTTTCTCGGCCGCGAAGCAGGATCCGGTCCTCCGGGCCTATGCTTCGATGCGTGGTATGTCTTCAAACTGGATTCTGGCTAGGTTCTCCTCTGCACTCCAGCCAACTCGCCAGCGAAAATAGTCGTCGATGAAGGCCGAAGCTCCGCCTTTGGAATCTACGGGCTGGTCCACCAGATCATTATTGAAGAGCGTGAACAGAATGGGCGAGAGTGGAGAGCCCTGCGCCAGCCCGGCATTGTCTAGCGGTGCTACCTCGGTCTGGTAGTCATCGAACCGGATACTGGCTTGGCGTCCGCTCATAAAGCTTGCGATCCATCGTCGGGCAACCAAAGGGATGCCCTTGGATTGGAGACGAGCGTCCAGGCTTGTCTGGTTGACTCCGTTGAACGCCCCTTTTAGGTCGAAGGCAACTAGCGTCACTACTTTTTGTTTGTACCACGCTTTGTCGATTGCGTTGGCAAGTACTAGAAGGGCTTGCTCGGTGGTGCGTCCTGGTCGGCCTCCAAACTGAGTGTCCGGTAGTAGCCCGTACTGCTCCGCGTAGAAGGACAACCGTCGGGCGACCACTGCTTCCAATAACTTTCCAAGCGTGTTGAGGAGCGAGATAGGGCGGTAGGCTCCTGGTTGCGAGTAGTCTGGCTTTCCTGGTTTCCGCAGAACTACGATCTGGGCGCATCTCCACCCCTGGGGGTGATATCCTAGTTCGATCGACACCGTGAAAATCTTGGTAATGATGCTCCCGAGGTAATCCCAGAGACGTTTCCAGACTAACATGGGAAGACCGTCTTCACCTGGCGCTGTTGATAGTTTTGCAGTACTGAGCGATCGGTAGATCTCGATCTCTGAGATCGGTTGCCATGGGATTTCGGCTGGGGGTCTCAGGCAGCTGTTCGTCTTCGGCGGGCGCCATCGACGGGAAGAATGCGTCCATGAAAGCTTGCGCCTTTTCTGGATTATCAGCCACCTCCCTGTCGCCGACCCGGAGCGTTGGGACGCAACCCCACGCCTCCCGTGGTTTCATGTACGACGCGGCCTTCTATAACTTCCCTTCGCCGGCCTCATCAAGGAATTGTTTCCAGTGTGATGCTTTTGCTTCTTCGATCGTCCGGGTCCACGCCCGCCGCGACTGGCGCATGTCCTGGAAAAGTGCCATGCTGTGGGGATCGTTTCGTCCTGCTTCCGCACATCTCGCCTGCCATCTGCGTCGCAAGCGGTTTACTTTGTTCTGTTGCTCCTTGAGATCGGCCGTGAACCATCGTTTAGCGTAAGGGGAGGGTCGCTGATCGGGCGTGTGTCTGTCGACAGCGATCGCAGTGGTCTTAGTGAGGTTTTCCACGGCCATATCGAGTGCGTAGGTTGAGTGCATCTCGGTCTGTTTCCCCATGAGACTTATAACCTCGTTCCCAATTTTCCCCCAGTCTGCGCGGTCGTAGGCCTTTCTTGGAGGTTTATTGTTGTTGCGATGTATCTAGAGGCTCCACTCTGAGTATGTGGCCCGGTGGTCCGAGCCGTAGTTATCGTGGTAAAGATGACACTTGAGCAGTAACTCAGATTTATCCGTCACTGTCTGGTCAATCGTGGACCTTCTTCCCGGGTGGCTCAGCGACCAGTAGGTTGAGACTCCTCGAGGGAGACATCCCTGCAGACCATGTTCGTGGAAGAAATTGATCAGTTCGCCGGCTTCCTCAACGAAGCGGGGTTGGATGTTGTTGTTCCCCCATGCCGGATGATGGCGGTTGAAATCTCCAGATAGGATAAGACAGGTGGGCCTTCTGTTGTTTTGAGTATTTTCCTGAATCGTGTGGTGGATCGCGGATAGAGTCGTCTCTGCCGATGTTCCGTCGGGATTGTGCATCGGTACGGGTGGGATATAGACCGAAAAGACCAGGATCTGGAGTTCGGCCGTCCAGATCTTAATTGCTGTTAGGTCTGGGTAGTCGCATTGCACTTGTTGGTGAGAGGCCGTTGAGAGCCTACGGTTCACATAGATGAGGCTTCGCAGTCGAGCTGAGCCGTCTTCGATTGTTGGTTTGTATAGTCGCCATACGCTGTGGTTCACATGTGTTCGATATGCAGTGATTAGTGGTTCCTGAATTAGGAGGATGTCTAGATTTTCGCTCTGGTGGTCGTTTATGAGGGCCTCCATGCCCGCTCTCGATTTTATGATGTTCAATTGTAGGATTCGGAGAGGTTTCCCTAACATTGCGGGGCGAGAGGGCCGGTTGGCGTTGGGCACAGGGAATCCCCGGTTGGGTGTTCACCACTACATTCTAAGCACCGTGCTCTGACTCCGGGTGGGCATCTTGATCGTTCGTGAGGGCCACCGCAGTGTCCGCACCGCGCTGCTTTTTCTTTGCAGGACCACGCCTGGTGGCCAAACCGTTGGCATCGGAAGCATCGTCCTTCTTTAGCCTTGTATCTCTCTATGCGCCCAATGTACCGCCGGTCAATCAGCAGTCCATTGTCAACCATCCATTCCGCGGCCTCTGCCGAATCAAACCAAATGCCTATGGAGGCGAACGTCCCCAGGTTCTTGTCCCGTTTCTTGAGCCACGCGATATCTTCGATTCGGAAGTCGCGAGCAGCGAGATCGTTCTCGTTTGTGAGTTTCTTGATAGCACCTGCTTTATCCTTCTCGAGGTCCAATCCGTGGGTAGGGAGGTGATGCACAACTACTCCGTGCCGTGGTCTCACCAGCCTGGTCTCGTTTCCTAG